GGACCTGCAAGGAACCATAGGACAGCATGCTGAACAGCAGCATCTCTGGCGGCCAAAGTTCAATACGGAAAAGTTACTCACGCCAGAAGGCAAGGCGTGTGTGGCACGGGAAATGCAGGCCTACGTACCACCCTCATGGTCATGCCACCCTGACGAGCATTGTCAGCATCTCCAGGATTTCCTGCTGAACATCCTCCAGACCCACTTCATGCGAGAGGAGGCCGGCCCTAGAGCAGCCTATATAGCCGAAGATGTGTGGAGGCTTCGAACAGCCAAGGTCGCCCTTAAAGGGCGCACACGACACAGAGCTGGACTCTGGAATGACCTTGTTGGCCGTGCCTTTCTCCAATGGCGAGATGCGACAGACTATGGCCTGCAGCAACTGGTGACCAAACAGGGGCTGCTCTACGAGATTGTGGCTGCCGCGGTGAAGTTTGCAAATGGTCGCGTTCGGTTTGGCATCCGGCAAAGCAAGAGTGCCTTCCTGTCCCACATCTCCCAGGATGGCAAGGCGAAGGCTGGCGAAATCCTCAGTGCCGTCAAGAAAGCTGGCGTTGGAGGCAAGCTGGCCCGCAACAAGCATCGCCCACTGCCGGCGCTGCTTGACTCCTCGGGGGCACTTGCGAGTACCCGCGCCGACCGGGATGAGATCTGGTTACAGCATTTTGCTGAGCAGGAATGTGGCACCATCATGATGAGCACCGAGGACTTCCTGCTTCAGCCGCGACAACCAGTCGAAGCGGATGCGCTACTGCAATGGAGTCTCCCTGAGATCCCAGACTACTACGAAGTGGAGCACGCTTTCCGACATGCCCCGGTGAGGAAATCGCCAGGCTTGGACCAGCTGCCTGGAGAACTACTCCGGGCTGACCCGGCTGGTATCGCCCGAGCAGCGTTCCCACTGTTCCTGAAAGCTACGCTGACAGTGTGTCAGCCGATTCAGTGGAGAGGAGGCCTCTTACGGGAGGCCTGGAAACACAAGGGTTCCATCAGAGACCCGGCGAGCTATCGCTCGCTCTTTGTGTCATCCATGCTCGGAAAAACGTATCACAAGCTGCTACGTTCCCGTGCGACCCGCTTTGCCTCGGACATGTTATTGGGATTTCAGATGGGAGCTCGACGGCATGCCCCTGTCACGCTACCGGCGATGTTTGTCCAGGCCCAGCTGAGGAGAGGATGCCGATTGGGGCATTCTGTGGCGATCCTATTCCTGGATGTTCAATCAGCGTATTACACTGTCATCAGAGAGATGGCAGTGGGCCCCATTGAGAGCGACGAGGCGGTCTGCAGAGTCTTCAAGCACTTCGGGCTTCAACCGGAGGACCTTGCCGAGTTCTGGGGTGACATCCGCAGTGGAGGCCTCATGGGGCAGTCTACCATGCCGGCCACATTGAGGCACCTCGCTAAAGATCTGTTGCACCGATCCTGGTTCGTTACGGGGTATGGAAGCTCAAAGCGCTTGTGTACCACACAAGCAGGCTCCCGCCCAGGCGAAGCCTGGGCGGACCTTGTGTTTGCCTTCGTCATGGGGAAGATCCTTTGTCGCGTCAGGGAAGCAGCCGCTGGTGAAGACCTGATGTGGCCACTCCACTTTGACAGCGATGGTGGTCCCTACGCTGTGGCAGGAAGTGGTGCAGAGGTCCAGGCGCTTGAGTGCGCATGGGCCGACGATGCTGCGTTTCCTACCGCGGATCCGGATTCGGATCGCCTGGTCCGTAAGGCGTGCCGCCTGTGTTCCATTGTGCTACACGAGTGCACTCGTCACGGGCTTCAGCCGCTGCTACTAGCCCTGCGCGGCCCAGGATCAAGATCTACTCGCCGACGCTGGTTTCCCAACGGGCGCAATGAGATCACCCTCGAGGACCTGGGGCTCAAGGTCCCGATTGTCAACTCCTACGTCCACCTTGGTGGTGTGGTTGATGGCGCCATGTCCATGCAGGGTGAGTGCCGGCGGCGCTTGGCATTGGGACAATCAGCCTTTGATGAAGGCAAACAGCTCCTGTACGCCAACCCCACAGTGCCCCTTGCTACGAGAGCGAGCCTGTTCCAGACGTCGGTCCTCGCCACCTTCTACAACTTGGGCCTCTGGATACCAACAGGTCCTGTGTGGCAGCGCCTTTCTGGTGGCTACACGCGCATACTGCGTGGACTCCTGACCAAGCAGTACAAGGGCGATGTCTTGTACAAGCTTGCTGCCCCAGCGATCCACATCATCACGGGCAGCTACCCGCTCGAGATGCTAGCACGCAGAGCTCGGATGAGCTTGCTGGCGTCGCTCTGCAAGGCGGCGCCCGAGGAACTGTGGGCTGCATTACAAGAAGAACAGTCTTGGATGGGCGAGATCCGGAAGGACCTACAGTGGCTCACGCTCGCGAGCGGCTCATGGCCGCCAGCTACGGCGGCTGGATGGCCGGCGTTCTACGAGCTGCTCCGGACTCAAACTGGCCGGGTCAAGGCGGCGGTGAAAAGGCAACTTGCCAAGGAGTTCGAGGACTTCCGCGATGAGCAGATGACGAACCTACAACTGTGGGCGCTCCACAGGCGCCTGGTCCGGCAGCTGCCGGGATGCGACGAGGAAAAAGGATGGGTCTGCCGTCCGTGTGGCCGTCGGGTAAAGACTCGAGCGGCGCTCGGCGCCCACTTTTTCAAAGTCCATGCGAGAAAGGCCAAGCACAGGAAGTTCGTCGAAGGATCGCTCTGCAGAGCGTGCGGCCGCCAATATTGGACTCAGGCGAAGCTGGCGGTGCATCTCAGGGACCATCCGCATTGTGTGGAGGTGCTGCGGGCCCACAACCTTGGCGCCCCTGTGATTGCGCCAGGGCATGGAAGCCGAGCATGGCGGAAGGCGAGGGAGACTGACTGCCTCCTGGCGGTGCCTTCTGCGCAGCAGATGCCTCTTCCACCGAGTGAGGTTGGAACCTGGGATGACCACCTCACGAAAGCCCACCGGGACTTGTGTGACGCCCTCCTCGTCCACGACCTCCCTGACTCCAGTGCCCAGCTCATCTACAAGTTCGAACAGATCTTTGAGGACCACCCGCTCTACCCTGCCGAGGAGGACGAGATCGTCGCGGTTGTAGCGGAAGAGGTCCGAGAGCTACGGAGAACGAACTCTGATGACTACTGGAGTGATGCAGTGTACAGTGCCCTGTGCGAAGCTACAGCACTGTACAGCAGCAAGAAAAACCCTGGTGGCCCCCCACCAGAAGCAGGAGATGTGCAATCCGACACCCTGCAAACCTTTAGTCATCGGCTCAATGCTTTTGACTGGGCCGATGCACTCTCAAAGGCCACACAGCACCACGTGACCCCGGGCAAGGCTTTGTATCAGCTGGACGGTAGGGAAGTTGCTTTTTGCCGTACTAGAGAGGCCTTGACTGTAGCAACCGTGGAAGCTGTCTACTGGCCGATGGTGCCGCCTATACTTCAGGAGGCTTGGGATGCCGCCATACAGGGCAAGGCAGTCAGGCTACGTGCCCCCGAGGCCTTCTGGAAGCATGGGCTATCCCTCCCTTTTCGAGATGACACTGCAACTAATTAGGCTGCGTACCGACCTCTGAAAGCCGGCAAAGCAAAATATATATATGTACACACATACATGTAGATATACACGCATATGCACCTGGACATATACATACACACACACACAGAGGCACACATCTAAGTGATCATTCCCTTTCTGCATGTGCGTAGTACTTAACTACTTATGTACATGGATAGTACGGGTTTATAAACGGTGCACCGAATCAAATCACACCAGACCAGGGCAGTCCAGGTCAGGTCATGCCATGTCATAGTTAATACACATATACATATACATATGCCTTTATGTGTGTGCATGTATGTATGTGTGTTGCGTGTAGCAGAAGAGGGTCATGGAAGGAGAAGAGAAACCTGGAATCCTGATTTTTTGAGTCGAGGTGCCGGAAGGTCACGCCTTGTTGGACCTCTCGCTGGGACCTGGCGATTCTGCCGGGCCTTTGAGAAGAGCACTGTATGGGGCCGTGCCATGGTAAGAACATAGGAAGTCAATAAGTTAAGGGTCCCAGAAGCCTACGGGCCAGAAGGGTTCGATAGCATGCGAACAGGGTGTCATCGGACTTTCTGAGGGTCCGGCACGGAACACATGTAAGTGGTGGCGCCAGCTACTGAGCAGCTACTGCTGCCAAGTGTGTGGTCAATAGCTCAAGACCTAGTAACCATGATCATCAAGTAGTTAGGGCTAACGAGCCGCTTTTCGCTCGATGGGCTGCCGGATTTCCGGAACATAGACTACTGGTGCCGAGAGACGGCGCAGACCTGGGTTAATACTTACACACCTGAGTAGGGCGAGTAGGGTTCAGCAACAATGTTTTTCGGTGCGATTTGCCGGACGCGCGGGGCAGCAGAAAGAACCGAGTCGAAGAACAAGAAGCATGAGTCGATCTAGAGAGTTGTGTCTTCCTCACTTAACAGCCCTCAAGAAAGCCTTACGAAAGCCAGCTTCGCCAGAGGCTTCTTTCGCAGGGACACTTTTGAGCAAACTTGGGCTGGGGGAGCCGCCGCTGCAAACACTGCTGACAACTTGCCTGACCTCTTTCTCAGATGCTTGGGTGCTGTTGGATCTTGGTTTTTGCATGTGGAGCAACCGCCCTGTCGAAAGTTCCTCCAGCGTTCCTGGCAAACCTTCCGAAATTGTGGAGGCTTGTGCCTCTTTCCTGATGCCTGGGTTTGAGGAAATTCGACGAGACCGGGACCTGTACTTCGGAGACTTTCCGAGCCAGGAGGAGTTTGATCGTGAGATTGAGAAGAACGCTGCGTGAGATGGCGGGATCCAAATGGTCCTCGCCGTCCATGATATTTGTACAGGATCGATTTGGCAAAGATGCCAGTTTTCGCCAGTACAGCCTGGCCATGCAGATATCACCTGCCGCCGTTCGGAACCTCGCTGAAAAGCGAACCAGAAACAGGCATGATTCGGCACGAGCCAGGCGGTTCAGCGTAGTGTCTCAGTCTGTCAGGCATTCCCCTTGCGTGGCGCGCCTTCGGCGGCAGAGCTCGACGCTGTGCCCCAGGAGGGATTGTGGCGTGGGATGGGAAGTCGGGGTATGGAGGCACGCGCATCGGAGAAATCCTTGGCCCTCCGAGCCTTTGCGCAAGGTGTGCTGGCACCAAGCTGCTGTCTGAAGAAGTCTTGGACTTTTCGCTCGTGGCTTGGCAGCTCTTGCATTTCATGAATTCTGTAAGCTGCCCTGTGTAGTGAACTTGGCTTCAGCATGTAAGGCTTACCTGAGAAGCCATCGAAAGAGACCCAACTTTGTCTTCACGAAGCTCTATGGCTGGCGATGCTCCGAGTCATCCAGAGAAAGAGTGTGTTAGGGTGCTTCGAATTTGGCAGAACCTGTCTTGAGGCACACAACGCAAGACGTGCCAACCTCAGGGCACCCGGCCAAATCTTGACATGCATCTATACATGAATATATGTATAGTATATTGTGTATATTGTGTTGCAGCACAGAAGCTTCTGTTTTGGTCACTGGGTTCTCTGGAGCAGCCGCATCAGCTGTCGAAAGCAGAGCCTCCTCAACCATTGCTGCCTGACAAGCATGGCTCAGGCAGGGACCTTGGTTGGATTTCCGGTGTCCCACTCCCACCCCCTCGCTTGGAGCACTTCTCTGGCCGAGGACCTTATGTGCTTCGACCCCAAAAGCCCAGTCCATGGTGACAAGGTCCAGGGCCAGGCGGAGGACCACAGACACGGACCTAGTAATGCCACTGATGGGTCAGCCGGGATCTAGTAGAGGCAGGTGCAAAGAACTCCTTGAAACTTAGTTCGGGCTATGGAAGCCATGAGCGTCGCAGCCGCCAAGATACTGAGGTACTGACATGTGTGATAAAATGTAGGCCCGCTAGGATCCGGGAGCTTCAGAGAAAGGCACCTTGAAGCCATGCGTGTCACAACGTGGCTACACAGCATTTGGCTCGGAGCATCTCGGAGCACCGCCCGTCACTGGAGGTGGCTTAGGCTTGGGGGCCGGCTGCTTCGGCTGAGGCGGGGGCCTCGCAGCGCCCTGCCTGGGCCGTCCCAAAGCATGTGGAGAAGGCAACAAAGAGATGCCTTCTCTGCAGGCAACTCAGGGTGTGACGTAAATGGCAGACCTGCCGAAGAAGCATCTCTTGGGCAATGTGAGGCAGTCGATCACGCACAGCTTGAAAGCTTATGCAAGACTGGCTAAGTGGCAAGCGGCTGTGCTTCTTCTGGAGCTCCGTGATGGTGTACAAAGAGATGTTATTATGTACAGCATGGCCTTGACAGCATGCGAACGAGGGCACCAATGGCCTGCAGCTCTGCAGCTATTGGATGACCTGGAGCGAGCACGGCTAAAGGCAGACGTGATACTTTTGAGCACAGCCATAAGTGCGTGCAAGCGGGGCAGCCAATGGCAACAGGCGCTGTCCTTGCTAAGCAGAGCAGGGTCCTGTCAGATGCAGCTCGACGTGATCATCTTCGGTTCTGCTCTGAGCTCGTGCCAATCAGCCTCGCGCTGGCAAGAGGCACTGCTGCTGTTGCAGCACATGTCCCGAATCCGGGTGCCATTGGATGTGGTGGCCTACAGTTCAGCCATCGCTTCATGCGGTGCGGCTGGCCAGTGGCAAGTTGCTTTGCACTTGCTTCATTGCGTGGGGGCTGACAGATTGCGAGCGGACAGCGGGCTATTTCAGGCAACTATCGCAGCAGTTCAAGGACAGAAGCAGTGGCAGCAAGTTCTGTACATGTCACAGAAGCTTGACAGGCAAGGCCCCTTGCAATGCTTGGATATTCTCAGCATCAGAAGCAAAGTGAATGCCTGGGGCATCGGCCGTAAGTGGGAACTGATGATGGTCTGCTTCGAGCAACACTACGACATTGCGTGCAATGCTTCGGGCCACCACGAAGGAGTTTTGCACGATGCCGGTGCAACGTTGGGACTTTGCAGACAGTGGCAGCATGCAGTCTCTCTTCTCACAGGAGCAGTAGTGGAAGATGACCACAAGGACGTGGGGCTCAAGTCTGCTGCCATTGTGGCCGCCGAGAAGGGTGGTCAGTGGGAGCTGGCCTTCTTCATCCTGGAAGATCTGAAGCGTCGTGCAGGGCCTAGTATTCTCACATATGGGGCAGCCATCAAGTGCTGCGAGACGGCGGGGAGATGGCACGAAGCTGTGCTCTTGTTGAGTGACCTCGAAATGCAGCGTCTACAGTGCACTCTCATTGTATTGAATACTGCAATCAGTGCTTGTGGCAAGGCCAAAAAATGGCAGAAGGCCGTGATGTTGTTTCAGCAGGCAGCCAAGCAGAGTGTGGAGGCAGATATAATAACTGTAAACTCAGTCATTAGTGCCTGCGAGAAGAGCAGAAGATGGCAAGAAGCCTTAGTGCTGCTCTCACAGCTTTTTGACGGCGAGTTGGAGGCAGATTTGACCAGCTTCAATGCGGCAATTAGCGCCTGCGAAAAGAGTTCTCGCTGGCAGCAAGGAATCATGCTGCTGGCAAGCATTGCCGACCACGTCATGCAGCCAAACACGGTTTCGTACAATGCAGCCATAAGCGCGTGTGAGAACACCGGTTCTTGGCAGCAGGCCATCTGTTTACTGGCAGACCTTCCCGTGAAGAATGTGCAGCTTACCATTGTCACAGCTTCAGCTGCCATCAGTGCCTGTGAAAAGGGCGAGCGCTGGCAGGTTGCCCTATCCCTGTTCACAGACTTTCGGAGGAAGGACTTGTACAACGTTGTCACCTACAGTGCAGCCGTGTCTGCCTGCGAGAGAGGCAGCGGATGGAGTCAAGCCTTGGAGCTTCTTCGGCAACTTGAAACAGACCGTGTGCAGGCGAACGAAGTTGTGTACAACAGTGCCATTGGAGCCTGTGCAGTTTGCACCGAATGGCAGCGAGCTTTGGGCATGCTGGAGAACATGGAACTTTCGAACCTACGAATGGACGCGACCGGAATCAGTGCTGTGATAGGTGCTTGTGAATCTGCTGACCAGTGGCAACTGACCGCCGAGCTGCTGTTTGATCTGGAAGCATTTGCAGAGCAGATCCCGTTCACTGTTTAAGGTACCCAGTGGACTTATCTTAACGTTGTGGCCAAATTTTTCTGGCATGAGGGACCTGAGACGAAGGTAGCAGCCAGGCCGTGCCTTCCTTACCGCAGGTTGGAGAATTCGCTGCTGTAAACACAAAAAGTTCGTCTGCAGGTTAGACTGTATTCAAGGGTGAGCCTCCGGCTCGAAATCGACGAAGGGATGCATTCGATTGCTTGTCGACAGCACACTTCTCCATTGCTCAGGCGCCCTCGTGGCATGTGGGCTTGATTCGGTCGTGGCGATTTCAGAACCGACTCCCCTCCACACAAAACCCTCTGCATCCCGAACCCTGACCAAAAAAAGCAGCTTTCCGGTCCGGTGTTGAGCTTACATGTGTCGGCTTCTGTGAGGACCTGCTCAGCAGCTTCGATCCTCTGACTGGTGCTCTAGGATCTGCTGGCTGCTTGGCTGGAGCAGCGCGAGGCAATGCTTTCGATCTGTGACAATAAAGAAATGAGAATTTGTCGAACATCAGGCCATTCCGATGGTGCAGCTCGGGTTCAACTGCCGGACAAAGTGGCTGCAGCTTTTGCTGCCCCAGCACAAAGCACAGCCAGCAACTTAAGAACGTGCTGAGGAATTCGGGCCTGCGAAGGGAGAGATTGGATAGCAAAGCGTTTCTTCTCGATTGGTCTAGGATGCCCCTTGTGTGGTTTAGCCTGTAAAGTGGTAAGCCTTTGACTGCAGGTTACATGACTACAATGACTGGTCTTATCATGACTACTACCACTATTGTAGTGCTAGGTGCTTCTAGCACTACTAGTACTACCAGTATTACTGCCAATGTTCCTGTAAGGACTACTCTGCTACTACTCGTACTCCTAGTGCTACTACGGCTACCGCTACTGCTACGGTCGACGGCTGCTGCAGCTACCACTGCTACTGCTCTTGCTACTGCTGCTACCACTCGTACTGCTCACACTGAGGCTTTAGAGGCCGCACTTGTGCAAACTGAGGCTTGAGAGACTGCACTTGCTTGTGCAGGCTGCACCTCTTCAGACTGAAGCGTGGAGACTTGCTTGCTACATGAAGCCTTCAAAATCCGCGCCAGCTAGCGAGTTGAGGTTGTTGTTGACCTGTTCTGAAGCCTATGGTTGGTGAGTCGTCAGAGGCTGCAAGCCACCAAGAGCCCATCCTGTTCCCCGTGCTTGTCGTAGGTGATAGTCCTTGATACTTTGTAAAACGACAAGGAGTAAACAAAAGAACACGATAGCCCAGTTTGGGGACAAGGGATTCATAGCGGGGATTTGTATGCAAGTGCCTAGGTCGCAACGTTGACGCCTGAACAGCAGCGCGAGTGGCTTGGCCGAGTTAGCTGTGCTGCAGCTGCAGTGTGCTTTGCAGTGGATTTCACGTCCTTGGCACGTCAGCGGCTTCATATCGAAAGGCAGATGATGCGCGCCGTGCAGGAAGTGGTGGGATTGCAGCCTTTGTGCAGTTATGCCCCGGAGTGTTTTGCTGAGCTTTCGTGTTCGAACGTAGATAGGCCGGAGACCCTTGTCGACATCCAGACACACTGACTGTACGAAGCATGTGGGACAGGAGGACGCCCAGAAAATGCATCAGCAATGCGGCAAGGGAGACGTCGAGGACCCCTTCAAAGGTCTCGAGAAGCCACCTGGCGGCACCAACTCAGTGATCTTGCAGACGGGGAGTTTTCCCAGTCAGACAGATGGCACAAGGTGACACCATGCATCCTGCAAGGTGAGACGACAAGTGATCGAGACCTTACAAGAGCTGCAGCAGACCTGACCCTTTGAAGATCACAGTGATGTCTTAGCTGCAGCTGCTCAATACTTGAATACTGGCTTTTTTGGGGGACGACGCCAATGCAGCCACATCGCAGCTTGCCCAACCCGGCAATCGCTGAAAGTGCCAAGACTCCACTTGTCCAGGCTTTTCCTGAGAGAGGATCTGCGCCTTCCCCCAGCCTGATACCATCCGTCTTTTGCCACCTGTACAAACCACTCCATGAACTGCCAGTCAGACACGGCAAGGCAGCCCATGCTCACGAAGATTTTAGTCCTGTTTGTAGCAGTCAGGGTAATTGCTGAGTGCTTTTTTGCATCTGCCACATGACCCCACGTGGGCCTTATGGGCTGTCTTGCCTTTCTGACTGTGTCATGGCAGGCCTATGCCCTGATGAACGGACGTAGAAAAGCATCGCGTTTGTTCGCGCCTTTCCATAGAATTGTGCCCAGAGTTCTGTCTAGTGCGTTTAGTCTAACATTGAAGTGTCTGCCTCTCTGGGCACGAAGGACAGTGGAGCCGGCGCAGTTTCGCACAAGGGTAGCAGGCGCAATGTCTGGAAACATACGCGACTCACGCTTGCCGTCAGGTGCGGTTTTAGTTTCCCATGTGAGCCTGGCACCCGAATACATGCTGAGACCGTTCCCGACCTGCTCGGATGGTGCTGAGTTCATGGGTCCAGCCGGCTGCAGTGAACTCGAGATGCATTCGTTGCTTTCTTTGGGGCCGGCATCCGTGGGCACTCAGTCACTAGAGCGGCCGATGGCTACGACAGACCTTGCTTCAGTTTCAGTTCATGCCCTATCGGAGCTACTGCGCAGCTCGCGGTTCGGGCAAGGCCACTTGTTCCTAAGGGTGCCTCAGGCGTTTGAATGATTGCTCAATGTCTAACGACGGGGGGGTGCAAGCCTTGCGAGGTCACTTGGTAAGTACAACATGAACAATCGCACGGCATCCCTCTTCGCTTTGAAGCCCATGGCACTGTACAGCCCAGCTGTGAGCTTCTTGCCAGCTCTTCGTGGAAGTCGACATCACATGCTCCATTCGAAAGTCCGTGTGCAACTTCAGTTCAACCGGGCCGTAGACAGCACTGTGTGACTTCAGCTTTGCAGCCGGCTTGTAGCTGAGGCCCAGAGCCTGCCGCTGCTTGACCGAACTGTGGCGTCCCATCTGGCCAAGGCCTTCCGCAAACTGTATATGGGTTCGGGTCTCGCAGATGTGGTGGTGCTGGTCTCTCGCTGGAAGGCTGCTTGAGACCTCGGTCTAGAAAGGGTTTCTGTACGAGGTATGCGTCAGAAAAGGAAGTCTCACCTCTACTACCACTGGGCTCGGACGAGGGGAGGACGGCGCTGGAAAGCTGAGATGGTGAAGTAAATCCTCTCCAGATCTATTGTAGTCTGCATCTCGAAGTGCTTTCAGAAGGGGGGATGGAGAATGGGTCGTTGCTTTGGCAGCTGTTCTGCTGTGATGTTAGCATTCCTCCAAGTAGCCATGGAGCTGTGGGCCCGCCTTTCCCGGTTCTTGCCCTGGGAGGGTGGGGAGAACCCTTTCTTTCTTTAAAGATGTTCGTAACCCTCCGGGAATGTCCACACAGCGAGTGTCAGGTCTTCTCGGCGGACTCCCAAAATGGTGACATTGTGTTTGCCGCTTGACTACCTGCGAGAGAGAGAGAGAGAGAGAGAGAGAGAGAGAGAGAGAGAGAGAGAGAGAGACAGAGAGAGAGAGAGAGAGAGAGCGAGCGCGTTCATCTTGCAGGATTCTTGGTTTGCTTGGATGAATGCTGAGCGCCCAGGTAGGTTCGGACCACGGAAGGCTTGACCTGTTTTACCTGTGCGAGCATGCTACTCAGACTCGGGTGGACTGAGGGTAATAGTCAAAGGCGTGCTTCAGCCTCAGTGACTCAGGCAACGCAGTCCCTTCTTGCACTTCTACAAGTCTCGTTCTGCGATCGTGGCCCTGTCTTACAAGGTCAGGCAGGCTATTCTTGTACTGCACTGACTATGATGGACTATGTCCCGCATCAGCTGCGAGGATTCCTTGATCGGCTTGCGAGAGGCAGAGACATCTGCAGAATGGGAGGCAGCGTCGGGGCCGTCAGCTGTCAGAGTTGCTCGCCAGCCCCATGAGTTCGACTTCTGTTGGAGGCTTTCTTGGACACTCATGCCAATTTCACAAGGGAGATCTTTGAGATGTACGAAGTCCCAGAGCGCATCCTCACTTGGTTCGTGGTCTCCTCGGATGCACGACGATGCCAGAGTGCAGTCGTGCAGTCCTGTCACAACCACTTGTACTCTGAAGCCAGCAATGGCCTTTTCACGGGGACGGGTCGAACCTTCGTCTGAACCGAGCTGTGTCCAGCCGCAAGGGAGTCGAAACTCCAAAGCGTCTCAGGATGTCTACACCTCTATTCGCCACACAGCGCACCCCGCCCTGGATTTGGGAGCTTCGGCCATCGAAGCCTTGGACAAGCTGCGGAGCTGGCATTTGCAGAAGGCCCGGCCCGCACCAGAATAAGTTCGACGACAGGCCACAATAGGCTCAAAGACGGGGATGCTCGATGCTCTACTGTATAGTCTGTACTTCGTGCCATTGCTGAGGGACCCTTGAGGATGTCACCTCACAGAGAAAGAGAGCAAGCAAGACAGACAGACAGACGAAGAGGACACATCATAGATGGACAGGCCTCAGGCAGATGCGGGTCATGCAATACAACTGTGTGCAAACTGCAAACCAGAGATCCGTAGATTCGACCTCTCTATCTTTTTTGTATTTGCTTGTCCATCTTCCTGCTCAGGTCCTACTCACCGCCAATCTTCATGTCCATCTGTCTACACATAGCACGATCAGGAAGCCAAAAATCCACAACTGCCACACAAACGAATAAAACAAACTTGAACAGCTTCGGTCTTCCGCATGTGCTCGCACAGCGAACTTGTACCCCAATATGAACACGCTTACCAGGCTTACCAGACACCCTCACACCCTCAGGCAGACGCAAACGTAAGTATGCAACTCCAAGCATGCAAAGGTCCTGACCTCCATACATGCACGCGGAGTTCGTGCGGTGAGAAGAGTCGTGGAGGGATTGATATACTGTCACCCTCCGTGTGTATTCAGAGGGCAGGACGCAAGCACAGATAGTCAGGTCGATATAATAGTTAATAGGTAACTATGTAGTATAGTGAAGAAAGAGAGAGAGAGAGAGAGAGAGAGAGAGAGAGAGAGAGAGAGAGAGAGACAGACCTGCCCCGGTAGTTTCGCACTGGAGCGACACGGATGACCCGGGTAATGCCTGAAGGATTAGCATGGTCATGGTCTTAGGTTGAAGTGTGCGGCATTGTGGGGGGGTACCAGGCATATCTGGGGGAACGTGGGTATCGCTCATCCCCGGAAGGGGCCTTGAAGACAGACCGCTGCGAACCGTTGTTGGGGTAGGCCTTCGGGCCAGGGTCTCTTCGGAGGCCCACGCCCCTCAGCAAGCAAGCAAGCAAGCAAGCAAGAGACAGGTCAAGATACACCATGCAGGTACTCGTAAAGCATGCGCAGTCTTCAGAGGGCGTTGTGTGATGGTCGTGCGCGGATGCACAGCTTGACGAGGTGCTTGTAGCTTCTCCCGTCAGCAGGCGGCATCGGGTGATTTGTGCACCGTGATTTAACGTTAAGTTCACTGCCAGCCGACTTAGGCTTGTGCACATGTCGATGAAGCGGGTGTCTATGTTCGTAAGCACGCATTGTCAGCACTTGACGAGGCGACATGCTCGAATAGTTTGCGACGATGCCGCTTTGCATGATGAGTCTTGGGTGAAACACTTTTCGTAAATTATCACTCGACGCCTTGCTTTAGCAAGCAGCCGATAAAGTAGACCCCTGCAGCAAACCATCGTGAATTTAGGCTTCCTGACTGACCAGGCTTTTTATTATTCGTTTGTATGGCACAAAATGCTGACATGAGTCTCCCACGCTGCGATGTGCACATGGCGAAGAGCTCTTCGCTCTCTCCGTCGGCTTTAGAAGTTGATGGGCTTCGCTTGGACTCTGAGCTCGCTTCCCCTCAAGCGGAAAGTGCTGCTCTGGGCCATTATTCTCAGCAGACTGGCGAGAGCAGCGTCTGACCTTGCGGCCGCACAGGCGTGTACATCCGAAAAGATCTTCGCGCGGTCAGTGGCGGATGAATGTGGGCCGCCGACCCGCTTGACTCCAACACTCGACTGGACAGCGGTGATCGGAGAAATCTTCGAGGCTCGTAATGCAGTTTTCTGGGAGGGGCCGACTGCAGCACGAGGACAACTGATTAACTTGCTGGCGTTGGTGGCCCAGAGCTTCGAGCTTGCCAGCCAGTGCCCAGCAGCTGTGGCAACTGCCAGCTACAGCCTAGCAGAAGTCATAGCAGCTACGGCAGAAAGCCCTGCGAGCAATGATAATTCACAGCAACTGAAACAGCTGAGTCTGATTCAGTTTGCCTTGGCCATGCTACCGACAAGAGCCCATCGGGAATGCACGCAGTGGCCTCTGCGAGGCCGCGACCTTGCAGCAGCGTTTCAGCAACTGGGTGAGGTCCTCTTCCCGACCGCCGATCCATCACAGCCACCAAAGCTTCATGCCAGCCAGGAACCTGCTATTGCCGTGGTCACAGCGTGCGCGGGTATTCACGCCTCCGGTGCACGTGCCAGGAGCAAGGCGAATCGTCAGCGTTATGCTGCCATGCACGGATATGACCTCCATTTTTTCAACGATGCCCACGAGATTGTAGCGGCGTTTCCGGCAGGAACAAACCTCACCCACACAAATGCTCCTGCGTACTGGCGGGCATATGCCTTGCTGTCCGTTATAGGTTCGTCGAGCCCTTATTCCTGGTTGCTTTGGGTCGATTGCGAAGTTTTCCTCACAGACCTCGACATGCCGGTAACAAGGTTTTTGGCCAAGCATGGAGTTACCAGTGCATCCGCTGCATCGATGCTCGTGTCAGCCAGCAGCCTCGGTGTAGGTCCAGAGGTTCTCCTCCTGCAGAAAAATGACTGGGCACAGAGTTTCCTCAAGAATTGGACGACTCTGCCATCGCCCGGCTTCTTGCACCCTGTCCTGCGAAGCCCTTCGGACGAACGCCATGCCGAACGAGTTGCATTGCAGCATGCCGTTCTTCCCCATTGGAGTGAATGGTTGCAGGGCCGTTCGGCCATGGACTGGAATTCCTTCCAGTGGCCACCTGACATCCGCATTGCCTTGGGCCAGGCTCCCTTCTCTGCACAGGATTCGGCCAGGCACAGGTCTGCAAAGCAGTGGGAATTAGCAGACTTTGCATTGGCCGACGATGACTGCCGTGGTCGAGATGGTCTGCGCAATCATGCTCTGTGTTCCGACAGACTCTTGCAGATCGCAGCTGCGCTCGGCTAAAATATGCGGCAGCGACGCAGGTCTCCAGTGTCTGTAAGGGGATGTCACCTTTGACATACGTACCTAGACAGTATGAAGGATAATTTAACAAGTGCTCCGCCTCGGCTGCTTGACGCTGCTGTGCATTTTGCACAGGGTGCAGCTTCCCAGCCGGTTAACCGACGTCTTCACACCGGAGAGCCTGTTCTTGTGCCTCGGCTGGAGACAGTGGCCTTGGATCAGCTCTCCTCGCGCATTGCTCTAGAAGTCCGAAGCATACTGCATACCTGAACCGTAGCACCATGCCGGACCAGTCCAGAAGAGTTTGCAACATCCGATGACAAGACCACTGGAGTTCCAAGTTGCCACAGCTGAACTCTTGAAGCCATATTGAACTCATCTTCGGTCGCAGCTTAGCTTAGCGTTGAATCGCGTGTGAAACGGGACTCGAAGGTATCTGTGAGCAGAAAAGTCAAACCCTCCCAAATCTCAAATGTCGTTTTGCGGCCACTGGCGAATTATGTTGACAGCCTCTTGAAGGAGTCAAGATCGCCCAAATCCGGTTCGAAGTGCTCACACCAGTATGCAGTCTTGGATGGCAGTGCTTGAGGTTCCCTCGGCCTGGGGTGCGAAACTGTGCCGAGGCAGGCGCTTCTATTGGACCACATTAACTCGGATCTTCCCGCGCGTTCAGTTCCTCACGTAGCTGAATCTTGTTTTGAGGGCCCAGGGGTTGGATGCAGCAGAGATGGTACCAACGAGTGGGGAGAGCGTAATTCTATATACTTCCTCCCAGTCGCAACTCTTTGAAGAACTTTCAACAGTGCTCTTCATGTCAGCGTTGTTTTGTCGAGGCGGGCATCTCATTGGACAACTGTCCATGGCAGGACTTGTTTTGAGGATCTCAGCGCGAGGGAGTTCTAAAGAGGCGAACTCGCATGTGCGCTGTTCGATAAGGCAATCTCATCTACAATGCTGGATCCATTCTCGTCTGGCCTTGAAGCGAGCATCTGGCACCTTGGCCGCTGTGAAGGACACCCGATCCGTTCATCTTTGCGTTGCACCCTCTGAGCTGCTGCAGCCTTAGAACTCCAAGCTGCGAATAAAGCTGGGCACAGCCTGTCTAGTAGCTGCTTCGATTTGGCATGCGCGTGAATCCCTGAGGTCTGACTTTACACGCTCGCGGTACCCGGTTCTTGCTTTCGCGCCGAACCGCTCTGCTGCTGCCGGCTCAGTCTGTATATCGGCCGTGCAAAGGGGATGCATACGTCCCGCATCGCTTAGCGTTGCCTTGGTGGTGGAGGAGGTGATTCGGAAGAGTTGAAGTCCCAGGCTGATTTTCATCTCCCGAGGCCGATCGTTGGCTGCGTCATGGGCTGGATGAGCAGGCCTTCCAAAGCCACTCCGTACTCGGTCTTGGCCCATCGAAGCTTGCGATCAGGAGCGCTTCATGGAGCAGTGCCGTGACTTTGCTCAGAAAGCGATCATAGCGACCCTTCAGGTCATCAACGAGGCCAAGGTTGATTGTTGCTCTAGGACACAGCTCACTTGTGGGCGGAGCTTCCACTTGCGGGGTGGTGCAGCAAGTTCTGGAAAGATGCTTGAACACAGAACTAAAGATCCTGGCCGGCAGGCGCTGGAGCCTGCTGGTTCACGCTGTGCTCGCTTCACAGCTGAGCAGGCGAAGTGCAAAGCCTCTTTGAGCTTGGTAAGGATTCCGGACTCCCGTGCATGGGCTGTTTCATGTGAAGCTTGACCCGTGGAGGCTGTGCTGGAGATTGCATCCTTTGGTTTCAACCCAACCTTCCACACCGATCTCAGATGCTTCAACCGCACTCCCTGACAGGTTTCGGTAAGCCTTCACGCAGCACTGATGTGCCTTGCTGCATGTTCGGAAAGATGGTGTTTATAGTTTATGTCCCAGGAATCGCAACCAGGCCCATGCTGCCCGGAATCCTCACTGATGTGGTGCCCGGCTTACAGCTTCAATGCAAGACTGTCCTACTTGACACTGCCGACATCTGGCAGTAAAGGTTGTTTTCGATGTCCGATGGTTCACGGAGCAGGCTAGGCGGCTCGGTTGCTGCGCGCGCCCTTTTCACTTACGAAGAGCTTTGTGTAGCACAGCCCGGAAGGCAGAGGGGGAGCCTTGGCATCCGACTTTCTCCGGACAGGCCGAAGTTCGGCAGGCGACAACCTACCAGGCACCCACTCCCTGACTTTGCCAAGTCTTTGCTTCGCACGCTTTTCGTGTCACCGGGACCAGGCACACGAGAGTTGCACTCCCGTTGGAGTGAACCCGGAATTCTGCGTGACTCTGCTGCCTAGTCATGCGATCAGAGACCTACTGTAATGTACGCTGGTTTGACTCAGGTATGTGACTTCCAGCGGCATTTGTACGGAATGCCAGAGAAGTCAACAAAAAGTGCAGACCGCCTAATTCGTTAGAGCCCACCCAGGACCTCTGCCCGTTCTCAGGTTTGCTTCCAGGAGTTGCATGCCTTGAAAGCAGTAACTGTGCTGCATCTCCATCTGAGAGTGCCAAAGACATCTCCCTTCATCCAGCAATCTATGTATCTAAAGAGTTCGTCTATCTGTGTATAATTGGATGCAGCCTGCTGGATGCATGCATGCATGTATGCGTGCTTGTGCGCGCGCACACAAACACCACCCTGCTGGGCAGGTGGATGATGCACCCTCAGAGCCCAGCAGCTCGTCGCAGACACCTCAGCAGAGAGCGTGCGCGTCTTGCTCAGCAAGCATTCGATGCCGAGGCCGTCAGAAGTGCAAACACACACACACACACACACAGGCAAACAAAGAACACTCGTCGTCGTGCAAGGACGTCACTGGCTCGAGTGTCGCAGTGCCAGTATGAGTAGATGCAAGAAGCTTGGGTCCAGCCTGTCTGCCGATCATCCGGCCTGTGATCAGAAGCAGAGCTGCAATCAGATGCTTTCTTGTCTGCATTTCGTTTGAGCTGCTGCTGACTTTACCTGCCATAGGCTCCTGCTTGCAATGGATGATGCGAGCCGTCATTGTTGCTGTGTGTCGCTACATATGGCTTCAGACACTCGTAGGACCTTACCCCTGACATCTCTTTCAAAAAGAGACGTTCTTGGGTGATCCGAGTGCATCCATGACGGAGCGTTGGCGTGACATTCTTCATCAGCTTAGCTCTGAACTCGAGCGACAGTCCGCAAAATTGCGTGACCTCGAAATCGAGAACGAGCGGCTACGCGAAGGCAGGCTCTCTGCTTCATGAGTTGGACATGTGCAGCAGTACGAGAATTAGGTAGGCATGACTGCCGCGACAGGTGAAGTTCCATCGATAGCATCTCCAATAACTTCACCTATTTCTCCAAGACCTGATGCTTTGAATGTGCTTGAGGAGAACCAGAACAAGGGCAATCGGAGTGAGTCGTCATACAGCGCAGCATGCCAGTTGTCAGAGGTGAAGCCTTGGACTGGGAACGATGACCGTGACGAGCAAGATGGTACGGCTGGTACCCGGACAAAAACCGGCAGCAGCTGGCCCAGTCGTGTGTAGCTCTGTCTGAGACGCTCTGTTTCAAAGTGTTTGGAGTTTTATACTCGGAGTACCGAGGCAAAGAGAACAACAGCAAGGACACCGGTGGGGAGCTTGAGTCGACCGAGCCGGTACGAGTTTGGGGCTCAATGCAGACCTTCGCGGAGAAAGATCCTGATGCCATCTTGAAGGCCAAGTTTGCACAAATGCGCACGACCCCAACCGCCAACTACGAGAGGAAGCCTTGGTATGTGGTGAACCCACAGAGGAGTAACAAGTTTGCGGCATGGCAGGTGGTCACTATGTGCGCTTTAGCCTTCGTTGTGATTGTTGTCCCGTACCAAGTTGGCCTCCTGGAACTTGTCCAATGGGACCTCCTCCTTACTCTTAGTACGCTCGTGGACATGGTCTTCCTGTGCGACGTATTTCTCCAGTTCGTTACGATGTACCCTCGCACAACTCCGCGAGGTATCGTGTGGGAGCAGAGAATTAGCAAAATCGCTTGGCACTATACGAAGACATGGTTTGCTTTGGACTTTATTACCTTGATCCCGTTTGACGTGTTTGAGCTTACGTTCCAAGCAGATGATGTCGGCCTGGGAAGGGCCAGCAAAGCAATTCGAGCTCTCCGACTTTTGAAGCTCATGCGAATTCTCAAGACCTCAAGATGGCTCCACAGGATTGAGATAGCCATTTCCATTCCCTACCAGCAGTTTGCCTTGTTCCGCTTCTTGCTCATCTTGTGCATGGTTTGCCATTGGCTTGCGTGCATATGGGCTATGACATTGCAGTTGGGCGAACCAGACAAGCCACAGTGGATCAACGACATCGAAGCGATCGACCGTTTCTTCGGTATCGAGACCCGCCAAGATCCTATCCGCACTTACATCAGCTCCCTCTACTTCTGCACCTACACGATGACCTCCGTCGGTTACGGTGACATCGGACCAAAGAGACTTGGCAGACACTGCCAAATGCATGTTCGCGCGTGTCAGCTGGCAGCTCTGTGAATCCTTCTTGCTTTGCTGAGGAACATCATTGAACGTTGCGTGTGCACGCTCATTGTCCTGACGGCGGGATTGTGCTGGGCCTATGTACTGGGAGAAGTCTGTGCGATCGTGAGTGTAGCTTGGAAAGCGCTTAGTCATTGTGTAAAGGATTACGCGATACGCGCTGCTTATCGAGTTTCCACATGTCAGAGCGGAAATTGTTGGTGATGTGGCAAACGAGGACATGAATGCTGAGAGCCAGGGCTTCCGCAAGAAGATGACAGAGCTCAACAGAATGATGAAAGAACAAGGCTTCTAGATCAGCACTTGAGTTCATATTGGTACCATGCGAAGACTGCTGCCTGTACCGTTCTTGATTGCTGACCATTGCACCGCGCACTGCTTCACGACAGTCCAAGGTTTGCCGTACGATCTACGCTGCCGAATGAGGACTTTGGGAAGGGTCGACGAGTTTGGGGTTGGCACTCTTGTTCCCGTGATTCATCGTCGGGCCTTGCGGGCACCATCTTGTCTCCATCTCCTTTGAGCCGCGTCTTCACTCACGACTGCGACCCGATCCGCAGTAGGAAATTTCTTAAAGGAAACAGGGTACATGGTAAGTTGGACGAATGCATAATGCCGTATGGCAGCGACCTGCAGCGACACAGACACATGCAGGTAAGTGGAGTCAAGGCAAGCTCTGCGGGGCAGGGCATTGGTGCGGCGATTGGGCGTTAGGCAGCAGATTCTTTAGCCTTGGGACCACTTGAAGCTATGCCAAGAGATGTCCTGGCGGCTCTTGCCAAAACATCCCAATACTCGTGCACTTCGACGCATTTTTACGGGACATTAGACGGGAAAAGAGAGAGTCATCGCACGAGGGGGGGGGCGAGGGCTGCCAGCAAGCAAGTTCGGGGGCGAGGCCGGGTTCTCCCACTTCTCATTGCCCGCAGCAAACGAGAGAGAGAGAGAGAGAGAGCAAGCAGGGGTTGCAGGGCCCGTCCCTGCACCCCCAAACGCCCGGCAAGGAAGCAAGCAAGAGAGAGCAAGCAAGTCACCTTGCTGAATGCTCGTGTCGTGATCGGAGCAGGTCGGAGCTGAAACTTTCGTGGCAAGGCTATCCGGTGTATCCGGTTTGCTGACATGTCTTACATGTTTCCGAAGGAAGCTCTCCCAAAAGAGCTTGATTCTTCCGAGTTGGCTTGTGCCTTCCACAGGAGCTTCTTCCTGCAGAACCGCCACCAGGCTCTCTACATCACCCGCCAGAAGTTGAGGGAGTCAATGAGCCCCCAGTTGCAGTCGGAGATTAGCACGGCAGTCAACCTTCCGTGGGTCTCGAAGGTGCCATTCCTGGAGAAGTTCATGGATTTTATAGAGTCAGAGATGGCACTTGGAAACGAGACCGATATTCACAGGGCGTGCATCGCCGACGTGTCACGGGAGCTGTCCTGCGGAGCTTTCGCACAGGGAGAGAAGTTCGACAACATGCAGGTGCTGTACATCGTCTCCAAAGGGATCGTTGCACTGAACAACAGGGTTGGCACCAACGGAGCCGTCTGGGGCGAAGACTTCGTCTTGTCCGACATGAGCCTCATTCGAAACGTGAGGGGCTGCGCCCTGACCTACCTTGAAGTGCTCTACCTGACCCGGGAGAAGTTCATGAAAGTCGTGGAGAAGCGGAGACGCACTTGCCCCGAGTTGGCAATCATCGTCAGGCAGTTCACCGTCCGCCTGGCCGTCCGCAGAGGCTTTGTTGCAGCAGCCCGGAAGAAGGAGGAGGAATGGCAAGCGAAACAGTTGGCCATGACAAAGACTGTGTCCTTGAGGTCCAGGCAATCCCATTATGCGCCTCTCCCACCAGAAATTCCAGACACAAAGGCAATCAGGCCAAACGGAAGTTTACCAGGCTCCCTCGAGGATTGACTATCTCCTGAATCTGACAGCCAGCTATCCTCTGATGAATATGACGGCCAATCTTCCTCCGATTGCCCTGATTCATCTGATTCTGACGACCGCCGATTGATAGAGTAGAAGCACAGGACTATAATAGCATTGACAACCAATATTCGTTTCACCTGCACTTGTACCCAACGAGATCATACGATCACCGGGCGCAGCTCGTAGAATGCATGGTCCTTGACACTCACTACCGAGTGCTTTTTGCACTATTCGTCCTACAACCGCACCGCGGGCAAGGCAATTGTCGCACTTGCTCTTACGAAAGCTGTAGAGACCTTGCACTGGCATTACTTGTTTGTCCGACGGAACCCCGACAGCCCGCAGACTTCTGCGACAAAAAGGGTGATGAGAGCCGTTGAAGTTGAAGCCTGCCTTGAAGCTTCATTCAAAGCATGCCACGATCTGCTCTAAGCTTGCCGATCTTCATCTCAGGAGATGTGCGCGACCCGTGGACCTCTGATGTCTGATTCCAGACAGCAGTCCTGGATGAGGGGTCGGCTGTGTAGTTATCTGCTTGTGACACCTGTAGGAATGCGGCCAAAGGAGCCGCGCAGTAATTACTGTGGCTTGATGTTGACTTTCCGGAAGTACTTTCCCCGATTGAACGGCGTAGGATGTGGCCACAATCGCATCACAGCATAGAAGCCCGAGGACGAGAAACATACATGGTGAAGAAGCAGACAGCAAGATCAGGCCTGCATGGAAGTTCACCGCAGCCCCACATTTTCCACAAACTCTGGCCAGAATCCAGGGCTTGCAAGGAAGCTGCAAAAAAAAGCGGGGGGGGGGGGAGGGGGGAAGGTCACATCGCTGTAACAAGCGAAAAGGACCAGGCAGTGCTTCACTGATAAAGTGTGCCGAAATGCACATCACAGCGCAATCAGGTCGGACAGCAAGGCGCGGCGACCGCCAAGTCCCGCGAAAAGCATTGCAGAGAGCCGGCCCCTCACAACAGGGGCACCTAGATCTAGGATCCAGGTTGATCGATGACGCACTGCTGCAGCTACATGGATCTTGCAGCTTTCCATATCTGTATGCGTCACAATACAGGAGCTTCTTTAGGAGCTGTGTATGGGTGCCCAGGTGATCCGCGGAGTGTTGCAGAGAGCCCGCCGAGGAAACTTGCTGTTTTTTTGCTGATCCAAGCCTCGCTACCAAGACATGCAGAGCACTCGTGGCAGTCGAACATGGCCACAGGAGCATTCCTGGAAGCTCTCCGAGGAGTGTCGCAGAGAGCCACGCACAGAGCATCGACGATGAGTGAGAATCTCAGAGTCTCGGAAGGCAGCGCAAAGCGAGAAGCTCTTGGCAAGAAGCCGTTGCCTGCGTGGCTGTGAATGGCTGTAAGGCCAGTCGTGGACCTCTCCGAGTCCGAGGGAGCAGAGGAGGCGCCACTGCCGAGTCGAGCTGAAATGAAACATTGCGGGAAGATCTCTAAACTGAGCAAGGTGCAGCTCGAGAGCGAGAGAGTCCGCCGCAGGACTCAGAAACTGGCCCAGCAATTGCGTATAGTGAGAAATTCGTCGTGTCGCTTCCTGTGCTACCTTCAAGGACGTGCAAAACCTGGTTCAAAGTCAAATGCAGCAGGAATACTTATCTTGAGGCCTAGCCTCAGAGACCTCCATGACCCGAAAGGCTGCGACCCTTGGAACCCTGCTCGCCGGCATAGGCCCTTTTGCCTGTACCAGGATTCCTGAGCATGTAGAAGATGGCACACTATGGCTCAACAGCCTCCTGCAACACGGGTCGTAGCATAGGGCCAGTGATCTTTCCGGCCGAGGTGGGGAACTCGCGGAAGCTCGGGCACGCATCTTCCACAGCTCGGCGTGACTTCTCGACGATTCGTTTCACCAGTCAGTTGTGGCGAGTGGCGTGCTGTGCAAAACAGCTTCCCTGCGCGGTAAACATCCAACCGTGCACTGCGTCCAAGATGTGCCGGAGCCTGCTTCGCTGCGTCATGTGTCTTGACATCTTGAGACAGTATGAGGCGGCTTGCTGTGTGGTTGCACAATGCTGTAGCAGGGTGCCACTGCCCAAAACCCGAATTGGCCCGAACAGGAACTGTCTCACCCAACCTGCGCATCCACACGTTCACTGCGCACAGTAGTACACGTGCGTACAATTTGCTGGCATGAGACATAGCCCCGGTCAATTCTGACACGCGGAGTCTTGCTTGGTTTCGTTACTGCGCCTACCTAGTGTAGAGTTTCCTATCCAAATGCCATCCAAGTCCAAGTCGCCCAAGCGAGGGCTGAAGAAGAGCCTGCACTTCGCTTACATGTGCAGCCAAGCATGTGTGAACCTCATGTCTGCTGTTCCAAGGAGCAAGAGTTCTTTGGTTTTGGCCCCGGCGCTGTCAGCAGATGGGACGTAAAACGCAATGTGCGCCTGTGAGGCGAGCTCTTTGTCTACGTACTCTGGCGAGGATGACGAGCTCAGACCGAATAAGGCGCCGTTGAGCGTTTTTCGGCTCGATGCGCACATGTGATGAACCTTGACTCCACAAGTGTGGAATAGGTGAAAATGCTGAAGGCAAAGACGCGCCTGCAAACTGCCAGGAGAGAACGCAGAAGCCAGATTCCCGAGCCCAGAGATGGGAGGCACTGTCACAACACGATTGAGGTTTTGCCAAAGAAGATGCATGCAGGGAAGGAGTTGCTTGACTCGTGCCTTCTTCATACTCGCCATCTCAAGCCGACTGCAGACGTAGTGCGCCATGAGAAGATCCAAGCACAACCAAGTCCTTTGCACATAGCGTAGGCATCGCCAGATGCTATGGGAAAGACAGAACGGGAGCGTGCCTCGCTGCCAGTTGCCAGAGTTGCCATGCTGCCGCGACTGCTTTCACGTCGCTGGGCAGCCGGAAGCGCCCTCGCAGGAAGCACTATGGTGGGGATGGGTCTCACCCCCACGAAGCCCAGCTGAACTCGAAGCTGATGGTTGCCTGGTTGTCATCAGGACTCCGACGAAATCCTTCAAATCTCCTTCCGCTCAGGCTGTTCATGCCAGAAGCCGAGAGAAGCAGCTCCTGTCATCATCCTGGACTATGCGCTGTGGTCACAGCAGAGCACGTTCGGGCACTCGAGTCCCAGGCCGGGGCAGGGTGCCGGGCTCGCAGGGTTCTGCCTTGAGCAGCTTGGGGTCATGCCGAGCCGAGCTGGGCACAACGACGACATGTATGCTCTGGGTTGTTGGCATGGTGGACCACCATGCCCTTTGAGTCAGTTTGGATGGCAGGGCTTTGTCTTCAGCCGGAAGGGCACCCGAATCGAGTATTAGGAGGTCTGATTGTTGGAGGTGCTTTGGGAATCAGAACAGTCCAGCTCATCCCTACTGTGACCATGCTTCGTGTTGATCCTGTTTCGTCTTGGGATTCGCAGCGAGGAGGGTGACGTTGCCTGCGCCTCTGTTATTGTGACCCGAGTCAGAACCCTCACAGAAGGGGCCACAGCCCTAATTTCAAAATGATGAACGCTTCGAGCTGCACAGGGCAGAAGTGATGTTGGTAAATCGACGGCCTTGGTGGAGCACACCTAGAACTGTTTCAGGTATGGCGATGCCGGCACTCTTGTTTTTTGGATTCCCCTTGTAGCACAGGAATAGAGGATGATCGAAGCCCAAGCCTTCCTCAGGCTTTCGTGGTAATTGAGGGCGCAGTGCAGCAAGCGCTTGCCTCGGCCATCCTTCTCGGGTGCCCTGGTATATTCCCAAGACGGCCGCGACCATGCGAGTGAGGTCTTAGGGGCTGCGGCTCTCGAAGATGCCCGGCAGCGGGCGGCCAAGAGCTTGGCCGCAGGCCACTTCCTGGCATCCAGCAATCGTGGCCAGTGCTTCAGCTTGCAAAGTGGAACCGTGCCCTGCCACGCTCCCAGCAACTTCAAGCTCCGAGGAAGGTCCGAGATGACATCGTGCTTTGGATCTCCAGCGCTGATGAGACCACAGCAGGAGGTGCTGCGAGTGTCCAGAGTCCAGCATGCAATTTTATTTAACAAGAGCCAAGCCGGGTCCATCAGGCCTGGCGCAGTGTGCAGAGCTGCTGCGCGGTGTGGCATCTGCCGTGGAGCAGCATGGCTACAGGGGCTCGAGGTCACATGGGGTTCCCTTGCTTCTACAGCTTAGCTGCTTCAGAGCAGGATCTGCTGCTCTCGGCTATGCAAGGCCGCGTTGGCGGGGGAATCTACTCGAGCCTAGCTCAGGTTGTCTACATTCACTGCAACAGAGTTTCGGGGCCTGCAGTTTGTAGGACTGAATGGACTGACCTACTCATGTTGACCCGTTTGTTCCCTGACAGACATCTGGATTGCAATTTTCAGTCGATGGCTGAACTGGGCGTGTTGGGCTGGCTGCGTGCAAGCGGCAGCCGCTCCCGAGTGCTCACGGCCATGGTGTATCTGAACGATCCGCACTGGACAGGTGCGCCTTGGCCTTCCACTTTTACGCAACGCTTCACGGAATTGTGCTAGCCTTGAAGACCCATGAGGCGCAGAAGGCGGCGAACTTCGAGTCTACCACGGCATGCGGTGGTTCGATGCGGAAGACCGTGCAGGCCAGTGGCGAGATTGTACTGACATCTTGCCACGGGGTGGGACTCTGGTGATCTTCGACTCGCGCTTTGTACAACACCAAGTGCTTCCGCCTCGTGGGCGCAACAGGCCAGCTTCTCTTATTAGCGTGGGAGGCTAAACCCCGTCGCCTCCTTTTCTCAGCTTGAGAGAGCAGCTTTATCTTTCCTAGTTCTGCTTGTATGCTCTCACCAACACGTGTGAGACAAGCGACTCTTTGAGCCGCTCCTTCGTAGGAGATGATCTTAAGGTATACACTTTCTCTGTGGCCACTACAACCTGAGCATCCACAGACTCGTTCCACTTTAGACTCCGTTAGACCTCACCTCCTCAGCTGGGATAAGCTGGGGCTTTCAACTGCGCCAGAGACAAACAGCCCTTGATCGCATGGCCTTCCAAGGATTACGCCTGTGAGAGAGCGACAGAGATGAATAAATAGCCGGCGAGCGAGAGAGGGAGGAACAGAGGGCAATAGCAACGAAGACTTGACTTCTCTGCTGGACGCTGAGATTTTAGAAAATCAAGCTTCCATGTGTTTCCACCTTGAGGTATGCGCTGACCTGTTGGATCCTGGGCCGTAGTGACGGCACTCGACACGCTTTTTGACGCTCTGCCACCTCCTGTCACGGATCAACGACAGATTCCCTGCACACCGATCAGCCGATGCTCCAGCAAACCAGTTGAGCGGTGGAAGATCTCGCGCAGGTCCAACACGTAGTCTGGTTGGAACCCGCGTGGCATCATGGGAGTGTACCTCAAAAGAGCCTGTCGTGTCCAACCGGGACGAGTTCTCAGCCAGCGGTCCAGCCAAGCTCTTGCATCTCACGTTAGCTCTGGGTCGACGCGCGAAGTGGATTGACAGAGTGATTGACCATGGCAAGATGTCTTTCTGCAGCGTCTCGTCGGTGAATCTGCAGCCTGCTGCACTTGTTGCAATCCTGTCGGGGCACGTTGGAGCCTCTGTCATGTCCTTCAGAACCTGGCAAGGTTTCTTCAGCATCAACATCGAGATCCTAATCGTTTCTTCGGATTGGGTCAAACAGAGCAGATTGGCGTGTGCATTGCCACCGCATCTGAACAATTGGGCTGCTTGCGGCAGAAGATGGCAGAAGCAGGTGCCCTCTTGAAGAGACATTTGTCCACATTCTTCGTTGTGGTGCCGACGGCCGCAGAAAAGCAGCACCTTCCGTGCTGGTAGCGAAGCAGGAAAGCACTTCTGACTCATGAAGTCTTGGCAGGCAGCGCCAGTTACGCCCACGTCTTGGAAGGAAGTCCTGCTTTGTCAGCCACTGCGCAATGAACACAGTGCAAGCTTCAAGGTACATCAAATACGACGGGCCGCGGCCAGATGAGGAGTTCCTGCAGGCCCGGACTGTCTGATGCCGCCGCATCCTGTCACTATAGTCACTAGTCTACTTGAAATCTTGCGCTGGGCAGTATGCCATCGGCCAGAGCCGAAGCGGGAGTTTTCTCTATCCACAGGCATCCATCCTTCTAGTATAAGGTCCCCATGCTGTAAAGTGAAGACCAGTGTCTCGGAGCTGGTCCCAAGCAATTTCAGCATTTCACGGAAGTTTCGCTGTTTGACCAGTCAGGGTGTGAGACAATAGTCTGGAGAGAGTTGGTGAATCTTGTGTTGGCTTTAACAGTTCCGCTCGCCCCACAGAACCCCAGGCCGTCCGGGTCGAAATGGAGGAGGGCGCCCATTCCATGAGGCGTGCGCAGGAGTCGGTGCCGTCTGCCATGACCTGAAAAGGTGAAACCGAGGGGTGTGGGCAGCTGAGACTCAGACTTGTTCGGGTGTGTTGTACTCACTAATTAAGGTGTATGGTCTGCAGCTGGCGGGCAAGGCAACTGAGCAAGTGAGCACATCATCAAGCGACTTATCAGGGCCCTTCTCCCGTCGCTTTTTGCGGAAGTCTGCACTGAGTCGCTGTCCCGTCCTCCGTTAGGGCCGCCGGCTGCAGAAAGAAGAGCCAGTTGCATTGGAGCGTCTCGTGGCAGTGGACCGGCTTTTGGGTATGTTTTGGGAGACGGCTTGGCAGTGTCGCGCTGGTGCCAGAAGACAATGTCTCGTTGGTGTTTGTGGCGGGCAGGATGTGAACCAGCGCAGTATCGATGGCAGCCGTCTCAGAATTCGAGCAGTACCGCGATGATTCTCAGCACCCCTGCATCCGCCGAGCCTTCACACCAAGTCTCAGGCTACACTTCGCTGCATGTGGCGACAGCAGCAGGTGGTTGTGTGGTTTCACACGAGCTTGCTATGTAATCACGTCATGGTACGATCGCTGCCGCCTCGCTACTACTGTAGCTGCTTCTTCCTGTCGAGGCAACGCCGAGATGGTGGCTTTGCTGCTCGAGGCCTTTTGGAGTGCCAAGTGCCCCGAAAGTTCCACTGGAGCAGCTTCGTCTGACTTGCCAGTCTCGAGCAGATGTCTCACTCTGCACGGTTGGCAGCCAAGTGCTTTCCAACCGCGACGTTCCAGCCACATTTGGTACAGAAGTCTGGGCATTTGCCCTTTCCAGGTCTACCGATCAGAGCTGCCTCTCCATTTTGCTGCTCAGGCTTCACAAAATCTGAAAGTGCCTCAGAGCTTGAGAGAGCAAGACGCGGGAAAGCCTCAGACTCGGTCTGGCAGGGCGGCTATGACATTGTATTGCGCCTTCTCGCCGGGATCTCAAACGTGCCACATCCGTACACCTTTTGATATAAATTCAGTCTGTCCGATATTCTTCATGCTGATCGTGCCTGTGCCGCCTGTGTCTCCCCCAAACGATATCAGTACAGTCTGAAGACAAACTGGCTCGTTACTTTGCCAGCATGCGCGCAGGCAGCCCTGTCATTCTCGTGTCCGGCAGCTGCCATGACGACAGCACTGTACCTGACTTCCAAGCCTATCTAGCCATCTAGCCAAGAGAGATCCGAACCGGGCCGAGAGATCCAGGCAACACCGGCAAGAAACTCACACATGCGCCAGAGCTCTTAAACAGTAGCAAGCTCAGCCGACACGAAGCCGTGCCTCCCCAGCGAGTGGTGAGTCGAAACAGAAGCAACGCACAACTAATTGGTAAAAATGCCGTTCCATCGAGCACAGCGCTCACTCATGGGATTCTGTGCACTTTGGTGACCGGTTGCTCGTGTTCTTTTGCCATGCTGCATGCCCGACAGCTCTAAGTTCCAACCCAACGAAATGTCTCATCCGAACACGAATGCCAGGCACATGACCGGGCTTTCCAATTTTCTGCCTCCGCTGTTCGTTAAGAGTGAGAGTTGAAGTGGCGACTACATAGTTTAAAGTTTAAAGTGCTTGAGAGTAGTGCATACGACAGATACAGATACGGATAACAGATAACCGTGTATGAAACTGGTACTCGGTGTTGACGAGGCTTGTTCCCAGAGCTAGCAATTAAACAGCGCACTCGAGTGTTTTTGGGAAGTGTATTTGGGCTTCTTTACTTGACCTTTTTGTTTCACTGTACTGCTTAATTGGGTATCACTTTGCCACCAACGGGATCCGAAAGACGTCAAGAGACCACCACCAGCTTCGTTACAAGATTTCGTGGCAGAGCAGGTGTTCCTGGACTTGTGGTGCAGTCGAGTTCTGCGCGTTTAGATTCCGGCTGATGAGACATTGAATAAGTTGACCCGTTTGTGTGGGAGTTGGAGCTCCGAGCGGCAGCATCAGCAACCTAACAGAGTGACGCCTCGTTTGTTGAAATGGTGGTGGACGACGACGGGCTGCTGGTCGACCAGACCGCGGTGAGTGCTCGCACCTCTGCAAGACTCCTGCTGGTGCGTCGCAAGTATAGATTCCGACACCGTGGAAGTACCGGAGATTGCATGAGCAACAGACATTTTTGGAGCGTTGCTGGTATTGTTCGTGACCCTTAGTTCAGTGCGCTTTATCGCTTGCCTCCGCCTGCGATTTGGGATGCTCCACCTTCTCCAAAGCTACAGTAGGAAGGTCCATACTCCAGGCGGCGACAATTGAGGCAGAAAGAGGTTGCCGTCACCACGCCTGAGACCTTGAGACTCAGGCAGAGCCGACGAAAGCACGAGGCAAGGCCGCCTTCGCTTCTGCCGCCTGTAGCTTTTGTGAGAGTGTCGTCATGTTATGGTAGCCACGTCGGCGTAGGGAGAAGACGGTTCAGTAAAGGGGGCCTAAGGTGGAAATGAGAAGAAACATCAGAGAGGCCTTCTGGATGTTGGCAACGTCACTGGCTGGAACGCTCTGCACCTGGCAGTGGCAGCACAGCACCACGGCGCAGAGACCTGAGAGAGAGAAGCAAGCAGGACGCGAGTATGCCGTGTAGCTGCACAGCAGTCGATGCTGAACAAGTTTGACCCCGGTGAGTGGCAGCCGCTTCGGCTCACTTTCTGGATCATCTTACTGCCACCAGCCCATCTCGCTGGTTTCCCAAACGCTGCTGAACTTCAGGACAAATCAACCTGCAAGTTGCTCCGGTCACGAAGCTTCTCAGAAGCTGGCCATTGGTTTTTCGCCCAGGAGCTTGCCAGCTGATCCGATTGCGGATGATCACATGGCCATTGCAATGGCAAGGGCTTCATCTCCTATTGCTGCTGCCTGCGGCCATTGGCGCACCTTTGCATGGACCGTGCCAGGACCCAAGCTCGCTATTCGTGACCCTTCATCCCTGAGGATCCCTGAAGTAAGGCCATAGCTGACTATAGCTGGGGACCCACCGGCGTGTTACACAATACGTCGCCAAGCGCTAATTAGGATTCGCCGACCTGAATGGAACCGACCCGTCTACAAGCCTTCGTGTGCATGAAGCATTCGCACCCGAAGCGAAACCATTGCCTAGTCGATCCGGAGTTTCTAGCATGCGATTAGCAACTTTGGATTCGTGCGGCGAGCCAGCAACTGCGATCGCAGTTTGGGTGTTCTCTACAAGACTGCTGCAAAGGTTCATGCGAAATCAGGTCTGCAGCCTCTGTTTTTGTCATAGCAACCCCTTCGGAAGCCACGGTTCACTTCGACATTTTCAGCTTGCTGGCGTTGTCTCTTGCGCACGGGGAGGATTTTTCTGAGCTGAGGTGAGATGCAACCGCTTCCCAGGCCGCAGAGGCCCTCTGGCAATATCTGGGGCTTCAGGGTTCACGTGTCCCTTCGGCGGCCTCGCTTCCTGTTTGGCTTGGCCCTCCATGCAGACTGCCCTTGGTTGGCTACCTGTGCTTAGCTGCGTTTAAGCATGATCGTCCTCGGCGCTGGGGCACAATTTCTCGTGCATGTTTTGACTCACAAGCCACAATGATTGCCGTATAGCAAGGCGAAGCGGCGAAGACAATCACTCGGCAGTTGCTTTGGCTTTGAACCGCCTGCAGGTCTCTCAGTGAGGCGGGACATTGCATCGGAAATCCCCAGGCGGCATCCAGTTTGGGGCGTTACCTCATGCAAGTAAAGAGCACGGCGACCTCGGCCGTGGATCCTCGGCTGCAAGCGGAGGCCCACAGCTGTCGCCGAGCTTGCGCCATCCTGCGTCCTGCGCCACACTGAGTCCGTCCTCCGTGACATGCAGAATCTGCTCGCCAACGCGGCCACAAGGAAGCCGTTGAACTGGCGGGCAACCCGCAAGTTTCCGGCAATGCCCACGCGCCACCCCAGCCGCTGCAGTGAGATCGGTCGACATTTTCCAGAGTTGGTGTCCAGAGACTCGGCCAGAGGAGCACGTCGAAGCCGAGGGAGTCCAGAAAGTGTGGGGTTGCTCGCTAAGGAAGCGAGGACGTGTTGAACACGTACGAAACTTATGCATGCCAAACGGCCGCAGACACCTTCCTTGTGGATCCTTCTCTGCCTTTGACGGCTGAGCTGGCGGAGCTGAGAGCTGGATGCATCAACGCGCGCCCCAGCCGCAGCGGCATGTTTAGCTGACCATGCTGACCTGACCACACCCTGTGTAAACTTATGTATTAATGTACTGTATGCATCTGTACATTGCACACTCGATGAATTCAAGCGACGCATGGCGCACCGAGGTATCCATGGCCACAGCTTCGGCTTGCGGTGAATACGACACACGCAGAGTCCCTGTACAGGCCACAGAATAGGATGAACAGGGCAGGTGACTGTGGATAGCCGGTGAGAGCAGAAGAGCACTTGGCATTTGCAAGGAGTCTTTGTGGCCACACTGAAGTTTGTAAACCAGCCTACCGCTGCAGGCAATGCGACAGTGCTTGCCGAGCAGATGAAGATTGGAGTCAGCTCGGAGTGGTCGAAGTGGACTCGGATCTGCTGCTTGGAACACGCTCCAGGATTCAGGATAAAGCTCCTTCTCACGCAGGGTGCCTAATGTTTGTTCTTAAAGTCGCGTCTCTCTTCTCGCTGCTCTTGGACGAACTATCTGCACCTCTCATAACGTTTATAGCACCCCTGCCCGTATTGAAGCCGCCATCGTACTCAACGATGAGTGCTTGGAACGCAGGTTGGACGCGTTTCATCCGAGGCTTGTGATTCCCAGCCTGCGCTTTCCTGCGGGGCACCTTGGCTCCAAATCACTTCTTCACCTGCTCAGTATGAAAACCCACAGGCAGCAGCATGTGGGAGTTTCCGAAAATTAGGGGTACCTGATTTTGGGGGTCCTTATAATCGGGATCCTCGTCCTGTGCAGCGGATCAATGAAGAGCAATACCATTTTTGCACATCTGAGGATGGCTTACCAGCACACACTGCTGGACTTCGTGCCGCAAGCATGGACAGCTTTGGACACCGTCAGGAACTCTTCCAAGAAGCTCGGAAAGCTTATACATGAGCCCGTCCAGACATCGGTGAAGCTCTGCTAGTTCTACTTGTGTAGTATGCACCCGCGGCAATTCCAAGAGCCGAGGAAGATCTTGACTCACCATCCAATCCAAACGGAGTTCCTCCAACTCCTTGGAGTCGACAAAGCCTCCTGCCTTCAGATTCTTTGCATTCAGTGCGGGGCCTGGGCCTTGTGGCCCTTGGCATCCGGGAGTCCCCAGCCGAAATGGCCAAGGCCAACATCTTCGAAATCCCCTTCCCTGATCAAAACGGCTCTGGGCTTCTTGTCTGCGTGGCTCCGAGCCGCACTATGCACCTTTGGCGGGTCTCTGACGATGGGAATCCTCTACCGACCTTCGCCTTTGGAGATCGCGCCCGCGGCAGCAAACGTAGAGAGATGAGAAGTCATGTGTGGCAACCTATTACAGACGTATATAGCAGGGTGTGAGGACCAGAGTTGGAAAGTTGAGGCAGACCTGACGCAGACCTGTGGCACCGAATGATCAATTGGCAGGCCGTTGAGTTGTCGTTTGTGTATGTCCGGGCAGTTGCCGGGTACTGAGATGCTGTGGTGAGTTTAGCGCGTCTTGGGCACAGGTCGGGCCTGAGATGGCTCAAGCGATCGCAGAGCGGGCTGGCATGGAGGAAGTTGCATTGTGTTCCTCAACCCCCCTTGCCGAGCGCAAATCACGAAACAGCTGGGTTGCTCGAGCTGCTCGGGCCCGGAAAGGGTCTCGGACGCCCCCGATGAAGGCTCCACACCTGCAGGTGTCAGGTATAGCCAAGTGGGAGTTAGCTCCACAAGACGTGACACAAAAGTTTGCAGAGCATGAGAACGATCTCGGCAACAGAATTAAGATGATGGAACACTTTGATGGTACTGCGGTGCGACTTTGTCAGCTGGGCGGGTGGGAAAAATGGTAATGCTACAGAGACAGATGGACACGCTAGAAGTCCTCATTCGCGGAATCATTTTACATTACATTCGATTTCGCGTGAGCTCCCATACACAACAACGGCTTTCTGTTTGTCTTTCTAGGCGAGTCCCACCGCAACAACAGAGGACCTTGCATCGTTGCCGGCACGGGTGATTTTCTTGCAGCGCTGCACTGCCCGCCGTCCAATCATCAACGAACAGATGGCATTGGCAACTGCAAGCCGGGTGACCGGTCTGCACAGCCCCAAGGATGTCACAGCCACTGTCTCAACGTGCTAAAGTTACTGCATTTCTTCCACAGTGGCTGCAGAAATGCAGGTGATAGCAGAGTTGCATGGTGCCAGAGCCTGTTGGCGTTTGCCGATTGCATCCTGAGCGAGGTATTGCTGGAATCGAATCGTACAGAAGAGCTGGTGTCAATCTGCCCAGGCCGGGCAATTCGTTGTGGTAGTGGCAGGACAGCTGACACGACCAATCCGAAGTTAGTACGTCAGGCCGCCTGGACGCCGTGGACCAAGTCCGAGAGGCACACATCTTCTGAGAGCGCTTGTAGTGCTCTATATTAATATATGGAGAAATTTGAAGGTTTGGCGGGGTCTTGCGCAGGGGTTCGTGATGACAAGTTGGCTGCCAGTGCCTGCGATTGATGCTCTCTTCAGGTTCGATCAGCGCGCCTGGTGCTGGCAGAGCATGGGGGAGCACTGGCCAATGCAATGTTCGTCAAATCGGATGCAGGCCGGAAGCACGTGGATCAAGTATAGCATGTGACCATGTGACGGACTTGGACCCTTTTACAAGTAGCGCCAGTGTGCCGGACAACTTTCGGCGCTTGGCTGCCAGATTTCCCCTGCAAAGTGTGCGGACGATGGAGCCAGGTGTCATTGAATTCGTCGGAAGCGCAGAAGCCCAAGCCGGACTGCCAGGCAAGACTTGCAGACTGTGTTATTTGGATGTCGTTAGGCTTGACGGCGTGCCTGCACCTGCCATAGCCTGCCATCCTAGCCGGAGCTACAGGATACTGGCCGCCGTACAAGAGATGCTCGGCCGCAGCTAAGAGCACACTGGTAGAAATCAGAAAGATGACAGTGAAAAGCTTGCCGCATCCCGATGACGGAGGCTTCTGGTACGGCGGGTCTGCTGCAAGCATGAAGTTCTACAGGGTGTCTCAGCTACTGTTAAGTTAACTGCGGTGCGGTGTAAGCACAGCTTCAACGCTACCTTGCATGTCCTATTTGGCTTGGTATCAGGCTGTGCAATACGAGCCAGATTCTGCTGGGGCCTGGCACATTCGGCTGGATGACCTTGAGGAAGCTCTTCACCAGTGGATCGCGCAGGAACATCGACAGATGCTCGGCGGGAAGGTAATGCATGCCCCTTTGCCAGATTTCTGCTTGAATTTTCGCTCCAACTATGTACAAGTACGATCAGAATTTCCCCTCTTGACGACTGTGGTTGTCTTACTGCTTTGCTGACTTAGCCCGTTCCTGGTTCCAATCCTATCGTCTTGTGGGACAGTCGTGTTGCCCAGAGCGAGGCCGCCGCCTCCCACACGGTCCAGCCTTTGATTCGAGCTCTTGCGCTTGAAGACCCGCACAGGCCTGTGGGCACAGGCCTGGTACTAGGCTTGTCCTCGCGGCCGTCCGCGAAGTGCCCGTCGAGCGAGAGGGTTTCACCCGTTTTGAAACGGCTGTGCGCAGTGCCATGGCGCCCTTTTTTGTGCACCGCGCTAAACTCCCGCCTGGCCTCAAGGCTTCTGAGCTGTGTCAGATCCGCCTAGTCTTCCACTGAGCGAATTCTCCACGGACGCCAGGCTGCCTTTCTGAGCTCAGCGTCAGAAGGCTTGCATGCAATGATATAGTCGTCCCGGAAACAGAGCTCAACACGGCAGAGCGCCCGAGTTAGAGGTCGCCGATCACAGAGCCGACTCACAGCGGTGGCATTCCTTGAACGAGTTTACAACCACAAGAAAGCTGCGAGACTTCAAAAGGACAGGTACTGCCAACAGTTTGTATACATCAGCATGATGCGTTCAGAGTAGCTCCCCCGGACTGACAAGGATCCACCCCACCGATTTGAAAGCACACGGCTTCATGTATGACCGTCTCCAAGGCAATGCATTTCCTGCTCAGGCAGGATTTGAGTTTTCGAGTGTGAAAGTTCTTCGCAATTCTCACGGTCTCGCCCAGCCCATATTCCATTTGTGCAGTTGTCGTGCAAGCACTGCAGGTACGGTGCCAACATCAACTCCCGGAATGAATTGTTGGGAGGCGCCAGCCCGGAGTGTGCAAATGCTCGTGTGGGCCGATGATGTGGACTAATTCAGCAGGAGCCCAAAGAGTAGTTCGGACCGCTTGTTTGCGAGGTGGCACGGCCTTGCATGTTGCGCCTGTGGCTCAGAGCTTCCCACGTGCAGCTGCATGTAACGCAGGTTCCGTGGGTTGATAATCGGTCTCCAAAATGCACGAAGGTCACGCATGGCATGGTTTGAAGGCATGGAAGCCCTTCTGGACCGAGATGTAAGCAGCTTAGCAAAGACGTCTCGCTGTCAGAGCTGGCAATGACAGAAATACTTCAGGCCGACCCAAATGCCACAGACCGTGTGCAGCAAGCACCTCTGCATGGCGCAGCACGGAGGGCTATGAGCTCAGGTTTTTCAGAACTGGTCATCACACCATGAAATTAAGTTCTGTTGCAGGCCGATCCTCGCGCGGTTTCGCTTTTGCTCCGAAATCGAGCTAACGTCAGCGCACCAGGCTTGATTCGACCTCTTGCAGCATGACTGACGAAATCGAAACAACTCTCGTTGAAACATCATCGCCCGACCTTGGCCTACCATGCTTAGCCATGTTTTTACTGCTTCCTGACCTCGACCCTGTTCAGGCCCTGACAACAAGAGAGCAGTAGATATCGCCGCGGCCCAAGGAGACTTGTCTTGCGACCTCCCGCTTCAGCTCGTCTGCCTTTGCTCGGACACTTGCTGAGGTGCCTTGGGATCATCCCAGCAGGTATCTCAGACTGGGACAGGAACATTGCAGCATAGCTCATACAGATCCATTAGCTCAGGCGCAGACCCCAATAGCAACCTAAAGCCGCTACTCTGTCTGGCTTCAGCTTCTGCGTTCGTTGTGTATTCGGGTATGTCTCCCCTAAGACTTAGACTTAAACCCTTGCTGTGCCCTCGGCAAACGTGGGTGGGTGAATGCGGATGCATCTGAATCTCTATGTCAATCCGCATGTATGCATGTTGCAAACCAACACATGAGACTTGAGTGTGACAACGGCCAAGCATGGCGTAGCTCCACCTGGAAAACTATCAGGAAACAACACTCAGCAAAATACCACGACACCGACCGTGAGACCGACCCAAACACTGACCGGACCGGCAGGCGACTGGGACACCAAATCAGACACCGCCCACCGACCGGACACGACCCACTGGGACACCGACCGGGACCACCCACCGGTATAGCTCAACACCGACCCAAACATAGACTGCGAGAACGACCGGACACGGAATACGACCACCACGACACAACCGGAACAACGACTAAGACATGACCCGGAGACTGACCGAGACAAGGACACGGTTCGCGACCGCCAAAACACGACCGGGTCACCAGCCGGCAGACGCTTGGATGCTTTCTTTCTCCAACATCCAGGTCGCCACGACTTGGAAATTAAGTGATGGGGCCCCAAACTGGCTATTCGGGAATTACGGCAGCGAAAGTAGACAAGGCTGAACATGGCCGTGGCCTTTCATTGCGCGATCTCCTTTTGCTTCACCTGCTTGGCGTTGTGAAATGTTGGGAGTTGGGAGTCATGCTTTTCTGCTTTGCTAAGATCGGGAGAGAGTGACGCTCATGCTTCAAGCGTATGCTCGGCCTCCCCCGGCGCAAACACGCAGCGTGTGCCCCCCAGACATCGTTGATTGCAGTTACTGGTAGGTAGCGGCTGCTCGGAGACCTAATTGACGGTTGCAATATCATTGTTCACTGTTGATGCTATGCTGTTCAGAGCCCCTCGGAGTTGCTATTGGCAGCTAAGGATGGGAATTTCCACCTCTAGAAGCCCACCACGTCGGATGTGCATCCGGAATGGGTTGCAGAATGTTGCAGAATTCGCAGCCGAAACGTTTCACTTAGATATTGCTTAAGGCAAGATTTTCCCGTGTGGCTGTCAAAGAAGCCATTGCGCAACGAGTACCATACTGTAGGCTTCATGCGAGCAGAATTGCTGCAGTGGCAAGGGCACGACGTGAGCAAGCACGTGGCTAACAGGGCTTGCTTGCACAGCTTCGCCCTGCTTTGTGCACAACTCCTTGGGGAGCCTTATTCAGTAATCTGTGCTGCTTGGTGCCGAAGCTTTTCACTCGAGCACTGGCACTCGTGCTTCGCAAGGCACAGGCCCGAACCTCCAAGCACAGATTTCATGGGCTTCATGGGCTTTCATGTCCCCCTACTTTGGAGGCCTCTGCTCTCCATGGCCGGGCGGCGGTCAGGCCAGCGCGGCCCACGATGGAGCCCTACGACGCATTTTCCTTGCCTGACTTGTCCGCACGAGGAGATGTCCGACTTTGAGCCGGTCACACCCGGGCCGGCCTTTCAGGTGTGGACGGGCAGGAGGAGGAGGAGGAGTGAGGAAAGGAGGAAGGACTGCGTGAAGGTTTCGAGTAGCCTTCGACGCGAATTGACTTGCTGTCATAGGCGGAGTGGGCCAAGTGGCAGAAACAGCTACGTGAATGGCGCCAAGCTTACGATGATGCTCGGCGAGTTGGATCCGCAGCCTGTGCACTGTAGGCGAGTATTGAACGGGACATGTGAAAGTAAGCATCTGCTGCAGTATTGCACTCGCCTGTCAGTGAGGAGTGGCGCCAAGTGCTGCAGCAGCTTCAGGAGTGGGATGAGAAGGCGAGGTGCAGCACATTGCAGCACCGACACTAAAGTTGAACTTATGCTGAGCAGCGCTTTCCATTCGAGTGGTGCGGCGGACTCGCTTCAAGTCCAGGAGAGCAAAGGAATACAGCTCCCCTCCATTGATCCCAACTTTGATGTCTTCGGCGTGGAGAACATCCTGGATATTGGAGAGGGCGAGCCTCTCTTCGGGAATTTCGAATACGAGGCAAGCAGACAAATGCAAGAGCAGCGTGTGAAGTAGTCTTTACAAAGCGGGCTGCATTCCTAGGACTGGCTTCTCCTCAGCACCAGGGCGGTCCCGGCGACGTTTTCCGCATCAGGCGGAGCAATTTGGCATTTTGCTGCCGAAGCCTTGGCAGGTGGAGCTGCACTTGCTGGTACACCACTTCCGCGACGACACTGGCGGTGCAGTCTTGGACGAGCCACTTGTTCAAGTCAGTTATAGAGCGACGGCCTCAAAAGTGGCAGCTGTGAGGTCAAACCTGGCTCATTACTACAAATGCTACTTCAAAAGGAACTTCAAGCCTGAAGACTTTGCAGTCCGGCCCTCGGGCAGCGGCAGAAGCATCTTGCGAGACATCAGGACGGGTGTTTTGAAGCTGCAGCACCCCGGGACGGCTTGAAAAGACAGCTGCCAGAACGTAGATACCGGAGCCTTGCTTCCGGCTGCTCTGTACCCCTCCGAGCCATGGGCTGTCAGGGCAGCAAGCCTTCAGCAGAAGCACCGAACCTCAGCGAGCTCAGATCAAGTGATGTAGTTCCTCAAGACACGCAGGGATATATCCGGCCGCAGCACTTCCGCACGTAAGAAAAAATTCTAGGCATCGCACAAAGGAATAGGTTGCCGCAGCTTCAGAGACATTGGATTGCTCTGCTGCCGGCAGGTGGGTGTGTACGGCTGAACAGGGTGACTACGATTTAGAGGTAGCCATGTGATTGCATCATGTGGCTCTTCGGAGCGCAACCTAGCGGGCTTGTTTATGCTCGTTGTCTGAATAAGTCATGGAGAACCCGTCCTCAAGACTCGACGTTCTCGCACCGCCAATCTTCGGAGCCTATGCCTATGCTCTGCTTCAGGCTCTCGAACCCAGGGTCGAATCTCTCCGTTTATGTCGTGATGGTTTTGCCAGAGGCGCGACCCTAATGCAGTAGTAGCCGTAGTAGTACATTAGCAGCCGTAGTAGTAGTAGTAGTAGTAGTAGTAGTAGTAGTAGTAGTAGTAGTAGTAGTAGTAGTAGTAGTAGTAGTAGTAGTAGTAGTAGTAGATGATAGTAGTAGATAGTAGTAGTTTTTGGAACAAGAACTCCAAGAAAGTCCCGGACTCTGACATGGCTCAGCTTAGGATCTTTGAGAAGAAGGCCACGGAGCTGGGAACCGAGTCCAAGGCCTCCACCGAGTCGACAGAGACCCAGGAGCCCGTGGAGCGTTCGGAAGTGGAGCACACGGAAGAGGCATCTTCTTTTCGAGTCTTTCAGGGACTCAAATTGCGAGGGTCCATATAACAAATAAATCGGTAAATAAATAAATACATATATATATATATATACGTATATGTATAGAGTGATATGTGTTATATCTATAATATAATTATATATATATATATGTACCTATATACTATATATATATATATATATAATCTGAATATGTAATATTCATTGAACCGAGACACGTGAACTTGTCCAGGTAAGCCAGGTCGAGGTGGTAGAGGGGGACGAGGACAGCCATGCGAAGGTCAACAAGATCGAGGAGTGGACGGAGCTGGAAGACGCTGCCAGTTGCGGGTTCCTAACCGTTTGCTTGGGCGGCCAACCACGTTCGGGTGAAGCCTAAGAGCTCACACCTCACCTCTGCAGCAACAAATCACCGTTGAGGTGGCTCGGACTCGGTCAACTGAGGATGCTTCCCATCGTTTCCCTGATTTGTCTGCATCAATTCGTAATCAATTAGGCACGGTTTCTCTGCATTCGGCTTCTGCCGTGATTCCGACGGTGCGAACAATCGAGTGCCACCAGAGTGCTCGCGCACAATGCTCAGTTGAAAAGCTGCTTCCCCACAGGTTTCGGATAGTTTAGGTGCGCCTCAAATCACGTCAGATTTCAAAAGGTCAAAGCTGCGGAAGAGGTTATTCTCCTGGTGGAGGATGGGCGTGTTGGCATTGTTGGCCACGTCAGGGGCATTCTTGCAGCAAGCAGCAATCGCTGCGTACACAAAGGACTCAGTTTGCATTGAGAATGCCTTGCTGGAGCACAAGCTTCCGGAGAACACCTCCTGGTTGCATTTCCTGACGCTTGGCGGGCTCACTTCAATTTCCTAATCTCCAGTGAATGCCGAGTGCGTTGCAGCTGACGTGTATTTGTCGAGTCTCATCTGCCTCCCAGGAAGTTGACGGAGCAGCCCGCCTTTGAAGAGCAAACGCAAAGCATATCGGAGAGACAGTAACGCAGAGAGCATGCGCTGCAGCAGCTTCAAGGTGCCAAAATTAATGCTCTAACAATAGCAGTCTTGCATGCCAAGGCAACTGCGACGGGAGCGGATGCAAGCCCTTGAGGCGACGGCTGGGTGGTTGGGGCAGCCTTGATCCAATGCAAGGCCGCAAGGCAAGGTCAGGTCTATTTTTGGAATTCTTCTGAAGCCAACCCAGCCAAAGCAATGCGTGAAAGCCAATGAGTGGCTCAATCACTGCCCTTAAAGCCGGGCCACAGCGCCTGCTTGACGAACATGATGCCGAGATCGGCGGGCCGTGTGGTCTGTACCTAGCTTCCACACATGGAGAGCTCTGCAGATGGATGCCTGTCCGGCGAACGAGTGCTGCATTTGCTACGAGGGAGGTCCGCAAGTACGAGTTCTCAGCTGCAAACACACTATTTGCACAGACTGCTGCCGAAAGATCCGTTCAACCAGCTGCCCCATGTGTCGGAAAGACCTGGCCTCAGATGCAGAACAATGTCACGCAGGGCTTGGTAAGAATCCTTGCAGTCAGGTTGTTTGCGCGACTGCTTCCAAGTGTTGAACTTAGGACATAGAGGACTCCCTGCTGCTGGAGCTTCGAATTGTTCGCGTCCGACGTCAGGGTGCATACAGCTTCTACATGGCCCTACCTCTACTGGCCCATGATGATGGCTCGGACTTCTTTTCCACTGAGCATTACCCTGCAGGTTTCAGCAAATCTGGCTGTTCTGGCAACATTTCTGCGGGCGTTGCACAGTGATGCACAGTGAATTCCATGAGGCCTTAACAGTAAAGCCAGCCTCCGATAAGTGGAAAGAGACCCGTGCGGTTGCGCCATTTCGACTGTGTAAGCCGTTGCGATGCGCCCTGATGTTGTGTAAGACTTATGTAAGTAGGAGGGCTGTTATCGCGAGAACATTCCACATGAGACTTGAACATTAATGTCGTGGACAATCTGAGGCCAGGACTTCGAATTGTGCATCCCCCCGTCAGTCTTGAGATTAGCCATCGAGCGCATCAATCTGCGAATCGCTTCGGCGCAGTTTGGTGTCGCGCTGTGCTGCGGCTGGAGCAACTCGATGCTTGCTCGACGCAGAGTCAGCCGAGCAGTGGAGGAACAGAATGAGGAGTGGCGATATGCGAACATTCCATGCTATTTGTGCCTCTCTCCGGGATGGGCGCTTGCACAGAGCACTTTGTACCTGCAGTGGGACCCCGACCGTGATGTCATTTGAGTCGGCAGCAGTGGTGACCAAACCCCACGGCTTCGTTTCATGGGTTGCGCCTTGCACCTCTGGGAGCCTACGCGGTGCTGCGTGCGGTATCCTAAAACGGCAGGGTGCGATAGGGTTGGTTTACACATCTCGGCATTGACTCTCCCCAACTGCTCATGATCTTGTCAGGCCGGGGATGAGACCGTAACTCTCAGCTTCCCAGGCGCCGAGAAGGAGCGGGAAGCTGCCAGGCACGGAGTCTGAAACCGTCCATGTGAAAAGCTAGGATCCCGGATTTGGTGTGCTTGCTCCTTTTCCCTGTGTCCAGGAAGAAGCAGGCTGCGAAAGAGGCTCGGAGTCCAACATGGATCAGTGTCATAGTTCAACATTGGATACATGGATGTCCAGACCTCTTCGTTTTCTCGAATCGGCGGGACTTCACCCACAGGCTGAACTCGCCGAAGCAGGCAAGGAAGAGTTGCGACCGCTGGAGCGACGGAGCAGGCGAGCTGGCAGAAATTTGTTTGTGTCATTTTGTGTCTGTATATACTACACACACACACTCATATATATATATATATATATATATATATCGACATATATATATATATATATGTATACACACATGCAGCTCTGTCTCTCTCTCTCTCTCTCTCTCTCTCTCTCTCTCTCTCTCTCTCTCTCTCTCTCTCTCTTTATATATATATATAAATGTACATGTATTGGATCTTGGACATACATGTCGTTTGCTCCTGCCAAAGTACAAGTGCAGAACGGAGATTCCCTCCAACTAAGCAGAGCAAAAATGAGACTTAGGGTTACGGAAGGGAAACAAAGAGTACAAAAGAGTACCCCGCATGCATCGTCGCATCATGCACATGGGGCCGCCTGCAGTCCTATTGTCAGTAGATCTCGTTCACACGAGGCGCCCGGACCATTGCAAGCCATGACATGCCATGGGTGTGGGAGGGAGGCCAATTTTCCAAGTGAGTTGACGCTACGGTTGCTGCTAAACCATCACTATTTCAGGGCTTGACCGCGCGAACTGAATTTCTTCGGTTCTCGCTTTTCTCTGCATGGTTTGGTATTTGGCGGACTGCCGGCCGTATTGGATGCTGTATGTCTAAGGATGGAAGGCAACAATCGAACACGGCGGTGAAGATAGCAGGAAATGCATGATTACATTTACTTTGAGCCCTTTCTGCATGACGTAAGCGCGCCGATGTTGTTGGGGCGTCATGCTCTGGCTTTGGGCTGCAGTGCACTTGCGTCTGCCAGCGGAGCAGGCATTATTCCATCTTGCCCATTGCGGTCATATGCATGTAAACAAGGAGCCAGGCAATTCGATATTAATATGCCGCTTGTTCTTTTGCAGGAACAAATCAGTACTGAGCCATGCCGGGGAAGGGCTCAATTTTGGTTGTCGGAACGCCGCTGCAAGACCTTCCTTCCAACTATATCTTCGGTTTGGCGCACTCGGTGACTCTTTAACCGACGGTTTGGGCCGTGCACTATTTGGCTCATGGCTTGGGAGTGCGAGTGTAGCAAGACTCATTCACGAAACGCGGTCCGCAGCACCAGTTTCGGTGAGAATAAAACCTGTCCTCCCGCAGATAATTGAGGTATTTACATCAGAAGGTAAAACAGCGCTTCCGACGACTCAAGCCTCTGAGAAAGCAGGTTGTTTTGTTCGGTTTTAAGCATTGTGGCATAGAGTTTAGGACAAGCTTAGGCATCACACGTTTTCGAATTAGACTAAATATTTTCAGATGCGATGCTGGAAAATGCACCTCGCGTTGGCCTGCGATTCTGTCGATATGCAGCGTATGAGGGCTTTCTGTGCAGCAGGACGGTGCGGCATTTGGGCAGGACTTGTGAAGCAGCCAGGAAGATGTTTGAAAAAGGTGATTTCGCACTGCACATCCGCATCGAGACTCACCAAATGTCGGAGATTCTGGCGCGGGGGAAGCCGCGCCCAGCAAGAAATGAGCTCTTAAGGGAATTGGCAGCTGCTTTGAGGAGTTGCGGCCGGCCTCCGCTGTTGTCACTGGGAATCTATGAGCCAGAAGCCCTGCGTGACCTTTTCCCCTTGATACTGGATGTGCTGAGGTTTTCTAAACACCTTCAGGTTCTGCATGTGGCAGACATCGCAACTAGCCCAATTCGGGCTTCCTCGGCTGCAGGATCGTTCGACATGGTACGTGCACTGGCGCTGGTGAATGTCTTAAACTTCGTGGACCCTGCTTTGCCCAACTCTGGCAAGAGCTTGCGCGAGCTGTCTCTGACAGCTGGCACTTGGTCGTGGGATTCATTGTGCACGTTGTTTGAAGGACTGTCCAAGAGCTGCGTGCAGATCATAAGCCTACGTGGAAAGTTGTTAGAGCCAGCTGCGGCAAGGAACTTGCCAGCTTTGAAGACAGTGTCTTTCTTCCACTGGAGAGGATCTCGCCTCTTCGTCCCCGACAGTTTGAAGATAATTTTCCATGCGTTCCCGGAGGCGGAGATTCGCTTTTCCAGAGAGACCTGTGGTTTCTTTGCCACGCCGTCTAAAGAGATGTTGCAGGAGTTCGAGGTGATGGCTAGCACCTTGGAGCCATCTAAACGCGTGTGGGTGGCTTGGGATGATGGCTGGAAGAGGGTGGAGCCTGGCTGTGGTATAGTTGAGGGATGCACTGGTGCCAATAGTATCATGCGCGACCTCATGGTCTTCTCGATGTACGTGGCCTCCAAACCATGGCACCAACCTCAACTACCAAGCAAAAGCACAGCTGCAATCAGGGTCGACGGGCCGAGGAGGCGAAGTTCCCAGGCCTAGTTGCCAGGACTAAAGTCTGCCTTGGGCAGCCTTGATCCAGAAGAAGGCAGTCTGCCATGCTCTGCTACACTGCAACCGCCGCAGATTAACCCGTCTCAAGCAATGCGAAAGAGCGGAGGCATGCTTGCAGGCTTCACAGACAAAAGAGGGCGCGACATGTGCGGCCACCCGGGCGAAATGTCTAGGCGAAAGCAAAGTGTGCTGCGTCTCGTACTCGGAGGCCAAGCGGCCCCAGCGGCCCTGCCAAGCGGCCTCTTCGGGAGGGGCTCCGGGAAGCTCAGGGCCCGACCAAGGCCCTTCGTGTTGATGAAAGGCGCGGGGGAGTGTCTTCTTCAGTGCGCAGCATAGGCAGAAGAAAGGGGCATAGAAATTCTTTCCTGTTGGCAAAAGTCAAAGTTGTATACCTGCTGCTCTATAGCCTGTAGACTCCAGCTGCAATGGTGGCAATCCTCAGGCGAGGTGGTGATCGGGAAAAAGAGAGGTACGGCGACCCTGCGCGACGCCCCTTGAATCATTGGATCCGGCAGAAAGAGGTGAACATGCAGCACGCCCTCGGAGGGAGGGGATGACTTCAGGTTCAGTCTGGGGCACCCGCGACGAGCGCGGTCGTGATCCACAGCGAGAACAGAGTGATCGCGAAAGGCCGGCGACTCGGAGCTTCCAGGTTTAACCTGCAGCGGCTGCGCAGCGGATCCGATGGGTTCGAGCAGCCGACGTCTGATGACTGAGTGTTTCCGAAGTTCCGAGTGCTGTCAGGGACAAACATTCGGACCGGTATCCTGAGCGGGATCTGTACAGTGCCGGCGACAGAAGCATCTTGGAGAGGATGTCTGTCAATCCAGCATGCCAGTCTGACGGTATGTGGACACGACGAGTCACTTCGTACTGGACATGCATCCCGCCGAGGACATCTTCAGCCCGACTCGCGAAACCATGCTGCGACTGGAAGCCGAATACCTGGCAGCGGAGCTCTCAGTCTGTGTTCTCGGCAACAAGTCCTCGATCACTCTCGACTTGCTGAGCAGGCTTCTTCAGCTGCATCCTAGAAGCCCCGCATGGAAACTCATGAGGCCATTCCCAGCATGACCGGAATTACGGAGCTGGTGACGGACTGAGCATGCAATTCAAGAGGGGCCTGTGCAGTCAATTGCGTCTTGCTGTCGAATTGACTGTGGTGGCTGCAGATCGGGCAACCCGCACCCTTGACACGACACAGCGCGGTGTCACAAGTGTCTAGACTTCTATTCAGAAAGCCAGCCGTGGCAATGTCCAAGCATGTGTTCGCTTTGGCAGTGCCGTGCCAGTGCCTCGGTAAGGACCTAGAGAACCGCCTCCCGTCAGTGCCTACAGTCGGGACAGGGACAGAGACAATGCAGCTCGGAGTCGCGAAGCAGTGCCACGCTCCTCTGCCTCCGCTTCGATCCCCAGCGCCCCGCAGGGCTCCGGTACGGATCTCAGCTAAACCGAATCAGTGGCTGCCCCCATCCGTTCACGTTTCGGCGGGTGTATAAGGCAGGGATTCACGGATGCCAATTGGCGCCACCGTGGGTCGTGACAAGCGTGATGCACCCGCTACGCCTGGCTTCTCATCTTCAGACCACGTCAGTCCTGCAAAGTGGGCTTGCGTAGACACGAAGCACGTCTCAAGTTGTAAGGTACGGGAGCTGCGAGTGCCACGGCCGCATGCGAACGCCTTGCCCCTGACGGCTTGATCATGTTTGTTGTTGCCTCCTAGGACCCTTGTTCGGTTTTCACGAGGACCTACAACACGCTGCGTGCGGCTGAGGCCATGGCAAGGGCGCGGGCAAAGTCTGGCGACAAGAGAGACACCTGGATCCTCTGGATGCCTTCATGGTCGCTCGATATAAGCGGAGCAGCTTCAATACTGTACGAGCAGCTTCTTTGTTCCACCCCCGGGGAGTACTTCGGTGGCTGTGCCGGTGTGAAACCTGACTCTAACTCCTCTCGGGAGGCTGGTATGGAGCGGCATGGCGAGGCCTTTGCCACGGGTGATGTTGCTCCCGAACCGCCGAAGCCTCCGACGCCGCCACCGAGGCCATGCCATGTTATGCTCACAGTAAATCCCAGCTCCTAACCGTGTAGGGATGGAAACAATGGGAGTAAGCTAGACAGGCACCCCTGCTGCACTTTCTTTCAGAGTCTTCCAGAGGATCGCAGAATCGCAAGTTCATCTGTGACATCGAAAACATGGATTCAAGCCCAGTTCCGCATGATAGACTGTGGGTCCCGGTCAGTCTGGGATATACCGAAGCTCTGCCTGTAGAGTATGTCCAAAGGTCCGTCATGATGTGGAATCTGGTTAAAGTGGTGACCGGCTTCAAGTGTAAGTGCGCGTAAATGCGGCACAAAGTGAAACATAGAGTGGTGAGGTGTCGTCGAGCCAAATGGGTGAAGTGTCATCGAGCCAAATGTAGGTCAAACCCTTCTGTGAGTAACAACCTTAAGTCGAAGGCAATTTTGTTAAGCCTGCGCTGTGTGACGCTTTGTGCAAGTTGGAGCTCCCCACCTCGTAGTGCAAGCGATAATCCGACAAGCTAACTTCGGTTGTCAGTTTGACCGCCGGTCAGCAACCCGGACAATCTTCCATGGGCCATGGATATCCACGATTGTCTAAGGACAAGTGCGCGCGTGCAGGCAAGTTCATCTTGACCACGCATGCGCCGAATGTTGCTTGCAGGCCCGACAGACATCACCGTGGGGGTGACGGCTATCGAGACTCGCGTGGCTACAGGCCTGAGGCTGCGCGCCGCGACTACGGGGATGGATACCGGACTGAGCCCAGCCGTCCTACGGCCTACGATCGAAGCACCACGACGGACAGCCAGAGAAGGCACGGGGCCGCTGACGGACGCAGGCCTTCTGAGCATTGGCCGCATGGCATTCCTGCCTATGGTGGCAGCGCAGAGCCTGTCCGTAGCGATTCTGGATACCGGCACAGCTATGGTGACTATGCCCATGGCAGTCACGGCTACCAGACCGAGGATCGTGGTCGAGGCCTCCGTGACAGGGACGCAGGCGGCCAAAGTGCGCACTACGCCGTCTACGAGCGCAGAGATGGCAGAGGCTATGGCCCTGGCCGTGTCAACCCGCAGGACCTGTAACAAAAAATCGTCGCATGCGATGCTGCGAACCCACGTGAATTCACATGCAACAGTTTCACCCGGACTCTAAGCTTTGCTGAAGCCATTTTGGCTCAAGAAGGTGGGTCGACTGGAACCTTGTGTATCCATACAGCGATATGCCGCGTTGGGGGGAGAAGACCCCGACAACACTGGAGCTCTATGCCAGATCGCTGCCGGAGGAGGAGGAGGTGATCCCCATGTACTTCCCCATGTACACCGTCACTGCAGAGTTGTTGTTGGAGATGACGAAGGTGGAGCCACACGAACACTTGAAAGCTCGCAGTGAGTTGGTGGTCTTCGAAGAGCGCATGGGCAGGGCAACCTTTGTCTCGCACCAGTGGCTTGCCGCAGGCCATCCCGACCCTGAGTTCCGGCAGATGCGCGTTCTGCAAGGTGCCTTGAAACGGCTGCTGACAGGCCGTGGCTCGGTTCCAGTGGACTACGTGAGTGAAGCGACAGTGCCCACAGCCAGGCCGATTCCCATGAAGGAGTTTCAGATGCGGCCCTTGTTCCTGTGGTATGACTACTTCTCAGTTCCGCAGTTTGAAAACTGCAGTGTCCATGCAGTAGATCATGGTGACAACCAGCAAGGTCGTGCCATCATGAGCATCCCCGCCTACGTGGGGAAGTGCTGCTTCTTCTTGGCATTGTGTCCGGTCCTGGATTGCCCCTTGGAAGGCAAGCTCCTAAGTGTTAGGACCTGCTTTCGGGCTTCTGTTGATTCTGGCGGTGATCGTGGTCGTCTTATTCTGCGCGAGTATGAGTGGAGCTGCTTGGCTGGTGTGCGAGCTTGCTCATCGTTATTCTGGACCTCCAGGCCGTCGTTTGCACCTTTTTCTGCAGTTTTCGTGCATTCGACGCCTCTGTCTGAGACTTGGTGGATGCCCTCGTTGAGGGCCCTTGGGAGGCGTCTCAACCACGGACCTTCGCGGGACGAGCAGGTTGACGTCTTACATTTGACATTTTGACATTGGACCTGGACTCAGAGAGGTTGGTGTAGGCTGGAGCGAGCCGCCCGGGAGCTTTCCCCCCAACACACCTGGATTCTGGTCCAGACTGAAAGCTCCATGGAAGTCTTACGCAGCGCAAGCCTGGCTGTTGGGAGTGGGATTGTGGGAGATGGTGACTTCACCGTGGCACAGGATCGGGAGAAGTTGGCTCCAGTCATGAAGAACATCCTGCTGCAGAAGCTGAAGCATTGCCTGAGAGCAGGCGATGTTCCGGGCTTTCGGCGTCACTTCAACTTGCGAAGCGTGCACCTTCGGGGCCTTGACGTTGAGATGGACGATATTTTGGTGCCGCAGGGTGATGGGCATATCTTGCCCGAGTTCTTCCACCAGAACGGCTTCAGGAAGAATGAAGGCGACCCGGCTGGCTGGTGGCCGCTGCATTATGCTGCGCTAAGGGGTGATGCCAAGTTGCTCCAAGCGCTGCTGGAGCGACGTGCCAGTGTCAACTGCCGCACCTCCAAGGATGAACCTATGCTGGGCATACCATCGCAGGTGTCAGCCCTAGATATAGCCTGCTTCTACAAGCACCATGAAGCCAGCCAGTTCCTCCTATCTGCCAAGGCCCAGCTTGAGGGTGGGCAAGCACCTGCCCTGTGCAGGGCAGCCCAGGCGGATGATGCTTTGGGTATACGACTCCTCTGCGCTTCAGGTGGTCGTCCCCTAGCCAAGGACAGCTTCGGCATCAATGTTGTGCAGAGCGCCACTGCAATTGGTGCCACAAAGGCATTGGAGGAGCTAGTGGCCCAAAGCCATCCAAACACATTCCAGCTCTCTGGAGCACTCTTCATGGGCTCTACCTTACGCGGTGGCTCGGCAGCCATGGTCCAGTGGCTCGTCTCTCTGAGGGCAGATATCGACTTCCAGTGGAAGGTACAGCGTGACCTCAGCAGATTGGGCCGCCTGGTGGTTCAAGTGAAGAACATTCAGCATCGTGTTGGGCAGACCTCCATCCTTTCAGCTTTCACATACCATCAACATGGCAGCACGCCGCTAATGCAAGCCATCCAATCTGGGCAATACGAGACCGCAGCGGCCATTATTGCAGCCGGTGCCAACATGGGCATTCGAAACTGCAGAGGTTGGAGCGCAGCCGATTTTGCCAGGGAGCAGTCGATTCCGAGGTTTTTGCAGATGGGTTTGCAAGGGGATCGACTCGCTTGCCAAAGGGCCATCGAACTGGCCTTACCCGATGGCTACGTGGAGGTGGAATTTTGATTACACTTCCTGTCACGGCTAGCGTTTCTGTGGCTGGTGCATTTCTCCCCTACAGTGCCAAAGTCGACCACGAGCACGACATTTTCCCATTTCACCGAAGGTCTTCGTGGAATAAATGAGTGCCCATTTTCCCGGTTCACTTGAACTCTTCGTGACCTCAATGATCACCACATTTTTCACCGAAGCCTTGCGTTAGCTCGATGGTCATGGCAGGCAGTCCACGGCCACGGGCCCAGAGCATTTCACCGAGTACTTAGGAACCTCGCTTGCTTGACGAACGCGAGTGCCAAAAAAAGCTTTGCTGATCTCTGTTGGGGACTCATAGGCAAGACAATGCTTGGAAGCACGAAGTTTGTGGCTCAACTTGCCAGCCAAAGCCGCCCCACGGTCTCCTGCATGACGGACCCCGCAAGACCTCGCTACTCTGCACCGGGCTGGAGCTCTACTTACACAACGCGTTGGAAGCTAGAGTCAGAGCACCCTGCCCGGAAGCACATCGACAGCTCCATGCCGCATCATGGCAGCGCGCAGCTACTTCGTCACGGCTCAGCCTGCCACTGCTGTGGAGTGCGCCCTGGGTCCAGTGGCCATTACTGCCCCCGGGGAGGAGGAGCAATCGGTCAGTGCGGGTAGATCTGGTAGAAATGAACTATCTAAGTCTTTCGTTACTATATTCAACTGGAGAAATAGCGTAAAGCACACCGTCCATGAGACCCCCTCCGCATCACACCTTTGGTACAGACAGCAACAAGGGGCACTGAAAGCTACAGTTGTTTGTTTCTGCACATCCACCTGTCCGTCGGTGCTTGAAGGCTTGGTTCGTCGTGACCTCTAGGCGACTCGAATGGAACGACAGAGCAGATGCTGTGTTGCACTTGTAGACACATGAGCGGTCCTCGCAGAGGCCATGTGGGTGCCTCTCTCCCCTCCCGCGGGTTGCCGCAGATTCCACTTCTTCTGGTGAAAAAGCCGGCGCCAACAAAGTCGCTGAGTTGCCAGGGCAGAGCAGATCCCAGACTAGTAGCCATGACTAACCTTCGCGACACCATCGCCGAATGCACGTGCTGCGCGGAGGAAGCAGCTCAGAAGGGAGGATGTAAGCGGGACAGTCTCACTGCCTTCCAGCTTGTCATTACATGTAGTAGCAGCTTTAGAGCAGCTTTGTTCTCCGGCGCCAGGGTCTCTCAGCCAGGGACACAGTCTCTTGCTTTTGCCTTCAACCGTTGCCCACCCAATTTGGCAAATCGACTTCTGAAACTCGGACTCTAATTCACGCAGCCATCCTATCGGCAAGAAAGCGATAATCGCCCAGTTGCAAAACTATCAGATTGGGCGAAACAGAGGTAATGTTATGTTGGATCCTGCACTGTCAGAGGAGCTGGCCGTCGTCCGCGGTACGTCGGGGGGCTCAGCTCCGGGGGTGTCGTCTGCTGGGACCCAGAAGATTCCAACACCAATGCTAGTCTTAGCTTTGCTAGTATGTCATCAAAACATTGACGGAACGTGGTGTTTCAGATTTGGGAAAGTAGCGATCCCTGATCCAGAGAAGGACATTGGAGATCTTCCGCTTCCAAGATGCGCAGTTTGTTCCGGTATGCACCGAGCAGATCCGCGAACAGGCCTCTGAACCTGTGCCAAGAAGCATTTTCATGTTCATGTCATTCCAAGAAAGTATTGCCAGATTTCAACCCTTCGGCTTTCTGGCACGAAATGAGGGGTTCTGGAAAGGCATTGCCCCCTCCCGTGGTTAGTACCGGCCCAGATGAACCAGCTGGCTTCGCTGCAGGTGTGCTGCATGCTCAACTCGCTGCAAGTCACAGGCTGCGGCGAGCTGCTTATTCTCATCACGGCCACGTGGAGCAATTTGGAAGGGGCCATCAATCGGATTGACGCTCTTCGCTCGGCCTCTGACCAGTTGCAGTTTGCAGGTCTCTTTGAAGCTTGTCATCGCACGTGGGAAACTCAGCGCAGACTTCCGACGTCACAGTGCGATGTCAAACTCAGACTTTGTCGCCAGACTCATTTGCAGGCTACGATGCCCAAATCAACGAGCTGCGATGGCTCCTTGCTGGCTTTTCTGGCTGCCAAGCTTCAAGTCCAGAGCCATGCATGGGCCCAATTCGAGGATTGCCACGGCCGACATGGGCAACGCTGCCATCGCGGCGACCGCGCAGGCCCCTGCTGTCCAGTTGACCACCTCTTCGATCGCTGATTGGGTTTGCACCGGCAGGAACCATCCTGCTGCTGCTCTTCGAACGGAAAGCGGTTGGTTGCCCCCTGGAAGCCTTGCATGTCAGTACCACCGTTCAACACCCTGGAGTCACTATATCACAGGGGGTATTAGAAGGTGCGAGTCTGTGCGTTTTGCCATGCAGTGTGTCGCTCGACACCCGGATGCAAAATGTAGGACGGGCCCAGCGCCTCAGACCGAGATACGGTTTGTTCTTCACGGAGGGTTTGTTGTCAGCTTGTGTCCACCCAGCCACGGCGTCAGGTTTACCTGCACGGGAATGTGGTGGCCGTTGCCGATCTCGATGAACTTATGGACTCACAGCAGCCATACCCGATTGATTTGCGTTTCAGCCGCATATTGTACGCGATTCGCTGTGCAAGGCGTGAAATTGGAACATTCCTTGGTATCACATTGCGTCCGGAGAGGGGGGCTCGCTATTTCCAGTATGATCTTCTTGACCCTCGACCGTCCCCCGCCGCCCGCCGCCCTTGTCTTCTCAACTATTGACCCGCCACTTCCCCCAGCACTTTGCTGGACCCAGTCCTGCCTTAATTAGTCCGTTTGTCCTGACTCTCTTGGCCCTCTTGCCACCCTTGCCTATCTTGACTCTCTTGACGCTCTTCACAACAGTTTGCGTGCCCCGCTCTCAACACGCTCTGGTCTCTGGTATCATGCTGCCGGCAAGGAAAGCTGCGGGGCGAATGTTTTACACTCAAGTTGATGAGCAGATTATTGGCATGGAGTTCCTTGAGCGCGTGGCTGCAGACGCAACTTGGCACACTTCCACTTGTAGGAGCATAATGCCCCGTTCTTCGTTGGCAAGGACGACAGCATCGAGACACTTGCTGCTCTTCATGCCAACGGCGGCAAAGAGGAGGCACAGATCCAAAGTACTGAGAGGGTTCAGGCAGCCTGACCTTTGCTTATCCTGGCCGTGAAGAGGCTGGGCCAAAGACGCTTTGTCTCCATTCGCTCGATGTGAAGAAGAAGTGCGAAGCCTACAAGTGCTCTGGATTTTCGTGTGACTTTAGGACTTCAGGCTGAGCCTTTCATCTGTTGAGGCGCTTGGCAGTGGTCCAAGCCGGCCAGCCGAGGCCAGATCAGTGATAAGTTGCCCCTAAAGGGAGGACGATGGCTTCCAAAGCGCCGTTCTTTCTGCCATGAGTTGTGGAAGCCTGCACCCTTCCGAATGTCCGAGAGGCCATAGTCGGCCATAGTCAAAGGATGGAATTAGTAAGCGATGTGCGGCAACGGTTTCTTAGCGGTAGCCCGCTTCCCTTTCGGTCACTGCATGAGCCCATAGCTCCCGCGCACGAAGCGGTCAGGCCCGAAGGACGTGGCTTTGCTGCGGGAAGCTGGCGCCTGGATGCCTCGCGGAGCGGGGACTTGCTGCACAAGTCTATGAAGTAACATAATACACTCTTATATATGTGAAAACATGTATTTCATGTCAGAGAGAGTCAAGTCCCCGTGCTTATCGGAGAGAGTATGGTTGCATGTAGTTTACACGAGGCAGCCTTTATGTCAAAGACCTTTTTGCCAGCAACCTTCCAAAACGGTCGCCCGACGTTCTCGTTCTTCGTTCATGTCGCACCTCACTCAAAAAGGACAGGTCAATGATGACAGGCAATTAATCGATGACTTTCTTGGAACTTCTTGGCGCGCGAAAGGGAACACAACGACATACTGCAAATTTTGTTTCCCTTGCTTCGGCCATTTTTCCTGGAACAACGACGTCGCTGCCTCCCAGGACTCTGGGCTCCTACAGGGTACACGGCGCAACAGAGACCCAGCAGGTTTTATCTTAGCGTGGGATGCATGGACGGAGGGGAAAAACCAGGACCAGTGTGCTCCCTCTCAAGAGCAATTAAGTTTGAGTCAGATCTCGGCTAATTATTGAAGATCTCTGGGCCCTTCATAAAGGTGGAACAAATTCCCTTGGAGTGGCCTGGAGAGGCTTTCAGCTCTCTGGGCCCTTCATATAAGCGCACGGCAGAAGAGAGATGAGCCACTGAGAGCATGAGTACAGTAGACAACGATGGCAGGGAGGCTTCGAACCGGCCACGTAGCAGCCGCGGTCAGTGGCAAAAAAAGTGGCAGCCTGCTGCATGTCTTGTCATGTATATTTCGCGCGGCCGCGTGCAGGACTCCCGCCGAGGCTTCAGCCAGGCGATGGTCGTGTTCAGCTTTAGACAATGTATGTCCGATCTCACACCGGTGGCCTCTTCTGGGCAAAGCCGAGCCGCTGAGCCGCAAGTGTCTGCGGCCCAGGCGGGTGACTGAAGCCACTCTGATCGCAACCATCCCTTCTGCTGCTGGAGAGTGGGCTTCGCCCCGAGGTGGGTGAGTGCAAAAGAAAGCAGCAGAGCCAGCTTTGGCTGTTTCTGCAGATGTCTCTACTGAAGAATGAACCGTTGTCGCACAGCAGTCATAGCACAGTCTTTGAGAATAGCTTGTATTGAACTTGCATGTCGCAGGTGCAATACTTGCCGCTTGGCTTGGCCGGCTACAGTAGATGCAACAGGCAACAGGTTGTTGCTCAAGCTTTGGACTCCAAACATCATTGACGCGTGGTGCCAGGCGGAAGTGAACAGTATGTAATGAGACACTGTACTTCACATGGTTTCGCATGTGTGCGGTTAGGGCCATCTCGGGACCTCGGAGCTGGTTGCTGAGGTGGTCGGTCCCACCTTCGTGGCCCTCTACGATGCGGAGCTTCGGCCTTTGGGCGAGCTGCGAGCTGCCGGACCCCAGGACGGCCGTGAGTCTCTCTCCCTACATGTATCCATCTGTCCTGCGTTATCATGTTATTTTTGTTCCGTTCCCAAATTCTCGGTTGGGTGGCTTGGGTATTAGGGATCGTTCGTTTCGTTCGACAGAGCCGAGTGGGCAGAGTTCCGTTCAGCAGACACATTGTGGCACTGGCTGGAGTAATCGCCCCTAGATGTTCGATCCGTCCTTGTCCACGCTTCTAGTTTATGTCAGCTGCCCGAATGCAGGCATGCCATGCCAACCAGTCCGTCGGGTGGGGGGCGATCAAAACATGCGTCAACAATTTTGGTGTGGATTGAAGTTGGATCCGTTTACGATGTTTATGTCTCGGCCAAGTCACAAATCCCACGGCACGGTCGAGTCACGGCTCGACCTTTGTTCGGGGACTGTCTGACCAGCGGCGGATTATCGGGACTGGCATATGATGACAAGGATTGTCTTGCTGATTCGTTTGTTCCATGCATTTGTCATTTGTTGAATTGCGTGCTTTGTGCATGTATGGACATCTGCCACAGGTACCCTCGCAGCTTGCATGCGCGAACACCGCTCGAACCCGCTGGCTTATCAGCGGAGCATACGGGGATCTTTATTTGCTCCTTGGCCATGCTGCCTTTGTGTCTCACAAGTGCCATTCGATAGACGAAATGTGTAGTGCTGAGGTTGCGGCTGGAGGCTCGCGAGGAAGTCAGCGAGAAAGATGGGATTAGCCCGCTGGTCGTGCAGTATTTGGGCAGGTCAGTTCCGGCTGGGAAGCCCAGTTGCTCAGGACATGGTGTCCTGCAGATGCACCACGGACCTGCGTAACCGAGGCCTCTGGCATTGCAGTTTTCCATGCCGGAAGCTACGTGTTCGTCGGCTCCAAGGCGACATCTAATGCTGATGTAGGCATTGCGAACCAACATGCCGCACGCCACTCGCAGTGTCGAGGCAACTGACTCCGAAGTGCTGCTCGGCTCAACTCGAAACCCGAGATTCTGTGCGAAGTTGGACTGTGATGGGATGTCACGGAAGCCCGAGCACCTGGGGTCAGAGACCTCGCGCGCTTTGTGCCTCGCCTCCCGAGGTCCTGAAAGCCGGAAAAAAATAGCTGAAAGGAATCAAAAGCTCAAACCAGCCAGTAACTTTCCGTCCTTTGATGTCACCCTGCTCGAAAGATTGTCAGCCGAGCGTTCACTCACTTAAGGCCTGCAGCTTGCGGGTATGTTGTCATGTGACAGGCGACACCCTGAACACGAAGCCTGTTTTGCGTACGCCAGCTCGGCAGATAGCAGAGGATGGTTTTTTGTCGCCAAAGTCTCTTTCAGAGCCTGACACAATCACTCAACTGATCAGAAGAACTTCAAAGCACGAGACCCGAACAAGCCCGAGCCCTCGCGTTCCAATTTCATACCCTCGAAAGTCCCAGGTTGCGGCTAGGTCAGCCGAGGAAAGAGGCTCCCGCCTCCGCTGTCACCGCGGCAGGGCGCGTGCGGAAGAATCTGGAGGATGCGTTTGAGGCAAAGAAAGTTTGGATTAGGAGCAGTAGTCGTGGTCGTAGGCTCCGTGTAATGTTCACTTCATATTCAAGAAAGGCCCCGTGACCCCCATCTAAGCAATGTAAGCCCCAGCCTCCGTAAGAAGAGTCCGGATCCAGCATCAGAGCCATTGACCTCCTTTAGATCCTTTTCAGTTCCTTTGAGCTTTCATCTATGTGAACAAGATTTGGGTTACTTTTTTTCCGCTGCGGCCGCTAGGATTCTGCAAATACAGGGGATTTCTAACTACGTTCAGGGAACTGGATTTTGCAATTTCGCGAAGGATTCTACATGTGAGGTTGGCATTGGCAGTGATAAGAAGAAGGCTAAGCTTGCAGCCCCGAGAAAAGCCCCAGGAAATCAGCCACAGAACTGGGTTAGAAAGAGAATCAGAAAACATCGTGCCAAAGCAACTTCACATCATAAGGGGTCGGCAAAGCAGCTAGCAACAAATGAATCAGCCCGACAAAAAGCCTTCACAGTAAAGAGACAAAGCCGCGTGTTAGTGCAATTGAGCACGTGTTTGCCTGTCTGTGCTGTTGCCTTGAGAATGTGCTCAAATTACACCGGCGAAAACCACATATTGCTAGGGGGTACCTGCATGTCCTCTTGCGTGCACCCAGCATGCCTTTGCCGCTCGCCGTATGCGAACAGCTTTGTTGGGCGAGAAGTAGTTAGATTAAAGGCGGCACGTCTGGGAATTAATTTCGGTATCAGTTCAAGAGGCGGCCAGGAGGGCTTACATCCCCGGGCCGAAAGTTTTGAGCTGTCGGGCCTTTCATCAGTATACAGACTCTTGCGGAACAGCGGAGTGCTTCAAAGTAACGAATTCCCTACGCAGACCAGCGGAGTAATTACTACGCCGTTTTAAAACTATAATATTTATTCATTGCGGAGGAGGCCCCAAAGCTCGCTTGTGTCAGGAGTCTAGGGGGAAGAGGGTGGGGGCGTGGGTCAACTTCATTATTTAAGTTAGTGGGTCGAACTATCGGCCCGGCGCAGTACTCGCGCTGGTTCGATTGTCTCGCCGTGGGAAGGTCGTGGACACGTGGACCAACCTCGGACCCATCACCGACTTCTGCACCAAGGACTAGTGACTAGCAAACGATAGTTCGTACCCTCCAGTAGCCAGGCCCTTGTTTTCAGTCACGGCATCGCCTTGAGGATGTGGAGGGCTTGGGCTCAAGCGAGCTCATGACCTGCAGCGGCGTGGGCGACGTTGGATCCGTCCGCTTCGTACGGCTGGGAGTTCCCGTCGAAGAGCTGGGCAGATCTGCAGGCCTTATAGGGTTGTGTGTGAGAGAGTGAAGTGGGCTTCACGAGTGTAGTACTTACTGTAGCAAGAGGTGGTTTGAGAGTGGACAGGACTCTTGCAGCATCTTTCTGGACGTCAGGATTCACAGGTGTCCTCGGGCTTTGGCCGCTGGGCTCGCATCACTTGGCAATATCCCGGCCTGGTCGGAGCGATGTGCTGGCTGTGAAAGGCCGGCTCAGTGGGTGTGGCCTACCAGTAGCAGACGCTGGCTTCGCCTGGCCTGTGAGGCGAGCAGGTCGAGGCAATTTCGCAGGACGAGGACTTGGGTTTTCGGCATCATGAGGAGTCGCTTTTCTGCTGCGGCGGCACGGGGCTTAGTTTGCGTTGTTCAAGCAGCGGAAGCAGCTAGGGATGATTCTGTAGCGTGCCTCCCAGGTTTGGCCGTGGCAGATGGCAAAGAATTCGCATTGCAGGTCACGGCATCTGGGGTATGGGCATCCGGCCTGACTGTGGAGAGAATTCGAGCAGTTGCACAGTTCCTCGGATTCAATGCATCTGTAAGACATGCTGCAACAGGAGCAGGATGAAAGAAAACCGTCGGCATTGATATTCTCAATAATTCGGCCTTGCCATGCTCTGGCGATGCAAGTTCCATTCCAAGTAGTTTAAAAACATATGACCTTTATCACAAAAGCAATAGCACAGCGGTTGACGAAATGGCATGAAATGGCATCAGAGCGTCTTAACCAAGGTGGTCTGTCGAGGGGTTCCAGGTCACTGTGGCTGCAGAACTGCGGGTGTGCAGTGCTGATGCGATTGCAGGCCAAGCGCCCATGTGAACTCCGATGAGTTCTTGATTCAATTGTTCTTACATGTAGTTTCTTCAGTGCAGCGAGTAGCGAGAGCAGGAGTACTCGTCGCATCGGCAGCTGGAGATGTTCGGGCGATCGAACTTCGCGAAGGAAAAGGTTGGCAGATGCAGACATCAGGAAGCCATGCTCGAACTATTTCGTTTGACAGGAAACTACGAGATGGCAGAGAGTGCCTCGTGGCAGCTGCCAGGCCCGACAGCTGCTGACGAAACTTTAAGCCGTGAAGTGTCAGCAGACTTTCGGCGCATCGGAGGCGAACCCAGCTGCCTGAGCGGCAGACACGAGCTGCTGCTTGCTGGGCTATGGACTGACGAGCTTTGCATTTTGAAAGGTTCCACAGAGGTGCGCACTCGGCGCGTGGCCATGTCTTCTCCTTGTTGGTTTTTGCATTGCTTTTCGGGCCCGCAGATTGATCAGTCGATATGCAGGTGCAGCGCCTCCCTTTGCCAACGCTGCCTTGGTCGACGACCTCTGCTTTCATCGAGGTGGCTTGGCCTAGGACTAGGACCTTCGGAAAGCTTCGGGTTGTGTTTGGCCCTTTCAACGTGCAACATGCGCTGCTGTGCGCGGCCGCAGTGTAGTGCAGAAGCTTCGAAGTTTGCCTCGGCCGAGTCGGAGCTCCAGCTGTTTGCTGGCCTCCGGGACGGACGCCTTCTCTGCGCCACGGACGACAGTGGAACATGGAAGGTCGCCCGCATCGTGCCTTGGGCGAAAAATGAAAGCACCCTACGGCACGCTTCATTCTGATGGTTGGTTGTGGTCTGTGCAAGGCCTTGAGACCTTGGCCTGATATGATTGGCAGTGAAGCAGCCGAGCTAAGGTCACGGTAGGAACACGCCCCTGCAAGCTCTTGGTGCTGCCGAGCTTCTCATCACGCGAGTCCTCCTCATTTGTCGGTGCCCTGTCGCATCCTTGAGTCGTTTTCGATGCGAGAAGTCTCATAGCATGCAAAAAAAAGCGCCAGATGCTCTGACAAGGACCACAGCAGTGCGGGCAGGCGGCTGCCCCAACCCATCAGGCAGGACTCAGCTGTTGTGCGGGGACATCCCGTTGCTTGTAGCGTTGCATTGAAATTCTGGGGTGTGGTTTAGCGAGTAGAGCGACAAGCAGGAGCACCCGTGAGGTTTATTGTAAGTTGCATGAGCACGCTTCCCAGTACTGCTTTCATGTTGGTTCTAGTGCATGTATCGGTTACGCATATCGGCACAGGATCTGGCAAGTCTTAGCACTGGTACTTGCATCAGCAACAATAGCCTTAGTGTATTCCTGCTGCTAAAGCTGCAGTGATGCTGTGACTGCTTTTACTACGATGAGGTACCACTAGCCTAGTGATTCGCAGAGCAATGCAGGTTGCAATACCACTACTACCGCTGCTAATACCACCACTACCGCTACTACCGCAACTAGTGGGGTTTGTTTCGACTGGACTCAGTTGTGACTTGGGAATCGTGAGTCCTCGCGGAGCTGTCATCGGCGTGTCATGCGAGTGACAAAAAAGCCACAACTAGGACCAACTTCCACTTCCACTTGATATCGCCAGCCACGACAAGCCAAGCCCATTTCCGTTGATGTTGTGCGTTAATGCCAAGCAGTATCGACAAGATGAGCCGCTTTAGGGATAAGGCATTAGGGCCGAGGTTCTCGTACAACCTTGAGACTGTGTGTTTGCAAGTTTCATGTTGGGCGAATATCACTGACTGGCCGCAATCATGGAGGCGAAGGAGATGCTGCTTGTCATCAGCGGGCATGGTGTGATTCTGCAGGCCTGGCGATGAAATCAATGAATACAGTTGCTCACGGTGTGCTCGTGGCGTTTCGAGCTAGGCGAGGCAACCGTTTCGCGTTGTCCACTCGCAGATCTGCCTGCCCAACATCTCCCATGCAGCCCCTCTGCCGGCAAAAGTGGAGAAAGGCTTGCGGCAGAGCAACTGGGAATCACTGCCGCTCGTTGGAGGCCTTCTTCGAGCGCGGTTTCGGTGGTGTTTCGAACGCCATGGCGTTTATCAGCCAAGAGTGCTTTACCAGCACGAAGCATTCCTTGTGAGGCTTCTTGGGTTTTCTGTGCACAGGCACCGTTTCAATGTCCGTCTTTGCGAATTTTTAGAGCCAAGGAAATTGGTGTTTGCGCTGCTCCAAAGTGGCCAGCGCATGCAGGTGGAAACACTCCACCTGCGCCAGGCACCGCACAGGCAGGGCTTCGGTTTGCGACCGGCAGCGAAGGGGGATTGCTTTGAAGTTCACTGTAACATTCGAAACTGTGGCTGACCAGAGTGGGACCTGAGCATGGGATGTTGGTCAGGGTTTCGGAGGGGCAAAGGTTGCACTCAGCCCCTGTCCCTGGAAGGGGCCACTCAGACTATCTCAGACTGACAGAAGCGAACCCTGGGTTAGGCCTACGAGCCACCCCTCGCGAGCAAGCAAGCACGATCGAACTGAATGAACAGACGCACAATCTCGGCACAGAGAAATGCATCCGTACAGGTGTGTATATATATATATATATTTATTTATTTATACAGAATGATATAATGTATGTGTATACATACACATATGTATACAATGTGTATATAATGTGTATATACATCTACACATATATTGTATGCAATATAGCTAGAGTGCAAAAACGCAGGCCCCAGGACAGTCCTGTATATATATATATATATATATATACATATTCACATTTTCCGTCTATTTGTATTTATATCTTGATACATGTGTGTACGTGTACATGCGGTGTACACGCACGTATGTGTTTCCATATATATATATATGTGTGTGTATATATATAAGTATATGCATGTTTGTTGTATATATACATATCCGAAGATCCGAATATATATATATATATATATATATATATATATATATATATACACACACACACACACACGCGGACTGCCTGCCTGCTTGACTGACTGACTGACTAACTGATTCACAGACTCGGCAGAGACAGACAGATAGAGACAGGCAGACAGAGACAGGCAAACAGACACAGACAGAGACAGACACAGACAGACATGCCCGATCATGTGCTTATACCGCGGAATGCAATAATTCTGGTACATTACAAAGCAGACCTGCGAAACCATGCAACGCAACCAAGTTCTGAAAGCATATACACGAGCTGCAGGCACAGGCAGAAACCTGCTTCGTGATGTGCTGCTTGTATCGCTTTCGGCCTGATCACCGTTGCCATTCACTTTTCGCACACCTTGCTGCAGGATGGCCTACCATCAGTCCACCGGGATTTGTGCCGTGGGCTGCTACAGTATCGGATGGCCAATGGCCGCGCATTGGCCCCAGGGTTGGCGCTCAAACGTCGAGCTCGGTATGATTCGTGCAGGGACTTTCGGCGAGGGCAACTTCAGATCGCATTGTGAGGGCGTGCACTTATGCTAAGGTTGAGTCTCTCCGCACCGGTAAATTCCCGCGCCTCCGTCGTGTTCGTCAATTCCGAGACTGCCCGTGTGCTGGACACCCTGGACCTCGCTCAGGAGGAGTCCTGCGTGTGGTCATCCGAAGTCCGCAGTGCTGTTGCGTCCTGTCGTCCTGCGGCGTCAGGAGCAAGTGGCATCAATGGTTTCCGTGTTCTTTCAGGGCGATCCAACTGAGTACATCGCTGCCAGGGCCCTGGCTCGAGTCCACGTCTAAGGGCAACCGCGGTTCGGTGTGCTTTGTGCGCAGATCGGTTTGGGGCCACTCGGCTCAGGGACCGGTGCCCGGAGTAGCAAGTTCATCTGATTTCGCTGGTGGGTTTCTGTCTACAGACAACTGCAAGGGGATTGTACTTAGCCAGAAAGAGTGAAACTGCCTTGGGATAAGACACGTGTTCTGAAGTGCGCACAGGTATGTAGGAGGCTCAGGTTCTCGATGCTCAAGGTTGCGGCATGCTTGCTCTTAAAGAGTTGCGCAGCCGAGCCAGAGCCGGATCAGCGACTCTTGGCCTCGCTAAGCGCCTGGAGGCTTGAGCGACGCAGACTCGCCGAGAACAGCTCTCTAAGCGGCGACTCGCAGGGACGACATGCCTCCGTACATCTCAGATACATCTCACCAGCCCTCGGGCCATTGGATGCTTGGTACAATGAGGTCGAAGTGCAAGAGAGCAGCACCAGCTCCTACTTCAGTGTGCTCGGCCATGCGTACGGTTATGCCGGAATACAACAGCTCACAGAAGACCCGTTTACCGGGAGAGTCATTTTTTCGATCTGGGATCCCCCAAATTGCAGCAACCATGATTCAAGTGCTTGCCCAGAGGAGGAACGTGCATCTTTCACGACATGCGGCCCAGACACTGTGTGCACCCGCTTTGGTGGCGAAGGCAGCGGGGCCAAATCCTACATGGAATGGAACACATGGCAAACGGACAAGAGATACAAATTCCTCATACATGCATCTCAACGCGGCAAAGAACACGTCGAATTCAGCTGTAGGTTTTATGCAGCTGAGTTTGGCTGGCGCATGCTTTCACGAATTGTGGTGCGCCACCGCCCAGATATGCCTCAAGGGATCTCTGCCATGTATTCGTTTGTTGAGCAGTGGACGCCAGCAGATGCTCAGGACAAGCGCTGGGCATCGTTTGGCCCTTCTTTGGTTCGAGGAAGTGATGGATCGCAGCATGAATGGATGCAGGTTATAGAGGCAAGATGGACGCATTCGCAAGCAGCCGCTGAGGACACAAGTCACATCGACGGGGGCCTTAGCTCCAAGGGATATCGATGGGAGCTGGGTCTTGGAGGCGACACAGAAAGGGGCTTGGAAATGTACGACAATCTCACCGTCATGAAAATCGCAGCTTGTCCATTGCAGCTGGCTGAAGTCGTCTCGTTGGAAGAGGCAGGTCACTTGCCAACGGGACAGCCTCCCAAGACAGTCGTGTCTTGTGGGAATCACGTTGCCGACAGCTGCCAAGACTGTCCGCAAGGCAATGGACCGCAGTGGTGTAATGGAGATTGCTCCTGGAATTGGGGCGTCTCCAGTTGCGAGCCATTGCCGTGTCACCAAAAGCATGGCAAGGCGTGCAGTGGCGACTGCGAGTGGGACCCGGACAGCAACTCCTGCAAAGCTAAGTCTCGCCTACTACATGGTGTGCTCGACTGCAGCAGCACAAGCAACTTGCTGACGCCTCCAAGTGTCGTAGATGTCGCTGTAGATGTCGCCAACCAGGGCACTGCTGCCATGCTCTGGATAGTGCTCGGAGCTTTTGCCGGGCAGTAAGTACAGCTCTGCGTCGTCGAAGATGACTTTCGAGCTGATGTTGCGAGTTTTTTACTAGCTGGAAATGAGATGGAACAGGACAGAAGAGTTTATCAGAAAGTGAGAGTGAACGAGAGAGCATCCCCACCACACTGCTGCAGGGTCAACGTAGATTCTGTAGATTCAAGGTGATCTGGATCGAAGACAAGTGGAATAATTTCTGATACTTCTAAAATGTGTGACGTAAGAACCAAACCTGCCTCGCTGCAGCGAGGTTGGCACTGCCTTCGTTCATGAACGTGAGCCTGAACCGTCAAGAGGGCAGGCCAGTGTGACATCGCGAGCCAGAGTTCAGTCCGAACGGTACTGCATGGTGCCATGACTTCGCCAGGTTCGGCTCCTGGCCCCATGCGAATCGCCCAGCTCAAGCACCAGACTCAGCCGCTCAGCCATGTGCGTGTTCTCACCAGAGAAGTCCTGCCCGGGGCCCAGGCTCAGGAGGCAACTCGCAGGCCTGGGCCCAGGGTCCTTTGGAGACCTTGCAGTGGGTGGCCTCGATGGAGTGTTGGTGGCGTTGATGCCGCTGAGAGTCTTCTCAACATACTTCAAGCAGTGAGCCAAAGCCCTGCCCTGAAGTAGCAGAATTTCCCATTCGTGGAAGTAGCCGTGCCAGTCATCATCACGGCACGTCAGGCGCCTTAGACATCCCCCACGTCAGGTCTTGCCTCCTTTCAGGGAGGTGGCATCCTTGGAGGTGGCGGGCGCAGTCTATGCTTTGCTCCCGCTTGCGGGAAAGCTCCTCGGGGCAGTGCCTCGCTTCTAAACGGACAGGCTTTTCAGGTCGCTTATGAAAGCGCCAGGAAGGCCAAGTGCTGCTGCCTTCGCGAAGGTCAACAACCGCCTCCAGCTTTGGAAGCTATCTCGCGAGACGGGCGAGGATCGCCTTCACCTGGCGGAGGCACCAGCTGCTACATCTGCTACAGGTAGCTGCGGGCTTGGCTTGGCTTAGAGAGTTCATCTGCACGCGGCCACGATGTGGCGGAAGCGTGAAGCGGCTCGAAGCAATCTGACAGTTTTGGAGTTGCACATGCCACACGAGTTTCATGAATATTGATTGATGTGTCGAACGTGTGCTGTCTGCCGGCATGTAAAAGCTCTTGCCTTCGCTTGCAGGTTCAGCGCCATCACGCTGGCCTCATCATTCTGGACTTGCAAGCGAGAGGTACCATGACTGAACGTTTCGGTTTGGTGATGTCAGTAGGAGGCTTGGCGTCGTCTCAATTTCATGTTCTTGTCTTTGCGCGTCGCTCATCGTGCTACTGGACTCATGCAGCGAAAGAACTGCTTCCTAGGCAATGACATCCTCGTCGGCGACATCATGCGTTCAGTCAGCCTGCTGCGCTTTAATGAGTCGCAGGCCGGCTTAGTCTTGTCCGCCGAGGGTTTTCATTTCGAAGACTTCCCAGCCAGCTCTGACGAGGAGCCTTCTTTTGAAGTCCTGGCTTATGACCAGCTATCTGCGTGGTCGACTGCTGTGGACATGCTTTCAGAGACTCACTTCCTGTGCCTCGGAATTTGAAGAAACTGCAACGCATCATTCCTCCCCCTCTTTCTTGCAGTTCGCTGCCAAATGCCGTCCAGGCCCAGCCTGGGGAGTACAGAGCATGTGCAATTGAAGACAGGTGCGCGGACGACTGTGGCAACCTCATGTCGCTGGTCCCAGGCGAGGTGACGAAAGCTCAACCAGACCAGGCGACTTCAGAGGTGCCACCCGGCAGAACCAGCTGACGATGATGATTAGAGTTTAGAGGCCCGGCCAGGCTCTCGAAGAAAAAGCCGCCAAGCTGCAACTCTGACACCGAGGAAGATCTTGGAGCGGGTCGCTGTGCAGCACTGGGCATCTTTCATCTTTGGGTGGCTCGCGGCTCTTGAGTTTTGAAGTGTTACCACCGCTCAGATGGGTCGGCTGCACACTGGAGAGTTTGTGCCGCTCGGCCTGTTGCTTGCCCTTACTGTTTTATCCTCCGTTTTCGGATTGACGTCTGCTTGGCCGAAGTGATCCACGTGCAAAGTTAAGCGACAAGGAACCGCTTCCGGAAAGGAAGCCTTGGACTGAAAGTGAGCACGCAGCAAAAGACAACAAGCACCATTTGGGCAGCTTGGCTGGCCAGAGTTTTGGCGAGATTCTTTTCCGAAAGAACGACCTCCTTCTCTCCGTCTGGACTTGAGGCCAGCGTATCTGGTGCTTTTGGCCTCGTCATCCCTCTTCCTTGCGACAAGAGTTTCACGCGCCTCTTGATTCTGCAGGACTGCGCAAGCAGGGCTGTGCCCAAACATGTTCGGAATGAAGCACCTTCTTTTCCCCGTCAGCGAATCATCACGGTGAGTCTGCCGCATGTTGCCTAGAAGGACTCCATGGCCAAGCGGCTGCAATCTCCTTTTTCTCATGGCGACTGGCGTGATGTTCGGTTGGACCTGCAGGCAACCGTGAAGCACAAGGGCTTCACATTTATCATCCCGTGCCACCGCATGCCGTTTTTGGCAGAGTTTGAAGCTGAGGTCGGGATACATGAGCGGGAGAAGTAGGAGTAGTAGGCGCTGTAGTATAGCAGTAGTAGTCGTAGTAGTCGTCGTAGTCGCCGTACTAGAAAAAATAGCATTTTCCAGGTGTCTGGCCGCAGTTCCAATTCCCACCTGAATAAGATTACAACATGTTTTCCTGAAGACAGTGAGCAACACAAATTGACGAATGAAGACAACTAACCGCGCATTAAAAGCATGAGGACGAACCATGGCAGAAAGGTGGTTGAACAAGATTCAAGAAGAAGGCGTTGTGGAGTTAGAGCCCTCAAGGTTCTGAGTAGGTCCGTGGATTGAAAGCTGCCGAACCCGAATTAGGGCCTTACGGGGCTAGCACCGGTAGGGGCACTACTAATACCGTCGTAGCAGCAGCACCGAAATAGCACACATTCCCAACCTGTGCGTTGATTGATGTTGCTGCGCATCGCCCTCTCCTGTGCATTGCCTTTAGCCCGGTCTGCGTAATTACCTTTTTTTTCCGGTGTGCTCTGCGTTGATGTCTTGCGTTGGCTATTTAGTTTTGCTCGACACTGTGTTTCCCTGTGCGGCTTTGCATGTTGACTCTTCTGCTCTCCCACCGACTGCGCTGGCACATCGATTTTTAAGGTTGTTTCCGCTCACCTCGCCTGTTTGACGGTCCTCGAGCCTTACATGGTGGATTGGCTGGATTTCCCGAGGATTTGATTTTCGGCTTTCTCCATATCAAATTGGAAGTGATTGCATCAAGTTGTCCAGGAGCATCCGAATTGAAGTCAGGCATGCCGGACGTGGCTTGAAACGCGAGAGTGGGCAGGACATTTTCGATCGAGCTGTGGCGTGAGTGTGACAGGATCGTGTCCGAATGGATCTGCGAAAGATCACCCACTTCCTTATTTCAGAACACGTCGGGGCCGCGCATGCGGCCGTTGCAAGAATGTGTTGCTCAAGGAACTGAAAGAGCACGCGCTGCAGTTCGTTTCACATTTGAGGGAGTTCGCTCTGCCTTGGAAGCTAGTCAGTCCTCCGTTTCGTTGTGTCGGCCGAAGCCGGATGGGGGACGTAGATGAGGCAATGGCCTGATGCAGGGCATGGGATCATTCATCCAAGAGCCCGGCTTCACATCGCGGTTGTTCTCGATGCCTGTACGGCGAAAGATCTCTAGTGCTACTAGCAGCTGTCGCGATACTACTGTGATTGCTGCGATCATGTCCGCCATCCCTGCCAATATTCCCCTTTCGTTGTCGTAAGTGCTACTTCTCCTGATGCCAGCCTTCAGCCCCTGCAGGGTGAGACAGCGGCCCACGAGGGATTTGTCGACGGAGACCTGGTCGAGCGCTTCTTGGAGATACCGCAGGATGAGCAGGAGGCCTCTGAGCCCACTGTGCACGTAATGGTCCCGACACGCACGGATAGGTCGGTTAACAGGAAGGGGAAAAGCTTTCTGGTGTTTGTGCCCATTGCCGCCGTTTTTCGCAGGAAAATGTACTGAAACATCTCGCGAGATTCCCTGTCGCCTGGTTTTGATTGTCGAGTCATCAACTTAGGCCTGTATCAGGCTGGTAGAATCGCAGATTCGCACAGCTATAGTACCGATGAGTTCTTAAAGTCCCTCGCACGTAAGTACAATTCAGTCCACGGCCATTCGTGTGCACGGGCGCGCTTGTGGGCATACAAAACAGCTGCACATTCGCACGCAACCAGCGCAAACACACGCACATGGCACGATACATATAGGTTCATTATATAGACACGTCAGATGTGTATGTGTGTATGTACGTATCATTAGTGATAAACACACGTATATATGTATGTGTGCTTGTGCATGCATCACACATAATTACATACGAACGAATGCAGACGTACACATACATACATACATACAAATATGTATACGAGTATGTCATGTATGTATATGCTACAACCGTACTTGGAAACTCCGAGCTGGCTCCATGTCGTCGCTAGACGATGTGTGCTTGGAGTATGTGGGGCCTTGCATGCTTTGTGCGAGTCGTGGGATTCGAAAACAGATGGTCCGTCGAAACAGTTCGTTCAAACAGACACAGATGATCAGTCTGCTGTGGACTGTTGACGAGAGCTGCTAGCAATTCCGGCTGGCTTGATTCAGAAGTCCTCTACCCCGCGTTTGGCTTGGCATAGATTGAATCGTCTCTTGATTGCTGCCGCTGAAGCCAAGCCACCAAGCCAACTGAGTTGAGGTTTGCGGCTTTGGGGTTCAGGCTGCTCCCTTGCATGTGCTCTTAAATTGTGAGTGTGGCGGCTACCTAGGTCCCGTGAAGGCGCGAACTTCCCGGCCGTTTTTGCTCGTCGCAGACTGGAGCTAACTGTGAAACTTGCTGGGACTTTCGGATTCGCTTCCTCGGATATATCGAAGCGCATCTCACAAGTCCTGCATATCCAAAAGGCGAAGTTGTCACTTCGAGAAAACAGATTTGTTTCGAACAGCATGTTCAGTACAGTCGTGTACCTTTTTTTATATACTTTATGTATGTATATATATATATATATATGCCTGTGCATGCGCACACACACACACACACGCAAGCACGCGGAACACAAACTGTTGCGAACAAACTACTGCGACTTGCTACTCAACCTCGGTTCCGCAGGTGATCCAGCTCATTCATATTACTGGCGGTGCTTATGATGTGATGGTGTTGTCTGTAGAGCCACTATGTGTCAGTGGCACGTGACGATCTCGGCACCGCTACAAGTCGCATCAGCCCTGTCAATGTGGTTGAACGTCAGGCCGATACTAGGCCCGAGTAGGAGGATTTTGTGCCAGTCAGCGGAGCAGCTTTTGACTTGATTGCAATGCAACCTGTCGCGTCGGACTTCTCGAGCTTTTCACTTCACGATGCGATTCGACGTTGCTTGATTTTGTCATATGTTAGATGCCTGAGTTGATAGGTGGTGGCAGAAGAGCTGGCAGCGAAGGGACTGTTGGGTCACGAGAATCCGCTGGAGGACTTTGCTCGCCAGCCGAAAACGCGTAGCCTCGGCACGCAGGTCAGTAACCCTCCACAGCTTCCAATTCGGCCGATAGGAGTGCCCTTCCCACACATGATGCCGAAGGAGCTGCTGCACGAAGTGGAGACTCTGTGGCAACTGCACTAGCAGTCACGTGCGGCTCCAAAACCTGTTGCGCTCGCAATCGCCATGCCCCATATCTTCTTGCGGACTTGGGATCACGTTCTTGCAATGCATTGTGCGATGACAGCATTGGAATACAGGCGGATCGCAACTTGCACACTTTCTTGGCCGCTTCGCTTCGTGCTGCGAAGCCGTGCTGGGTGTAACAGCTTCGCATGTGCCCATGGACCCTGGCACATATCTGCGCCTGAAAGCCTGAGAGTAACACCGGACTAGACACAAGCATGCAGGGAAGGGCAGCAAGCAAGAACCAAGGCAGCAGTGACAGGGCCAACACAGGTGTCAAGAAGCTGCCTTTACTGGCTGCTCAAAGCCTCGCGCGCCATGTCGATTGAAGAGCGGTCGAAGCGCTTTACACCAAGGGTGTCCACGGCTTTTTGTATGGCAAGAGCGTGCCCCTTAGGCCCAGTGCAGAAAGCGGGAAAGCTGAACAGGCGTTTGTGCAGCTGGACAATCTTAGCGGCAGAATTTTGGTGAACATACGAGAGTTGTGGAAGCCCTATAAAAATTTTCTGCTTCTCGTAGCAGTAAGGTGTGGAACGGTGGCCAGGGTGGCCAGTGTCCACTCACGCCAGCTACACGGGGCCTCTGCCAGTATCATGTGGATAGGGATGAGGACATTGGATTGAACTACGGGCGTGTTGATGGTGCCTTTTGCAGCAATTGAGCCATTGCTTTCTCTCCCAAACTCTGCCAGTTGCTTGTAGCGGGCGTGAAGCAGAATTTGTTTCATGTGTGCGCTGGCCCTGTAGGTTCAATCCCAGAGGAAACGCTACTGGCCTTCGAGGCAGCTGCCGGGACAAGTGACACAAGCCGCTCCCCTAGTTTAGACAGTAACCATAGACTACAGTGGAGGTCGTCGCAGAGTCGCCTCGAGTGCCTTTCACCGAAGATGTTCAGGGACTGGGACTTGAATCACAGCCCTGACATCCGAGACCCAGATGCTGTGGTCTGACTGATTCCGCGAATGAAGCAAATAATCGTGTCTCCACACAGGCCTCAGACCTCAACAGAAGCACATCAGCAAGTGACACCAACATCAACGAGCAGAAACGTGAGTTGGCTTTAATCTCCTGAACCTCTTTGAGGTCCAAACAAAAGCGAGGGGCGGCGCCAGCGGAGCCGCAGTGGCGCACGCGAAAGGAGAGAAGCGAGCCGGCAGGACGGGACTTCACAACCTGCCCAGATGTGACGTGCATGTCGACCTGCAAACATGTCCGAGAGGAGATCAAGGCGCGATCAAAGCCGAAAGCAAGTCCAAGAGCCAAGGCGGAGGCAAAGGAGCCTGTCAAAGCTGAAAGGACCACGGCTTCAAAGTTTCGAAGTTTTTTTGTAGCCATGGCAAAATTTTTGAAAGCCTTGGAGTGCTCCGCAATACGAGTTTCCATGACATGCACGGTGCCGTTGGGCATGCGCGGTCCAGATCAAGTCAGGAGCATTCAGAGCAACCGCCCGCGCTGCACTTCGCGTGTATGGGCAGGTGGCCAAGGCGGACAGTGCCTTGGCGCAATGACGTGATCCATGACTGCTGCCACGGCTTGTGCAAGCGTGTGGACTTTAGGTGCACGAGGCACTGTGAAGTTGAAGGTGGCCTCTGCAGCTTGCATGCGGCAGAGGCGGCCAAACTGGGATGCCCGAAACACGGGTACATCCACGGTGGCTCGGATTCAGGGGGTCCTGGCCTGTCTGCGGAAAGGTCCAATATGGAGAGTGTAAGCACAATTGATCTCACGTCTGTGGCCACTCATTGTGAACTGTCACAAGCTCTGGGGAAACACGAACTGCCAGCCGTTGCTAGCTGAGGCGATATCCCCGAAGGAAAATACAAGGAGTTCAAAAAGGAAGCAGTGCCTTGGCCAGAACAAGTTCAAGACAGTTCAAGATTAATTCTGCAAGCCTGCCAACTCTGTTCAGGACCGGAGGGGCTGGTCTACGCCGAGTCCGCAAGCTCCGCCGCCTGATGCCCAGTGGTCAGCGCATGCGACAGCCTTGGGAAGGCATAGGCTTTGTTATCCTCACAGAATCCAGAGCATCTGAAAGGCCTGGTCCTTCCGGTGCCAAACAGAAGCGGCCGGTGGGGCGCCCACGGAAGTGACGCATCCTTGTACAGCCTTTCAGAATGGCCTCAAGCAGACGTGCACTTGCTTGGCTTATTGAACCAAAAGTCCTGAGGCGGAGCATTTCAAGTTTTCAGGGACCTTGAACAATCTGGCTCAATGCGCTTCGGCAAGCCGCCGCCGCTTTTCATGGAAAGCTCTCAGCAAGGATACCTGCAGCAAACCAACATGGTAGGTCGGCAGGCGACAGCTCGGTAATCAGATGCATACACACGCACAGACACGCAAACTACCGTGGGGCCCGTGCCTGTTTCCTTTGTGCTCGCACTTGGACACTCTCTGCAATGCTGGGCCTCGATGCGGCACCCGATTCAGCAGAGGAGCACTATCTGGACTTTTCGGCTTTCCCCAGTGTCAAAGAGTGCCTTGGCGTATGGATGATATTGAGAACGAGGTGACTTAAGTCAGAGTCACATGTTTTCTCCGTGATCATACCAGGCTCCTGGTCGCCAGTGACCAGTATGCGCGTCACAGTGGCTGCCGCTTCCGAAGAGCTTCATTCGAGGATCCGGAGGAAGGCTACGCGGCAAAACCTCAGCAAAAGTCCCTGTTTCTGCGAGCCGCGAGCCCGTGCCAGGCTCTGACCCAGAGCTGAAGGCAGCGAAAGCGCAAGCTGCACCGGTTGTGAAGGACTCGTGAGGGATTAGCAAGGGGCTTTGTATGTAGAGACTCTTTCGAGTCTAGAGGTCGCAGCCGACGTCCTTCTTAGGCTTGGTTTGTTGCTTGTGTGTGTATCCAGAAGCCAGCAAGGAGTTTCTGGCCAAACTGGAGGGGTCGCCAGACCAGGTGCAAAGTCCTATTGACATATGACTTTGTCAGCCAGTGATGGAAGCGAAGCCTTTGTGAGGTACTGATGAAAGATTTCAACGAAGCCTTCAATATTTTGTGGACCGAGAGTATGCGCAGCTCCATGGTGGCCAGGCGCCAGCTCTTACACATGGGCGACTGCAGACTGACAGGATGCCTGATCCTGTAAGATGAGAGTCCCGGTTGCAAATCGTGCATTCAGGTGCCACCAGCTCGATCTCTGGCCACCAACCCCGGCGCCCATTGGCATTACAGATGACGATGTTGACTATGAAGCGGACACTACGCCCTTTGTTGCAACTCTGGGCCGTTTCGGGGGAACCACTTAGATTCGGACGTCCGAGATGTATTCAGCTTCGCAGTCGGCTTGATGCCAGCTAGCTAGCACGTAGGTGCGTTCCGCGCTCCGCATAATTAGCTTCCAGGTGCCTTTTCGCCCTTGCTCAGCGATTGTACAACCACGACTCTCGGCACAATGCCTCCACCAAAAGGCTGGGTGGATATGCAGGGGGTTCAGAAGGACTCGGAGAGACTTCGGGACAGGCGATTGTCGACGGCTTCCTTCCTGGCCGACTTCGCCTACGAAGCAGGCATTCCGACACCGGACTTTTTCAAGAGCAGGAGTCCCGTCCTGGACAAGCTCCACAGCAGAAAGAAGGAGACCTTTCCCTTTGCTGTTTGCTTCGGTTTTCTTTGCATGCAAGCATCCAGGGATGCCAGCACCAGGTTCGAAAAGATGGCGGATGAGTACGAGGAGCGGATGTTCTCGCCAGCGACGCGTCGCACTCACATGTGGTGGCTACCATGGAATTTGCAGCTTGGCTCTCAATCGTAGGGTTCGAAGTTGAACTCGAGCAAGCTGCGCAGAGGCTTGGGCCCAGGGAGAGCTTCTTCATGAGCAAGTTAGAACCCCACAGAAGAAACACAGACCAAAGAAATGTCTGGGAAGCTGGCATGATTTACATCCCTCTGGCCGCCAATCCTACTGCAGACAAACACCAGATATATCGAGATATAGTAGAATTCACCTTCAAAAACCATAGGACCCCGCCTGAAGCGTTGTCCGGGCCTGTTGCACGAGGATCTGGGATGCTGGCTCTTGGCTGCTGGGCATGTTTTCACGAGCTCTTCGACCTGTTGTGGACGCTGCATGCACATCACGGACTAAGAAGCTTGAGTGAACGCATGCATCTGCAAAGATGCTATATGCCCTGGATGCACTGTTTCAAGAATGTGCCTCTGGGAACGGGTCTGAAAGTTGGTTGTAGTTTGCAGTTCTTCCTTGTCCCCCTCAGCACATTTGGTGTGGTCTCACTGGGGCCCGGGAGCCTCCTTTCACAGGCTTGGACTGTGAAGCATCTTCCCTACCCGCAAGCTTGCAGGAAATCCTGGCCGAGTGAAGGCTCCACACAGAGATAAGGGAATACGAGCCACCGGCATAGGCATGTGCTCACTTCTTCATCTCCACGTTCATATGCATGCATGTGAACAGCCACATAACTGACATAAATGCTCGCAGAACAGACTTTACAAAGTTTCATACTCGAGCCGGTCGGACCAAGTAAAAAGCATTGCGGTCGAGACTGCTCTGGCCCTCTTTGAGGGATACAGATTTGCCCGGCATGCCCCTCTCGGAGGCACCGGCTTGTGCCAACCGGTAGTGACAAACTGGTCCTGTTCTGCGCTGACTTCACATCTCCTTCAGTGGATCATGAAGGATCTGAGCGCTACAAAGACAGGCGACTTTTAATTCTCAGGATGCAGGCAGTTGCTTTTGCCATCGCTGGCGGCTTGGTTCAGAGACTGGCACGAACGACAAAGTTCGGCAGAGCTTTGACAGAAAAAGACAGCGCCAGGGCCCCGCTGACGGCGGGCGTCTCTGCTTTTCTGGATGTCTTTCTTGCAGACGGAGCTGTCACATTTTCCACGCGCTTGAAGTCGAAGGGCTGAAGCCTTGCCGTGTGCTGTGTTGCGGCTTCTATCAAGCCCGACTAGGGGCCAACATGTAACGTATGCAGTGGAGGGATTTGTCCACCATTTGGCAGCTGGTCCGGGCCTCAGCAGCACCAATCATGCTTGATCACCTTCCAGGCCAATTCTGGGCATTGCGCTCCGTTGCCTTGAAGCGCACCTAGCAGACCTAGCATCGCTAAACGCAACATCGCGAAGCTCTCGACTGTCGCTGCATCGCCTTTCCATGACAAGCTTGACAGCGATAAGAAGCCCCCCATTCAGTGCCTTAAGAGAGCAAACCTGCCCAGTTGCCGGCCAATGCCGGAAACTATCGAGGCGGGGGCTCGGGGCTCGGGGGCATGGGCTGAAAGGTCCTGCTCCGGCGAAGTGGTTCTGTGCAACTTGAATTAAGTCTTCAGGGTCAGGCGGCAAACGCCGTGTGAGAAGGAAGAGCATTGTGCAGTACATTCCGCGCCTGGCTTTAGCCTTTTCCGAGCACCTTCCCTACTAGTACCGGCCGAGTCGAGCAGAAGCACCCCCTGAGAAGCCGAGCAGTGCCAGGTGGGGGAGCAGGAGCAGCGGGCTCTAATTGCCAGAGCTCACAACGTCACTGTACTACAAGTTGCAGGGGCCCCACTCGGGCACTCTCGCAGAAGCGCATCGCATCGCTTCAGCTCATCGCAAGTCTGCTGCTTCCAAGGTCGAAGGCGAAGACAACTCCGTGTGTGCGAGTGCAATAGGCGCGGTCGTCCAGCTGCTGGCATTCTGTTGTAGCAGAGTAGCAGAGGAGCAGCAAGCAGTGCTGTACAATTTTGTCATCGTGTCGTGACGTCAGTGGTACCCGTTTGGGCAGCATTGGTTGTTGCTGTATCTGTCATCACTCGTAGTCTTGGTCCGTTGTAATGGCAGTCGGTGTCGTCAGTCGTCGTTCTCGTCGTCGTACTGTAGTAGGAGCGGCAGCCGTAGCAGAGTAGTAGCAGTCGTCGTCGACGCCGTCGTCGTAGCGACATTCGTCGCAGTAGTCGTGGCAGCAGTCGTAGTAGAGCTCGTCGTAGTACGAGTTCGCAAGTCAGTTCTAGTACTTTCTTACACTGGTACTCGTTCTGGTCAAGTACTGGCAGTAACAGTCGTGGTCGTAGTAGTACTGCTAGCGGTGCGGCAGTAGTACTAGTCGTGGTAGGATGAGTAGCAGTAGCAGTAGTAGTAGTAGTAGTAGTGGTAGTAGTAGTAGTAGTAGTAGTAGTAGTAGTGGCAGCAGCAGCAGGCAGCAGCAGTAGTAGTCGCAGTAGTATCAGCAGAAGCAACAGTAGCAGCAGCAGCAGCGGCAGGAGGAAGAGTAGTAGTAGTAGTAGTAGTAGTAGTAGTAGTAGTAGTAGTAGTAGTAGTAGTAGTAGTAGTAGTAGTAGTAGTAGTAGGAGTAGTAGTAGTAGTAGTAGATGATGATGAGGATCGGCAGGAACAGAAGCAGAAGCACTAGTAGCAGCATCAGCAGCCAATGCACCATCAGTATCAGGCAAAGAGTCATCCAGTTGAGTTGTCAAAGTGTGATTCTTTCGGGCTGCATGCTCGAACAGCACCCCGTGCAGAGGTCGGCGGCCATGCGTGATGACTACGGGTGCGCTGCTAGCCCTTGTCTCAGTGTCTTTTTGTGTCGGACCTCAGCTGGGTTTCCGTGCTCAAGGTTTTCGAGCAAGTTGCGCTCGCGCACAACGCTGTAGGGGTCGTTGTGTTCTTTTGATACTTGTAGTGTGCACGTCCAGGCACCACCTGCCGGTCGGAGTTTGAAAACAATGCTAATCCCAAGTCCAAAGAATGCCTTGGAAACTCTGCTACTTGTTGCTTCTTACTCTATTTGTAGCGATCGGATCAGAATGGAAGATCAGCCTCTCTGGGGACCCTGGTGCCTTGAGCCTCTACGAAGTCGGCAGCAACATCTGAAAAGCCGGAGGCAGACAACGGGATTGGGTGTGTATTCAGCTTGCAGGCCTCGCTTTTGATGGCGACAGCGCTGGTGCTCCTGTCTAGACACACGTTCACGAAGGCCGGCAGGGCATGCGAGTCGGTGCACAAATCTTGCCGCATGTGGTCACGCCAAAGGATCGTTTTTCCACGCTGGTCGTTCCGTCAAAGCAGCAGGGGCCTAAGCGCTGGGCTGGGCAATTGCAGAGACACGCTCTGCTCGGAGACTCGGAGAGTGCTTCCTAGCAAAATCCCGATGCTGAAGTCTGTGGTCCTAGCAGGCGCCAGGCAGGCACCAGATGCCCCATGCCTATACTTGAGCCCTTGAAGCCCTTGGCAAGGTTGCAGGACTTCAACCAAGACATGACCTGCACACCAAAGTGCCCAGCCGCGCGCCGACTCGCAGAGGACAATGGCGACTTGCAACCTTAGACCTTTCACTTTGGATGTAGCAGCGCGGGAGAAGAGAAGAGCAAACGCGAGAGAGACAACGGTGCGTAGACCATGAAGTGCTAAGTGCTCGTAAGTCTGCCGTGTGCAACTTCGCACGGAGTTGCTGGAGTCCCGGGTGTCAGTATTAACGAAGTCCCCCGAGAAGCCAGTGAAAACATGCGAATGATCAACGTCTTCCAAGCAGCACTTAAAGACAGGCAGTGCCCAAGGGGCCAGCAAAGCAAGAAAGCTTACGGCGGCACGGCGGGGCCACTGCGCCACACCAGAATAAGACAAACTCGTCATCAGCTTCATTGAGTGACGTCAACAGTTGCGGCGATGACGATCACCCGATCTACCTATCTATGCCTCGTTCGACGCATCTATCTCTATCCCTCTATCTACCCATCGATCCATCCATCTCTTCATCCCTCCATTTATCCATCCATCCATCTATCGATCTAACTTGTGGGCTTGTTGTTTTCAGGGCTGCCCTGCGCGCGGCATTAGCAGCGACACGCCCTTGATTCAGCAAAGCGTTTGCCAGCCAAATGTTCTAAGACTTCCTGCAGGAGCCTGACGATGGCCTCACGAGCCTAGAGCCGCTTGGAGGCAAACTGTTTAGAGCTGTTTTTCTTTGCATCCGCGGTCCTTAAGGCAGTGCTTGGAGCGCTGCCCCTCGGTTGGGTTCATGGCAGCCATGGAGTTCGGCGACTGCAGGGCCAGCTGCGAAAGACGCCGGTCTGCCAGTAGCGCAACGCAACGCAGTCAGCACGTGGCTGACAGAGTTCCGACGAGTCTCTATGCCAAGGAAAGCATCCCACAGCAGGCGGGCCGTGCCATCGATGCCTTTGCGAAAGCTTGAGCGACAGCCGATAGACCTTCTGCGATGGCAGATTAAGAATCAAGATGTAGAAGAAGCCATACTTAGACGTAGACGCTGTTAAGCCTAAGGCCTAAGCTTTCCGCTTCATGCAGGAAAGAAGGCTCCCGCCTCGGAGCCACCTTTCGAAGGCCGCGGGCGAAGAGGGGAATGACGCAACGTGCCACGCCGTCCCACGTGGGGATTTCGCGTTTTGCGGCGCCTGCCGCCTGAGCTCTCTGGTTTCATCACTGCACAGGATGCAAGCGCACATGCCGCCAGCACAAGGGGAACTTTTGGCACTTCTTGTGCGCCACCTCCCTCTCGGGGCTCAGGCCGCGGATTGATGCATTCGGTGTTGCGATGGGCAGGTACTCCAATTGTGCCAAAACCTGTGCAGCAAAGACGGCGCTCACTCAGGCATGCACCCTGCACAGATGCCACTGACAGACATTTGTGCAGCAGATGAGCGTTGGCCTCATGACAGACCACGGGCTTGAAAGTCACGCGAGGTAGAGTATATGCAGAAGTACAACATCTCTTTCGGGAAAGAAGGCGAAGAAGATCTGCAGGCGGAGGCCTGCGGTTGGCAAGACTATGGAATCCACCGAAGTGCCGCGAGCATACCGAGGTCACTGCGCTGCTGAGGACGAGGCATGTCTGGACTGAGAGATTTCTGCGTGCAAAGTTCCTTGCATGTTGCAGGTTCAAGTTCAAGAAGCGCTCCAGCAATCATCCCTTCAGCTTCATTTTGGAGACGTGCCCCATCCCCATATCGTGACGATGACGGTGACATTGAAGGGCAATTCCTGCTGTGAGAGATTTGTACCGTCTTGGATCCAGCGTGGACACAGCTTGGATGTGAGCATTCGTACAGTGTGTTCGGAGCACGCCATGCAGCGAGCTGAAAGGACTCGGGGACAAGCTTCTGAGAGTGTTTTGGGCGGCGGATGGCTGCAGATTTGGAGACTGAAATACCTCAAGTTCTGAGTTGGAGACGTATGCCGAGAAAAGTTCACAAAGAAGACTAAAGTTGACTAAAGGCATAGCAAGCAAAGAGTGCTTCTCAAGAATGGAGAGACTTGCCCTTGACAACCACATGCGACATTCGGGCAGCGACACGCAGTACTCAGCTTCCATGGCGACCAGGTACCAGGACAAAGTTGCAGAGGCTTTAGCCAAGGTGTTAGCAATCCCGGAGAAAGCTCCGCCGCCCAGAGTGGTCATCAGGCTGGGAGCTGGACGTATGCATGTATGCCGGGTCTGCGATAGCATTTTGCAAGATTTACTGCTCCAAGGCAGTACCGACCTGGCATCCACCACGTGGTACCAAACGCACTTGGCCTGGGGAGTGTTTGTGAATTATAAGCAGTATAACCGAATTTTCTGTGAGGGTTTTCTAGTAAAGTCCGCATAAAGAGCGTGACGCGTGGCAAGACGATTGAGGTTCTCATCAAGGATCCCGGGAACGACGTCGAAGCCGTCGTGGACATCAAGGCACCGAAGTTTCCAAATCGACCACAGTCGAATTGCGCGCCCAGTTTGCCGGTGCCAAGTGCATACTCGGCTGACTGCAAAAGGGCCTGTCGATCGCTGACGTGAAGAAGTTGGGTGACAACGCCACGCTGGAACAGATCGACAAGGCCGATTCGACAGATGTCAATCTTCAGCTGTTACTTAGTTACTTTTCGTCCTGCACCTTTTCTTACGCAGTCTTGCCGGTGCACGTAAACTGCACTAGTGGCCGCATCTTCAGATGATGTCAAGGTTGTTGCTGCCCAGCACGTGCCAGGAGTTGAAGATGTCGCTGGTCAGGGACGTGACAACCGTCGGACTTGCGGAAGTGTCGCCAACGGCCTGCTGGCAGAACCTGCGTTCACCGAGTTTCGCACCCTTCCGCATTATGATGTGGTCTCAGGAAGCCCTGGAAAGCACCTCCTCTTCAATCCAGGGAGACTTCATGTCTCTGGGCATCTTGACTCACGGGCTAGTTTTTGTTGGTTGGATCCCGCCTGACGACGCTTTCTTCTTTTCATTCAAGCGCAGAGCTTACCATTGGCGACTGGCTCGAGGCTGGCACACGGTGTGTCGACTCAACGAGGCAGCTCTTGGGAAGGGAGGTACTTGGCGAGGCGGTCATCTTCCCTGTCCAGGCTGATACGACCTTCGATGGCCAAGGGAAGGTGTGCCTGGGCTATCCAACATAGGCCCTGCCATCTTCTGTAATGCATGTCCTCAAACAGCAGCCCAGGAGAGTGGTGCATGGGCAATCCTTGCGACAATGCTCGATGTTCCGACCTTAGGCTCGGAAAGAAGCTTCTCCCTGCTACAACATGCAATGCGGTAGATTTCATGCTTGTAGCAGCGACAGTGAGCCAGCGACCGTGAGACTCTGGCGCTCTGGTGGTTTCGGCTTTCAAGCAGGGGCCATTTGCCGAAGAAACCCCATTTCGGCAAGACTTGGCACGGAAAATGCTCATGGACAGCGCCTCGGCCTTCGCATCAAGATGAGACGCTGGACAGCAGCACTTGTTCTGATCTGGCTGCGCTCACCTTACTTGTGGAGATTTGTGGAGCATGGGTGCACCGCATCTGTCGCAACGTGCGCCTGCAACTCCAAATCCCGCGCTTGACGATGCAAAGGTGCCTGGCCGAGGAAGAGCACGGGAATTGTGCAGAAGAGGTTGAACGAGAGGAGGAGCTAGAGGCTGAGAGCCACACTGCAGGGGAAGGAAAGTGAGAAAGCTCGGAAGCCTGGGTGCTGCCAAGCTGTGTCTGCTGAGGTCGGAGACGGAGTCCCTTCGTGTCCAGCTGCTGCAACAACGCGAGTTTCGGCTGCAGCGAGGACCTCTCACAACGGCAGAGGCTCGCTGACCGCTTTTCGACAATCATCGTCCTCAGGAAATGCCGCATTACAGTGCGCATGCTGTGTAGGTCCCTGCGAAGCAGCAGTTCAGCTTGCCCGTGGCAAAAGCTTTCGCAACCGTCAGCCAAGCAGCGTTTTGCGACTTGGCTCCTGCTTCCGATGTTGCCAAACTCGCCCCGGCCACGGGATGCGACTCTGCTTCATCAGAGGCGGGGCTGATGAAGAGCTACGCAATTGGACTTGCAAGGCGGGTCGGGCAGAAGGCAGGGCAGACCGTGCTAAAATCTGAGAGGCCTGCCGTGATGTGGGTTTTTCATTAACCTTGGGCACTCGGCGGCTGGTGCGGCAGGCCATGAGCTCTCTCTGCCCGCACAACCATTTCGGTGCAGAATTGTTCAATTGTTGTTCAGGCAGAATTGGGCGAGGCTGATTCCACCTTCGTGTTTGTGTCGCGTGCGGAATGGATGCCGGAGAAGCCCGAAGCAGAGTGGCTGTGGCCACCTGCGAGGGCCAAGGAACCTCTGAAGCACGGCGGCCAGGACACGGCAGCAAACACCGACATGGTCTAAATCCGCATGCGACGGTATGTAACGTGGGAGGATTGTTATACTCATTGTGGTCAGCTTGGTGGCTTCTGTGCCTGGTGCGGCGTGGGAAATGCATGCTGCAGGAAAGATGAGGCACGCAGAGAGATCCAGGGCTTTGTACTTACATCTATATTCACTCTTGCCTGCGGGAGCCAGAAATTCACTTTTGCCTTTTGCGTGCTTTCAGTGGTCTTCGCAGCAGAATTGGGCTGGAATTGGGTTAGGACTCAGCCTACCCGGCGCAGAAATCTGCCCAGCCGCACGATGACAGGCCACAAAGCTTAAAGCCCAAAAGTCCAAACGGGGCTCACAAAACTGCAAGGGAAGAGCATGCAAAGCCCACAACTCCTGGGAGATTTCACCGACTAGGGAAAAGTCGTTTCGCCCTTCTGCCAAAGCCAAGTGAGAAAGAGCCAGCAAAGCTGTATAGTGAAGCGAGCTTGCAGTTGAGAATCACGAACATCCGCAAGCACGGAGCACACATTCCTCCAGGGGCTGGGGAGGCTAACTCCACGCTGTTCCCCACACGACGTACTTCAAAGGCGCCGTGCCCATTTAAGCACATGAGCCATGTGTACAGTGACATACAGTGACTGCGTATACACACGTGCACACAAACTGCTTCACAGCTCACGTATGTACTGTCGTACATGTGAACATTTGCTTTGTGGTCCGGCTGCTTGAAGACGTCGGGCCGCTGTCCCTCCGGGCTTTGCCTTGTCGCTCGGCCACTACTTGAAGTCAGGGCCGGTGTCGGACTTCCTTGCGCTGAGTCGCTGAGCCGAAGTTCTACTTCCCGGCGTCCGCTGAGCTGGCTCCTTGTCGGGCTGCTGCTCGAACCCGTGGCGGCCGTAGTCGTCCTTCCTTGCTCTCGTTGAACCTTGTCTTTGTCCGACTGCTGCAGGCCTTATAGTCGTACTGCCTTGCGTTTCCTTAACCTTGTCCTTGTCCGGCTGCTGCTTGAAGACGCCGTGGCCTTGCCGTCGTCGCATTCCATGGTTTTGCTGGGGTTACATTGTTGTCACTGCTCAGCTTGTCCTTGTGTATCGGCTTTCGTGCCGCGGAGCATTGCCCTCGCTGCCGTCTATGTCAGCTGGCTGATCCAGCCGGTCGTGGCAGCCTAACGGCTGCACAGAGCGTGCACGATGTGCATTGGGTCTTGGGCAATGGTGGTCCGCTCGTGAACTGCTCGATCCCAGACCCTATATAGACATATATATATATATACATACACATATATCCAGGTTCGCTAGAAACACTATGATCAGCCATGCCTGCATCACAACTAAGTCCAATAGTTCGGACTGCGAATCATTGACCACCGGGTCAAAAACAACATGTAATATCTCGTGACACTTTGCTGCGGCGAGGCCGGAGACCCAGCAGAATGCGCCAACGCGACCGGGTTCATCGGTTCTGAGTACCACGATACTGGCTTGCACGGGAGAGAAGCGGGATCTTGCACTATGCCATGGAGCTAAGACTTGTTTCCGCCTCCGAGGAGTGTGTGGCTGTGGCAGAACCGGCTACTTGCACGGCAATTCTCCGAAGTGGGCATTGGAGCATATTGGAGCAGACCTGACACCAGTCACTCAAGCCCTCACACTCAATCCTTCCGGGGAACGGCTACAGATGTCTGACAAGAGAGACCTGCGATTTGCCTCGGGTCAGACACGACAAGGTCACAAGGAAGCCGGTCCTGCATGTGGGTGAGGATTGTTGGCTGTACTGCGGCAAGGTGCTGGTGCCCAGAAGCGTAGGAGTGCAAGGGCTCACACAGTGTGAAGGCTGGCGGTTTCTGCGACTGGTGTGGTGCGGGAAATGCTTGCTGCAGGCGTCTTGGTCACGATTAGCATCTGCACGGTACAAAGCTTCCGAGTAGTGTTCTCAGGAGTGGCTATGACAAGGATCCGCTGGAATGCCGTGGAGCTGCAGCCAGGGGCTTGCCTTGCTGACAATCAATTGCCGATGGAAGATGTAGCTCTGTTCGTGACTAAAGGGATTTCTCGGTGAGGCAAATTCTTCCCATCATGTATGCACCGCACCAGCGCGCAATGTGCCGCAGCCAACCACTAAACGCGAGTTCGGCTGCATCCTGGCCATCAGAGGCCTGCATGGTGTTTTTCGCCATCTCTGCATGTGGGCATGTCGACACGGAGATGGGGCTGGTTCAAGAGTTCATGTAGGGTGTTCACCCCGACACGTGAGGCTCCAAGACGTTTACGAACGCCTTGCACGATGCCTTCTTTTGGAGTGACGAGCTCCCAGTGCAGGACCACCTCCAATTCGGGTTCGTATTGTCACTGGCTTCGTTGTGACGTCAAGGTGGCTAAATCGATAAAATGTCGTTGGCTTCTCCTGGCTCTCACAAAATGAAACGCGGTCAACAGATCTCGAACAGGAGTGCGATGGCTGTCAAGTCTTCGATGGCTTCTGGCGGGTGTGGTCCGGCGTAGAGGCAAAGCTTGGGATGCCTGGCTGCAGAGTTTCTTTGCGTGCGATCTTTGGTTTCGTGTGGTCACGTGTCGCCTTACTTCCAAACGACGTGGTGATTCTCGTGCGTAGAGAGCTAAGACAGGCGAGTCCTCATTGACAACGGCTGCATTCCAGGCACAGTGGCTGGGTGATCGATCACTGAAATAGTTTTGGGCCCCGGATGACAGGCACTGAGCATGGCACCATCCTCCTCACGGGACATTCGTTGGGCGCTGCCGTGGCAACCATTGGTATGTACATGCTGCTTCTGGGCACAATTGGGCACAATTGGAGAGACATAGTTTCCGAAGGTTAAACAGAGGTGGGCTACGCGGCAGCCATGTGCAGAATCATGTCCACCCATGTCCAAGCCTTCAGTGGCAACTCCGAGGCAACTTCGAGGCTACAGCGTGGGTTTGTCCTACAATTTCGAGTCGCCCCGGGTTGGCAACGAAGCTTTTCACGATGCATTTGTGCCTGGGCATAAGTGTCGGAATGGACAAGCCACCAGGTACAGCTACTCTAAGTCTTCGTAGGAAGTCGACTGGCGGCTGCTTGTAGCTGCACCTAGCTTTCTTTTGTACACTACGAATCCACCCATACCCCACCGACCCTTGCAGGCACCCCTGTGTCGAGTCAGGACGTGATGTTCGGCCGGAAAGTGGATTTGTGGCGAATCACGCGGTCACGGGACCCGGTGCCTCACGTTCCACCGCTTCCAATCTATCACCATGTTGGATCCGAAGCCTACTTTCCAAAGGATGCCAAGTGTCTTGGCAGGATAACGCAAACAAGCTGCGAGACATGCGGCACACATTGGCCGAAGCAGCGAGATACTAAGCACTGCTTTAAGAAAACTAAGGGAGCCTGTGGTGTGCCTGGAATCAGAGGACTCCAAATGTACCTTGGCCACCCCATGCATCTATGCCACCCTCAATTTCCTCCCACGGCATAGTGTGGTGTTAGTATGTCAGTGTGTCAACCACTGCCTCGTCGAAGTCTCGTCGAAACAGGCGCAGATAGATATTCCCTCCTGGAAACACTGATCTTCGGCGATGCCCTCGGTCCCTGTTTTTTGTGCGTCCATGTCAGTGTCAAGGTGAGCAAGTTTTACACTACCTGGGTGTTGAGCTGCCGTGCATGAGGTTGGGACCACTGCAAGTCTGAAATTGCTGCTCCCGGCCGCGGCTTTGGCGAAGGTATTTGTCAATGTGCTTCCGAATGAAAGGACGAAGCGGCAGCAAAGGCCGATGCATGATGGAGCGCATGAGAAAACGAGCTGTTGCATGCGTTGTTGCTCTCGCAACCGTCAACATGACGGAACGAACAGTGAATTCTACTCCGACGTCTCCGCTGATAAGGTTGTGCAATGATTGGAACATATTCTGCTACGGCTTTGAGTTCCGCAGCAAGACAGGGCGCTGCGCAGCTCGTCTGAATGCGGTTTGACAGTGCCGGGTGCTGGATAGTCCACACACAAGAATCGTGCATGTGTAATGTTGTTTTCGGCTGCTCCGTGCAAGGAGATTTGGACGATGCCCATCTGCGGTCACAGCCAGGTGCGGCCCATGTGACTGAGACCTCTCGGCTCAAAGTCGCATGAGATGATAGTCGCACGAGCTAACCGGTCAGATTCAGAACGGCACATTACGCCAGGCCAACGTTCCCGGTTCGCCCTTCGTGGATTTCCGATGCTTCAAGCGCTGCCATCCTGGCAGCGGCCCCAAGATCGTGCAGCAGTGCAGTCGAGGAATGCAGTCGTTTTGCTTGCTTGGACCTCCCAAAAATGTGAGATTCTCTTGCACGGCATGAATCACAAGGTTTATGTAACGGAAACGGCATCCATGCCTGGAGTAAAACAGAAGCCTAACGTGCAAGATATCTGGCAAAGAGGTTGATCAGCAGATGCATTGGCCGTGATGACTTTCAAGATCAGTGACGAGCAACTGCCGCCGTAGACAGGAAGGCTTCTGATGGGTAGGCGTTTTCAAGTGAAGTCCGCAGATGGTAAGCATACGGCATGCCAATGTGCTCGCCGGTGGCCATTCTGCACGTCTTCTAACCCATCTTCAAGGGCGAAGCCCTGGTGAAGACTGCGTCTCACACAGAAGCCGGCGAGCAGCGCTGTTTCATTGCCACGACTTCCAGACGACTGCCGGTGACCGGTGACTGCAGTTTGTTGTATTCCTTTCATGCCCTAGGTCCGAGCAGGCGATGTGGTTAGCAAAACTGGAGATGAGCTTTTTGCAGTTCAAGCAGGCTTGTTCGGAACCGTGTCACCTGCCGGCGAGAAATTCGCGAGCATCTGCATGGTCTCCTTGTGGAGTCAGAGAAATCATCGGACTCATCTTCAGCACCTCCCCTTGGTGGAAGCACAGAAGGGCGGCTAAATCCGAGTGTCGAAAAATGGGGCGAGCATCGATTCCGCATGGCTTCGGGCATGGGATGTATGCTTGCATGCAGAGGCAGCCGACAAGGGCATGGCGGACCAATGCATAGCAGAGCAGTTGGAGGGCTGCTCCAGTCTAGAGGATTGAACGTCAGGCTGAAGTTGCGCAAACCAGCTGACAGCAGCACTTTGGGCTCCAGGGCAACATCCGGTGCGCGCAGATCAGGGCTAGAAGGCAGGAAGCAACACTTTCCAGCTCGTTATGCACCTTGTCCTGCATAGTCATCGACATGCATGTTGAGGAGTCGTATTGCTGCCGGCAGGTGAACATGGCAAAGATGCATCGATCACCCTTGGCGGTGTTGCTGCTGGCAGCCGCATGCTATGTCCTGAGCCTCGCGCCGGGCTTCGTCGCGCCGACGGAGGTCACCCGTGCCGGTGCCGAAGCAGTGGTGGGAGCTGCAGCCACAGGCTTGGCACCGCTCAATGAGGCAAGCTCTATGCTCACCGCCGACCTGTCGCCGTTGGAGAACCCGAACATCACCTTCGTGGTGCTGCTGTCCATGTTCTCCATGTCGATTGCCCTGGTGGTGTGGGGACGAAACGGCTTCTGAGTTTGCCGCGATGATTCCTTCTCCAGCTTGTTGAAGCCCACTGATGGCACACCGAGAAGAGCAAAAGATCCGCGAGGGTAGAGACTAGATCGCCGCCAGGCAAACCTTACTTCCTGCATGACTCTAGGAGCCATGGCAGCCGGTGCTATGTTTCTTTGATGTTTGAGCTCTCCTGTCTGCGGCTTGCGAATGAGTCTGAGTGATGCAACATCGTTTGTGCCGCGCACCATGTCCCCACTATAAAGCAAGGCTGCCATCTGGGTGCATGCACGAACATAAATGTCTTACTTTAACGTGCTAGAAAGCTGGGTCGGGCACGTCTCCCCCCAGATTCAGCAGTTCAGCATCTCTTTCTGAAGCATGTGCTGCATGTGTGGGCTCGAAGTGAACGGGTCACAGGGAACTGCGTGCACGGACGCAGAGGTGCTTGTTTCCATGTGCTGCTCTAGGGGTTCATGTTCCTTTTGTGGCTGATGCTATTGACCGCAGTTATGCATGGTGTTTGCTTTTTCCCTTTCCGTCTCGGTCGCCTGGAAATCTTTGACCCCCAGGTGAACATGGCAAAGATGCATCGATCACCCTTGGCGCTGTTGCTGCTGGCAGCCGCATGCTATGTCCTGAGCCTCGCGCCGGGCTTCGTCGCGCCGACGGAGGTCACCCGTGCCGGTGCCGAAGCAGTGGTGGGAGCTGCAGCCACAGGCTTGGCACCGCTCAATGAGGCAAGCTCTATGCTCACCGCCGACCTGTCGCCGTTGGAGAACCCGAACATCACCTTCGTGGTGCTGCTGTCCATGTTCTCTATGTCGATTGCCCTGGTGGTGTGGGGACGAAACGGCTTCTGAGTTCCGACTGACATGTTTTTCCTACCCAGTCCAACCATATCGCCTTTGTCAGAAAAAGCCAATGAATGACGCAGTAGGGGTGCCAAGAAGCTCGGGTGTCGTCAGGTGCGTCCGAGCGATTGAGCGATTAGTTTCTTCTGGCTGCATTCCAAGTACTTCTCGGTGTCAGGTTCGCACAAGCTGATGCACCTGGACAATTCAAACGATTTTGGAGGATCAACATTCGTGGTCTTGATTGCTTCCCCGGCAATAGACAAGCCTTGCCCGAAGAACCGGTTGACCTGCGTGGAATTGTTTGGCTCGCAGGGCGACCTTGCCGTTCATGTCAAGAACTAGACTTCAACTTGGTGTGGCATCGCTGCATCACATCTGGACGCAGTTTTGAAGCTTGTCCTATCTATCCAGCCGCAGCGGTGGACTTGTGCAGAGGGAGGCACATCTAAGCGGTTGCTTTGCAAGACAAGCTTCGTTCCATAGACAGCCCACGACTACGTGACCAAGCCATGCGGTAGAGCATAGAGCTTTCGGTATGTGCTGAGCTATGTCCGCAGAGCTGCCTGGCTGCACACGAGGCCTCACATTGCACGGTAGTTGGCTACAACCTCAGCTCCTGCACTAAATTTCGAATCACTGGCCTCACTGGCCTAAACGGCCCTGACTTGTGTCTGGAAGCAATCCAAGGCTACTGCTGCGGTGCAAGAAGGGGCACGCCGTCAAAGAGCTAAAGGCCGAATTGGATGCTGGATTGGCGCAGAAGCGGAAGTTCTTGCAGTTCTTCAGTGCTAGCGGCGAGAACTATCATGGAAGCCTGGTCATGGCTGTTGAATACTGCTTTTCCACAAGAAGTCCTGCTGTAGCTTGGTGGCCCCTGTGTGGCAAATGCAGGAGAGTGATAAACGATGGAACCCGTTCTTGCACACTGCTGCTCTGCAGAATCAGGTTGTGTGTATAGGTGGGCAGAGTCGAGTCAGTGAAGAATGTGGACCTGCGTAAGGTATGCAGCGTTTGCGGCGGGAGCATTGCCTCCCTTCTAATTCAGTTGTGAATGCTATGTCATACCGATATGTGCGCACTGCGTCGGCCGTCAGACAAGTGGCACGAACGTAGAAGTGCGCCAGAAAGACGAGGCAAGCCAGACTGCACGGTGGTCTTGCGAACACCACTGCAGCACAGTCTGCGATGCTTGTGTGACTTGTCGTTCAAGTTGCCTCTGTCCGCTTCTCTGACGGCTGCCGCTCAGAGTCGACGGGAGTTTTCATGTACAAACCTGGCGTAGCTTTACTTCATTACTCGTCAGAAGCGGCTAGGTGATGCAGCAATTCCAGATGCTTCTCGTCGAATTGCAGCAAAGCTCTCTGCATGTCGCACACAATGGCGGCCCCTTGGACTTGCACGGTGGGATATGTTTTTTGCTCGTCTGGCCGGCATCAAAGGAATCAAAGGTATCAAGTCAAGGTCGATGTAGTTCCTGAAAATAGTGGTTATCTGTGAATCCGCGTTCCAACTTGTGTTGCAGGTCCGGCGGTCGTCAAAGAGGTCGAGGCCATCCCGTGGGAGCTACGTGGGACCAAGGAATTCAACCAGCTGCGGAAGCTGTTGCAGCAGGCGTGGTGGTTGAAACCAAGACACGTCAAACCATAAGCTCAGGCATCACAGCCCCAATATAGTCCCCGGAAGTCTTGGACAATGGGTTCGTGAGCTTTTCAACGGTTACCTGGCCTCCAAGCTCAGGACTCGAAGCCTTTCCCTCATGCCTTCGGAATTGAAGCTTGGATGCAAAACTCTAAATCACCACTCACTGATGCGGTTCACCGGGTACTTGGTGAGGTGACATACATCAGATAGAGATAGCACTGCAATATACTGCAATAGACTACAGCACGGTCTCAGGTGCTCGAGGGCGCCTCCCAGCTGCAAAATATGCGATGCGACGATGCGATGCGAGGCGATGTCGAAAGGAGTGGGAGCATGGGACTTGTCTTGCGCAGGCAGTCAACGTTCCGGAGCTTTGCAGAAGCTGCGGCCTTAGCTGTCGGCCATGATGCGCCAAGTGTGCCACGCAGCGAGAGTCATCTTCCAAGGAAGGCGTTCAACCGGCCCTCGTGCTTCCGCGACCATCCTGGCTCCAGCAGCAGCTGCTGGCGCTTTTTGCGGAGGGCCTGGGGCTGTCGTTGGATTGGCGGTGGGAGCAACTGCATACGGCCTCTCGGCTCTCGGACCGGACGGCAACACATTGCCCCGACCCTCGTTTGCGTATTTCTTGAGCCTTGAAGTGAGGCGTGTCGCGGGGAGCAATGGAGGCCAAGTATCCGGATGGCACCATGGCCGCAGGGCTCTGCTCCCACTGATCCTTGCAACTGTTGAGCCTGGGTTGTCCTCCACTTGCTGGTTTCAGCTGTTGCGAGGCTTCTGCGATCCTGTGGTCCTGGTCGAGGTCTTGGACAAAGACGGAGAGACTTTGGCGGCGGCCAGGCCTCGCCCACAGCAGCGACCTCTCGTTTGAGAGCTTTCAGTGCCTTTCAGCGTTAAAGGTCCCACATGGCCACCAAGACCAGAAACCCAGAAGCTCGGCTGCGGTTTTCTCTTGTTGGCGTCGTAACCGCACAAGGTGGTTGTGCAGCCGCAGACATTGCTTGGGATGCACCCAAAAGGCCTTCAGATTCCTTCAGAAGCCGAAGCTAACGAAGCGCAGTGTGCAGTGTGTCCACATCCACATGCCACAAGATGAGATCCCGAGGTTTGGCACCAAACCTTGAGCCTGCCATGTGCACGCGACATGCAGTTGGCACAACAGCAGGGGAAGCTTGGCTCCATGTGCGGTCGAGTGTTTGAGTCCAGGCCTCTTCCTCAATTCGCACGGAGTCTTCTCTTTTGCTGCAGGTGCTCGTGGCGCAAACGCATCGGCCCAAACGAGTCGAGAGTGATTTCTTCGGTCGTAGGAGCCTCCCCAGCACGGTTTACACACTATACAGCCCATAGCCTAAACTATGACTGAGATCGGAAGAGTGTCAAGCTGGCTGCAGCTCAAAATGTGCCTCCAGATCAGCATCTCGCCTGCGGTTATGATGCCTGCTCGCCTGCATAAGCTTCATGCACATGCATGCTCAGAATCAGAGCGTGGTAGTGCTTTGGAGTCAGCTACTGCAGGTGGGATGTTGCCAGCACAACTGTCCGTGTGACACTCTATGACAAGAGTGTCGGACCCATGGACCAGACGATCGGGGCTCCTGGGCTTTTTTCTTGGTTTGGCCGGCGACCTGACGACTGTGAGCGCTTTGGGCGTGGAATCAGGAAGTGGCGATTCCGCTGACGCAGCTTCTCGAGGATTCCCAGGAGAGCCACGCGATGCTGATGCTTTCTTCCCTGCTCTGACTGCCCTCAAGATTCTCAAGTCAGCTGCAGCTCTGCAGGCCACGTACCTGGTCAGCGACGCGTGGCACGAAGCAGTCTTGGGAACTCAGCAGCCGCAACTCGGCACCGTGACGGAGCCAAGCTTGCAACACCCTGGCCCTAGCAGGAAAGATGCAACAAACATGGTACATAATTCGGCATCGGGAGGCAGAGTGTGCGGGACATCCCCTGACGAGAGAGTAGAGATAACATGCCGAGATTGGATCAAGAGCCTGCTGCGGCGCGTCCTCTGACCGTTTCTGCTGCATGCCATCGCTTGCTAGGCACTTGCCCTGCAAAGTTTCCTTGTCAGCTCATCCCTCAGCATTCCGGACGACACGGGTGGAATTCTCCAGTGCATTCCTTGACAATCGAGGTCGTTCAAGAGTCTTTGCCTAAAAACTGGCCGGTGGCACAGGCAAAGAACGATCAGGGGCAAAGGTATTCTGGCAAGCACGGACATGCACCGTCGGAGCGCCTTCGTGGGGAGTGTTCAGACATACAGTTTTTGCACCCCCAGGTACCCGATGCATGCTGCTAGGCGGCATCAGGAGCACACGGAGCGGTTTATTAGCAACTGCTTTGAAGAGTGATCGTCTGTAGTGAAGGGATGCGCATTTCTAGGCCAGCCCATCTTGCTTGCCTGCAAAAAGCATCAGGAACGTTAACGAAGTGTTTAGGTCCGTTAAGGTCAAGTGTAGCATCTGCTTCGGCATCTTTGAGGTGTTCATGATGACGCGCGGCACTCGCGGAGATGTGCAGCCCTTTGTGGCACTGGCACGAGGGCTGGCCGAGCGGCTGGGCTGGCTGGCGGCTTCGATGCATCTACTCTGCGATTTGCCCAGAGCCACGCCTCCATAGGAGCGAGCATCAGCAGTGTGCCTGTCAAGACTGCAAGGTCACAATCTGCACGGAACAGAGCCATGCAGCCTTCGTAAGAAAGCACTCGGTCTCACGGCTTAAGTTAATTAAGTCTGTGGAGAATCGGCACCAAACTCAGATGCCAGCGTTGCTGCTATGCATTTTGAGGACGTGACTAGCGGCAAGATTAGATTTCGGCCGAGTGGTGGGAACACTGAGGCCAATGGACTGAGAGCAGACAGTGAAATACTTAGGATCCCATATGTTGAAACTGCGTCAGGCAAGAATGGACAGCGTGGGCGCGCATTTCTTGCTCACACATCGTGCAGAATTCTTGCAGATGTTGCTTACCGGCAAAATCTCACGGAGTTGCAGTAGAACTCCGTGACAGTGGCTGCTGTGTCTCCCGTATACTGTATCCCATCAAGAGCTTCAGGATCGCCCTGTCAAGATCAGAAGCCGACGCTTGTCTCATTTAGCCCCGGCCGAGTGTCGGATGATAAGGCCGCGGCTGTGCCTGTGTGAAAGGAGTTCTTCTCCAGTGCTACGGTCTTCGTCGATTATGTCAAGGCTATGGAGGCTGAGCCCAAGCCCGTGGATCTCATCATGTTTGGCAGCTTGGCGTGAGCCGCTTTTGATGAGCAGACATTGAGCATCGAGCAGTCTCGCCCAATTGATCATTAAACTGCTTTTCCACTTTTCGTTGTCGGCAGGACACATTGTGGCAGCAAGGCTGCCCATGCGCCGGTGTTGCATTGTGCGTCTCAGGCTTCACACTGGCGGGAGTCGCCGCACTGGTCGGCGAGCACTGCCAGAAGCCAGTGGTAGGCCCTGGCCTCAGGTGCAAGCCTGAAATTCAGGTCCTGAAACACTGAAGCGAAATTCAGTGAGCTGAGGCTTTATTTTGCAGCCAAGCTGCATACCGAGCAAGGATGAGGCCAGTCAAGCTGCGTCATTTTGGGAAAGAAGCCACAGCTGCACAGGACTGGAAGGCAGTGCAGCCCATCCATAGCCCGGACGGTAAAAGCCTTCTCGTCTCCGCCCCAGTGCACCGCCCATGACAACCCAGACTGCATTGTGTTTAACATGTTGCGCACCGTGGGGCATGCTAATTACCACCAGTGAGCCACATTGGACAACGGCAGAGTTGGACGTGGAGCCGTTGAGGACACTGTCGACGAGATGGCGTTTACGTCCCACAACTCCTTAAAGCTATTGAAGGACAGCTGCTTCAACACAGGGGCGGAGACGGCACTGACAAATAATTGATTGGATTTTCCTGAGGACCTTGCGGAAAAGAACCCTTTTGCATCTTTGTGCTTCGGCTCATGAGTTGCATTTTTGATATGTCAATGAGAGCGACAGCCCCATCGACTGAGGAATTTGAATCATCTCCGCAAGCTCTTCGGTCTTGGCCCGACGGACACATGGCAGGCAGCCTGCGAGTCAGAGTCGTTTTTCGCCGGGCCTGGCCCTGCCTGGAGGCTTACAACCAGGCGCGGGTGCCGATCATCATCCCAATGCCGGCGGGCACGTTTCAGCGGCCTCAGGACTCTGGTGACCTGATATACCGTGTGTAATATGCCGCAACAAGTGGCACTGTCTGCTGACCAGCTTGGCGATTCTATGTTACGATGCTCTGACAGACTCGTGACTCGAAGCCACAGCGAGAGCTTCTGCAATCTCATAACCTGAAGCCAGGACTGGCCTGACAACATTATCCAGACGGACTTCATTTTCCTGCGGAACCAGGCTCGGTCTGGAATTTCGTTCTTGCACTTTCATCTGGGTGTGGTGGGAAGAAGATGACAGTAGTGAAACCTCCTGGCCCTGCCAGGCCGGTACGGGCAGGTGCCTGCCTCAGCACGCATGGACGCTTGTGCATAGAACGCAAACGTCTGTACAAGTTTCAAAGGTCTACTGTAGGGCCCCCCTAGGGCTTGTGTGCAAGATGCAGGAAATCGTTGGGTGAAGTTGGCGACTTTGTCGAGGCCGCAAGGCAGCGTGGTTGAAAGCTGCCGTGCGCTGGCACATGAGTACATCCGGGATGCCGTATTACATACCTCTTAGCATGGTAACTGGCAGCTGGAATGTGTCAGGCAGGAAGGGAAGAAGCTTTGCCTTATCACCTTCAGCAGCATGCCTGTTCCCCGCCGTACATTGCTTCGCGCGGCACTCATGTTGGCACTTCGAGAGGAGGCACCATGTCAGTGCCTTGTCAAGCATCCAATTCCATGGCTCCCAGGAATCATTGTCAAGATGCTGAGTGTGCCCTATCTGCATCAATAGGAAGCAGTCTCTCGTCGAGAATCACCCCGCCCAGGAAGCCAACTTCCCGGTCGCCGTGATCTACGTCGGGCGCATCGATGAAGGGTTACCTGGCCAGCACGAGGAAGACAGCAGAAGAGATTCAGTCCAGGTGTTGTGACATTCTTGAAAGGCCTGAAGACCTTGAAAATGCAGCTCGCCAGTTCAAAGAGACCGGTCGCTTCTTTGAAGCACGAGCTGTGCCTTGGTAGAAAATGTTTCGTCCTTCGAAGCTCTCAAAGACTCTGGCTCGGAGCCAGGTGGACTTTGGCCTTCTGTTTCCCGAGATGGATTGCTTTGTAGTTCATGGTGGGCTTGGGACAACCGTCGAGGCGTTGCGAACCAGACCCTTGCTCAAAAGGAATAGGTTGAGCTTTAATGCCTGCACTGCTCTCCGTCCTGGGTTGGCTCAACTACCGCAATCTGCTCAGGAAAGCCATGCTGTGTCACAGGGCCATTGCTCATGGATCAACGCTTCTGGGGTCTCTTGGCCTGGAAATTTCTTCATGATGTGGCAGTGTCGGCATCCCTCTGTGTCGGCAAGGCTATGTCTGTCATGAAAAAGGTGTTGGTCCGAAGCCAGTGCGTCCACCTCAGATGCTCTGCCAAAGAGTACACGAGTCCTACAATCGTAGACTCCATAGGCGCTGCTTTACATGGCTGAACGCTTGCTATGCTGCCTTTTTTCAGGTTCATCGCGGACTTCGAGAAGCATTGTGTGGATTTCGTGAACAATGCGGTGAACCCTGAAGGTCCCAGCAGTGAAAGCTCGGGGTAACAAAGGTAGGCTTTGTCTCTATGGATGTGAGCAGCGATAGATGGAGAAGAGTGCAAGGATGTTTGTCAACAGTTCATGCTCATGCTGCCTTGGTTGTCCCACACGCTGTCACGAAACAGGCTAACACAGCACGAATAATTAATTAGACATGGTCTAGGCCCGATTCTAGCCTGCGTAACCGTAACCTTAAGCTTGCGAAGAGAAAGATCGACTCAGAGAAGCCAGAGACTGGCTGCTCACTAACCTGCCGCTTTCTCAACAGATCCGGAGCGTTGGCAAGCAAACGCTCGCGATTCTGATTGGGGGCAGCATGGTCGCAGGTAGTATGCAGGCTTAGCGAGCCTCGGGCATGCTTCCCTACGATGCCCCAGGAAAGTGCAAGATGATGGCGTTCAAGCAAACGTGGACTGCATCCAGGGATTGCTTTCGGAACTGGAGCCCTTAGTGACCAGAAGCGAGGCCGGAGAAGTCGTCATGGCATGGGTTCTTTCCTATTCCCGTTCCCAAGATCCCCAATGTTTTGTTTGATTTCAGGTGCAGGACGATTCTTGGATGATGCAGAAATCATGGCTTTGCTGCAGCTCTGGTCGTGTCACTGAGCCTGACGCGCCCGAAGAGACATCGGCGGAGGATGCATCCTCAAGACAGACACGCAGGCCTGCAGAACTGGGACGAAAGTCACAATGCACTTTTGCAGCTTTCGTTTGATCTAAATGAATCTAAAATGTTTCCCTGATAAGAGCAGCAGGGCTGTCCTTTGCTACAATATGTAGGGTGCTGATTCCTACACTTAGCAATCGTTGCGGGTTCTGCACGCACATGTTGCATACTCACACTCCGGCTTTTGCACGCGGCGAATCGGCTTCGCTTGGCTTTTCGACACTGTCGTAGAGGCGAATCAATGTTCGTGGACGGAGGCTGCCGTTGGCCTGTGCTGCGTTTGCACTGCTGCATGGTTTGCGCCAAGTCTCTAGTCTTGAAACTCGACGTCAAAAAGGACGCAAATCTTCTAGAAGTTGCTGGTCAGGTGTGCCGCCTGTGTGCGCACAGGCTCCACGAGCTCTGCAGGCTCTTCGCTGCTTGTGACTTGTGCAGTCGCAAGTCTTGAGGTTTGCATTATTGGACGTCGTTGGGTGGCACAGGGTCCAAAAAGCCACCTCTTGCAGCCCCAAGAACCCGAATCCATTCCTCTCGCAAGGAAGCAAGCTGGGTTTGGTTGGTTTGTTGCAAATTGGGCTTGTGTCAGGCCCAGAGACTTTGTGCCCTGCAGCTCGGCTGTAGCGCGACGACACTGTGCATATTCAGGCCGCTCCGAGACAGCATCACAGCGTGGGTAAGAAATTCAAGCCCTTTGCCATGGCCTCTGTAATAGAATGCAGGGCTGCGTCGTCGCACTGGAGGTTGGCGTGCAGTGATTCCACTCTTTCCGATGCTCCGTGGGCTGCTGTGCAACACTGTGCAGGTACCAAAGCACCCAAGTGCTCCTTCATGAGCGAAGTATGCCAATTTTTTTATCAGATCTTCATTATAACCGAAGGCACAGGGCAAGGGGACACAAGATCCGACACTTTGGCTCGAGCCTTCTCGCCTAAATTACTTGTGCAAGATGTTTTGCCTGGAACGATGGCGACCCAGCGTGCTAAAAGCAAAGTCAGCCAGCACTGCCTTTCTGAGACAGGACTGATTGTTCCGATCGACATAGGGATATAACTGTCCGTCCCAATATAAGTAGGTCTTTTGTTCTCGGCAAGTCGGGACCTGGCTGAGGCACAGGCGCCTTCTTTCCAATTTGTAAATTGCCGCAGCATCGTGCAGAGTACAGAGCTGTGCGTACGTCTGCCCAGTGACTCGTGCTGCCAAAGCCGATCCTGGACCCCGAAGTTCCCAGAAAAAGCTGCGTCAAATTTCAAGAGCCACAGTCAGATGTCTTGTCCGCATGCTTCATGTGCTTTTCGTTCAGGCTTGAAATTGCTTACATGGAGTTGCATGAGAAGCGACGGCCGGGGCCAGGGCAGCGAAGATGAAGCCCTCCGGCAATTCAGCCAGCCTGCCCTGCATCTAGCTACGCAATGCTATCAAATGGGAAAAAAACCACGTGATAGAAGGTCCAATCACACGAAACCCGGAGCACTGGCACTTACAATGCCGCGTGCATGGCCGGATTGCGCGACCACGCAGTCAACATGACCTCTCTCTTGTCCTGATAGCTATGGCGAGCCGCTTGAGCTGCCGACGATCAACTATCGGCCCCGACCTCACTCCTAGCAGTCCTAGCAATGCAGGTATCGTTGTGGCCTTTTGTGCAAACGGAATCTTGCAGAAGGTTGGATTGCTGGATCAGCCCAGGCCCGAGGCACTCGCTGCTGCTGAGACCAGCGGAAGAGGTTCCAACTGAGCTTCGCGGATTACCGGAAGAGTTGACCAGGCGGGTGACTGACTGAACATAAATAAGGCCGTCGGGCCAAGATGCCGTCAGCCGTCAGCATGGAACCTGAGGCGCATTGCCACAGCAACCTCGGAGTCCGAGCTTCGAGACGTCGCGGGCGAAGTGCATTGGAGCCAATTGTAGCGAATACTGTTCTTCTGCAGCTTAGTAAGACTCATAAGGAAGGCATAAATCATTAAACTAAACCTGCAGGCGCTCTGCAGGCCGCAAAACTCGGGCACGAAACGCAGCCAAGCAAGCCTGAAAAGGCTGGACTGGATTTACATAGGAACACGCACCTGAGCAGTTAGTTCTGCTTTCGCCTCGATTGGGCGGGCCCTGCAATGAGGAAACGTGCGGGACGCACGACGGGCACAACGCAGACTGTTGCAAGGGCAGATGCCCTTCGAGCATCACGCTAGCAGTGCCACTGAAGATCTTTCCAACAGCCCCTCTTGAAATAAACTGCCAAAAAACTTGGGCATTCGGGGACATAGCCGTTCTCTAGGCCGGAATCACCACAAGCTCGCCAGGCTTACATAGGCTTCAAATGGCTTAAACAAGGCCTTTGTCCCTGGACATTGCGCAGCACGAGCTCAGGTTGTGGAGGAAGCGCTCTTGCTGTTGGCGCCTGCAGCTGCAAAAAAGTGTGCCTTTTTCAGTAGGCTCCGCAACAATCCTGCTTCCAAGGACCATCGAGGTTTAATCAAAGACTTGGACAAGATATGGCCGACAACCAGGGCCTGCAAGCAACTGGGCACCTCCGAAGTCTTGACTCTCACATCTGCGATCAAGATGTCCCTAGCCTCCACCCTGCGGGACACAGCTCAGCGCGGGGTCATGCCACGTCGGAAGGTCTTGGTACCTGGATACACTTCGTCAGCGTTTAGAGCTTGGTTCTATTTGTTGATAGCATCAAAGTGCCACGCTCGCCCGGATCCCCAGCCCGAATCTTAGGCATTGTTCAACTTCCTGGCCGAGCTCTGTTGGGCGAACTATATGTGCCCGTCCGAGCACGCGATTCAGAAGGCCATGCATTGCCTGCTGGACACAGCCTGGGCTCTCACCGAATGTGCTGGCAACTCTGAGCCGGCCGGGTGGTACTTAGATCCAAACTTAAAGTGAAGTCATAGCTCGATTCAGGGGTTCCTTCTTTCTGAACTGAGCTTAAACGTGCTGTGGTGCTAAGAAGTGAGCAGAATTGCAACCCAGTCTGGAGCCTAAGGTATGTGGAGTCCTGCGCATATTTTCTGGCTCGCGTGGGGGAAATCATCATGCTCAATCCTCTCGAGGTTTTCAACGTCTTAGATCCACTGTCGGCGAGTGCCCTCCATGCACGCTTTAAAGTCCTTGTAGTCTGCAGTGTGCCGGCCCTGGCGGCAGCATGCGCAAGCGGGGACAGCGTTGCAAGATAGGCCTAAGCCGAAGCGACCTCTGTGTACTCAGGACTGGCATCTTTGGCTCGGCAGTTGCCTCGCCGAACAAAGTCGTTCGTTTGGCTGCTGCTACGCCGTCGAGAAATGATGTGGTGACCTGCCTGAAGACGTCATCATGCTTTGTGCGCCCTTCGGCCGTGCAGACGTGCTGGAAGCAATGCTGACTGTTGAGCGGAATGCAATTGGCAGGGAAAGATCAGTTCAGCATCAGTTTAGACTGGCCATTTGCCTCTAAGCTTGTGCAGCCGCATTCCTGGGTTTACCTATAGAAGCTACCACCTAGTTTCAGGAGTGGTGGCTCATCAGGGCTGTTGATCCGCAGAAACCAACCCCACGACATGAACCAAGGTACTGAAACCTATGTGCACGGTGTGTTTGATATGTTTGCTTGTGATTGTTTGTTTCGTCTATCTTGGTGCATCGATGTGCTTGTGTTTTCAGTACTTGTTTGTGTGCGCACGTGTGTGTGTGTGTGTGTGTCTGTCTGTCTGTGTGTGTGTTATGCTTTCGGGGGCGCATGCCGTCTGCGAACATACTGGGCAGCCTTCCCCGAGTTTGGTGTTACAGTTACAGGATGTCACAGTTTGCACAACCTGGTCATCCAGGTTTGTTGTGCTGTCCAGTTGGCCTATGTAGACATGCAACACACCCCATCGTGACACAGTCAAGCATCCACTTGTGATTGAGGTTTATAGGAATGGTGATGGAAGAGGAGTGTTGGCTCAATGCATGTAAAAAGTACACCTTGAAGATTTGCAATAGCATACGCGCACACCCAAAACAATCACGTATACTCGCACATGTGTAGCCCAGGCTGTGCAACCGACCCAGTCGCGGCACCCTCGTATGTAGAGTATCCAGTCTTGGTACTATAGCTTCTTTTCTTGTTATATATATATATATACAAGTAGATATATATATATATATAGATATAGATATATATATATATATATAGATATCTACACACACATTTTTGTGTGTATATATGCACACACGAAAGTAGATAGTATACGCACATATAGACATATAATACAGGCAGATGTGGACCGACAGAGCGTCAGATGTGCATGTTTCGTCCCACCAGGCGTGGGTCTTTGCAGCTGTCCATCAGCCCCAGCTACTGGCAAGCTTATTCCGGAGCCCGGCTCGCCGCTCAAACCACAGAGCAAAGTAGCAGAAACAGACTATATCTATAGTGATGGGGGGTTCGTAGTTGCTTGATAATGGCAGGTTTTCATTAAGCTTGTTGCTTGTTTTACTCTTCTGAAGCGTGGCACGGAGAAGGCTAAACCCAGAGTTCGCGATGCTTTCTGAAGGTCTTGACGGGCCACTTCAAGGGCGACCCAAAGACCTGCTATCTTGCAGAGCTGCCGTGGTGTGCGTGTGCCTCCATTATGCGTTTTATTTGCGAGGGAAATTCCCTGGATGCGGCCGAAGCTGTATGGAGCATCGAGAACCATGCAGTGACTTGGACTGCGATCACACAAAGCCGCATGTTGCGGAGTTGCGGATGAGCCTTATGGGTAGAAGCTTTGAGTCCTGCGAAATGCCAGAAGTGTCCTCTGTGTCCCTGGGAGGAGATGCCCTCGACCGATGATTGGCTCTCCGAGTTCCTGGAGCAGCTCCCAGCCACGCCAAAAGCGCGAGAGGGCGACTCGCCTCCCTTTTGTTAGAGCTTGAAGTCTAAGTAGTGCTCGAAGTCTTGTTTTTTCTCGCTGCCGAAGTCTATTCTTCTGCTTTGATGCAAGGAAGTGAGTGCAGCGAAGCGAATTCGCCAACATCACCCATCGTCCCAGAAAGTGAGTGAGTCCTCCCCGGTGGGGCTTCGTGCACAGCTTCTCTGAGGCTGCAAGGCTCAATGATTCAGTTGTACAGCTGGCCTTCTCAGCACCTGTGCACTACAGTAGTTTGTTTGTGCATAATTAGTGCACAGCATGTGCACGTGATTATCAAATTTCGGCACGTGGTAGGCAGCCTTATTATCTGCCGCGCGTGCTATCGCACATGCGAGTCGGAGTTTGCAGAAACTGTAGTATCTTCTGAGTTTTTCTTGCCAGGTGTCTGGAGCGAGCATTTAGCCACTCAACTTGCATGCCACCCTTGATTCCTTTCGTGCTTGTGCCATCTATTCCTCCATCGGGCAGGGACCGGGGTCACTGGGCTGGGGCACAGCTCAGGGTGGACCCAGGCAGCGCACATGCAAGCTCCAGCAGCTCAATGAATTCATAGTGGCCCAATGCAATGCAGGCCAGATGTTCGGCGCCACGCAGCCGTTCGGTGCCACTGGCGGAGGATTGCCCGGCACCTGGCAGTCCTGCTTAGTCTCGCATGGTAAGACCAGCTCGTCCAGATAGTCCGGACCTGCCACATGTGGGCAGGAGCCCTGTTTTGACAGCCCGAATCCAGAAGTCCGTTTTGCACAACTCCGTCTCAGATGTCTCGCCATAGGGTCTAAAGAAGCTGCACGCACGAGGTTTGGTGGCGGTGGCTGCGGCGGCTGCGGTGGATTTGGCACACCACAGATCAAGGATCCAAACACGAATCAGGACTTGCAACGACGGAAGAACTTAAATATTCCACTGGCTAGGGTAGGACATGGTAGGGTGGCGTGGCGGGGAATCCTGTTCACGGCCCGGGGTGGCTGTGTCATCTAATACAAGGGCCTGAGCTGGCTGCATGATGACCACTCTTGCGGGACTCTCACCAGATGTTGTGTTCAACTCCCAGACGTGCAAGCTAATTCATGTTTGTCCGCTACGGATGCTTATGTGATGGAGCTGTGTGCGGCAAGTAAACAGAAGTTCGGCAACAAAATTGCCCATTCAATCCAAGTTTCTGAGCTCGTTGTTGTCTATAGGTGCGGAAATAGGATATCAAGAGTTGGAAATTTCCCGAGCAGAACTTACATGATGGTATGTTCCAGTGCTCTAACACAAGATATCCGTGTTCGTATTGCAATGGATGCCGCAATGGATGACTGTAGCTGCCTGCAGTAGAATTTGCCAGTAGCTGAAGATGTCTCAGCTGGCTGCGAGATCATTTTGCATCATGCTGCACAGCAATGCACTTGTTCTTGAGCAGCGACAAGTTGTATCGAAGCAGAAAGTCACTGATACGCTGGTTGATGAAGCCCCAAAGCCTGAAGCCACCTGAAGCCCGACATAAGCCCAGAACCCACCACCCCCAAGATATAAGATAACCCAAACCTGCCTCTGTGGACGGGACCGGCCCGAATCCCATTCACACCTAAAGGCCTCCTCCCATTTCATCTTCTAACGGAAGAACTTCCTGAATGCCAGGGCCCAGGCTAGTGATCTTCGTCCCATGGAATACTGGTATGCAACGCTTCGTTAGATGGTGACGGTGGATTCGCACAAACTGTTAAGTTCGGCGTGGGCACGCGCAACAGACGGGGCTTGCTTACACATCGTGCTGTTGTCGAAATGGATGGTTGATTAATCCGAGAAAGGTGCATGTATGTGTGCATGTGCAGCTACGTGTAGAATATGTAATACATGCGTATGTACGTATACACTTATCTAGTTTTATGTGTGTGTGTACATACATATATATATATATATATATGTATATACATGTACATACATATATATATATGTACCTATGTATATATACATGATATGTGAAGTTTCTCTGCGCTGCAGACAACACAGATGTTGCGAGCAATGTTTCAAGATCCTTTCCAGGATGCGCCGGTGCCAGAGGGTCCCAGCGACTCCATCAGCTGCTTACGCTGGTCCCCTGCTGCGAACATTTTCGCATGTAGTTCCTGGGACAAGAGCTCCTTGCCTCAACTCGGATCGCGGTCGGTGCTTTCTTGGATGCTCCAGGCAGTTCATCCGGACTTGTGCGTTCCTACCTGCTGACTATAGAGGTGTCAGAATCTACGAAGTCACTGCACAGAACATCGCTCCGCGTGCCCTGCATGCAGCAAGCAGCCAGCTGGATGAATAACAAGCAGAGACTGCCGCCTGGCTGAAGGAATGGCTTACAACCATGAAGCACCAGTACTATGCTGCGCTTTCTCCAAAGACGGCCAGCGAGTATTCAGCGGAGGCTGCGACAACAAGGTGCAACATGCAACATCATGCAACAGCGCATTGCGAGGAAATGCTTGGGGGCAAGGGCAGAATCACATCAGCTACTTGTAAGTCAGGCACCCTAGGCTAATGTCACTGGGATTGGTGTCACTTTTCTTAAGCCCTCGCCTGACTTGTTCGAGTGCAAGTGCTACAAAAGTCAGGCACCAGGCAGGTGTTCTGTTTTTAAGGAGGACGATGCCCACCGTCCGAACGTCCCCTGCTTCCGAAGCTAAGGTGAAAATGAAAGTCTTGCAGACTCAGCAAGAACAGCAGATAGGTGCCGCGCTGACTTCAACACTTGCCGACCTGTTGACAAGTGCCCGTAGCTGCTGCACGTGAGAAGCTTCCAGGTCAGCATGATGGGCCAGTGAAGGAAGTCTTCGTCGTGGATGAGATGAACATGGTGGTCTCAGGAAGCTGGGACAGGACACTCCGAAGCTTGCCGGCACTCGCTGGAAAGCTGCCAGGGCCGCTACTCTAGGGCACTTGGAGAGGTGCTCGCAGGAGGTCTATGAACCTGGTCCTGCACAGGTTTCTGGAACCTTCAACAACCCACTCCTGTGGCCACTCTGCAGCTTCCGGAACGATACTTGGCTTGACGAAGCCAGTGGCCCACATGGAAGGTCCTGGTCGTGCAGGTTGTTTGTTGGCTGTTGTCCATCCAAGGAGTATACACGATGGACGTGAAATATCCATTGCTTGTAGTGGGTTGTGCGGAGAGGCATGTGCCTCTTTGCTGCAAGCCCTCCATTCTCGCCCATCGCCTCGCCTGAAGCGTTTGAGAAGCTACGCATAGATGCGCGTTGACCCTACCGCCTGCTCGACAACGATACTGTCCTCGTGCTGGGATTTGGCAGATAGGAAAATTCTCGGGCCCGGGTTGCGAAACTTTCCTAGGTCTCATAACGCATATCTATCAGAGAATCAGCTACCGTCCAACTCTGTGAGGGGCTCGCGAAAATCGATTCGCCTGACATAGCATTAGATGTCCGAAAACCACTGCGGAGATCCAAGATTTGAATCTGCCCCAGTCTCGCTGCCGCCAACATGCATAGGCTTCATGGGATGGAGACTTCTGTGCTGGAAGAGACCATGTGCTACCCATACTGACATGTGCATGGAGCGACTGCTGCCGAGGCTTGTATACAATCTGCAAGCCATCCAGCAGAATCCGGCGCCATATAAACAGGGCCAGACGGCTCTCAAAATGCAAACAAGAGTCATTTGCCGCTTGGCCGTTCCCACTCGGCGTTTCGCACATGTTGCTGGGAGGAAGAGCTACACATCATGGCCTCGTTACCGAGGCTGCTTTCCTGACAAGACAGGATATGCAGTTGGATCGATAGAAGGTCGTTGCTCAATCGCCCACATAGAGGACACGAGCAAAAACTTTGCCTTCAAGCATCTCGGACAACAGCAGTTTGGCAACTTTCCGTCGCGCTGCATCATGCCGCTCGATGCCGCTCGCATTGTGGTGAGAACGGTTGACACAAGGTGCCACCGCACGAACACAGAAATCTATGCAGTGAACGACATCGACTTCCACCCAACCATGGGGCGAATATGGCTGCAGTCAGGCATGTATGAGCAGCTCCGGCTGGCTTCCGGTCACATACGGCTGGCTTCCGGTCACATACATAATACATACACACACATATATAAATAAGTACATATATTGCATAATATATATATATATATATATATATATATATCTGTGTGTGTGTTTGTGTTTGTGTTTACTCCTGCCCAAGCAGCACATGCTGTGCGCCACTCACGCGGCCGCTGCTTGAGGACATTTGCTACCTGTGGCGGTGATGGCACCTTTGTGTATTGGGACAAGGAGAACAGAGCGCAAGCTGAATGGAAGGGCTCACATAAGACAAGCAATTACGATCAGGGGTCGCAGCGTAAAGCAACTCACAGGCGGGTGCAAACTGAGGACAGCGCCTCAAAGCCTTCAACTCCTGTCATTATCCGTTAACCTCGGGGAAGTTTAACGCACCTCAGATGCACAAGTGAAGCATGAAACCAGGCACTCTTCTGTTTGGAAGCAAACGTGCAGCTGGGTTCATCAGCATAGTGCTTGTTACCGTCAGGCACCCGGAGACATGTATGCAACTGGGTCGAAATTCAGATGTCGCTTCCCGGCAGACTGCCAGTCTTGTGGCACGAGTTCCGAGTACAGATAAGCTGGGCAGGACCCTGAGGCATCAAGCACGGCAGGGTGCCACTATCAGTGCGATGATTTTTGTTTGTGACGAATCTTCCCCCGGTCGAACGAAGTGTAGGAAGTCGGAGGGTTGTTGGTTTCATAATCGGAAGTCCACCGAAAGGGGCCTGTTTGAGCCTCAGGAGACATGAAACTCAGCGTTTTCGTTTGGAAGGAAGCCGGAGCTCAGTTTGAAGAGTTTTGATTCATCTTCTTCAAGCTGGATGCACACAGGCTTAGGGTTTTGTTGAGTTCAGCTGATCAAGTCAAAACGTTCTTCCCCAAGCCCGAGCCCTCGCCCGCCCTTGCTTCGTTTTGATTTTCTGACTGAGACGACGGCATGCCCAGAAAGCACTGAGGCCTATGCTGTGTCGTATGACTGGAGCAAAGGCCATGAGCAGAACCATCCGAGTTTGCCGAAAGGCGCCCGAGCCTAAGGCCCCTAGCAACGTCCCAAAGCCTCGCGGCAATCAGCGATGAAAACCTTGAGGTCTTGGTCCACAAAGTCCAGGCGACGGAGGTTCAACCAAAGGCCGGCTCCGCAAATCAGCGCGCCAAGAGATGAGAGGCCGGGCGCCTCATACCGAGCAATGTCGACAATGTAGACAGCACCGTAACCGTTGTCCACTGCCAAGATGTAAGCACGACACCGGCCGTTGCATGGAATGTTGCTTCTTTGGACCTCGAACACCTAAACGCAGAAGTCTTCATGCGACTGATGAGAGGCGACGGCTGCTCTGAGGCTACCTGAAACCCATGATGCAGCATCGGGCAGGGTGGCACAGCGGTGGCCCAGTGGAGCACCTCTAAACTCCAGACCAACTAAGCTGAGACACTGTCGAGAATATGTTTTAGCCGTTCTGTGCATATTTCAAAGATGACAAAACTCGGTTGACTGCCAGTTGCACCAAGACAAAGATGTTTCACCTGTTAGTGGAAGACTCCGAGCGCGGCGCCGTGCTGCGCATTATGCAGGGTCGAACAACGGGTGCGGCACGTGTTGACGGCGACGTGTGCAGGTCAATCCCACCAACATGGACTTCAGCCCTCGGTTTCCGAAAGCAGCCGTTGGCTGCACACGAAGCCTTTCTGACGGAGCCGTTTTGGCCTGAAAATGGACGGTGGCATGATGGATGAACTGAGCAAGTTTTTTGGGGCACTGCCTGCCAGTTGTTGCAGCTTTTCTTGACAACACCCGGCATGTCACCAGCCATCTCGTCACACAGCAAGGTACAGACAGGAGGTACTCCACTCGCTACACCTCGGATTTCCGAGCAGTTGCTAGAAAGCCCACCATGAGCGAACTTGCTGACAGCCTCGAAGGCCTTGGGCTGACGATTGATGGAGGGGAATGGGGCAGCCACATCTGATGAAACTTGTTTGCTGGCCCTTGATAAGGCGAATTAGATAGCAGCCGCTCGCCAGTCACCGATGAAGCTGTGATGTCCATTATCGAGCAGATAAGCCACTCGACAACAACCTCACTCGCAATCATTAGCGGGTGCTGAGGATGCTAGCTGCTAGCATCCTCGGCTCTACTCGTATGTCAGACCTGTCACTTGCACTTAGTGGCCGCCTTTGTGTCTTGCTGCATGCGACCAAGGTGTCCTGACTCCGGAGCAGAAGGAGAAAGTCCGCAGAGCAATTCTGTTTGGCAGCTCCGCAAATCTGTTCAAGGACCGCAGTGTGAGCAACGATTTGACGTTTCATTGCTTTTTCACGTGACTATTGTGGCGCGTCTTACGAGAGGATGTCGATCGATCGGCGTTCTTCATGCGCCGTGGCTGCATCTCAGGTTTTGTCTCACTCTTGCGGTTCCAGACACTTGAATTTGAGCACATTCCGTTGCTACCGCATCTTCTGAAATTGAGCGAGTTCGGAGTCTGACGGCATAGAGGTAGCAGGCTGAAGCTTGATCCTCAAGCTGAACCCACGATGCCAGAATCTGAAGATCTTGCAGCAACGTATTTCTAAAAGCGGGTGACCAGGATGCTCTCTGCCTTAGTGGGTCCCAGCCTCGAGCCTTAATACTATAGTACCATAATACTAATACTCTAGTAGCTTAATACTATAATACGATAGTACCATCTTACTATAGTACCATAACACTACGTATAATACTATAGTACCATAATACTATAGTAATACCATATTGTGTCTCCAGTCTTTTGCTGGGCAGTGCAGTTGGCTCGAAGTCTCCAGGTTTCGTGTCTTCCCAGAGGCTGAGATTTTCGGAAGAAGCCATTAATCATGACCAAGTAGCTTCGGCTAGTCTTCACCTCGCAGCTTCGGCAGGGTGGGAGGGAAAAAAGTAGCTTCGACCCTGACAGTTGGCACGTGCAGACTGATCGAACGACGCCACTATCACTACGAGCAAGCAGGCCTTGAGCCATCCCGATTCCCAAAATATCGTACATGCATACGACCCCTCAATCAACCGTAGACCACAGCCCGCGAAAAAAGCGCTCAAAAGCTGAGCAGATCCAGGAATCGTCCTAGCTCTATTCCGCGGTGGCGCTCCGCCTCGCCGAAGGACTCCGATATAAGTATAGACGCAAACATGAAAAAGAACAATAGTTGTCTCTCTCTTTGTCTCTCTCTCTCTCTCTCTCTCTCTATATATATATACATATATGTGGCAAATGTGCGCATGTCTTGTTTGCCACCTCTCTCTCTCTCTACCCCTCTCTGACTTTGCTATGTTTCTCTGTCTTGCTGTATATTTACTCTTTCTCGGTCGTATGGTTATGATTCCGCTTATTGATGTTGTACATCATATATATATATATATATATAAATGTAAATATATACAGTTGCACTCTCCGCCCTATATACCTGCCCACCTACCTAAGTACCATGGGTGTATGTAAGGGTGCGGGCATCTACATCTGTCTCTAGCTGTGTATCCACGTGCGCATGTCTACATGTAAGCGGGCCTGTATGCCTGCATGAAGGTGTGCACATCCATATTATATATATATATATACATATATAAAACATCGTGAAATTATGTATGCACACATACCTGCGGCTATGTATGGGTGCAAGAGTGTTTATGCATGTGTGTATGTCAGTATGCACTGATGTGTGTATGTATGCATGCATGGTATTTCACCTCGATGTTAAAGATTGCTCAGCAGGGAATCTGGGTGTTCGGAGCCGGCAGGTGACAGCCGCGAATACTACTCACTATAGTACTACATGATACAACTGACTAGAAGTTAAAGGACGCAAAGTGGGAAGTGGTCAGCAATATCAGCCGTGCTAGTGTTTGTGCTGCTCTAGAAGCCACTGCGGCTGCATGGTGCGAGCCGTTTTCTGTAATCCCTCTTCCTTAGAGCTGGCCTGTCTCTGCAAAACCCAACTCAACAACTGCCCTGACTGACTTAAAAAACGGCTTGTTGACAGATTAATCTTGAGGGTAGTTGCTTAGGGGATGGTTGATCGAATCCATCCCCAAGATCCGCCGGTCTTTCTTGCCCAAGATTACATGTATGAATATGTTCAAGTACTGCGGTGAGTTCCGAACTCAGAATATCGGGCACATGCAATTCACAACGTGTTCCCGGCTACAGGATGACAAAAAAAAACGATAGGAACTAACAGCGGATTTCCTCGCCGGGACGTACTGCTTCCGCATGTCAAACTTCATTGAGGACGTGGTTCCCTCCCTCTCCTGCTTGCTCGGTTGCTGGGCGGTTGGGGATGGGGGCGCTAGGCCCTTGCCCTGCGCGCTCAGCGCTACGCCATAGTCCGAGCCTGGAGTCGGTGAGAGACGGGCTCCCCGGAGCTAGCATGACGACCTCTCTCTCTCCCTCTTGCTTGCATGGGGTTTGGGGCTTCGAAAGACCCTCTCTCTCTCTCTCTCTCTCTCTCTCTCTCTCTCTCTCTCTCTCTCTCTCCTTTTCAGCACAGACAAAAGGCGAGTCGAGCCTCTCTCTGCTCTTTCTGTATATACAGAATCTCAGCAAGGACGACACCGCCAAGCAGACTTATGCACTGCAGGTGAAACAGCAGTGGTGGTATGCGATGCAGCTAATACATGTAAGAGAGAACTGGCTGGGCTTATTGCCGGCCCCATGGGTTGATCTTCTAGTTGTGCTTGCTTGCCACTTTCAAGCATGTGGTGCTTCTGCCGATGCACGGCTGCATAGGAAGGGCAGAGCGACTGAGCCCGCAATTCAACATAATGCTTCCTGTGGACAGAATTCAGCTTTCGACGACAGGAGCGGACAGCGGGTACCGGAGCCTCGCCGATGCTTGGGACACAGCCCTCCGGTTGCAGATGGCTCGAGACTGCTTCTTTGCAACAGCAGCCGAAGCTACAGCAAGACCAGTCTTCTACAATGCTTCCGGTGAGGGACGGCGGCTACAACCGCTACCTCAGCAGTCCGTCGCTCGGAGTGTTCGGACAGCCTCCGAGCCCACGGAGATTTCTCAACTTGGCTTTTCACGGACATAAGTCGGATGCCTTGGGATGCTGCATTTGGCTCAGGCTGTAGTCTTGTTATTGGTGTTTTCTGTTCTCATTGCGAGATACGTTGTCTGTGCTGTCCGACCTGTCCGCGACCTGCCATGGCACTGCGAGCACTGTTTTCCGTTGCACTCGCTTCTTGCTGTTTGCAGCTTGCCAGAAGCACACGCCTCAGTGGCCAAGCACATTCGTCAGCAGACGGGGCGAGTGGAGAACGAGGAAAGTGTGAGCTAGACACCGCAGAATTCTATTGGGAATTCGACAAGATCGCTGTGTCTGGTCTTTCTTTCGGAGTTGTGGCATGCATACTTACTCTAAGCGTTTGGAGTGCCGCAAACCCGGCCAAGCGACACTTTGCAGTGTTCGTGAATGCACTGGTTGGGATTGTTTGCATCTTCCTCCCGTACATCGCCGGGAACCTTGCGAAGTCGAAGCTTGTGGCCCGCACCTGCCATCAGTGCCACTGCGACGGGGCAGAAAGGAACACTGTTGTGGACCAAGCCAGCTTGTGCATCCTCTTCGCTCTCATGTCCAAGACTGCTGTGGCAGCGAACGTCTTGGGCATCCTTGATTTGATCGTCTGTTCAGTCGTGTGCTGCACTGGAAGAATCACCAAGAAGAGTAGCGAGGAAACAAGCACATAGCCCGAGCCCTATAGCTGCGAGGCATTCTGCAAGGCTGACTGCCACAATTCAGCTAAGACAAGTCTAGAAGGCTTGCGACAGCGTGGTGAAAAGCATGCAGGAGCTTTGTAAGATCTCCGTCAATCCGCTTGCTGTATCATCCTGGTAGTTTCTCGATGCAGTCATTGCTGTGAAGTCCTGATTTCAGAGTTTGTTTTTCTCTGCTACGGCAAGGTCCTGACTGCAGCCCTAGATCAGGTTCTCGTGTTCTGAAGTGTCTTGGCAGACACCGGCTTTTTGCTTCGAGAGCATGCCCCGGCACTGTAGTAGGAGCTTAAGCAGCTTGATGTGAGTTGAATGTTTGGATGGGTTTGAGTGAGGCGAACGATCAGCGGCACAGGCCATCCAATCGACGACCTACTACGGGAACGGGGCCATGTGAATCGCTACTTGGTGGTCGTCTCGTCTTTGTCGTTGGACTGGAAGGACTGGATCCTTCAGCTGACAGTTCCGTTCGCAGATGTCTTTTACACAGCTCTAAAACTCCAAAACAAAAGGAGCTCATCAAGATCCCTGGTGTTTCCAACTACGAGCTTCGACTGCTTTGGCACCTGTACTTCTTGCGGTCCCAGGCAATGCGGATAGCATCTTGCCGGCAGCTGGCATCTGCAAAGGCTATTCGGGCCTCTTGTCCTGCCCCATCCCTGAGGTCATGTGCACTTCCCAGTACATACCTGCTCTTGGCTCAGTACTGCCAGCTTGAAGTACCACGGCTTTGATGGTGCTTTGCTGCACAGCCCAGGAAGCACTGATCAGCTACTACTTGCGTTACCTGCCAAGTGATGTTTCGCCAAAAGAAGCCAGAAGTCGTTTGACAACCATCGCTTGCAACGTGTCTCGGCTCGTGCTCAGCTGATGTAGATGAACCTGATCCCCTGCGCTTTGTCGTGAGAAGGCCTGGAGACTCAGGACATGACCGCGGCCAGTGTCACCAACAAGTTGCTCAGCAGGAAGCGCGCGTTGAATCGTATTCGCGATGCTATCGAGCCCGAAAAAGCGGCGATGACGTGTTTCAACTCCACAGCAGCTTCGGCAGCATTGGATGCAAGTGGCTTCCACCACTTGTGAACATGCGAACTTGCATCCAGACTTGGCCGAAGGATTCGGAAGTGCAGCTGGCCGCTCGGCTCGAAGAAGCGTTTGGGATTCGGTGTGGGCACAAAGACGACCACGTGACTCTTTGTTCACTCTCCTCTTACGATCTCGAGCACAACGCGTCAATGCATCTTACTGATACCCTGCAAATGTCTCCCAGGCAGAGGAACTCGGAATTCCTCTCTTTGGCACTGACACCCAGGGAGCCTTCTGGGGGACGAAGACGGGGAACCGGCAGGTCTTCCGCGTCGCTGGGCAGTGCAAGCATGTAGCAATCGTAAACGCTTGCGACCCCCACACCTACGTCACGAAATGCATTCTGAGGATGCTGGAGTGCAGCATCCAGATGGCAGCTATGACCTCATTTACACCGAGGAAGAGCTTTGTGAGGACATGCGCGGCGATCATGCATCCCAATCACTGCTATCGCATTCAAAGCAGATTCCGAACTAGGCCTCCCGACCGACTTTTTTTCAGGAGATCCTTTCATTGCTCAGACGCTGCCCTTCAACAAAGAAGGCGACTGCAGCACAGACCTGCGATCGCCCGCCTCCGGGAAGCCGTGCAGGTCATGGTAAAGCTGAACGACTCTTTCAGCGGAGAGGGAAATGCTGTCCTTCGCGTCGACAGTGAACTCGTGGACAGTCTCAAGGAGCGGCACGTATTGTAAAGTGGTCCAGTGCTTGACATGTGTATAATGTACGGGCGACAGGAGTCCGACGAGCAAGCCATGGAGGTTATTTTCGACAGGCACCGTGCTGATGGTATGTCTGATGTTCACGGCCGTACTGCCACTGAAGCTGATAGACTTTTGCGTCTTGTCGGACTTGACTTAACTTGCCACGACCACGTACAGCTTTCCCCAGGCTGGAGAATTCACTGGAGTATGTGGCACCAGGACTCTGCCCGAATGCTGCGCCAGTTGGAGCAACATGCAGCTCCTCAATTCCCTTCCACTCCGGTGTGAGCAGGATTGACCTGGGACAAATACTACCAGCAGTTCCAAACGTTGGGCGGCATTTGCGAACTATTCATCGAAGGCTACTCGCTTACTTACATCGCAGCCTGAACGTTCTGCTCCACAGTCATGGGAAGTGTCGCCCTGCTACAGCCTTAGTCCTTTGTGATGCTTCCTCGCGAGGTCAGAGCTCTGCCAAGACATCGCCTTCGTGCCAGGCCTTCTTAAATGCAGACGGCAGTGTCAGGACACCTTCCTGGCAGAGGGCAGAGGGCAGTCTAAATACTTCCACGCTGATCTCGTAGAGACGCATCATTGCCGTGACGAGATTGCAACCGAATTCTGAGCCGTAGGATTCTTGCCACCCACGAGCAGATGCTGAACGGTCAAATCTACACAGGCTAGCTGGGCAAACGGAAGTGGCCACCTCTTGGAGCTAAGTTCTGTGTTTGGGTCATGCAGGATGCACATTCCCTGCGAAAGAAGAGTATTCTGCGGAGCTCGTGTCGCTGACAAAGAAGATCGGCCAGGACAGAGCAACAGAGCATATCAGGGCGAATGTGGGTGGAGTCACGTGCTTGTTCAGGAGCTCGTTGGTCGGCAGGTTGTGGGCTACATAGCCGTTGACTTCGTGTCTGTAAAACAAAGTGATGGAAGCTACAAGCTCCTTGGATGTCATGGCAACGAGCACGCGAGTTCCCAACTGTAACCGCAGGGTGCTTGCTAATGACTGCTAATGTCGCAGCCAGCTAACAAACTCTGTCTCTTCGGCCATGTCAGGCATTGGGCAATAGAAGTAAATGTGCGCATGGGCGGCACCACGCTTCCCATCATGACCTTGCTTCCTGGCTATGTGTGTGTGTGTGCGCGCACGCGTGTCGGTGATACTGCCGGGCGACTACGACCTTCGGTGAAGCGAGCCGCGCTCAGCCCATCCGAGGAATTTTCTCTGCCGTGATGGCCGGCTGAACGAGCAAACCTCCGAATTCATCGCAAGCGATGGCAAGCCGAGGCTCGCAGCCTGAGCAGAGCCAAGAGCCGAAACCCTCGTAGTGTCTGTTTGGAGTGGTCAATGGCAGGTATTATGTGGCTTCGGACACACTCAGCGGCATGGACAAAGATGGAGTTTGCTTGTAGAACAGCGGAAGACATGATGGCTGCCGTAGCATCGACATCTTGAGGAAAGAAAACCTACAAGGGCTTGGTCATTGAGGACTTGCTAGCCATCATCGAACGCATCCCGACTGAAAGTGACTGCTGCTTTGCAGTAGGCTGGCCTTTCCTTTCCCGGAAACCTGAAGTTCATGCCGGGGTTCCCAAGAGATGTGTCTTGCCGATCTCAGGACACTCGTCCGAGATTGAGTGGAACAAACGACCGGGTGCTCCCGAAACAGGCCGGTAGTCAGCAGCATGTTAGTCTGGCCAGATGGTTAGAACCTGGTTAAAACCCCGGAAGGCACGATTTTCCACTTGGTCACACTTCTGTCCGAGCTCGGGAAGTGTGGCTGCGTTTGCATCGGCCGGTCGAGGGAGGAAGCCCAACAAATCTTTCGACGTGTTCAGGAGACCTGATGTAGCAAGGGGCAGGGCAGCCAATGACTGAGTTCATTTTGCTAGCCTCTCGACATGCTGCGGACAATTGTCAACAGATTGTATGTGTTGATTTGAAGCGTCGACTGCTCCTGGGCTGGGAGTGGTTGACGGATTCCTGACGACCTCCACCGGGTTTTGGCAGGAAGTGCAGTGGCCAGCAGCCCGCTAAACTAAACATGAAGCGTCATGAAACCACGAACAAGCAACTGAACGACAAGACCGGGAACCTCGTGTCGTGTTAGGACATCCTGGATGCAGAAACGCGCACGGTGGAGGCGTGCGCTCCTTTTCTGTGCTCATACTACTGGCGGCTGAAGCATCCATAGCCGCCATCCTTCTTGCATCCAGCAGCGCGATCTGCTTCCACTCCTTGCAGTTACAATCGAGCATCGTATATCTGACAGGTGCCTCCGACTGAAAAAGCCGTGGCAGCTGAGTTAGACTTGGTTATCGAAGAGCTCGAAGGCGACGACGAGGACAGATGACATGTTCAAGCCGGTCTGGGTAGCTCTATAAGAGCCCCAGTCGCTTCTCTGTTGCCGTAAACGGGCGCATGACATTCCCGCCCGTGGATTTCAGGATGACGCAGCTGACATGCTGAACTGACTTTGGGGGCTGGGCCTGAGGCAGCTAGACCTACAGTAGTAGCTCCGTTTTAAGAGACAGCACCCCCTTTGCACGGGAAGTTTTGCGCCTCAAGGTTCGAAGGATTTACATGTCTGTGTGACAGAGACTTCCCTCTAGCATAAACCGAGACCACTATGCCAAGACGGAGAGAATCTCAGGCATTATCCTCAGAACCGCCTTCCAAGCCTGTAGCGGCATCGTAGATTCGATGCAAACAGGTTTCGTTTTGTGCTGGACCATCCGGCGGCGTCTTTTGTGAACGCAAAGGCAAAAGAACCTGGTCATGAGGGGTCATGGCAGCATTGCGGCAGCATCGTGCCGCTCGAGCTAGTTGGATCATCGCTCACACGCAGCTTCCAAGTTCAACATGTTGATGGAACTCTACAAACATTGAACAGGACTCCCCATCTGCAAAGTCCTAACTACCGGCCATCTGCGTAGCATGGTGTGTTTGATCACTACACTGCCACATCCGAGGCCTTATCTGAATCTCGTAGGATGGTGTGAGTGGCAGCGGGTGTGTGACCTCTCGCAACCCGGCATCGCCCAACTGTCAATGACATCAGACGCAAGACTCTGCGGAGAGCTGCGAGGCTTGCTTGTGACACGCTTGAAAGTGGCATGTTCTCTGCAATTCCACCGATGGTTGCAGCGCACGTTTATGAACCAACGAATCAACACCCACTTCTTGGTGTTTGTGAAAGGCAGTTATCTCGATGTGCCGGCTGTCCTGCAGTCCCAGGAGGTTCTAGGATGCATTAGCAAGGGTAACGGGTAACCTTTCCCGAGTTGGTCTTGCCTCTCATCTGAGTCCGAGGTTCGCGAACAGCGTGGCACCTCGCCAGGTACTGAAAGCCGCCTGCGTTGGGACAGCAAGGCCTCTGATTCTCTGATGTCTGCACTGCTGCCTACAAACAATGCCTTTGACAATGACCCCGCCGAGATCGACATAGAAGTCGACCATGCCGCCCAGAAGCTCATGACGGTCAGCTGCACCGCGAAGGTTGCGGAGGCCGTGGTAGCAGCGTTGACAGATGCAGGCCTGGCGGCCTAGCGGCCTGGCCGAGCCTTGAGTCCGATCCGATCGTTTCAGCCCGAGCGCCCGCAGGATCCAGGTTGCAAAGATGTTCAACCGCATGCATCTTACCCAAGGCCGTCAGAGCGCAGCCTGAGAGCTGTCAGCAGACTCATCGGCATCTCATGACTCAGCGTGCCCGCTTCAGGAAAGCAGGTCGCTTGCAGCCTGCTTAAAGCAGGAGGATGAGGTAACCGCAGTGGCTTCGCAATCCTTCTTGGACCGGCCCTGCGCAATCCATCAAAACGTGATGCAGTGCTGCTTTCACCGGCATGCGACACAACTAGTTGCAGTAGAATCCCGCCCCAAAAAACCCACAGTGGGAAGTCGTCGCTTCTTTCATAGCAAGAGCAGATGTCTTGGCTGAAGGATGCCTGCTCCAACCTCGGGGCGGTCCTGATCTCACTGGCTTCGGCCATGAGCCAAAGCCTGCTGCTCCCTTTGGAGCCTTGATGAAGTGTGAGGCTAGCGGCTAGCAAGCACTCTCCTGTACAGCTTACACGGCTACTGTAGTGGATGGCTTCGCTTCCACGAGCTGTAGCGAGGCTTTAATTTGACGTTCTGATCTTTGTTCATCCCTTCCCGGCCAAGGAGTCTTTTCACCGTGGTGCCAGTGCAGATCACCTCAGGAGCCGATGAGCAATGTCGCGCAATGCAGCGAGCAATGCGAGCGAAGCATGAGCGCCCGCAGGAAGAAAGCCGCACTGGATGGACTTCGTGAGCGAGAGCTGAGCTGCTCCAACTCCGTGACCGAATCCTTGCAGAAACGCGACAGAGCTCGTGTTGGCCTGCAGAGTGCCATGCGGGAGCAGGAGAGCCGCTGAGCTTGCAGCTGCTCCGTCATGATCACTTCGTCCGGAGGAGAAGACCCAAAAGAAGGCTGGAGAGAAGAAGAAAGGTCTTGCTCGCTTTACCCGGGGCGATGGTGAGAAAGACATTGCGGCTGCGGAGATGAAGGTTCAGAAGGCACCGCGAAAGCAGACACTTGTTCATTTGTTCAACAAGCGCATGACAACTACCATGTCTCTGCAATTTACCTGCTGCAGCTGATACTTCGTCTTTCCGTTGTTCCTCTGATGCCGGATAGCTCATAGACGACTTGCATCGACTTGCAGAGCAGGACCACGGGGTTAGCATGTCATAGCATGTCTGCGTTGCATTTCCGTGAGGCGGCTTCTGCACAGACGGCCTCCATCGAAGAGCTGGCATCACGCCATGTCCTGACAACAACTTCCCCAAGCAAGTAATGCCCCAGCATTTTACTACACTCAGGAACAGAGGAGGCCAACGAGGCTCGCCTGTTGAGGGAGAGCGCCACCAAAGAAGTGGACCTGCTCCTCTCTTACATCGAAACAGTGCGTACGAGGCAGGCCTCCCACACGATCTTGGGTCTACTATGCACGGAGGAATCAACTAATTCTACTGTACCTATTATTCGCGCTATATACTAGCGCCTCCCCTGTCACCAGTTTGCTTGGTGGGCTATGCATTGCAGGAGCTTGTGACTGCTGCACGTCACGTGATGCACGGGGTATTTATACTCCCTCGAGAATTTCCATTCACGTGTTGGAGGCTCTTGTCCCGGTGCCTGAACAGCTGCGCTGTGGCCTATGGCGAGGCGGCCAAGAATCTGCGAAAGAGCGCAGCGGACCTGCAGAGCCAGGCCCACCAAAGAAGTCTCTATAGATCTGTCCATCCGGAAAAATCCCCTTTTGAAAACGATCTAGAATCTATAGAGGTAGAGCTGCTGCGCGATGCCCAGGTCTCCTTCTTGCGCCAGTCGCAGTCCACCAGACCAGAGATGCCGGCTTCGGGCAGCGACGGGCATGAGAGCAGTTTGCCGTCTTGGGCGGTGGAGGCTCACAGGGGCTTTGTAGCTTCGACTTTCTCGTCACTGCGCGGACTTCCTGCAAGCTGCAAGTGAGGCTCTGAAAGTGTCCAAGACCCTTGCTGGCAATGTCAAGCTGAGCTCCACCATTGCGTTGGAGCAGGGGAGTGTTAGATAGAAGGTGCAGTTGAATTGCCCGCCGAGGAAGCGCCCGAGCACAATAGTCATCCTCTCAGTTTGGCTGCTGGGGCCAGAGCTCAAATTGTTTCTTTTACACAAAGCTTTGCCTGTGTGTCAATGCTGAGGAAGTGCAGGAAGAAGCGCTCTCCTGGGAGGAGCGATGGGGTTCCTGAGCGTGCTGAGCCGAATGTTGGGCCTGCAGGACAAGCACCCCGAGTCTCCGTTCACAACTCCACTGCCGCTGCGCTCCACCATCAGCCCCAACGGGTTGACTTCCTCACAGGGTGCGGGCGCCCGAAGATGGTGGGAGACTTCCAGCTGCGCCCTGCAAGACAACTTTGCGCTAGGAGGCTTTCACGACTTCCTGAAGGGGCGATCCGAGACTTCGCCAGCCATTCTGACAAGTCCCCGCCTGAACTTCCTGGCATTTGGTATATGAGTTTTCCAGCATTCTCTCAAGCGTGTGCATTATGTAGCTGCTACAAGCGGAGTGGCTGCGACGGTTTGCTCACATGCAGTAGTCATGTTAGCTGCCGATTCCCAGCTGATGCAGGAATAGAGCCTGGGTTCAAAAATAGCTGCTGCAAGATGCACGTACGTACATGAGAGCACAGAGAAAAGATGTACAATAATGCCGCAGTACTGCATTTTCCTCCTGCAGGTCATACCTTCCCTTTGGCATCTCCAACATGTGAAGATCCGAGGCAGAGAAGAGATTCTAGCCAGTTCCCGTTTGAAGATTGAAAAAGGCGACGGACAAACTGCAAACGTGCGAAACCTGTGTGCAGCATCTTCGCATATCTTCGCTGTCATGCATTTTAAAGTTAGCCATCACTTTGGACTTGGCCGACTGCGACGTCGTTCTCAAGTTGCTTGGACACGGGTTGGCGCGGCACAAAGCTTCCATCGGATGTGTCTAAGTAGCTGCAAGGCGAGCCTCACATATTATGGTGGTCATCGACGACAGGTAGAACTTATTCATAAACCGCATAGGCGTTCAGCGACCACGAAGCATTGCGTAGCCGCTACACATGGAGATGGTGCAGCCAATGCATTCTCCGTTTGACGTCGGCCACGTGGGCTCCGAGGGCCAGGCAGAGATCTTTGCTGCCTTTGCAGTCGTAACTAGGACGTGCAAAGCGGAGCTACAGTCCTCAGAAGCTGCACGCAGCCCATGCACAGGTGAAAAGGTTCATCGAGCGTGGACGAAGCGTTGCGCAGAGCACAGGCGCGTGGCGGGAAGTGGGGCAAGCTTTTGCTCGACCATGTGAGCGGAGTGTACCAAAGAGCGCGCACACGGACTCACTGACTGATGACTCTTGCTTTGTGGCATTGCTCGAAACCAAATCGCAAAATCAGCAATTTCAGGTCGCATTAATGTGCGCCGAATACGGACGAACCACCACACTTGGCAACTTCCTCAGCGACATCGATTTGTAGGCTATCAGATGTTGCAGTATGTAGCCGTGCTAGTCCATGAAAGCCTTCCCGAAGTGGACTTCAGAGCCAAGGTGGGCATCCTTCTGGGCAGACCCCTTCCATTCGGTGCGCTTGGCAGCTATGAGACCGGCTCCGGTTGCGAAGCTGCGACCGACTTGTGACTGCTGAGGTCATCCATCACAGCACCATCAAAATTATGGCATTCTTTTGTGCAGCTGCCCTGGTCAAAGCAGAGATAGCTTCTCTTCACAGATTTGTTCGACACCTTCGTCACCGGGGCCTGTGGGAAGTTCAAGAGAGATGCCTGAATGAGGCAAGCTACTTGTTCACGCACCTGCTCTTCTCGCTGCAAGGATCCCAGCGCAGAAGAAAACCGGGCGAAACGCAGAAACGATATGTTTGGAATCTGCCCACCAAGCATCCATGCTTTTGCAGGGCCAGGCTGCTCCTAATCATATCTCTGCCGAACATATCATACACTAGATCGCGAAAGCGTGTTAACTTGCTGTCGTCCGGCAACAACCGGCAGGCAGGTGCGTGCTGCCACCTTTGCTACTTGCCATTTTGAAGGCATGTGCAGATCAGTGCAGATTCGCTTCTGGTCCCAGGATATATTACATGGTGGACGAGTCCTGTGACCTGCAGATGCTCGCCAGCTTTAGCTTCCAATTTCATGAACAGTCAGTGAGTTTCGGATGGAAGCAGCCATGATGCGCATGGTGGTCCGATCAGCGCCTTTTCCAAGGATAAAGTCTCTGCTGGATGCCATGTACCTCAGCTTGGAGGCATCCTGAGATGGTCCACTCTGTATGGAAGCCAAACCAGGGCGGGGTTTGCCAGGTTGGCATGACTATTGGATGGGGTTTGCCCGGGCTCGGCGCTGAGCAGAGAAAAAGTTTGCCTCGCCAGCAACCGGAAAAGCAGAGAGCCTGATGTCAAGGTCTCCTTACATGAAGCAGAGAGGGGCCAGGCAATGTGCCCTTCAGGGCTTGCTTGCCGTCATAGCAGCAGCTCGCTGCCCCCGAATCTAAGAGGTCGTGCCATCTTAATTGCATCTCCAGACGTGAAAGCTGGTGCACTCCGTAATTCAGCAGTCAGCAGGTGATACTCAACCGTGGCTTTACTTATTTCACAGTGCCCGGCCTTCCAGATACAAGACCTCGATTTGGCACATACAGCAATCAGACTTTCTTCCAATTCTGTGTCGACCCCCTCAATGTCCCTTTAGGGGCTCTGTGCTCTACTTCGCTGGCCAGGCACGGCTGCTTTAGCGGCGTTGGGATCGTCTACCTCCACACCTTGACAATGAGCGTTCGCCCCCGAGCATTTCTGTGATGAGTCTTGAAGCTAGAAGATAGGACACTGTGTGGGCAAGATGTGGAACTGGCGCTACGTAGCGCTCTAGCTCCATCAGTCATTAGGGTGATTTCTTACGAAGCTTCCGTCAAAGACCCTTCAAGCCGACTCTTGAGGAAAACAGCTTCAAAGAGCCATAAAGAGCCAGAGAATCTCTATCCTTGACCTCAGATGCAAAATGCACTGATGATCGGCCTGATCTACTGCCGCATGTCACGCGGAACCAGCAGTGGGGAGCCGAGCTGCTAACAGAAGTCTTAGGAGGCACCAGGTGGGGTAAGTCACCGACTTTGCCGTTACATGTCACACGTGCTCCACCCCGTGGCACAGAGGGCTATTCTGTGAATTTGAGACTGGCTCAAGCTGCCAGCCCCTTTAGTCACCAATCGGGTGTGGAGCGGGCTGATGGATGCTCTCTTCTACCAGCACTTGCAAGGCCCTTTACCTCCCGTGTCAGAGATGTGAGACTTGTAGCTTTTCTGGACTCGGTGATCGATTATGGGGCGGTTGGCCTCTTGTCGTGCGTGAAGGACTTACGAAAGAGTACGAGCGGCTGGTGCAGGAGAAGGACAGATCACAGATTGCGTAGAGACTTCCACTTCTGTGACTCTCCTGCGAACCAGGCAGATTTGACGAAACTCTTCAGTGATGCATCATCTGTTGTGTTTCCGGCTCAGCCAGTCAAACTGGAAGCTTGCGAACGTATGCCGGAACCCTCGTAGTGCAGGCTGGTTCACCGGCATCGGTGTTCAAGGACAGTCCTCCCCATACCTGCAACTACCCAAGCCAGAGCCAAGGCTGTATGAAGAAGCCGCAGGGGCCTAAGTCTGCTCAGTGCAGCGCAAGGCATCACACGACAAAGCAAATCTATCCAGGTCCTGGACCGTGAGGGGGCCGGAAGCGTCATCTCACACAAGGCGCGAGCAGTTGCCGGACTCGGTGTTGCTTCTTGAAAACGTGGACAAAGCCATGTCCTGAAGGAAACACAGCAGAGGTCTATCTAGAACAGAGACACGGGTGAGCACGGATCTCGCGCAGGACGAGCTCGATGTGCATGACGTGCAGAAAGTTCTCTCAGGCCAGCTGGAAAGTCGTAGCAGCCATGCCTCCGGGCGCACATGCCACATGCACAGCTTTGCTGGAACTGATTTCTCATGACATGGCCCTGCGAGTTCGTCGCCAAACAAGCTTTGCACGTGACTTGGAGAAGATGAACCAGGCCTGGGGAGAAAGGAACACCTTTATACCATGTCCAGCACTACTGGTGAAGAGTGTCGTTCCTCAGGATGAAGGAGAGAGGGAGGGAGAGGGAAAGAGACTTTGGCGAGTTATTCTCGTTCGTCATTCCCCAGAACCCGTTCAACACGATCGTGTGGGCTTGAAATCCCCCGAAATTTGACTGTCCCCGGGGCAGAGAGAGAGAGAGAGGCAAAGCAAAGCAAAGACAGACAGAGAGCGAGCGAGGGAGGAGGGAGGATCCTGGACGAATGCGGCAGCAAAAGTGTCGGCCTCCGTGGGGATTTACCAGGAGCCAGGAGGCTACACTTAGCTGATGTCGTGAACCGCCAACGGGGGGGGCGGGCAAGAAAGCAGTCGCAGAGCTGATGGCGAGCTCTTCCGCTGGCGCAGAGCACAGGCCTTGCTTCCTGCGAAGGGAGAACATCCCGCCCCACGGCGTGGAAAGCCAGCTGACCACAGCACAACCCAGTGTCACGCAAAGAACAGTGCCGACTAGCGGCGCAACTACTAGCCAACCCCATGCAGGCATGCAGCTCGTGCAAACAGCACGTGGCCGGATTCCAGAAGTAAACTGGAAAAGGAGAAGACCTACGAACATGAGCGGGGCATGTAAAAGTTCCAGTCGCGCCTGGGGGAGTTCAAGCCAGCAGAAAGAAGGAGAGAGAGAGAGAGAGAGAGAGAGACCATGAGACCGGTGCGCCTACGGGCGCGAGGGGTGCTTGCGCGCTCCTTTGTCCGATTGCAAGAGAGCGAGCGAGCGGAGGGAGGGAGAGAAGCAGTGATCTCGACAAGCTCACCGGCTTCGAAGGACCAGCTCCAGAACATGGCATACGAGATCGAGGCTTGGTGCTCAAGACCCGACACTGGTTCATTCTCTTTGGATATGTTTGGTGTGACATGAGACTCGTCGATTAGGCGATGTTCTATTTCTGCAGCTCGGAGTTTAATGTGCCACTGCCAGCCAGGGGGACCACTCCTACGGGCCCCGGCCGAGAGACAAAAATCGATAAGAAGTATGACAATGGTCCTGAATATTCTCGGGATGATACCAAGTACGATGTGACGGTGGTGGTGATGATGGTGGTGGTGGTGGTTATACATCCCCCCGCCCGCTGTCGCCGTTGAAGTTAAGATAAATGCACTTGGGAAAACCAGCTGCATCAGTGTAGCGGCAGTAGTAGTCGTCTGTCGTCGTAGTAGTGGTAGCCGTCGTAGTAGTAGTAGTGGTAGTAGTAGTAGTAGTAGTAGTAGTAGAAGTAGTAGTAGTTGTTGTTGTTGTTGTCGGTTTAGTAGTGGTAGCGGTGGTAGTAGAGGTGGTGGTGGCGGTGGTAGCCGTAGCAGTAGTAGCAACAGCAGCAGCGCCAGCAGTAGCAGTAATAGTGTAGTCGTCGTCGTAGTAGTGGTAGCCGGCAGCAGCAAGAGGAGTAGTAGTAGTAGTCGTCGTCGTCGTAGTCGTAGTCGTAGTCGTCGTAGTAGTCCTCAACAGAGAGGACAGAAAGAGGCCAAGCTTCCTCCTTGTTGACTTTGGAAACCATGATGTTCGTAAGTTGTTGTTCCGCCGAACAATACCCACCCCCAAGACACGTTGCAAGGTTACTATTTGGAGAGCCACAGGCACGCTTGGGAGACATAGCTGCTGCATGAACAGCTTTTTTTACTTGGGTTGCTGAAGGGAGTGTGGCGCCAGAGATATTGTTTGCAATGCGTCATATCTGTGCTTGAAGGACTTCGCGAGGCTGACATCGTCCCAGGCCGAGTTGAGAGATGGGATGCTTATGAACAAAAGTAAAAGTAGTAGGCAGATAGGACATGATAGGACCATCCTGCTTCCCGGCAGACCTAATCAAGCATCCCAAGCAACCTCCACGCACTTCACTTTGAAACCTTCGCCATTTGCAATGCAGTGTGCATGTTCCCTATCCTACACCACGTGCTTGAAGGCTTGTTACACTCCAAATGTCCTGTCGGGAAGGAATGTCCTCGGACCCGTACTGCGTCTGTGCAGTGCAGGGCGGGAGACTCGGATGACGATTGCAGCACAGAAAAGATCGTCGCAATGGTGTGTTTGCAAGCAGTCGGCCTAGTCCGTGCGCCTAGATCTAGATGACTGCCATAGGGTGCAAAGCTGAAACTGTGCATGATACACACGAGCGACCGAGGAGTCAGGTATTGCAGCGTAGTGCAGCAGAGTACAATCAGTGGATTTCCCTGCCGTGGCATGCGAGGCAGGGGAAGTTCGACGTTCAAAACACCAACCGTCGCCAACGAGACTTGACCGCACTGTGCAAGAAGGCACTGTTTTTTCGTCTGCATGTTGAGAGAAAGTTCGGCACGCCTTGTTCCGAGGACTTGAGCCCTAGATGGGACGTTTGCGCTCGCATCACCGCCGCTCTGATGACTTGGTTCTACCCCAAGACCCACTTTGCAACGCTGGCACGCGTCCGAGGATTTTCACTACGGTGACTCCTTGGGTTTCACCGTGTGGGACAAGGATTTTGGGAAAGCCGATGATGCGTCCGGCAGCTCAGAGGACGGCTGCAAATGCACGCCCCAAACACACCCTTTTGTCCAGGCTGGGACAGGTATCTTTGCCTTCTGAGAAAATTATACCGTATGGATTTGATGAGTGGCTCGTGCGCCCTGGCATGACCCGTTCATGCGCTTTTGCACCTGTGTGTCGTATGCCTGCGCTGCCGCTACCGGTCAAGGTTGGACGGAGCAGGAACGAAAGGCGAGTCTGCGCCCGATACGCCGATGCGAGTAGCTTTGCCTAGAGCCTGCAAGCGGAAGGTGTTGTCTCTTCGGCAGACGACATCTCCAGCATCAGAGTTACCGTTAAAGTGCTGCTTGGACTGGATAACTTTCTTTTGAAATGATTGTTGGCGGTGTAGTTAGCTAGCATACAAGAGGGCAGGTGCGAGAGTCTGCGATGACGAGCTCAGGTTGAGAAAGTTCCCTCAGGACCCGTGCGGCAAGCGCTTGAGCGTTGTTCGGTCGCTGAGCTTCCAAGTTCTCTGAGTGCGTCTCTCAGGAGCAGACGAGACACGAGGAGCCTGTGGTGCTGTGCTCAGTGCACAAGAAGGTTCGACCAGCATCCGCAGTGTCCCAGGTGTAGGCTCGATGTAATCGAATCTCTGCGTCTCATTGGCACTAACCAGCCCTGATGACCTTTAAGGTGCAGCCCGTTAGAAATTCCTCGAAAGAGGGCTCGCGCAGGCCAGACGCCCATTGTGGCAGCTCTGTATAGCTCTTTCACTTGCATGTGATAGCAAGAAATCACTGCAGTCCTGGTCTTCACTCTCCGTATTCGGCGAACCTCGAGAAGAATGGACACGAAGAAGCAGGTCAAGCTTTGAGGGAGGACACTCCTGCCGTCAGGGCTGCTGAATTTACAGAGCACAGTCTTGATTCCAGATGTGATGCTCCAAGTTTATAGATATCCTGGTCCAGCATCAAGAATCGGAGAACCGCGCTCCGTCAGAGGCTCCATCACTTCACTGAGGATTGTCTTTTCCGTCTCTTAGTTCTTTGGTTCAGTCGTGACTGGTCTGACACGGAACTGCACCCTTTGGTATAATCGGACTTCTGATTCCGCTTCTCTCCGTTATGGACATGTCCACTCCTTCTGTCGGGCAAGGTAGAGTGCGAGTCCAGAGATTGTATACAGAAAGCAATGTCTACCAAGCTTAGAGCGTGATGACCGGCATGAAACAAGAATGAATGCAAACCGCAGCGTGCATTATTGGTGTTCTTTCTTTGTCACGTGTGTTTGCATTTTGTTGCCCTTCGTTTGGGGTCGTATTCGGTGGGCGGAGTCATACGGCATGTGAGGGAGCCGGTGACTTGCACTACCGGGCCTTGGAAGCCCCACAGCTTTTGCAAAAGTCACGCAGAATAACAGCAGAAACCTTGCTGAAGATCCCTCTCCATTGCTTAGATCCCTGTATCCAGGAGGATTCTTCGAAGGAGATTGTCGAGCCCGCGCGGACACGACTCCAGCGCCTGCAAGCTTTCTTCATCTCGGACCGGCATCACAGGGCAGTTCGGGTTCAAGTCGGCCTGGTGAGGTTCATCTTGACACGCGAAAATCTGATCTGCTGCTCCAGGAGAAGTTCGAGCTCTTTCTTGCAGGGCTTCTGTGCCTGAATGCACTGCACTTACTGACTGCTGCGACCGAGCTGTGTGTAGGACATTGCCATGTATTATTCTCCAAGTTCAAGAGTGGAATGCTCAACAGAAAGATTTGAATCGGGCTCAGATCTGCAGCATGGCCCTCGAACTGCAGTATGATGGCTGGGAGCACCTTGCATACAAGCAAGAATTGGGGTTGACGTGGTTCCTCACGGGGATGTGCCGTAGCTGGCACCGTCCCGGTCAACCTGCGACGACGGCCTCACGCTATGCGGCTGAGGATTGGCTATTTGCTGGACTATGGGTTCTACCAAAGCTCTATCCAAGACAGATTCGCTTGGGGCAAGGGACCTGAAAACTGCAGCATCCCTAGATGGAGTGGATACCTGTGGTACCTGAGGAAATGACTTCCTTTACTACTTGGATGTGGTGTTTTCCGTTCCTGGCAGCAAGGAGAGTCACTTCCAAGTAGCACGCCCACCACAACCGGCCACATGCTTTCGAGCGAAAAAGTCACAGACTCCCGAATGCAACGGTGAAATTTTTGCACGTACAGCTAGGTGATATTTACGCGGCTTGTCTGCACTGTGCTTTGCTTTTTGGACTGGTGGCCGGGCAGGCACGGACAAAGAGCTTTCCCGTGGGAAGCCAAGGATCGATGTCACTCTGCGAATCTCAATACTGCAGTTGCTCTGCTGGGATAAAGTGCAGTGGTCTCGAAAGGGGTGTGGCGGACTCTTTTCCCCTCAGTGTTTTATTACATCATGTTCTTCGAGCCTTGCATGACAACCTTGCCACATGTTTCAGTATAGTATATAGAAGTATATAGTTTTTATAATATATATATATATATAGTATATAGATAGTATATAATATATAGCATAGTGCCCTGACCTGCCGAGTGCGGGCGTCGGAGAGGGTTGGAAAAATATAGCATATAGAGATCCTTACTTGACCCGGCTTGGCGGTGTGCTCGCGGCCAGCCCCAGCCTTTGCCCCCCAGGGGGATGTTCTGGCGGGGTGGAATATCCAATTACATTGACTTATTGGCTGCTTGGTCGCAGAGATTTCTGGACTTGTTGCTGCATGCATGTGCCTGGCCTGATAGACTAAGCTTTGCAGAAAAGCTGGGGATGGCAGATGAGTTTTCGCAGAGTTGTATATACGGGATTCCGTGGCACATCTCTGCGATTCTCTTCGAGCAAACATCACCAAGCTGGCTTTTTGCTGTTGTCCTCTTTTGCGTCGAGGCATGGCATGCACATGCACACATGCACATACACACTATATAATGCTGCTTTTTACTTAGCTATGTCCCGTATAGCAGTCTTAGTCGATATGCATGCATACTGTATGTTCGCGTGGTGTGTGTGTGTGTGCACGCGCGTATGTATTTTTATTCATACATTCATACATGTTACATAAATATACACACACAAATATATACCAAGAACAATATGGTATACTGATGTAGCACTGTATATGTACATATGCAGGCAGGAACACTGGCATCATTTTTTAATTCAAAAGTCTGCACGCAGATATATACGTAAACGCACACACACACACACACACGCACACACACACACACACACATGTGTCGTGCGTGCATGCGTGTGATCTATGATTGTGGCTTCATTCATCGCCGATACCTTGCAACGCTGGCTGTGGCTGTGCTGTGTTTCTTACCGAGCTCGAGGAAGCAATATGCTCGAGCTGTTTAGTTTGGCTTGGTCCCGACTTTAGATGGTGGCTCCAGAATGTTGAAATCATGTCCAGACTGTTGCGATTGCAGGGTCTCGTTGGGGAAGTTTGTGGCGGTTCCCTGAGCAACTACTGTCAAATCAAGTGTCCACTCGAGGATTCGTTTTCCGGGCTCCCCTGCTGTAGAAGCATGCCATGCGTGCTCGCCGACTAGGTCAAGATTGGCCTGACGCAAGTATGGAAGAATCACCTGCATGCTTTTACCATGCATGTACGCTCAAGCACCTCGTTGTCTACTCACTTGTAGCTGCTGAAAGCATTTGTTAAATACATGCCTGCATGCATACATCGCACGTGGTCCGTCGATTGTGAGTTGGGTGAAGTTGCCTGCCGTGCTTCAACCTTTCATATTTGGCCGCGTTGGCATGGGCTGCTTTTCAGGTGGTAGTGCTGTCCTGGGTCGTCTACGTGGTAGCAGAGAACTTCCCCGTCAAGCCAATGAAGCTCTGCCGCAACTATCCAGCACCTGATAGCTACAGATGCTTGTGTTGATCTCCACGAGTGTTGATCCGATTCTCTTTGCATTTGGGATGCTCTCTCGCAAAGTGAGTTGCACTGGCTTCTTGCCACACCGGGAGAGAGCGACGTAGCTTTCGACTGACTCGGAAGGATTTTGCGCTTGATCCGCTTTGGCAAGTTGGTGCGTGCGCTGAAGGTAGTGAGGCGTGGAGCTTACATTTGGCAACACTCGTTCCTGCCTTCACTCACTGGATGCAACTGCGAGGATCTCCCAGTCGCTGGAGTCCTTGGCGTTTCTCATGTCTTGCCTGCGAGCCAGCGCTGACCCTAGGGCCCACCAAGCCTGTCGTGACAGTCCCTGTGTCTGCACATTCCATGTCGTTGTGTGAGGCGGGACTGTCCTTGTATGGACCATGTCATTGCTTGCCACCTGCCAGCAACTCCTGCTTTCTGTGCGTGCTGGAGCTGAGCGGAACACACTGAAGACGAAGCTTCAAGCGCCCAGGCCTGCATCCAGTGCATCGCCGCGCTCTTCGCAAGTAACATGCTTCACTTTTTCCTTGTGGCCACTGACTCAGCCAAGTGTCTTTGCGGCTGCAGTGTGTACTGTTGCATCCGACAGTCGAAACGGAAGGGAAAGCTTGTGGAGAAACCCGCGTGCTGCGCAAGGATGACAACATCGACGTGGAAGTGCGGAGGGCTGTTTTCCGGCATCTGGGCCGCCTAGACGTGTCAAGGTCGTGCGGGCAGGCTTCCAAAGTAGCTCAGTGCCTATGGCTTCATGGCTCTTTCATCACGCACGACGAGCACGGCGAGCAACCTTACAACCTCAAGGAAGTACGAAGACGTGCAGACGAGAATGCGCGAGTTGCTGTCGGCAAGGAACTATGTCAGATATGTCAGCTCATATTGCGTTACAAGACATCGGTGTCAGTAGACGGTCAGGGCTCGATCAACGTTGCTTGCACCCGTGCTTCCAGGTATTATGGAGCCTGGGCGGCAACATGCGACGACCAGCTGTCGTCGGAATATTGTTTGAATTTGTTCGAGTAGCTTCGGCTGGACAGCAGCCTAGGCACATTCAGCGGCTCTTTCCTCACAATGTTCGAAGCTTGATCGCACTTCATGACAAACAATGAGTGAGCTACTGCGGAATTCCGGTGCACAAACTTTCGCGTGCGCAAGGAAATTTTGTTTGCAAATTGGGCTCCTGCATGTAGGGTGTTGACGGATAATGTCTCTTGGCTGCAGCTCGCGGGAGACACACTCCGGCACAATCCCAGCACTGGATTCTGTAGTCTGCAGATTTTTCGACTCGCAAGGTGACAGAGTGGTGGACACTTTTCTTCTTGCTCTACCGATGTCTCGTAGGCCATCCTATGTCGGGAATGCAATGGCAAGGGCTGTGCATCACAGTGCCGCAATGCACGCCATTTCAAGTAGTTTTCCACTGCCCACACGCATAGTTGCTCCATCGTGTCCGATTTGGTGCAGCTGGGGTGATCCCTTCCAGGCTTTGCCGTCTTGAACGTGGTGAATGCAGCTTCCCTGTTCAGCTAAACCAATTGGCATATGTTCTGCCTGCGAAGCGGTTTCTGGAAGATTGTTCATCAACTTCTTGGAATGCAAGGCAGTGTTTGTCCAAAGCACACTTAAAGTCGCCCACGCAGACGAAGAGCTTCAGTTCGCAGCCTGGCAGATATTTACGTTCTCTGCGACAGATGATGCTACCATGTGCAAATTTGGTTTCAATGTGCCCGCCAGGAAGCCAAACAGAAGGCTGGCTTCGCAGTGCATATTGCTCGGTCTGGTCCGCACGCAATGCAGAAAGCCGACTCAAGCATTGCCTGCAGGCACAGCGGAACCTCATGAACAAGTTACAGAACATGTTCCTGGCTTTGGACACCTCAGGCGACCTGCCACGCTGAATCCTAGATCTGGTTTAGGCTTGGAGGGTTCTTAAAGGAGGCTGTCTTGAGTGGCCATGGTAAGCACAGGTGACGGGCTCCTCAGTTGGGACGAATTCAACGAGGCGATCTCCAGCAAATTGGTCGAACTTAAAGAGAGTGACAGTTGCACAGCCTGCACTTTCACCATCACTTGGCATCGCGGCAGAGTGCAAACGTCCTTTGAGGGCATCGTAGGAATCCTCTGCGCATCTAGCTGTTTCTTCAGTGACCAAGGTCCAAAGATGGCATTCTGGATGAGCCAGCTTGCCACTAGACAGCGGTACAGTATCCGCTCATGCTGTGTAACTGCGTTCGATGATGTCATGCGACATGGCATTGTGTGAGACTATTGCTCTGGAGGCGCTTCCTGAAAATGCTGCATACTTATACGTCACTGTGCACTAAGTGTGTGTCGCCGTTCGCTCTGTAAGCAATTCCTGGTTCATGACTGTGCACGCTGAGTTGGCCGCTATGCATGTTACATGCCACCATGTGTGGACTTGCGTTGCGCATTGAAGGCAGAGTGAATTGAACTCAAGAGTCCTGATTGCGGCATCGTGCTTGGCAAACGTAAACTTAGGAGGGTCATCTCCCAAGCAGTTGTCGCGACGCAACTTCTCACCCGGCTTCGCATACCCAGGAGCTTGAATCTTCAGACCTCAAGAGTTTGTTCACTTTGCTGGATGGTGGCGATGGGCTGATCTCTGTGCCACTGGGAGCATGAAAATAAGGTGGTATTCACGCTTTATCCCTGCCCTCCCCCCTCCAGCTCACCGGACCAAGACATGCAGGCGGCAAAACCAAGCTGCCCCTTTCCTAGCCAATGTGCCACAGGGCGCCAGCAGTATTTTTTTAATCTGGTGTAGCAACTCCAAGCATCACGCTCTCGGCCGATGCACTTCAAGTCAATATCCAAGGAACGAGTTCATGGAAGGGGCCACTCGCCTTCGAGGCGGGGTTCCTGCGGTGATTCACACAGAGTGTAAGCGGGTCTCCGTAGCAGGTCCAGCGAAAAGCATCGACGTGGCCAAGCTCCTGATGCTTTGTCGCCTGGCGTGCTTTACGGGGGGACATCATAAAGCTGGAGCTGCGTCAAATTTGTTTTGATGATGCCCAACTGCAACTCCTTGTGCTAATGCCTGCCAAGGTACGAAGACCGAGAAGACGCTGAAGGCAGGTTACAGCATGTAGAAACCAAAGGAGGAGGGATGCATGCCGGAGGCTGGAGGTAATAAACGCTTCTTGGACCGGTCGCCATGGTTTTGTTGGGCCGTTGAGGCCTGTGTGGTAAGTTGCTGCTTGGAGGATCTCTGTGTGCTACTGGTCGTAGCTCACCTGACTGGATCGGTTGTTGTGAACCCTAGCCGGGCACTGCGGAGCATGAGAGTCGAAGTCGAGCTTAAGCCTTGCCGGACAAACTTCAAGTCATGTCGCAGGGGATTGTTCGCGCATCTTGGATGCATCGCTGGAGTTTTCCGGATGTTGCTCTTGCCTTTGCAAGGGCAGCCTCGGAATGTATCTGATTGTGTGATCATTCACACTGAGGCAGTGAAGCCGCTAATGGATAATGAAGGACTGAACTCCTGAGGGGGCGTCGAAGTGAGGGTGTCAAATCGAGTCAATTCCGACCTGCAGCTGAAGCGACACCTCGTGTCTGGGAATGTGGAAAGTCCAGGCTTGACTTGAACGATGCATGTAGCCGCGGGCAGCTTAGCATTTTCGATGTCACACAGCATGTCATCTACAGGAGGCAGCCAGGCCGGCTCAGTGCCGTGGCAAAGAAGTTTGGTTTTGATTCGCACGGACTAGCAGCGTCACATCTGCCATCTCGTGAACTGCGAGCCCTTTGCTGAGGCGTTTGGTCCTGCTGCTAGGCTGCACATAGTGCAGCGGAACCGTTGCAGTCATTGAGCCCTTGCTGGTTCTGCCAACCTGTCTTGACCCTGCTTCAGCGTTTCTCGCTGTGAGGGTTTGCTTCGGAGAGGGACATTGGACACCCTCGGCTCGAGGCGGGAATGGGTTGCTTCGCGGAGCATGGTGCAGCGGCAGAAAGCAATGCTGCATTCATTAAAGACTAGTCATGCTCCTGCCTGCGATCGTGAATTGGAACTTGCGGCCTTTTGACAGGAACACCTGATGATCCCTTTTGAATTTGGAAGGGCAGTGTACTACCAAAGGTCGGACTGCTTGTTCAACGCAAATGCTTCACGGTCCGGTCGCTCGTGGCTGGCATGTCGGCCAAGCGCCTGGCCTTGGCGGTGGTTAAATCACATCGCCTGTCGCTCCAACCATGTTTTTTTTCAGTCAAGCTGCCAACACCAGACACATAATGCAACGGTACGGAGAATCAGTGTACATGACACATGTTGTTGAATCTTTTTGGCCAAGTTGGCAGCTTGGCTCCTTGACTCGGAGTGTTTTGCTCGAGCCCGGCTTGCTAGGCCAAGGTTTGTAACCGTTACACTCACGAGACTTGAGGTGGTTCGCGTAGCCCGAGCAGACGCATCTCCTGCTGACATTTGACGGCAGGCTCTATCTTTGAACCTTCGTGTGTTGCAATCTTGGCACCTGGGCACACCCTGGTGTCGTGTGTTCCCACCTGCAGCTGCTGCATGATTGCACGGCAAGCAGGCAAGAAATGCGACCAAGGCATGTCACGAGCCGCCAGGACATTTTGCCGTTTTTCTTCCTGATGGCACTGGCATACATACTCGATCGCCAGCTGGTCGGGGCAGTGAAAACGACCTCTATCGAAGCCCATACGAGACACGAACACAGCATCAGCAACCCAGTTACTTTCAGCTACACAGGAATGGGAGGATGTCAAGTCAGGGGCACCCGGGTGCGAAGATGGCAGTTGAACCAAAGCTGAAAGATCAAGTAGCTCCTGCGACGGGTCGCATGCACTTCTTGATGCTGAGGGGCCGCCTCACTAGTCTTTTCCGAGAAGGCGGTCATACGCGAGATCGGTGGAAAGTTCTACTTCATGTTCCAGGCGGAACACCCAATTGAAGGCATCCTCCTCGTTGTCAGTTTGGAAGCTCCAGGTTTGCGAGTCCAAGAAGCACCAGCTTGTGGAAGCATGGGTCCAAGAAAGGCAGGCAGTTGTGTTTGTTGTGGGGCTTAGGTTTGTGAGATGAAGAATCGGCAGGATTTGCCACGGCGCTGAGCATGCAGTCAAGAGGGGCTACCGAGTAGATAGTATGATCGACACGAGAAACAGCGTTGTGCTCAAACTGTTCACTTGAACACTGCTTTGCTTAACTAACATAGGCGATGCCCAAGCCTTGCGTAGCCGGTCCCACTTCGGCTTAAAAGCTTGGAAAGAAGCTGATGTTCAGCCAGCCCACAAGGGTCGACGTATAACTGTCAGAAGCCAAACAAAAAATGGAAGCGCGCTGTGCTTGGCGCAGTGTCTGCGTTTTTCTGACCGGTCAAGACTTCTTTCTCAGGCTCCCTCTCGTGCGTCGCTTCTCGGTCACTTCCATCGGTGTGCCAGTGAGGAGCCTCCTTGAATGTCTCCCAGCCCACCTTAAGAATCATCAAGACTCTCGGCCTCAGAATGCCCTAAAGACGAAGGGCGGAACGACCTCGTGACCAGTGTAAGCCACCTCTTCCGGGAAGACCAAAGCCAGTGCAACATGGCCAAGGCAAAGGTTCGCTGCTACGCGCTGTGCACCGGCTTGGCAGGCGATCAAAGCCCATCAGGTGCCGCCACCAACCTGCAGCTCGCTGCCAGAACGTTACCAGCTGCTTGATTCCCCCGGGATACGTAAACATCCGAGCCTATAACTATAGGTACTAAAGCTGTATCGAAGCTCTCACTCTCCCTCTCTCTCTCTCTCTCTATCTATCTCTACGTTTGTGTTTAGAGACTGTTCTCTCATCCGAAACCTCGAGTGTGTACTAGATCGCATGACTCAGGTTCCTGTCCCTGCCATCTAGAGTTTAGGGTTGTAGCACTGTAAGAATGGCAGCCAGCAGAGGCCGCAGAAACGTAGCAGGGTCTGCGGCCTGCCAAAGGAAGGGCTTATACCACAGTCACCAAAGCATTGAGCAACCGGAAGATTCAAAGCAAACAAAAGCGCTCGTAGGAGATGGTGCTCATCAAGGGTTGTAGCGCTGATCTTTGAGAAGCTGGTTCGTTCGCAAATGAGTTTGAGTAAAGTTCCATGTCTTGTCGACCAGGCTAGAAAACATCAAGAAGATGTTCCGGCATGCTGAAGCGAACTGCCGGTACTTGCTGCTGCATGTTCTTGGCGGTAGGGAGCGCGCGCCTGTTGACAGCAGTCGTCAGTTGTTGGCTCGAGCATAGTCACCAAACCAGCTACAGTGATTCAAAGTGCATGCAACGTTTTTTCCTGACGTGGACTGAAGCAGATTCGTCACAACATCCACGCATTCTTTCCTGCGCACGGGCAAAGTTTCAAGGTTTGACTTTTGATGTAGGAGTTCCCACTACTTGCCTTGCAGTTTGCCATGGTGCTGCTCGCCAAGGCCGCAACTCTGAAGCCATCCACACACTGCCTCTCCAAACCCTTCTGCAACACAGGAGCCTCAACGCCCGAGCATCAGCCCTGCAATATCGATCCTTGCGAAACCTTGCAAGGCGGTCGCGCTGGGTGCGACACCGCCCATGCTGATTGTGGAGAGGCTGATTCGAGCTGCAAAGTGTCGATTCAAAGGGCAAGTTGAGTCGCTCGGCCATTGAAGCCTTGGGGGTTTTCCACGCAGAGTCCGGCTGTGCTCTTAAAGCCCACCAACCTCCCTCCCACTCTAACCACTCAGTCCGAGCTACTGGTATGTGGCAATGCAGAAGCAAGCCTTTTCCATACACAGGCTCACCTCGAAGCCTGGGCGAGTCCGGTGTCAAGTTCCCCAGAGAGGCCGACCTGTGCACGGCCATACCTCAGCTCGGCAGGAAGGTTGACGACGACTGAGAGCAGATGCTTGGGTCCTGCTGTGGGTGCAAGTTATCCGAGATCTGCATGACAACTCCTCTCCAAGACCCGTGTCAAGGCGCGCCGTCTACATCCATGCTGGCAGGCTCTGTTGTGGTGGCAAGCGTCTTTTCGAGGCAGGGAGGCGTCCGAGGGGCGCGCAAAGGCCTCTAACTGCTCTTGAGTGCATTTGGCAATTCGGGTCGATGACACGATGGCACTTTCTGCATTTGACGTCGGGTTGCGTTTCTATGTTGGACATGCAATTAGCTTTCAGAGTTCAGAGTTTCTTCCTTCAGCACGCACAAGCAAAGAAGGCTCGGAGCCCGCGATCCTCACTGATAGGCTCCATGAGTTTGACGGCCAAGCCCTGACAGAGTTCATAGCATGCCTGGCAGAACATGCCTCAAGCTTCGTGACCTTCGCAGTGCAAGCCACCTGAGCGAGGTCGGAATCGTAAGCAATAAATCCAAGGTTGAAGGTGACCCGACTTGGAGGTTTTCGGCTAGATACGTGGGACCGATACGCAAATTCGGACTTGGCTGTGTCTCCACCCAATCTTGCCCTGGCGCCTCTCACAACTGACATTCCGGAACGTATTCGAGCATAGACTTCGAGGATCCTGCTTGCTTGCTCCCTGGCATTCGCTGGTTGTGCGCTCTCTGCCCTTCCTGGGTCAAGACGGTCCCAGTGTTTGTTTTAGTACCAAGGCCGGCAGTCGACTTTCTTGACTCCTCTTTCTACCTCTCTGCAGCCAAGCTCTCCACATGGGACTACTTGCCCCCGAACTGGGCACGATAGTTGAAACAGAACAAGACTGCATGCGTTGGTAGGATCTCTTGGAGCGGGATATCCAAGCGCATCCAATCTCCGGACAGGCACAGAACAAACACCTGGGCGACCCCAGTGGTGACAAGGGCAAGGGCACCGGTTCTAAGCTGCTTTGGGCATCGGGCTGTAAGGCCTTGAAGAAACCCCAAGCCCTTCAGCCCTCCCCAGGCCAAGCAGACGCGAAAAGCCGGGCCTGACACCACAGAGGACCAGACTGCGGAATGGTAGTGGATTGATTTCGTATGCCTTTGTCAGGGTTTCCGGGATTTCAGAGAGTTGAGATGTCCCGATGCACAGGCTCTGTTCTGACAATCTGGAGAGGCCCCAGCTACAGTATTGCTATCGTCATGACGAATCCGACCCATGTGCCGACTGAGTTGAAGTTGCAGAACTGAACCAGCTGGCTCGCTCGCGAGGATGGCACCGAATCTTGGCGAAGCCAAATCGGCTTGCGGCCAAGATCAACGCCGGCAGAAATGCCTCACAAAATGAATCTCTGTCGAAGCTTCCCTTGTCTCGATCTGAGCGAGATCGTACTCGGGCTTGTCGTTAGTCATCTCCAGCTCCAGTGCTGCGTGCGCTTGGGCGTTCACGTCAAACGATCACAGAGCCAGGGCCCACACAAAGTCGCGAGGCCATGTGACGCGCATCGGGCCAGAAGGACGCAGCAGGCAAGGGCGGAAGCGTCAACTTCTCTCATGGCCAGCTGCGTCCTGAGATTCTGATGCCAGACATTGCCGGACTGCAGGCTGCATCCTGGGGCAAAGCACCCAAGTCCGATGGCCTCCGCTGGTAAAGTGGGCTTGCCCTCGGCGCCCTCTGCTCACAGGGATGGCTATGCCGATCCAAAGGACCCTTTCGCACGCTGATGTCTCTGCCTAGTTTGACCTTGAAAGCCGCGACGGGAATATGCCGCTTCAGGGATGCTGTGGCGATCTCGGAGCACCGGAGCCCGAAATGGTGCCAGGATCGAGGTCCAAGATTCAGCACCTTGCCGCCACCTCCAGACAAGTGTCGGCCTCATCGTCTATTAGCAGCGTTAGAAAGTCTCGGCCGAGTTTCCCGAAAAGGAATGCAAAGCTCAATGCTTGGTCATGCCAAAGACTTTTGCTGTGGCACATAATACAGGAACCCTTTGGCTCTCTTTCCTGTGCCTGAGGCCATACACGCCACAATATGGGGCTTTGCAGCCTGCTTTGAGGAGCGAGTAAGTAAGCATGCGTCGGGATCGACGTGAAAGATCGATATGTCTGCGTTTTGCTTTCCAGCATTGGTTCTGCTTCTTGCCTTCCTCGCATGTGGAGGAGTCGGCTTGACAACACCCAAGACATTCGCCGCCTAGCTGCAATGCTCTGCGAGTTTTCGCAGCATGGAGCTGGTGCTTCCTGCCTGATAGGCCTCGAAGGCTCCATGGGGGAAGTCCTCCCCGAGACCGCTGACACGATTTGCCACGAAGCTGCAGAATCTGATTTGTGTTGTGCTGTATGGCGATTATGTGGCCGGCTGCTTTGTCATTTGGCAAAGGCTTTGTCCCTGAGCCTTATGTCCGCGCACAACGCCCGGACCAGCCACACGTCCTGAATAAGTCTCGCACTTGCACTTCTGGCATTCCGATAAACAGTTTCCGAAGAGTCGCATGCATGTGAGATTATATTGAATTGTCGGATCTCCACCACTCTGCTAACTCACGAAGGCGCGCGCGCTCTACCGCAGCGTTGTCCGACAGTGAGGCACATTGGGGAAGGTCGGGGATGTAAGTAGCTCTGACCTACCAAGTTGGCCGAAAGGCAATTACGGACACTCTGGAGAAGGCCGGCATTTGGTTTCGACCGCTGCCGGCGAGGGAGGCGCCGAGATTCGGAAAAGTCATGTAAAATTGCGATAGCCCACCGGGAAGGAGCATTTTCGTGAAATGAGTGACGATGAACTGCGAGAGCGACTGCGGGATGTTGCAGTGCCTTGGCATGCACTCTCGAATGCAGTACAGGATGAACTGCCCTTTCCCACTTCCCTCCTTGCAAAAGCAAGTTACAGAACATCCACGGTAGCACAGCGCCCCAAGCACTTGCTTGTGCCAAGTGCACAGGAGCTCGTGTCGGGATCTCGCAGGGAAATGCTGAAGCGACTTTACGGCCCTCTGGCGATGTTTTAATGTTGGACGGAACACTTCGAGTCGAAGGGAGGTCTTCCAAGAAGGCGTAGTTGGGATCAACCTTTGGACATTCGGATGATGGCTGGTACGTCCACTGAGTCCACTCTTTCCTGGGTTGCTGTCACTGCTCTTGATCTGCTCTCTTGTCTTGACTGCCGGGTTCCTTGGCCGAGGCAAGAAGGCGAATTTCGCGTCCTGGACGAAAGCTGAAGTGGAGACCGAATGCTATCGATTAGGATGCTTGGGCAGCCATCGTATACACTTCGGCATGGCAGTGATTGGAGTGATGAACGATCTGGATCTCTGAGTTGCCGTCCTTGGCTGAGGATTGGAGGTATTGGAAAAGAAAGCGGACAATGTGGTGAACATCAAGAATGCGCTGGAGTGGCAGCAGATTCGCAACCTCAGCGATGAAGATTTGGCATACGAGCTACTCGTGCTGCAACATGCGGCCACTGTTTTGTCGGGAAAAGGCATTGATGTTCCATCCGAGGTTATCTTATCGTGGTCTGGACTCGGAGGATCGTGAAACCGATGAGGAGAACTTGCAAGCCTATCTGGACGGCCGCATGTTTTAGTCGGTCCACCGAGTGCCACTCGAAAAGAGCGGGCAGTGCAATTTTCGTTTTTTATCATCTGCTCTCGCTATTTGTACCAAGACCGCTTCCGCTTCCTTTCGGCTCGGTGCACGAGCTGTGTCCAGCGAGACAATATTTGTGCAATGGTACACATGACAAGAGCGTGCGTTAGTGGCCTTAGACCTTAGTGCAGGTCGTTCAGGCAGCATCACCGAGAAGCTCCCCTTCGCACATCACGTGGTAAGCCTAGCAGATATCTTCAGAAACCTGGCGGTGATGATCCTTGCCATGTTGCGACACTAGAATGCGTGGCCGCGCTGGCTCCGTGGATGGATCATTGGAGCGCTGCCTCAGTGCCACTGCATACATTTTGATGTTAGCGTTGTTAGCGCGCTGCCAACCAAACCGTATTGCCGCCCCCTTGTTCCGTGCAGTCGAGTGGTTTGAGTTCGGACTCCAAGGCGCTGGGAGCACTGGCACCACTCAGCCGCCCCAGAGCTAAAGAGTGGAGGATGACAGTCGAAAGTCGTAAAGTTATCTGAGATGCGACCACGGATGCCGAACTGACTTGCTGAGCCAAGGCTCCGGAGTGCCCTCGGTCGGCATGAACACAAGACAGGCCATTGAAAAACATGGCACAACATAGCAACAAAGTTCGGATACCACGATAAAGCTCTCAGCTGAGTGGTACAATTGCCGGTATGTCTGTGAGAGGCCGAGTTCTTCGACCAGCCAGACGAGCCCTGCACTGAGCACGGAGGGAAATTGAAACGACAGCTGAGGGATGAACAAACAGAGAACTAGCAGACAAAGAACATGAATGACAACGTTTTGAACAAGCAGCAGCAGCAGCAGCAGCAGCAGCAACATTAGCACAGGGAAGGAGGAGAGATTGAGGGCACTGAAAGAAAACTCTTTTTCACACAGCTCTGCAATTGCCATGGCCTACAATCTAGAAAGCACAAGAGTTTAGCAAGCCGTGCACACGAGTTTAGCAATCTGTGCTTTCTTCCCTTTAGAATTTTAAAAGGCCAGAGTTGCGAGGCATATGCCGGCATAGGCCGTTACTTGTTGGCTCGAGGTTGTCTCCCTCAACGCACACTCGCCTGCTAACCAGTTGTCCAGGAATCCTGAATAACACGTGCGGCCAGACACAGCTTCATGCTTCGACCTAGACCCAAGAAGAGCATCCGGAAGCCGCAGGATGTAATCACTGGTGACTCACTGGTGATCAACTACAGACACACTGAGGGCAGAGATGTGAGAGGTTTCGCTTGGAGGTACTTTCGCGTGGTCATACGTGTGCGCCCCCCGCTGGATCGAGAGCTTTCATCGCCGGTTTGGCAGCACGTGGTGCAGCTCGGTTGCCAGTATGAAAGGAACTTTATCATGCGATAGGGATGCAGCCCGTGCCAACTTCGCAGGTCAGTTACCGGGACTTCCCAGACACTTGGCTCTTGAGGAATCGCAGGCGCTCCTGAACGATAGCTCTCGGTGGTGGCCTGCGCATTCTAGTCGCCAAGCATCTACCCAAGGATATGTCTCTACGAGACAATAGCGGAGATGAACGCTGGTGACAGGGCAAGCGGGACTAGTCAGGTAGTGAACACCCATACATTCACCTTCGATCATGTGCACCTTTCTTGCAAGCTTGGCTGATTTCTGTTGCTTTTTAGCTTATTGTCACAGCTTTGTTCCTGCAATCCGTTGCCGCACAAGGTACGACCAAATTGCTTCCCAGCCAGATGTATACACGAGCACGGCGCGATCCTCCGCCGCTCGCTTCCGAAAAGCTGGACCCTTTGCTGCTCCGCTCGGCTCCGCGTTCTCAGTCCTCTCAGGTCATGTCGGCCTTGGATGGATACAATGCCACGGTCTTGGCTTATGGTCCAACCGGCACCGGCAAGACTTACACGATGGAGGGATGTCAGGGACAGGATGGGCATGGCATCATCCCGCGGTCCATGGAGGACTTCCGCGGCTGCAGCACTCTCGTCGGCTTCCTTGCAGCTTATGTCGCGGTTAAGCACCTCCAAGGACATCTTCCAGCACATCCAAGAGGCTCAGAACGGCCATGCATCTTTCCAGGCTTCTTGCCTGGATCCGGCCGAGCAGAGGGAGCCGTGACATTGACGGGAAGTCAACGACTGAGGTCCGAGCATCTTATCTTCAGATCTATAACGAAGTCATCTCCGACCTCCTGAAGCCCGACAGGTCGCATTTGATGATTCGCCGCTCGCCTGCGATGCCAGGCTCTGTCGAGCGAGGCCTTGAATGACCAATTGAGGCGAAGACCGGAGGAAGGGCGTTTTCGTTGAAGGTCTCTCCGAGTGGCTCTGCCGGAGCCCTGATGAGGCACTGAAGCTGCCATTTGTGTGTTGGGACTCTGGCAATATCCAGTTCGCACGAAGATTATCAACAACGAACAGCGACAGTGCTGGCTGCAGTCGTTATACTGTTATACTTATACTAGCTAGCACTTGCACATGGGCTGGTATATGTTGATGGAGAAGCAGTCGTGGCCGTCGTCCGAGTGCATAAACGGGAATCGCGATCGAGAGACCACTGTTTCTCTTGGAAGCGGTCCAGTAGCAGCTTGTGTAATCCCTGCTTGCGAGGTGCAGACTCTGATGGAGCATGGCTCGTCGGCAAGGGCAACAGCTCAAACTGGTGCCAATGACACCTCAAGCCGATCTCATGCCGTCTTCATTATTGTCGTTTCCTCAGGTATCCCGCTTTCCTATGGACTCAATAAACAGGACCTGTGTATTTGTGTATCTGTCGAGGTGGTTGAGCATGAGACCCTGGAGGGCAAACGCACCGGACGGCTGAACTTGGTCGACTTAGCCGGCTCGGAAAGGCCACGCCTTACAGGCACCAAGAGAGCCCTTGCACCGCCGCTGTGTGTACTGAAGCTGACTTTTGCCTCTGACGTGGGGCCGGACCTGTTGTAGGGAGAACAAGTGTGCCAGCCCGAACAGTCTCAGAGGAGGAGCAACACGTCAGAATCGGCCCGACTACGCTACACAGCATCGGGACTAATTGACGGAGCTACGTTCCTCAAGAGGCTTGAACTTGACATTTCCGAGGCTCCAGGCCGGACGCTACCAGGAATGCACGTGTATCCCGCTGGCTTTGGCACATGTGCCCCTTTACAGCTGGCACGATGGCCCTTTCCCTCTGACCACTCGCGCCTAAGATAGCACAACTCAAGATCACGTCCCAGCTCATAAACCAACAACGATACCACTCTGACTGAAAAGATATGCCGATGTGTGCAGACTCTTAACAGCTGCTTGTGAGGCGCCACAGGCCAGCGCTTAGAGGAGACGAAGAAGATCAATCAAAGCCTGTCAGCTCTGGGCACCTGGAACTGAAGAGCCCTTTGAGCCCCGCTTATAAATGAAACAAAAATACAAAAATGCAATGACACATCTAAAAACAGCAAGCGTTATAACTATAGTTATAGCAATTACTTACTATGATGTTCAACTGTGGGAACCCTCTCTGAGGCAACGTGATTTCAGCGCTGACGGAACAGCGTGGCCCTGTTTGCCGACCCCACGTTCCATACCGGGATTCGAAACTGACAAGATTACTGGAGGATTCTCTCGGTGGAAACTGCCGCACCACAATGATGGCCTCCTGGCTGAACCGAAAGCAGCCTAGCTTACTACGTTTCCCTGGGTTCAAAGGTTCAGGCAATATCTTCTCGTCTTGCCGTTTCCAGTACCACAGATCCCGATCCATGTCTAGCTGTCACGGGTTCCTTTGAGTCTGTCCGAACCGTCTACTCCTGCGAAAGCGCCACAGTCTTGTCAGGCCATGGTTTCGCCAGCTGCGGAAGCCTTCGCGGAATCTTTGTCCACCCTGAAATTTGCCCAGCGCGCGAAGGGTGTCGTCACCACTCCGCAGGCCTGCTCCGGCACAGGGCAGGTGAACAGGAGGTGTCTGCGAGTTTGTTTTGTGAATGCCCTCCGAGTTCTTATGAGGCGTCAGGCGGCAAGCTAATTAACAGGGAGCCGTTTCGATCCGTTTGCTCTATCCCCACGAAGATCTCAATGTCAGCTGAGTCTCAGCTCACCAGCAACATCCTCGAGAGACGTGACTACTCGTGGATCAGGTGAACGAAGATCTGGATCCCAGGACCTTGACCAGGAGGCCTGCCGTCAAAAAGTCTGAAGTATGCGGAACACTTGCTGACACGGCGACGGCCACAGGGTCCCGAACAGGTACGAGGCAGAGATTCGCCGTTTGCGAAGCGAACTTGCTGAGCGTAGCCAGGAGGTCAAGAGGACGGAGCTGTTACAATGCAGGGTTGTGTGCATGTGCTTGCAAACAGCATCAACAGACTCATGACGATTTGGATTCTGCAGATGACATCTCGCGAGCATGAGAATGGAATACTGCCCCTGGCAGGAGCATTGGATCGGACCTCCCTGAGTCTTTCGCTCCCTGAAACAATGATGAGCAGAGCTGCACGCAATTTTTGATCTTGCAGGCATTACGAGAATTCGAAACTACCTCATCCTGTGGCACTCTGCCGCCTCAGGATCGGCATGGCCTGCCTTTAGAGTCAACGGCACCATTGCGCACGGACCTGGCTGGTGCCTGCGCTCATGATGTTACACGAAAACCTCCTGCTGTAGAACACAGAGCATCCGACACAGAGACACAGAGAGGTTTCGGGTCACCACAGCTGAGGAAGCCGAGCTTCCAGCGTGTCAGCTGCGAGAGAAGTCGCGGCTGTGGAGGATGACAAGGACATGCCATGTACTAGAACCACCACCCACTAACTGCTTTCGCTTATCAGCGAGAAACGTAGCGGCGATCGGGTATTGACAACAGGAAGAAGAACGGTAAGTAGTGGTGCGGGTGGTAGCCACACGAAATGCAGCACATGAGTTCGTTGTGCTTGAAACCTGCTTGGTTGAAGTCCACACTTGACTCTGACGAGGCGCAGGTGGGTCGATACAAGCAGCTTCTCTTGAAGCAGCGGGTCGCTTGGACCATCGAACGATTCCCTTTGAAGCACGCAGTTTTCTTTCCGGGGAGGTTGTTGTGCACAGCACTGTAACGCTCTGTAGTTCATCGCTGGATGGAACCCCTTTTGGGATAGTCAGGACATCATGATTGCTTTGACGCAGCGCCTGCACGAACGTGATGAGACCATCATCGGGCTGCAGGCACGAGATAGAGGATCTGCGGTCCCCGAGGACCCCAATGTCGAGGTGCCATGCATAATCAGGTACAGTAGGTCTTGAACGACGTAAGCTTACGGCGCAGCATGGCAACTGCAACCTGCCTTTGCTTGCATAGCTGGCATAGCAGACCAGCCCTTGCACTGTGAGCAGTTGGGACCCAAGTGTGGCAGTTTGCTAAAGGCAGAGTTGGACGCACGCGACCGGCACCTGAACGAGCTGATGCAGCGTGGAGAGCGACAGGCCACGAGCGCAAAATCCCATGGCCCCTGCCGGAAAGACCTCTGCACAAGGCTCTTCGCCTGGCTGCGGCAGAGAAGGCGCTCCAAGCTTCTTCCAAGGCCAACCTGGCCATCTCTGGTGGCACGGTCGCCAGATCTGCTGGCAGTGCTTCTGCCACTTCAGGACAGGCGGCATGAACAACCAACTTGCAGTAGCAGGATTGAACTAGCTTTCTTTCGAGGCTCTTCGGAGGTTAGGTGCGAATGAGCGACACAGACACACTTATTTGGGAGCTTAAAGCAAGATAGAGCGATCCTTCACAAGCAGCGTTGGTCTTTGCTGTCTTGCCGACCTGTGGGACTAGTGACTAGTGCTGCTGTGGATGATGGTGATGATGATGATGATCAGAAGGAAGAAGCGACGATGACCCAAATGCCACTGAATGCCAGACACCGGAGTGGCATACAACAACTAGCTGCATCAGACGACAAAGAATGAGGTGGGATGGTAGATGCACAGCGGCCAATGAAAGTCAGTTTACACATTTAGTAATCTGGGGCAGGGGTGTCTTCGTTAAACAGGCCCGATGGACAAGGACGTGTTGAGAGAAGGAGCAAAGTCGCACGCATGAGGCAGTCGGTTAAGGCGGTGAAAGCGTAGAAGGAAGAGCTATTCCTGCCTCCCCGACGGAACGGGATCGGAGCCAGAACCGGAAGGAACCGGCAGAAACCGAAGGCATCGGCAGGAACCAGAAGGCACCGGCAGAAACCGGTGCGAACCGGCAGGAGCCGAAAGGAATCGGATTGGGAAGGAAACAGTAAAGGCACGAAGAATCCGGCAGGAACCGAACGGAGCAGGAAGGAACCGGCAAAAACTCGGAAGGTACCGGCAGGAACCGGCAAATCCGGCAGGGAAGGAACCAGCGAAAACTGGACGGTGCCGGCAGGAACCCAAAGGAACCAGCAGGAACTTGGTCGCCATTACTTGGTTCTCTTATGAAGCACGGTTGCTTCGCGACGTAACAGTATTTTCAACACTCGGGTCGTCGGTCGGGCTCGCAGCAATCTATTCCCCTACATGCAGGTATACAACATTCTCCTACTCCCCAACACACGCTAAAGGATCTGGACTGCCTTAGCCTTTCGCCAGGACCGGGGCTGTTTCCCCGACAGCCACCGCCGGTCGCTGTCCAGACAGCCTTACCGGAGGTGCATGGAGCGCCCTTACGACATGAGCTCGATGACGCATCCTGTGGAAATGTCAAAGGCTCCTCCATCCCCGAAGGCATCGTCTCCTCGAGCCCCTTTCCTGAAGCACTTTGTGTCTGCGGGATCCCACCATGCTGCGCAGCTGAGGCTGCCGATTTGGAGTATCTACCCAGATACTTGCCAGAAAGCAGCTCGTCTCTGCCACTCCTGTTTTAAGGATTCTGCAGGCCTGATCTGCAAAGATATCGAAGATGATTAAAAGCAAGTGCTAGGCCTGGTAATGTCAGAGATCCACACAAACGAGGTCGGATCGACTCTCCAACTTCCGACAGGAGCCGCAGAGCTCGTGAACCGAGCTGCCCGTCCCGTTTGGATTCAGTTTCGGGACCCGCTTAGGCCTAGAGCCTCAGAGCCCAGAAGGGCGAGAGCCAAGAGCCTCAGAGCACAGGCACCGTGGTTCCAGCGCCTGGCCTTCTGAGCGCAGACGACAAGGCCCCCGGGGGGGACCCTTCGGCCGAGTACCCTGAGACAAGGCAAGTGGTAAGTCCTATGCATCTGTGTATATATATATGTACATATATAACATATGATATATAGCATAATAATAATAAATACATATACATATATATATATTATGTACTATAGGTCCCCGTTGATTTCGGTGCAGGTGCTCGAGCTGACTTCACTTCTAGAAGCGCAACGGCAAGAGAATCACAGGACGGCGCTGATGTCAACTCGCATAGCGTTAAACTGACATCAACAGTTCTTGCCACGAAGCTGTAAAAAGTCCGCCGCGATGGCCACTAACCTGTCAAAATGCTCAGACCAATAGTTAGACAGGATGAAGCTGGAGCTGGAAACTATGCAAGACTCGATGCTTCCATTACGCAGCGCTTCCGTGGCCAGCACAATGGCTAACAGCTTCAGTCCGGAGGCGAGGCCGCCTGGGCGGACATGGTGAGGGGCTGTGTACCCATCCATCAGCATGGCTGCAAGCCTAGGATTTGGCTGTCCAGCGCACGGATTTGCTCGGACGATTCCGTGCCTTTGCCCTCAACACCTGACGTCTTCCGTTTCCGCAAAGGATCACCGTACTTTCGGTTTCCGACGAAGTTATTTGTGACATTACCTTTGCTACAGCAGTTGGTTTGGGCTCCCATCTTTGCATTGTTCCGCAGCTCGAAGCATGGCTAGGTGACCGGCAGCCATGGACAAAGCCTAACAATGTGAGCGAAGATGTTCGGCGGCATGGCTTCTGGGCTGCACGATGCACCGCTCACGAAGCTAACACCGAACCTCAGCTGCATGGAAGAAGCACCTTGCCCTTTGTGATAAGCGAGGATGGACACAGCCACCAATGAAGAGCGAAAGCTTCAGGGCAATGAGACCGAGTGGCGCCAACACAAGATCCGCAGTCTGAGCGGATTTAAGCTGTTAGTTTCTCTGGATGCGATCCCATGCGGCTGGACAGCAGATCCTGATCCTTACGCTTCCGTTTGAGGCGATCCTAGAGTTGCTAATTGGCAACAGAAGAGATGCGCGCGAGATCATCAATGCTTCTCAAGCTGTTTTGCACGAGTAGAATAAAATGCATGGAGTGCATGGCAATATCATGCAATACCTGGGGAATACTTAGTACTCTGTCCTTTGTGTCGATATTCGCGCTCGGGGAGGCGTGCTCGCCGGCAGGGCCACAAGGGCAGAATGCAGGGGGCAGACTGCTCGTTGGACATCGCCTTTGCTGCAGTCAAGACGCGAGGGCTGCTTCGAAGAGACGCACCAGCTTGAATCGGCGGACCTTGCCAGCAGCGCAAAGAATCAATCACCTGCTTTGCCAACACCCGACAGCCTTTGGGCCAGAGGAATAAAGTTGCAGAGCGAAGCCACATGAATTCCTGAACATGAAGAGTATGCCTAGGATCGGATTCTGTATAGTAGGCGCAATGTAGCTTGAAACCGTAGCACTTTCTAAACCAACTGGAGAGCTTGTTGCTGGAGCCGCCGGCACGATGCAGAGCCCCAGCCGGTCATTCTTGTCAGCGAATGGAGACACTCCGCCCTCTCCTCAGCCGGTGCCCACGCGGCAAAGCTCTCTAATTCGGTGTGTTTGTTTGTCCTGCCCTGGCCTGCCTTTCACCAAGGAATCTGCGAGCTGTCATGGGTGCCGCACTGGATGCATACCTGTGGACAGAAAGGCGACGGATTGGATAATGCTTTTTCGGCCACGCAACCATAGAGCTCAGCTGTGCAATGCCTGTTTTGTGTCCACCTGTCCGCTTACGCGAAATGCATATGCATCAGCATTAAGCAACAACGCCTCGCAGGTAGTTTCAGCGTAAACGTTTAGTAGATTCATTTCTTTCGCCATGGCTGGCGCCGTTCTTGTGGGCCTGGTGCTGTCGTTCTGTGGCTGCAGACTTCTCTCATAGAACAGTTGGTTTGGGAGTTTTGTCGAATTTCTATGATACTATGATCTTCTGCTCCAGTATTACAGCACAACCCATGCCCGCTGCAAATCAGCGGGAAATTAACATTGAATTTGCTCCAAGGCTCCAGTCGATTGCTGGCAATGCTCTCGGCGCACCGCTGCAGCTTGGCTGCAATTGCAGCACGAGGTGCACAAAGTGAAAACACCCGTCTCGCTAAGAAGGGATCGTTCAATTACGCTCATTGCGCTCTCATCGAACGGGAGGGAAGCTGTCATGACCTAATACCCTGCAAGGGGGGCTCGTCCTTGCAAACTAGGCAGCAATAAATTTGGGTGATGCCGCATGGGTGGTTTGTTCTTTTTTTCCGAAGATTGTGGTTATAAGAGAGGACATGGAAGCTCGTGTGGCCCCGCTGCAACCGCCACCACGAAATAGGCTCTCCAAACTCATCCAAAATCAGCATCTTGAGCTGAAACATCACGAAATCGCCATCTGACACCAGGATCGAGTCAACATGACGTTTAAGGGATGTTCGGGCATCCCCGAAGAGCAAAAAAGAAGTTGCTGGATTCATGGGGGTCGCGGGTTCTTCGGGTCATGAGAGGAAACAAGTCAAAGTGTGCCGCACCCGCGCTGCTCGCCTGAGCGCAGTCCCTACAGGCCCTATACAGCTGCAGCAGTTGTCAGACCGCTCAAATTTGGATCGGGATCGCGCAGTGGCTAAGGACAGAATGGCAACAGCGGGTCTTTAACGAGGTGGCAAAGAGTGCAGCTGTGCAGTCGAAGGCGGGTCTCCAAGTCCGAGTTGTGAGAGCGTAAACTTCTCCCGTGCAGAGCCACTAACCGCAATAACCCGCATCGATTGCAGAGGCTGCAGAGCCTGAGCTCTTGGCCCTTTTCGATTCCGAAGAATTTCGTGGGCAGCTCAGCATTTTTTTGAGTTGAAAGGTATCCAACGTCCGCGCTCCCAACTCTAGGTGCGAACCTTTCCACTTGCTGCCCATCCTTTGCACAATTGTCGGCCAAAGAGCTCATGGACAGACTCTCCGAGCAGTTTCAGGACCGGCACTTCAAAACCATCTCAGTTCTGCTCGCAACGGCCGACAGGTGGCTGAAGTAGCATCTGGCTTCCCAGCATTTCAAGCCTCTTGCCTGATGTATGTGGGCTGTGCGTTGCTTTCACTCTCACTCTTTTGAGGCCTTTGGAAATCAGACCCTCTGACCTGAGAGCTTGTCGTGCTCGTGGGTTCAGCCAACTTAGCCCAAGGATCCCGCCCAGCTGTTTCCGGATTCTGCGGGAATGTCTATCGACTTCGGCATTAACGGTACATTCTTCCTGTTCCCTGGCGGAGATGTATGCGCCTCTGAAACACCGCACGCCATGTTGGAACCCAGGAGTGACTGGCAGGCGGTGCCTTGGATATCCTTGGATCACTTGCAGATGCGACTGCCATGAGATAAGACTAAGATCTTGATGCACTCCACCGTGGATCCGGAGAAAGTGTGGCATGGTCTTGTGGCTACGTACCAGGCATTCCATGTCGACTCCTCAAGGCTCAAAGCTTTGCCTTGACAGTCAGCTCAGACTCTGCCGGACCACGGGGGCAGACGCAACAGTTGTGCCGCAAATTGTGCCCGTGGCCAATGAAGCAATCCATTGCCAGGGGAACAGTGACTATGGAGCAGTGGCTCGGTGGATGCTCTGGCAACAAAAGTGAGCCTGTCGAGCTGCTGCTGTCAACGTGTCTTCCTGCCAAGCTTATTCCATGTTGCCGGGGAAATGCTGGAGACCTGCAGGGGAACAAAGGGGTCGATGCCACGAGCACGACTGCACATGGATCCTGAGCTCTGCTCTGGAGCGACCCTCAAGAACATGAGCATGCACACTAATGGACAACCCATGTGGACAACCCATGGCCCCACCGCAAGTAGAAATGCAGCAAAGTGCATGCGGGGTCTTGCCAGGCTATGTTCAGCCTCATTCCTTCAAAGGTCAGGACAGGATTGTGCGCTACGACTACGAGCAGGGCAAAGGCCTGATATGCTTGGGTGGATTCTTGAACTTGACACTGAGAGATCCTTGAAGCTCAGAATGTCATTTTGGACTTTGTATGCGGTTGTGATGAACATTTCAGTTGCAGGTCAGGTCAATTCTTCCTTCTGGCTGGCTGAGAAAGTCGTCGGTGGCTTGAGCAGCCCATCTGTGGAACTCAACCAAGGGATACAGCCACCCGGTGGCAACCCATTGCCGCGAAGTCCCACACTATGCAGCTGCGTAAACACGAATGGAGCATATGTGGTTAGGCACCAGCCTCCCGTGCCCATCCGCTTCGGTATTTCAGCTTGCGTCGCACCATCATTTTCAAGTTCTTGAACCACGGTGCGGCTCTGAGGAAAGTGGACTGCCCGAAACGCCCAGCGTTCGCCATTTCGGTCTATGTGGCAGATGGCCAGTGTCACGCACACGTTCCTTGCCAGCAGCATTCGAGTTGTTCTTCCGGAGGGGCCACACACTATCAGCTGAGGCCGTCCAGAACAATACCCAGGAATTCGGCTACCAAGATCATGCAGCCACTGGAGTTGCACTATTTCAGACACAGCGTGAATGCAAATTCTGGTACACGCCGACGCTGCCATATGGGAAAAAGGAGGAACCGGCCCCTCGATGCCCTTCGTCTCGAAGAATGTTCGGATTGCAGTGGCGCTGAACATCAGAAATGCTTGCGAGCCAAGAAGCTAAGAAACAAAAACCTAGGCCTAGGCTCTGTGGCTTCGATAGTTGCAGCATGTGGGCCTTTCGAGTTGAGGGGTGGTTCTCGCGAAGCGGGTCCACACAGCTGTTTGCCTCGCACATGCAACCCCAGGCCTACTATCATACTTCGGACATTTGCTCCGATCGGTTCCCTTACTCCGTTTCTCTGCTCATAAGTGACTGCAAGAGTGCCCTTGGGCATCCCCGAAACGACGAGAGCACGGCCAAGGAGCCCTGATTCGCCTTTTCTGTGAGATGCCCTGGCTGCCAGTCTTGTGTAAAGTACCTTGAGTCCTTAGACCAGCCAAGGAGACCTACGAGCAACCTTGGCTGCGAATGGAAAGCTACATGCAGGGCTTTTCACCCTTTTCCGAAATCACCATTGGCGGGAGCTTGTCTTGCAATGTTTCAGCATGCCGCTTGTGCCAAGAAGATCTGGGAATCCAAGCGGGCCGCAGTACTGGTGCATGTGCCAGGCTTCGCCAGTCACACCCCTCGTCAAAAGTACCTTGACAGCATCCGATTTGTAGACGACCTGCCTCTGAGGTATGGCTTGAAGCCATTTCAGTCTCGCGGGGCACCATCGACCCTTGCTGAAGCTGCCGAGCGTCCGGTCTATTCCTTGGTGCCTCGTCCTTGTGATGGGCTTGCTACTTGGGGAAGCATGCCAGGCATTACCTGGCACTGACAAAGCACTCGCACCTAAGGTCAACTTGAACATGATTGACATGGGAAGTCCAATTTATGGTGGCTCAGATGCTGGGAAATCCTTGATGGGAGCTTCAAGTGATCACTGCAACCTCTCCCTGCCGACTTCAGCAGCTTGTTCATGCGTTCAGGTGACGTTTCTGCCATTTTCTCAAACAAGTATATCGCTGACAGCACACTGCTATCTCCCATCGACAGCGGTATGTATGAGATGGACTGCGACTCGGCCAAGCTGCAGGGTTTGGCGGGTGGAGATAACACTGTAGTGAGTGAGAACTTGATTGTCGCCGCTCTGGCTACATTACATTAGCAAGTGGCGGTGAGGCATTGACAAGGAAGACTTTGATTGGACGCCGCCACACAACTGCAGTGTCGCTCGGCAAGAGGCATCCATTTGCTACTGTACAGAGTTCGGAAACAGAGGGCTAGGAACTGATCCACCCTGTGCACTCAGCATCAAGGCTGTTACAGCCTTCAAGCATCTGGCCACCCTCCAGCACAACAAGCACCTTTGGTTGATCAACAAGGCCGTTGTTGTAGTATGTGGTTCACAAGTACCAAGAGCAATAGCGACTCTGTCTGCCCTCGTGCTTGCTGCAAGTTGATGCATACCGCTTCAAGTCGTGCTTGCCGGCAGGGCTTCTGGAATCGTCTTGGTCTCCTACACACCGCTTTGACAAGGTGACCCGCTAACTGAAAGCAGGGTAACCGCTTGAAAAAAACTAGATCGAGCCTGGAATTGAACATCAGTCTCTCTCTGAGGATGGAGACTCCCTGGGGGCGTCATGCCGTGCCAGCCGGCTCTTTCCTGAACTACTTCGAGGGCGCACTCCTAGGCACACGTCCCGAGCAAGTCGTTCGAGGGCTTCTGCGGTGACCGTTGATGCTCGCTGGAGGCCAACTACAGTTCCCGGCAGCAGCCCCTCAGCAGCACACCACGTCGCCTGTTGCACCTGATGCATGTGATATCTCCTTTTGAAAAGCACCTCCGCCCGGCAGATTCGCTTCCTCATTGGCTGTTTTCCAGCGCTCTTCGGCACTGATTTGGGAGCCAAGCTGCAAACTTGGGCGAGGTGCGAGGGCGCGGGGTCTCGCAAGATCGAAGCGTGAGAGCAGCACAGCTGCCAGAAACTGAAGACATGTCGGTCTCCGCCCTGCGAGGAGCCGCGGATGGGTCTTGATTTGGGCACTTGGCCCGAATGACAAGGCCATTGTCCGGGCCTTGGTCTTTAAGAAGTAGTGAAGAGCGCCGGGCGGAAGCTTGTTGCCTTGTGAAAGAATCATCATCATCATCATCATCCATCTGAGGTGGGAGAAACTTCAGACTTCAATTTCGACTTGATGCTTCTGGGCGGCATCATCTGTTTTCTCCCCTGCTGATTCCTGCGCTTGTTGTCGTCACGGGAAGTGGCGGTACAAGCACCACAGAAAGACAGACAGGCCCAGCAGCAGGAGGAGGAACACGAGGCAAAGGAGAAGTAGGTGGGGGTGGAATGGAAGTGGGAGTGCATTAGTAGTAGTCGTCGTCGTCGTGGATGTAGCAGGAGGAGGAGCAGCAGTAGTAGCAGGAGTATTTCGTACATATTTACATAGTAGTTAGTGGCTAGTAGCAAGTAGTAAGTAGTACGTAGTAGTTGTAGTGGGCAGTGGTAGTGGTGGTGGTGATGGTGGTGCTGGCGATGGTCCTGGCGGTGGTGCTGGCAGTGATGCTGGCGGTGGTGGTGGTGGTGTGGTGGTGCTTGTAGTTGTAGGAGGAGCGGCATCAGCAGTAGTAGCAGCACTAGAGATAGATTGAAAGAAGCAGCAGCTTGCGACGGCAGGAGGCGTAGGAGCAGGGGAGCGGGAGTACGATCACCTGGTGTGGGCGCGTGTGCCTGCGCACACGCCGCAGCCAAGGGCGGGAACCTTGCCACCACCTTAGATTCCAGCGAGTTGGCCGGCGCTCCGATCTGCACGTTGGGTACATAATTCCAGACAGGTCTTTCGAACTCAACAAGCGCTTGATTGATCCACTGGTCTTGTCTGGGACGACGGCTGCTGCAACTGGTCGCTGATAGAGTTGCGAGCGCAGAATGCAGCATCATGCAGCATCTGTAAATTCAACCACCTGGAGATTTCAGATATGCCAGAATGCAGCTGTGCTTCAAGGCAAGCTTACCCCTGGGCTCCAATGCAACAGACAAGTTCAATCAGATGTGGGTGGAGGACGGCCACAGTAAGTTACCACTGACATGGATCATCATTGTCTTCGTTTGATGGCACTGGCAGGTTGCCCACCTGCGGAACACAACGCATCTTAGCAGAATGTCATGGATATGAAGATGACCGTGCCGCTCAAGTTTCGCTCTGGCCGGCCAAGGAACGTGACCAATGCGACCATGGCGCAGCAACTTTGCAGGAATGATTTAGAATCCAACAATCCAAATGTAAACTCAACATCATGGAAAATGACATGGCATGTGTAATGAACTAATCGCCATGCCCCAGTTGACGGCTCCCAGGAAAATCCAAGAAATTGGCACGCTTCTTCCACAGCTTCCTATTCGTCCGCTAATGGCTGGGGACAGCGCCGGGTTTGCTGGGAGAGATACCTTCTGACCGTCTTGAAACAGTCCAAGTTGACCTGGCTGCGTCACTGCACTGGAACTAGACCGCAATCTAGTTTTTGCAGGACTGCGGCGAGCAGCTGAAGAATGCCGAGTGCGTCGGCATGACAATGAAGGGCAGCTGCGTGTGCTACGCCAGTGTAGAGGCCATAAGTGATCGCCAGAGACCCCCACATGCAGGCGGTTTGCCCCCACTGGTGTTTGTCCGTTGCCTTCTGTTGTGGAGGTCGTCAGCAAAGCAGAGATTTTCATCTGAGTTCGGTCGGCGGTGTCACTGAAGTGAGAAGCTTGTTCTCACCCAGATGTACAGTGTACAAAATGTCCGCCCTGAGAATCAGATCGTTTAATAGCCTCACGTGAAAAGGACATAGTAAATGCTGAATTGCACCCTGACATGAAAGTCGGTATTTGCCTTCCCTGCCCAATGACATTGACTAGTGGTGTTCTGCCTGAGCTCTGCGAGGCAACGAAGTGAAGAGGCGAACGAGTTCAGCGCGGAACTTGTCATCGCTGAGAGCAGCAAGCGCAACAGCAGAACTGAACATCACCGGAATGGCACTGTCCTACCGCGTTTGAGGCCTCGAGCTGAAGAAACTGCGCGGCAACTTGCAGGACACCGGCAAGAAAGAAGTCTTTTCGCAACAGTCAAGGCACTTCCAGGTGCAGTAAAGAGCATCTTGACTGAAGCCCAGATCCGTTCCGGGCCTGGATGTGATGCAACTTCATACCAAAGAGGAACGAGTACTATCTCTCCAATGAAGCTGCCAGGACTTTGCGTCAGCTGCCCAGCAGCGCATTGCAGAAGAGGCAGGGTGCGTCAAGGGGGGACGGCACGTAGTCTTGCAGACAAACGGTAGCAGAGGTCTCGCACCTCACTAGCGAGATGATGGCTATCCGCGATGGCATTTCGAGCGAGTTGCAGGCCCCCCCAGACAGATGCAAGGGAGACGTCAAGATGTGGCAATGCAGTGTCGGAGTCATACAGTCATTCTGAGAAGGGCTTGCATGGGATGCTCAGACCACACGAGCAGAACTTGGCACCCGGGTCTTGGCACGGAAGGTGCTTCGCGAAACACAAGCATCAGACACCACGAAGCTGCAGCGCGGCTGAAGCCCAGAGATTCCGAAGTACAGCCGGGGAGTACATGCGGCGTTGATCCGACCCTGTAGCTCTTTGCTGATTGGGTTTCGGATGTGGCATTGTATATGATGTGTATCTGTGTTTAGTTGTGCAGTTCCTTCTTTCTACCGACAGCTGCCTATCAGTTTTCGGTGAACGTTCAGGTTGTCGCAGATTGGGGAACGATTCTAACTTGTGGCTTAGGCGAGACTTTGTGGATGCGAGCAGCTGGAAGCTGTCCGGAACCTAGATCCGCCCTTCGCCCCCCGCAGTGGCAGACGCCGTGCACTTGTAAGGCGCGATCAGCAAACGGCAGAGACGGGAAAGCTGAAGGAAGGTTTCCAAAGTGAAATGAAGTGTTTTGGCTGCACATCCGGGTGAAATGAATGACACTTCGGGTCGGAGCCCGAGCCGAACTCTGAAAATGGCCGCCGAAAACTGCAACTTAGAGGCTGGAGGGGACGCGAATGGTTGCCCAAGTCATGTTCATAGCAGTAACCAGGAGCAAAGCTAGTAGACTATCCATCCAGTTTGTGACTTTTCGAGCACAACAGCAGTCCAGGTTCCTTTACTCCTGCTGTTACAACTTCCACTACTTGAGCGTCTTCTCCTTCGACGCCACGACGACGACTGGATACCAGCTAGAAACTAGCTGCTGCTAGCAGCTAGCAGATACAGGCTACAAAAGTACAAGCCTTTGCTACTAATGCTGTTGATATTGCTACTGCTGCTGCTGATGCTGCTACTTACTTCCGCTACTACTACTACTACTACCACTACTACTACTACTACTACTAATACTACTAATACTACTAATACTACTACTACTACTACTACTACTACTACTACTACTACTACTACTACTACTACTACTACTACTACTACTACTACTAACCACTAACTGCTAACTGCTAAGTGCCACTGCTACTACTTCTGCTTCTATTATTACTACTACTACTGCTACTACTCCGACTACTCCTACTACTACTACTACTACTGCTGCTACTACTACTACTGCTGCTACTACTACTACTACTACTCCTACTGCTACTGCTACCGCTACCGCTACCGCTACTGCTACTGCTACTGCCACTGCTGCTGCTACTACTTTTAGTGCTACTGCTTCTGCTTCTGCTACTGCTACTGCTGCTACTGCTACTACTACATCTTCTACTTCTACCACTACTACTGCTACGACGACCTGCTGAATAGTACCACTAGTACTGCTACTGCTCCTGCTACTGCTATTCCCACAACGATGTCATAAATCCCGACGACGGTGACCTTGAGAAATGATGCTGACGGCTCAGGCACAGGTTTGCCATCCAATGCTGCTCTCTAAGGTCTCTAAGAGATGAGCTCTCTCGAGCTTCCGTGATGCAAGCAGATTCTGGCAACAGCCATATAGGATACAGGGAGTACTTATCGAGACTGCGGAGCAGAAGTAGTACCAGTAGTAGTCGTAGTAGTCGTAGTAGTGGTAGTTAGTAGTAGCAGTGGTGGCAGCAGTAGTAGCAGCAGCAGTAGTCCCAGGATTGCGCGATGCGTCGGCATGACAACAACTGCAAAATAGACCCGAATTACGCTTATGTGGTTCTTATTTTGGGCTGCACCCCAGAAGGATACTGTGAAGAGGGGGGGTTGAGGGGTTACTGTAGCATACTGTAGCTAGCGCTTTCATGAGGTAGTGGTTGTCGTAGTAGTCGTTATAGTACTAGTACTAGTACTAGGTAGTAGTAGTAGTAGTAGTAGTAGTAGTAGTAGTAGTAGTAGTAGTAGTAGTAGTAGTAGTAGTGGTAGTAGTGGTAGTAGAAATAGTAGTACTAGGTAGTACTAGTAGCAGTAGTGGTAGTAGTCGTGGTGGCAGTAGCAGTAGTAGCAGCAGTAGTGGTAGTAGAAATAGTAGTACTAGGTAGTACTAGTAGCAGTAGTAGCAGTAGTAGCAGTAGCAGCAGTGGCATAAGTGGTGGTAGTTGTTGTTGTCGTTGTTGTCGCAGTTGTCGTCGTCGTAGTCGTAGTCAGTAGTAGTAGTAGTAGTAGTAGTAGTAGTAGTAGTAGTAGTAGTATAAGTACTAGTACTAGTACTAGTACTAGTACTAGTAGTAGTAGTAGTAGTAGTAGTAGTAGTAGTATAAGTACTAGTAGTAGCAGTAGCAGTAGTAGCAGTAGTAGCAGTGGCAGTAGCAGTAGCAGTAGTACTAGTAGTCGTCGTCGTCGTCGTCGTCTTAGCAGTGGTGGTGGTTGTTGTAGTAGCAGGAACTGCCGTAGCAATCGTGGTGGTAGTACAAGTAGTCAGAGTAGCATAAGCAAGGGTAGCAGTAGAATTGGTGGTTGATGTTGTTGTGGCCATGATTGGTGGTGGCGACTGTGGTTGTGTAGTTTGTGCGTGTGTGTGTGTGTGTGTGTGTTGTTCTTGGAATTGGTATTTTTTGTTGTTGCTGCTGCTGTCGTTGTTGGCAGTGGTGGTGGTCTTGGTGCGGTGGCGGTGGCTGTGGTCGTGGTTCTGTGTTGGTGTTGGTGTTTGTGTGTGTTGTTGTGGTTGTGGTTCTTGTTGCCGCTGCTGGCGGGATGGCGGTGGCAGAGGTGATGGTGGTGGTGCCTTGTTAAGGTTTGCTGTTGTCATGAAGATGTTGTTGTCGTTGTTGGTGAAGGTGGTTCATCCGCAGTTGTGTCCGTGCGGTTACATGGCATTGACCGTAAACTTATGGAAACTCTTAACCTTGACCTTAAGTTGCCCTGACGGTCATCAAGGAAGTAGCTGAAACCTGACATATGGAGCCTGCGTCTGAACATGACTCTGGCTGTAAGGCAGCATCCTTTCGCTCGGAGTTCTCCACAATTCGCTCGGCCTGGGACTGCAGTCTTGGAACACTGCGCTCCGAGCTGAGCGCTCTTCGAAAAGACCTCGACAGTTTCAAGTCCGAGAGCAACAGCATGGATGGCGCTTTGCGTTCCGATCTGGACACGCACCGAAGTGAGTTCAGCACTTTGCGCTCTGAGTTGAATCCAGTGCGCTCGGACATCACATCTTTGCGGAGTGAGTTGGACTCTTGCCGTGCCGATATCACTACCACGCGAACAGAGCTGGGTTCGCAGGGGACGGACTTGAAGACACTCCGGACAGACCTCGGGTCGCTCCGCACGGACCTTGGGTCGCTCCGCACGGACTTCAGCTCCCAACGAACAGACCTCGGGAACGGGCTGAACGGCCTGCGTGGGGACCTGAATTCCTTCAGATCCGATGTGGCCTCATGGCGCTCGGACATGGAAAGCCATGTCCAGGACATTGCAGTTCTGAAAGTGGAGACGGAGTCGAGCCGCAGCTTGCTGAAGTCCGTCCAGCAGCTTGTCAGATTTATCCTCCCCAAACGTGAGATGGTGAGAGCATGGGAGCCCCAGCCGTTTTTTTGCCGCATCGCTCTTGCGAGGTCCAGCTCAGAGCAACATGCCACTGACTTGAACTCGCTGCGATCGGAGATTGACCTCGCACGCTCGAGCATTGCGGCCCATAGGTCTGAGCAGGACTTCTGAAGTCTCTGAGCAGCGACAGGAGATGGAAGTGTCTTTTTCAGGAGTCCCAGCAGTCAGAGGTGAAATCGTTTCGATCGGAGCTCACCCTTGACATTAGCAAGGCCTGGACCGGTTTGTGAAGCACCGCAAACTTAAATTGCTGCTGCTTCGGGATTTGCAAGGTTAGGAAGGACCACGCCGACCTGCGTAGTGAGCTGCACAAAGATGTGGCAGAGCTGCGGAAGGACGCGCAGACTGCTGTGGTTGCTGGTTGTTCTTCAGCATGTGACTGTCTAGGAGGCTATGCAAGGACTCTCCGAGAAACAGGATGCCATTGACGACTTTGTCAAGGACAGAGGTACCCCAATAACACCCCAGATGCAGAAGTTGCCTTTTCTTTTATTTCTTTCCATCCACACCCTCAAAAGCTCAAAAGCAATGGTGGGAGAGGACGTATCCGGCCTCCGTGGTCATTTCAGCGACTTGAGAAAGGAGCGCTTTGCAGCTTCACAGCACGCCACCGAAGCCAAGGAGAAGTGGATCAAGTTAGAATGCAGGAGCTTTCCTCTACACAGGGGCAGCTGAACGACGTGCGCAAGGCTTTGTCATGATGCTGCAGGGTGAACGCGAGTAGCTGTGCCAGAAGCCAGAACTGAGGAGCTTTCGTCCTCACAGGGGCAGCTGAGTGAAGTGCGGAAGGCTGGGCTTTGGCCCGGAATTGCTCGAGCCATCGAGTCGGACTCCAGGAGGTGTCGTCTACCCAGGGGCAGCTCGCTGACACGCGCAAGGCCCAGCCGTGGCGTGTGAATGTTTACAGTAATTGAGACTCTGCCGGGATGCTGGCAACATTGGAGGACGTTTCGGCCACGCAGGCACAAGTCAATGACCTGAAGAAGGACCCGTAACGGCTCGAGCAGCTCCAAACGGCTCCCTTTTGCTCCCGCTGCCCCGCTCTGCTCAGGACGGAGCTTCCTCCAGAAATCAGACCGCTGACATCCTCAAGGCGACGAGTCATCGGAACAGTTTGGCAGACCGGGAGTGGGACACCAAAGAGGAAAGTAGGTAAACCACGATTCCTGGCGCTTCCCGCAGGAGTTGCGCTTGCTGCAGAGTCAGCAGAGTGAATTCGCGAAGGCGCAGGCGCCAACCCAACGGTATGCTTCCAGCGACATGCCCGTCAAAGCCTTCAAGCAGGATCTAGCCACTACTCAGGGCATGGTGAAGGACTTGCGGCAGGCCTATGCCTCAAGAGTACCTCAAAAGCAAAGTTCAGCAGATCTTCCAACTTGTTTTGTATGTGAGGACTTGAGTGCAACCCAGGGGCACATCACCAGCCTGCAGAAGGCGGCTGGCTTCTGCCAGAGCTCGCGAGTCTTGAGCTTGCAATCCCCTGGTGCCCTCCATTTCGGATTTATGCGGGACGTTTTCAGCAACAGGCAAGCTCGGAAGTTTGTCCGTTGTCCTGCGTGTGTCGAGTGCGTGGCTAGACGACTACCCTCGCAGAAAGGAGGCAGTTCCAAGAACAGCATGTCGGCCTTGCAGGAGGCCGTGTCCATAAAGAGCGACCTCGTGTCCACCAAGGGCGACTTCACCAATGTGTCCAAGGACAGGGCCGATGGAACAAGAGGATGGTCACCTTGCCTGTTGTTTTCCAACCCTGTATCCGGCGGTTGAAGCCACGTACAGATGCTAATCCCCTGAAGACGTGGTTGGACACAACCTGTCGTGCTTCGGCCCGAAGGGTGAAGAAGACCTCGAAGCAGCACGGCCCGCACCCGGCACGAGTGCGTTACACATCTTGGGTAACAAAGTAAGGGTGCCTGTTTCGAATCTCACGAATTGCACAGGTTTCAAAAACCCTGGGTGGAGCCGATAGTACTGCTAGTTTGATAGATCAGCTTGTTTCGTGTTGTGTTGCTAAGTTGCCTCAAGGTTCTGATTTCTGATGCCAATTAGTTTTATGCTGAACCTAGGAAGAAGCATTTCAGCGAAAGTGCTTTTCAGATTTCACGATGGGTCACCAGCGACCCGAAACAAGCTGATCAATTGTTAGGCGAGAAAATCGCCAAATGTGCAGCAGGCAGAAGTAGTAGAGGCTGCAGCTTGCAGGAGACTCTGTCCAACAAGAACGACCTCGTGTCCTTGAAGAACAACTTCAACGACATCTCAAAGGACGGGTCTGGCTCCGTTATTTCAAACCCTTGATGTTGAATCCCAAGCACGCGGCCCACTCGTCCCTGGTTCGGCATGTTTGAGTCCGTCTTCCTGCACGGGTGCACCAGGATGTGAAGGAGTTGCAGAGCGCAGACAGAGGCTTGCAGGAGGCCCACTCTGCAGCGATTCGACTGCATGCAGCGACCTGCCGGAATTGTCGGTGCCTGTGGTTGTGAAGCAAGGAAGCTTCGGAGACAAGAGCCAACCTGAACAAGTTGCAGCAGGAGAGCATCCAGGGGCCGCTGCTTCGTGCTTCGTACATTTTCATGCAAACATAGCAGCTGATGAGGACTACGGTTGTTAAAGTATCACTAGCCCGTCGTGATCCCATGGACCCAACATCCAGTACACAGGAGCTCGTGGAGTCACAGAGGCAGCTGCACACCTTGGAGAAGGAGACGGCAATAGTGTCAAGATGTGCAGCAGCAGAGCTTTCGCCGATCGGGCAAGAACAAAGCTGTTCAAGCTCGATTGTCTGCTGCAGGGATGTGCTAAGTTTGCGTCAAGGAGATGACAACCACGACGCAGCTCGCGAGCTCGCTCCAGCAGGAGTCGCGAAGGTCTTCTGAGGACCATCGATCCAGCGAGCCACAGATAGCTGTGACCAATCTCCCAGGATGCTAGTACAGTCTGCAGTCCGACGAGCGATAAAGGGCTGCAAAGAAAATGGTTCAGCCACCAGCCGCGCAGGAGTTGGCGGCTATTCAGTCCTTGACGACTGATTTGAAGAGCTCTGTGCATGATTTGCAGAACTCGGCGAATCATTCGCGACAGGCCCTCGAAGTGTGCCGATATCTGTAGCAGGATAGCGCGAGGTACTGTAGGCGAGTTGAACTGAAGCCCTGAAAGCACCAGCACTTACCTGCAAGGGCATTGATGCCACAAACAGCTCAATAGACGATCTCCGCAAGGCAGGGCGGCAGGACAATCAGGAGTTCTTTTTAGCACACTTTGGATTCATTTGTGCCAGGAGCTGCCAGAGTTTCACGGTGCTCTGAATCATTTCAGACAGGCACCTCACATCAGACAGCTGGTGTGGGAAATGTTAACACTGGCGCGTCGCATACTTCAAGTCCACCACCCACGGAAGTGTCAGGAAGTTGCCGAGAAGGGAAGCCAGTCGGACATCTTGCATCAGGCACCAAGATTCTACTGCAGCATCAACTCAGTGAATCCAATGCACGTGCCGTCACAGGCCTTACAAGCAGAGCTGGAGCAACTCCGCAGTCAGGCAGCTGAGGTGAGAAAGGCCCGCTTTGGATGATTATAGTATCATAGTATTATGGTTTCATACCATACTACCAGGCGTCCTTGCAAGCAAGCCTGCAGCAAATAGTATTATGGTATTATAGTATTGTAGTATTATTTTGAACGCTCGGGAGGCTTGCCAAACATGTTGCCACCGGCATCGTGAGGATCTTACCACTTTCTTCCAGATGGAGCTAGCCGGCGTCCGGAAGGTTCCCATCTCCAGCGCTGTTTCGCCAGCCAAGATTCTGATGGGGGTTTCCCAAAATTGGGGGGGACCTTATTTTTGTGTCCTTATAATCAGGATCCTGCAGTTTAGGGTGCGAAAATTAGGGTCCCCTAATGTCGGAAACTCCCAGATCTTGAGATCTTACAGGACTTGGGCCAGCAAGGAGAAGATCTGCAAGGCGCTTTGGTTTCCATGCAGGCCTGGTTCGGGGCCCGGGGATTCAACAAAAGCCGAGAGAGACGAAAGCAGGAGCGTGCACCGCCTTTGCGATGCCAGGTGAGAATAAAAGAGGATGCCGCTGCTGAAATCAGGCTTCGTCTCTTGTGCGGACAGCCCGACGGACCACAGATGAACCTGCACAGGAAGCTGCAGAGTGATGCCAGTGCTGCGCATCGTGAGGTGCGCTAATTTTTTCCGTCCTGCGATTCGAGTTTCATAGTTCTGTGCTTGTGTCGTCGATGATGACCTCCTCGTTGTTCGGATTTCAGCGGAACACACCCAATCCTAGGTTACCAGCATGGTCCAGCAGACGGCGCAAAAGCTCAAGGACGAGGCTTTGAAAGTTTACTGACCGGGGAGTGGCAGCAAGAAGCGCGGACACTTCTGTCCCAAGCTGAGAGGCTGGGCAGATATCCTCAGCGCTACAGGCAGCACAAGAGGTGCCTCCGCCAGAGCCACAGCTTGGCCTACCCCCAACTTGAGCCTTCGTGAGGACGCCGCTGACCTCCGAAGCGAGGTGCACGAGGCTGGAGCCGTGCCTTCAAGCCCCGCTACTCATAGCCGCTAGCCGCCGGTCGTATCAGGCCTGCAGTGCCATCGAAGACCAGCGCCGCGAGGTCAGGGCCGGTGCTAAGAGCGCAAAGACTTTGACCATCATGCACGATTTCAGGTCGATGCACATCTCTCCATGCGAATCACTGAGGCACCTAAAGAGCTGGCACGAGTCCGTTTGGCCAAGACGTTCGCGGTTCGACAGGTGCAGGAGCAGCTCGAGAGGGACTTCAAGGTCAACTGTGGCATGTCAAGACATTCTGCGACACATGAGCGCGCGCGCGCAAACATGCACAGACACGCACGAGGCATGAGCAGAATCTTCTACGGGATTGAGAATTCGACGTCGTTCTCGCCAGGTTGCAGACGCCAACTTGCATGCAGAAGTGGCGACGGCTGCTGCAAGTGGGCTAGCACGTTGCCTGAGCATGGCTTATCTGGCGCTTGGACGGGCCAGAATTGCCAGGTGATCGATACAACGTTGGCGTGGAAATGGAGCGGCTGCGGGCCGATCTGGTCCAGGCATGCAGCATACACTGGATTGACCTTCATTAGCTCTGGCTTGAATGGCTTGGCTTTCTCATCTCGAGAGGTGGACTCGCTAAGAGCGACGATTGCCCAAGTACAGGACCGCTGGGTTCTGGCAAGACCTTATTATTCGTTATTTTGTACTCGTATGCACAACTGTTTGTAAGAAGCATCGGATGCCGGCCGACACGGCCTCCTTCCAAAGCCTCGAACAAGTGCGACTCTGTAAGAGTAGGTGCACTATTCAGAACAACTTCCACATGAGCTCGTTAGCTGTAGGAGCTGACGAGCCGAGCCGGCTTCCGACTTAGTGAGCGATGCGTGCAATTTGTGCTTTTCGTGTCCTGTCGGCTCCTGAGAGGCTCCCACGAGGTTGTCGCAACATTGAGCCGTGCACCAAGCGTGGCTGTCAGCAGCTGCCAAACATGCGCTCGTTTGAACCATCAGGAATCGACCATGCCTTCCTCCACAACTTCATGCCAGCTGACTACGAATTCCCCCTAGTGGCCAGCAGGCGCCGCATCATGTCGCATCCCAAAGATGGGTGCTACTTGGCTTCTGCTGGCCATGCACAACCACCGTTTGCCCAAAAGGTGCATGGTCCGTCTGAAGCCCAACCGCAAGGCGTGAGTGACTACACCGCGGGAGCGCATCGGTCACGGTCTGGAAATTTCGGCGAATTACAGAACACTTGGTTTCCAAAGAAAAAGTCGTTGAATCTGTTTGGCTCACAGCGTGTTTCACCCCAGCCTTGGCCTTGGTTTCGCCATGGCACAGAAAGACTTGGCGCTTGCCGCAGCTCGGCAGACTTTGGCTTCCGCAGCGTCTCTCCCTAAAATTGTTGATGACTTTTTGTCCTGAAACTGACTTTGTTCCAAGGAAGTACCAAAGCGTGAGCGAGATGCACTGCAGCCCTCAGCAGCACTAGAATTGGCAAACTACGCTTCAATCTTCGAGGCTCGAGAGGTTTTTTTCGTTTGTGCGAGCTCTGTGGCTCCTTTGAACAAAGTAGGCGTTGCTCGTCCACCTCACTTGTCACATGTCAGCACTGTCAATGGTTGTGCGATGGCACCCGCATGCCAGAGCGCAGAGCCGTACCTGCTGGACCTCTATGCGGCCATTTGCCACGATGCAAACGAACAGCCGAGTCTGGACAGTGCCAGGCAGTTCTGGGAGCAACCTGGCCAGCAGTTCAAGTCGAGGAAGCATAGACGAATTCCATTTACAGGACTTGCACCGGAGGGAAACATGAACACACGTGTAGAGCATTCGGCTGCATATTCACACGCCCATCGCAATACCTGCAGATTTTTTTTGCTCAGACGCTTTGGTCTAGAAACAGCTTGTGGAAAATCATGGCTCGCTCCAACTCCGTTGCTGCTCCCCTGCTGTTCATCGCTGCGGCCGCCTATGTCTTGAGCTGCTGCATGTCGGCGCCGTCCTTCGTGGCACCCCAAAAGGCAGCAGAAGCAGCTCTGCAGCAACAGCAGCAAGCCGCCGTCGTGAGCGCAACACTGGCAGCTGCCTCCATGCCAGCTCCTGCTTGGGCGGCACGCGCTTCGGACGAGGATGACGAGGGCTTCGATGTCCGCATCATTGCCGTGCTGGCCTTGCCCCTGTTTGCCATCTCCTGGGCCCTCTTCAACGTGTGGCGCGTGGCATTCCGTCAGGTGGTGCGCCAGGGCGAGAACGCCAAGGGCAACGCTCTTTGATGTGGCAGACTGCTGAGGGCATAGCCGCCACACACCACACGGCGAAAGTACCTCAAGCAGCTGATGCCCACTCGGATTCCCAAAGCAAAAAAACAGCCAAGATGTGTGTGTGGCAGAGTGAACTGTGGAGCATCGGCATCATAGGTAGCAGTCAGAAACAGATCCCTGTCGCCACAGTTTTTTGGTTCAGACCCCAGCATAGAAGGAAACCACCCTGCTTGTGGAAAATCATGGCTCGCTCCAGCTCCGTTGCTGCGCCGCTGCTGTTCATCGCTGCCGCTGCCTATGTCTTGAGCTGCTGCAGGTCGGCACCGTCCTTCGTGGCACCCCCAAAGGCAGCAGAAGCAGCTCTGCAGCAACAGCAGCAAGCCGCCGTCGTGAGCGCAACACTGGCAGCTGCCTCCATGCCAGCTCCTGCTTGGGCGGCACGCGCTTCGGACGAGGATGACGAGGGCTTCGATGTCCGCATCATTGCCGTGCTGGCCTTGCCCCTGTTTGCCATCTCCTGGGCCCTCTTCAACGTGTGGCGCGTGGCATTCCGTCAGGTGGTGCGCCAGGGCGAGAACGCCAAGGGCAATGCTCTTTGATGTGATGATCTTTCGAGGGCCTTGCCCACTGAGGGTCATTTTTGCAAATGGCAGGTCGCACCATGTAGCGCTCGAGCGCCAAGCGACCTTCGCATCACCACGTTTCCAGACCAGAAATGCGTCTTGAACGCAGGTGTGCGAAAAGGCCGGATGCAGTTTGGCGTGGAATGCTGTAACAAGCGATCCTGTCAGTGATGTCATGAAGTGTCTGGAATTCCGGGTGGGGCATGTGTGGTAGACGAGACTGTTGAGAAGCAGAGCCGAGAATTCCGAGCTGGGCTCCTGCCCATCCTTTGCTCCCTTGCGCTGCCGTGTCATCTGATGTTATCTGCATATTTGGCTGCAGTTGTTTTTAGCATACACGCACAGCCAGAGACGCGCTGGCATCAGTGCATTAGAAGATCATGGCTCGCTCCAACTCCGTTGCTGCGCCGCTGCTGTGCATCGCTGCGGCCGCCTATGTCTTGAGCTGCTGCATGTCGGCGCCGTCCTTCGTGGCACCCCCAAAGGCAGCAGAAGCAGCTTTGCAGCAACAGCAGCAAGCTGCAGTCGTGAGCGCGACACTGGCAGCTGCCTCCATGCCAGCTCCTGCTTGGGCGGCACGCGCTTCGGACGAGGATGACGAGGGCTTCGATGTCCGCATCATTGCCGTGCTGGCCTTGCCCCTGTTTGCCATCTCCTGGGCCCTCTTCAACGTGTGGCGCGTGGCATTCCGTCAGGTGGTGCGTCAGGGCGAGAACGCCAAGGGCAATGCTCTTTGATGTGATGATCTTTCGAGGGCCTTGCCCACTGAGGGTCATTTTTGCAAATGGCAGGTCGCACCGTGCAGCGCTCGAGCGCCAAGCGACCTTCGCATCACCACGTTTCCAGACCAGAAATGCGTCTTGAACGCAGGTGTGCGAAAAGGCCGGATGCAGTTTGGCGTGGAATGCTGTAACAAGCGATCCTGTCAGTGATGTCATGAAGTGTCTGGCATTCCGGGTGAGGCATGTGTGGTAGACGAGACTAGTTGAGAAGCAGAGCCGAGAATTCCGAGCTGGGCTCCTGCCCATCCTTTGCTCCCTTGCGCTGCCGTGTCATCTGATGTTGTCTGCATATTTGGCTGCAGTTGTTTTTAGCATACACGCACAGCCAGAGACGCGCTGGCGTCAGTGCATTAGAAGATCATGGCTCGCTCCAACTCCGTTGCTGCGCCGCTGCTGTTCATCGCTGCGGCCGCCTGTGTCTTGAGCTGCTGCAGGTCGGCGCCGTCCTTCGTGGCACCCCCAAAGGCAGCAGAAGCAGCTCTGCAGCAACAGCAGCAAGCTGCAGTCGTGAGCGCGACACTGGCAGCTGCCTCCATGCCAGCTCCTGCTTGGGCGGCACGCGCTTCGGACGAGGATGACGAGGGCTTCGATGTCCGCATCATTGCCGTGCTGGCCTTGCCCCTGTTTGCCATCTCCTGGGCCCTCTTCAACGTGTGGCGCGTGGCATTCCGTCAAGTGGTGCGCCAGGGCGAGAACGCAAAGGGCAACGCTCTTTGATGCGCATATTCCTGCTTGGTCCCTGCTTTCCAGAGATTTAGTGGCAGTTGCCAGGTCGCGCTTTACAGTGCCGAGTGCCACGAGCACAAAGTGACCCAAGACCCGACATACATTTCGAGCGTGGTATGCAAAACAGACAGTTTGCAGTGCTGCATGAGCAACCATAAATCATGGGCAGTGGTAAAGCGCAACAGTGCGACGAGCCAACAGTCAGAGGAAGTGCAGGACACCGATCTGGCAGCATGTTGGCAACGGCCCTAGCACTCTAGCACCAGCATTTGGGGCGATCTTTGAATCACTATTGTATGGGGATCCATGGCTGCGCGGTACTCTTCCAACAGCGGCTAGCTCGTCAATCCTAAGATCTTGGTAAGCTGATATTTGTATCGATGCGGACAGTTCTACGGGTCTAGACCAGAAACGCAGCCAGACAAACATGCACGCCGACACCCACATCTTTCGCAGAGGCGTTCTGTGCTCGTTTGGCTGCAGTTTTTCAACGTAGACCCACAGCACTGCCGCGAACGTTCTGACATCAGAAGATCATGGCTCGCTCCAGCTCCGTTGCTGCACCGCTGCTGTTCATCGCTGCGGCCGCCTATGTCTTGAGCTGCTACAGGTCGGCGCCGTCCTTCGTGGCACCACCACAGGCAGCAGAAGCAGCTCTGCAGCAACAGCAGCAAGCTGCAGTCGTGAGCGCGACACTGGCAGCTGCCTCCATGCCAGCTCCTGCTTGGGCGGCACGCGCTTCGGACGAGGATGACGAGGGCTTCGATGTCCGCATCATTGCCGTGCTGGCCTTGCCCCTGTTTGCCATCTCCTGGGCCCTCTTCAACGTGTGGCGCGTGGCATTCCGTCAAGTGGTGCGCCAGGGCGAGAACGCAAAGGGCAACGCTCTTTGATGCACTGATCTTCCGAGCGCCAAACCTACGGGGTCATTTTTGCAAATGGCAGGTTGCACCATTCAGCGCTCGAGCGCCAAGCGACCTTCGTATCACCAGTCTTGACACCAAAACCGCGTCGTGACCGTGAGAGGCGAAAAAGCAGGCAGGACAATTTGGAAGGGACGATTGCAAGTTACGGTCTTGCCCGTGATGTGACAACATGTCTGGAGCGGAAGGTGACAGACGAGACTAGTTCGGGAAGTAGAGCCGATAACGAAAGTCAGCTAAGCTCTTTCCCCATCCTTTCCTTTGCTCCGCATGTTTCGCTGCAGTTTTTGAAGATAGACGCACAGCCGTAGAGGCCCTGGCATCAGTGCATTAGAAGATCATGGCTCGCTCCAACTCCGTTGCTGCGCCGCTGCTGTGCATCGCTGCCGCTGCCTATGTCTTGAGCTGCTGCAGGACGGCGACTTCCTTCGTGGCACCCCCAAAGGCTGCAGAAGCGGCTCTGCAGCAACAGCAGCAAGCTGCAGTCGTGAGCGCGACACTGGCAGCTGCCTCCATGCCAGCTCCTGCTTGGGCGGCACGCGCTTCGGACGAGGATGACGAGGGCTTCGATGTCCGCATCATTGCCGTGCTGGCCCTGCCCCTGTTCGCCATCTCCTGGGCCCTCTTCAACGTGTGGCGCGTGGCATTCCGTCAGGTGGTGCGCCAGGGCGAGAACGCCAAGGGCAACGCTCTTTGATGCGGGGGATCCCCTTGCTTGCTGCTTTCTCACGACTGTCATTGCAACTGCCATCTCGCACCAAGGCGAGAGCCAAGCTACCGGATTGCCAGGCCAGACTTGCGTCTCGAAAAAATTAGGGAAGTGGCATTCTAGGGGCATGTCCAACTGAAATGTGAGGGGAATTGGTGAGCAAGAGTGATAGCAGGTCCGGAGTGTGTGGGAGGACAAACACAGAGAGAGTTAAACAAAGATGGAAGGAATACAAACAAGGACAGAAGTCGACTAGCTTCAGCATGCTGGCCACTTCTGCTGCGACAGACGCATTCCAACACTTCGTAAGGCAAGGGCAGGGGGATGACGCTCGCCTCAACTTCATGTTGTGATGTAGAAGAAGAGCAGAATAGAGAGAGAGAGAGAGAGAGCTAGCGAGGCCAGTCGTGTGAATAACAAGAAGCGCTCTTTTTCTGAGCAGGCCTCGACGGATACACAGACTCCTTTTCTCAGACTCCAATACGCTGAAAGAGAGGAAGTGAACAGATCGCTGTGAGTGAAGAGGTTGTTTCGCGACCGCATGTTTGGCTGAAGTTCTTCAACGAAGACACACAGCACTGCAGCGAACGCCCTGACATCAGAAGATCATGGCTCGCTCCAGCTCCGTTGCTGCGCCGCTGCTGTTCATCGCTGCGGCCGCTTATGTCTTGAGCTGCTGCAGGTCGGCGCCGTCCTTCGTGGCACCCCCAAAGGCTGCAGAAGCGGCTCTGCAGCAACAGCAGCAAGCTGCAGTCGTGAGCGCGACACTGGCAGCTGCCTCCATGCCAGCTCCTGCTTGGGCGGCACGCGCTTCGGACGAGGATGACGAGGGCTTCGATGTCCGCATCATTGCCGTGCTGGCCTTGCCCCTGTTCGCCATCTCCTGGGCCCTCTTCAATGTGTGGCGCGTGGCATTCCGTCAGGTGGTGCGCCAGGGCGAGAACGCCAAGGGCAACGCTCTTTGATGTGGTCTTTGTAAAACCTGGCCTTCTCGGGCTCGTTTTTGCACAAGCAGCTGTACAGCACCGGCAAGACAGGAACGGTTGCAAAGAGTTGCATCCTTCGCCGGTTATCATGCAAACATAAGATCTGCTGCTTCTGCAGCGGGGGCAGAAAACGCAAGAGTGCTGGAAGCATTAAGCCAGCATGCCGGGCGCTATGGCAGGCCTTTGCAACTGAGTATTTATCTCGCGTCGATCCTGCTTCGTACAGGTTCGCGGCTCAAAAATACGCGGCACGGCCATAACGATCTACGTGTAGCATAAGATCATGGCTCGCTCCAGCTCCGCTGCTGCGCCGCTGCTGTTCATCGCTGCCGCTGCCTATGTCTTGAGCTGCAGGTCGGCGCCTTCCTTCGTGGCACCCCCAAAGGCTGCAGAAGCGGCTCTGCAGCAACAGCAGCAAGCTGCAGTCGTGAGCGCGACACTGGCAGCTGCTTCCATGCCAGCTCCTGCTTGGGCGGCACGCGCTTCGGACGAGGATGACGAGGGCTTCGATGTCCGCATCATTGCCGTGCTGGCCTTGCCCCTGTTCGCCATCTCCTGGGCCCTCTTCAACGTGTGGCGCGTGGCATTCCGTCAGGTGGTGCGCCAGGGCGAGAACGCCAAGGGCAACGCTCTTTGATGCACTTATCTTCCTGGTGCCCTGCCTGTCTGGGTCGTTTTTGCATTTCCATTGGTACATGGCAGAATCGGGCCGGTTGTGAGCATGATTAGGCTAAAGCCGCAGACTGTCCTGGTGCGCTCTGCAAAGCACCAAATGAGAAGGAGGGCCGCTGCTTTCACTGTGAGCGTCGGATGCCACACATGAGTCCATTGATGTGTGCACTGTGCTCAATGCCTGATGTGGCCATGGCAAGTTTCTGGCTCAGGCGCTCCGTACATTCGATAAACAGCAGCATAAGATCATGGCTCGCTCCAGCTCCGTTGCTGCGCCGCTGCTGTTCATCGCTGCGGCCGCTTATGTCTTGAGCTGCTGCAGGTCGGCGCCGTCCTTCGTGGCACCCCCAAAGGCAGCAGAAGCAGCTCTGCAGCAACAGCAGCAAGCTGCAGTCGTGAGCGCGACACTGGCAGCTGCCTCCATGCCAGCTCCTGCTTGGGCGGCACGCGCTTCGGACGAGGATGACGAGGGCTTCGATGTCCGCATCATTGCCGTGCTGGCCTTGCCTTTGTTCGCCATCTCCTGGGCCCTCTTCAACGTGTGGCGCGTGGCATTCCGTCAGGTGGTGCGCCAGGGCGAGAACGCCAAGGGCAATGCTCTTTGATGCGCTGATCTTCCTAAGGCTCCACCTTTGTAGGATCGTTTTTGCATCTCCGGCTGTACAGCATGAAAAAGGCGCGCACCGCCAGAGTAGGATGCCTTGATGCAGTTTTGAGATGTTTCCTGCCTGTCGTCGTGAACCAACCCGTGTTATCGCCAGCGTGGTCGTTTAGATTAGCTGATTTGCAAGTCATAGTCGGCAACTCGCTACTTTAACTCGGGTTCCGGCGCACAATTGCCAATCATCCGCTTCACGCACTTCACTATCACGCTTGTTAATCTCGCACTTGACAGACAGTGATGGTAGGAGCTGGCTTTTCTTGAAATTGTCGCCGGCCGTCTGAAGATTGGTACTTGAACGGTTGCAGTTTTTGATCCCAGGCACAGGCACCCATCTTAGCAGCAGAAGCTAGCAGAAGAAATGACTCGCTCCAGTTCCGTTGCCGCCCCGCTGCTGTTCATCGCTGCGGCCGCTTACGTCTTGAGCTGCTGCTGCAGCTCAGCGCCGTCCTTCGTGGCACCCCCAAAGGCTGCAGAAGCGGCTCTGCAGCAACAGCAGCAAGCTGCAGTCGTGAGCGCGACACTGGCAGCTGCCTCCATCCCAGCTCCTGCTTGGGCGGCACGCGCTTCAGACGAGGATGACGAGGGCTTCGATGTCCGCATCATTGCCGTGCTGGCCTTGCCTTTGTTCGCCATCTCCTGGGCCCTCTTCAACGTGTGGCGCGTGGCATTCCGTCAGGTGGTGCGCCAGGGTGAGAACGCCAAGGGCAATGCTCTTTGATTGCTTAATGCCTAAGCAAACCTGCCAGTCCATCGTGGAAAAGTGCTGCACACTGCAGGGCTCGTCAAATCTTCATACCTTCTTTCTGATCGGAAGTGGGTCATTGCTTTTGATTCTCGCGTCAGCATCCTCTCCGAATCCTCTCCTGTACCTTTGTCAATAGTATGCAATACCAAACCAAATCTCGGGAAATGCCATGGTACAGTGGCATGGGGCATTTGCGGGTAGACACGCCTGGCAGTCTGGCAGGAGCAAGACCAGGAGATGCCTTGCCTGTAGCATTGCTGTGAACGATTGTGCAGTTATGTTTGTCGTCCTGGTTTTGCGGGCACGGGCATGTTTACGCTGCATTGACCACTTGCTTTTGCCGAGGCACATTCGGGAATCTCGTATGCAATCCAGTGCTGGCAGACTCGGCAGACTTTCAGACTTCGCAAACCGAGGCGCAAAATCCTGCGTCGCTACCTGCGCCCACTGCGAAAGCGGCAAAGGCAGGCTCTGTCTTTTTCCTGAAGACCGAAGCATCCACATGGCCTCGGAAGGGCCACAGACGGCTGTTTTGGGATCAAAGGCAGTGTCACTTGCAGTGCGAGGGTTCGGGATGGCCAGTCAGATCGAGACGGGCGAATCTCTCCAACGAAACGAATCTAGACTTGTTCAGGGAAAGACGAAAACCACCAAACTATGCATCACGTTGAGGCCGGCATTAGCTGACCGCATCTAGCGACGGGTGGTTTCAGCAAGTCACGCGGTGCCAAGTTGAAGACTTTTCTCTTTCCAGGCCTTGAAATGAGCACTGAGCACGGATGCATGTTGGAGATGCGGGACCCACAGGTTCTGCAAGTGTAATCGTGCGCAATCTGATGGTTGTCTACATCGCACCGGGCATCAACGTCAGACATTCGAAAGCGTTCGCTTCGCCTGGTTTGCCTGGCTGTGGGAGTCGAAGGGAGGCCTGTAGCGGCTGCGAGTCCGAACTATTCATGCGCAGGCTCCTACGACTGCTCCACCCGTGCAACTGGCGCTGCGACCACCTTCGGCACAACGAACAGGCCAGATCGGGCAAACTTATGTTTCGTGGCCGCAACTCCTTCTCAAACTGCCTTGTAGCCCACACACACACTTTGCACTGTTGTGCAGGAACGATGCGTCGTCCCTCTACGGCCTCCGTGCATAGTCAGATGCTGAGGGTTCGGCCGCCGGACCCTGAGATGGTGTGGCATCATGGTGACCTTCCTCGTCCTCAACACAGGGAAGTGCTTAAGGTCTGAGACACGGTGGACCGCTGAGGAGACACTGCGCGGCCATCCTTGTAGTCCGAACAGCCGACGTTTCTGCTTGGTGTTTTACCTCCCTGGTCCTGGGGTGCCCTATGTTTCAGGACCGTCTCTCTTTCCGGAGCTTACGCATGGGTGCCGCTGGGGCCTCCTGCTTGGCGATGCCACGTGCTCGAAACGGTCCTTTAGAAGTCTGGTAAGCAGTGTACCAGTACAATGGATCCCTTGGCACGGCCCGGTCCCAGGCAGCTTCGCGGCAAGAGCTTGACCAGGTTGGACTTAAGCCACTTGGTAAAGAAAGAGAGCCAGCACTGCTCCGGCTTGGCTGGGTTTCATGTCGGGGAGCTGAGAGCAACGCTAGATGCAGCTGCCTACTTTTTGCAGAAGCATGCCGATGAATTTGACATCAGCTGAGAGGCGACAACCAGTTGGGAGACAACTCTGCCGCAGCTATTGCAAGTCTGATCCATGGACTCCCGCAGCTGAAGAGCATTTTGCTGGCAGGAAACATATTGGGAGCCTTGCCTGCAATGCCAGCCCAATTCTGAGATTCCCACCAGTTTTTCCGGGCTTACGATTCAGAGCCCCCGCTAAATGGAATGCTGCACCCTGGCTGTGCGGAATTCGCAGAATGCACGACTTCCTTCCATCTACATCCACTAGCTGCCCACTCCAATTTTGATCACTTTGTGAAATACCCACGGCCTGAGAATGTACGAAGGAGTGGCCACTGGTAGATACTTTCTCGGATGGGTCTTGATGATTGATGTGTATACTGTATACATGCGATAGCATTCCTACCCTTGAAATATACTATAGTATGATATGATAGAATATAATGTAATATAATAAAATATCATATAATATCTTGAAATGAGAAGGACAGGTCCAGGCCCTGGTCCCCCGTTGATGTGATTTTGGTCCCACTGTGCCTGGATGTGGGTGGTTGTCAAAAGTATGGTCCCTTTTGGGGTACCCTATATTTTCGGTGCCGTATTAGAATAAGGACCCAGGAAAAAACCATAATGGCCCTAATGTTGACAACCACCCATGTGACTATCTTAGGTAATGCTGGGCTCAAGGAGATCGCCAACTCGGAGCTGCAGAGCAACGGGATGCCTGGGTCTCAGAAGATCTCGGCTTCCTGGACCCCGGTGGCTTTTTGGGCCTGGGGGACCCTAACATAGTCTTATAAAAACCCCATAATAAGGTACGCCATATTTTCGGAGACTGCCATGTCAGCCCCAGGTTGGAGCAGCTGGCAATTGGCGAGGCTCCTCCTGGCTACAGCACCGTGATCAAGACAGCTCGCCAGAGGCCGAACCACATCTCCACAGAAGGCCGGGGCTGCCACATTGCCCCGAGTCCTGTCATAAAGAATGAAGATGCCACATGTACCGACATGAACCATCCTAAGCGCCCCGCGCCTCAATGCGGTTCCCCGCATTCCATCTGATCCCCGGCCGCATAATATGGCCGCCATAGGCTTGGGCAACCAAACCCAATAGCTTCTGATTGGCAAAGGCCTCGAGTCGCTGCTGGCAGCTTTAAGCCGCAACCCAAATCGGCGTCTTGCAGCTCTGGCCGCGGGACGCATAGCTCTTCGGGCAGAGGCGGGTCAAGCATTGTCGGCCCCACGGCAAGACTAATGACCTTGCTGGAGAGAGCTCTGTGTGACATTTTTGTTAATTCATGGGCCGCTTAAGAGTCCACCCAAACGAACCTAGACAGCCGTTGTTTGCCACTTTGCCCAGACCTGTCCCACATTTGATGTTTATGTTCTCGCTTCTGTACACTCCTGATGTGCTCCTTGTTCGCAACGCCGTTACAGCCAAAGGACAGGCATGCCCTGGGCCAAATCACCGGCAGTGCTTGGTTGGGGGTTTAAGGCGGCCTGAGGACCCTCTGGAAAGCTTGCGCTGTGACTATGTAGCCATGGTTGATGATTAATGTCTCCCGGATCTAAGGCGTTCCTGATGGAGGATTCAGTCCTCACGAGCCTGGATGTGCCACGGCCCCAGTCATTCGCAAGTGAATATGCCGGCTGATGCGACACGGTTTTGTGGCTTCTTCGCCTTACAGCACGAGCTAGCATGCAATCAGGCAGAAGGTATCGAGCTTCATGAGAACAAGCAGCATAGAATTTCGATGTCAGGAAAGCCAGCGTAGGCAAAAAATGCCAGGGGTGATGTTCCTGCAGCATACATGGATGTCGCACCGTACAGTCGACTAAGGTCCTCCAATGCACTGACATCTGAGGGCATCTCTGCTTTGCTGCCGAGTTGCGCAAAGCTACAGATGCTGGAGACCCTGCCGTCAGAGCGTTGTGCACAATATCTTGAGGGCCGTGGTTTTCTGATGTTTGATGGGTGGTTGTAATGGTTGCTTCAAGCACGGTTCGCTGCCTTTGTATTCATAAAATGTAACGGCTGAACTTGAACGGTGCAGGACATCTCCGAAACTGGGTGTCGAGGAGAGCTTATCCACGGAAAGCTGTGTGAGCTTTTGCAGCTGCTTGGCTGCACGGTCGTAGCCTCTTGTTGGAGTGCCACTCAGTTTTGCTGGCCGCCTGCCGACTGCACTTGAGGAAAGCCGACCGCCTGGCGTCCCTGTCCATCGCTCACAACGTTCTGGAGCCGCGGCCAATGCGCCGCATTGCTCGCAGCATCTCCTCCTGCGCGTCGCCTCTTGCTTTACAGGTAGCATAGATTTAGGACCAACTTTAGCGCTTAGGTTATGTTACTATGTTTACTACCTTTGACCTTGGATCGTGAGGGCCAAACTGGCTTTGTCATGTTTGGTGGATGTAAGTCGAAGTCTGGAGCGCTTGAAGTCAAGGCTGCTGTCCCTAAACATCGCTGGCACAGCAATTGAGACAGAAGGCGTCCTGGCCTTGGCAGAGACTCGGCAAAACTGCCTGCAGCGAAATACTTTTCTACATAGCCTTGCATGAAAGGCCTGCTGCCAGACGTGTCAGCCGTAAGCAGCAGCAGCAGCATGCACGTAGGACGGCTTGCTGAACTCCCACACCACGTGCTTGCGCGAGTTGGACATGTCCGAGAATGGTATCTCGGAGGCTGAGGCTTGCGACCCGCATCATTCGGCAAGCGATGCTGCCCAGCGCTGTAGACAGCAAGCTTCTTCTCCTTCGCCAGAGGCACTTGCTAGCCTCGGCAAGATCATCGCGGGCACAGCGCTGCAGACTCTGCGGTTGAATCGGAATCCGCTCGGCAATGCAGGCCACAGTTCACGAAGAGATACCTGGACATTGGCCGATTGCAGAAGTAGGTTCTTCCGAGAGTTGTACGCGTAGCAACTATCTCTGTGCTCGATTCGTCTCTGGACTCTCCACAGACGCCAAGCAGGAATTTGTCAACTCGCAGATTCCCTGGATGCCGACAGTTGTCGCTCGGCCGTGAGACCGTTTTTTTCGAGCTTCCGATAGATGTCACGCAGATATTCTCCGCGAGAGATTGATGAAGCACTGAATGCACCGGAAGGATTTGCCCGAAGCACCGGGGCCTTTCGCTTGGTGGGCTCATTTGCGTGGTGCTTTCCCAAACTACAGCTAGCAGCATTGCTACACACACGAAGTTGTAACACTACTGCCGCTACTGCGGCAGCAAAACCATAACAGCAGCCCGAAAACCAACGCTACCTACTTACTACCTACTACTGACTAACTGCTTGCTCCTACTGTTGATACGAACCGCGGCTACTATGCCGACAACTGCTTCTTGTCACCTTACTTCACTGAGCCAAAGCACACACACACACTCTGGAAGGGCGATTTTTCTTGGCAAGTCCCGTCGTCGACCCATTGTGAGGCATCCCGGTCCCATGGGTTGGGGCCCATAAGTGTGGCCATGAGTCGATTAGCCTGGAGCCTAGGGCGTTGGCTTCCAAGAAACTAGACTAGTACCACTACCGCTTGTACTAGCACTACTAGCTACCACTGCTCGGACGACGACCGCTAGCACGCCTCCTACTGCTCCTGCTCCTGCTCTCCTACACTACCTTCTTCTTCTTCCAGACGCTGCAAGAGGCATGTCTTGCTCGGCGATCCAGTGGATTGGCAGGGTCTTCACCCCGGCACGTTGCGCAGTCCTTCTATCGAGGACTCCCTAGGATGTTGCTGCATCCCTCGGTCCGAGGACCCATGCAAGCAGGGATGCAGCCAGAACGATGACCAAAGTAGAATACGGACCTAAACAGTGGACTACTACTACTTCTGCTACTACAACAACAACTACTACTACTACTACTACCACTACTACCATACTACTACTACCATACCACTACTACTACTACTACTACTACTACTACTACTACTACTACTACTACTACTACTACTACTACTACTACTACTATTACTTTTCAATCGGACGCCGTGTGAGCGGGCTCAGCACGTTGCGGGCGACTGCCGCATGTGCACTCACGTTGGTGTGAAACTGACCAGGTGACCCTGTATGGTCTGAGAAGTCTGAGAAGTGATCCAGTTGTTACTGTTAGTGCTTCGGCCTTCAGTGTATGTACAAGCGGCCAATCAGATGTCTGGGGCGTTCACAGGACAGCCTGCCTCCACGGTACAGGGAACGAGGCAAGTACCTGGAATCGAACACTGCTTGCTGACTTGACTGCAGCTGACCGTACTCGGCACTTAATACCACTTAATCTCCATTCTTGTAGCTAGCAAAAAGGCGGCGGCTTATGTGCAAGAGCCATCAGCGTTCTGGTGCAGGAAGAAAGGTGTGAAGAAGACTGTTGGAGCTAGGCAGTGCCTCCGCTCGCATCGAGTCCGGCAGCCATTGGCACCGCGTGAGAAAGGGCATCACTGGCGCCACTGTCGGCTGCCGCTGGAGCCGGAGCCTGAACTTCGTTGCCACCACCGACCTCACCAGTCAGCTTCTGGCCAAGCCTCGCCATCTCGATGGCGTTTGTCCGTCTGGCGACGGTTCATCTCCCTGTCTTCTGTCCCGCTGTTCCTTTTGGCGGTGCCACAGAAAGATCGGGGTGTCGCCTTTGTTATGTTCGATGCACAGCTTCCGCTGCACTCGGCCATCTTTGGGTTTAGAGAAAACGGCCCGGTTCATGCCGCCGCATTTGCGGCTAGTCTTGTCACAGATGCACTTGACCGTGGAGGCCACAATCTCGAAGTTGTCATCGGCTTCCAGCAGGGCATCCTTTTCGGGCCGGTCCCACATCCTTTGGAAGAGGAATGGACTATGCCGTAGTAGACGGTAGTGGCCTTGAGCTCAACATAGCCTACTACTACTACTACTACTACTGCCACCACTACCACTACCACTACCACTACCACTACCACTACTACTACTACGACGACGACTACTACTACTACTTTTACTACTACTCCTACTCCTACTCCTACTCCTGCTGCTGCTGCTGCTACCACTCCAATATACTGGAGCAGTTGCGGAAACATGGTTGTCCACATCGAAGGTCCACCGGATGGTCCAGTGCTTCGCACGCTGGAGCTGGGAAGCTGCCGCATTGGGCGACCCGGGGCAACCTTTCTTTTGATTCGCTTGAGGCGTGGGGCGAAATCCTGCAGGATGCCTTTAACATTTTAACATGTTTCAACAGATTGTGCTGGGGCATCCTTCTTCAAAAAGCTGCAAACATTAGCAAGCACCTTTGTCGCCCTGGCAGGGACAATCGTCGCCTGCTACAATTGAGGTTGCAACTCGACATTCCGTTTCATTGCGAACAGCTCGCCGGCTCCTGTAAGTTGCATAGGTCATCAGGATATTGCGGCATGCCCTGCCTAGGTCAGACAATTTTCTTGATGATTCTCTGGACATGACGCACGTTGAGGCAGCCTCGATTAGTCCGGATAGTGCGTGTTCGGTCGGTCTTGCTCTACCTTAGCTCTATTACATGAGAGATCAGGCTTTGCGATACATCCAGTACCTCCACCTGGACAGCAACAGGCGAGCTCAACAGTTACGTTCTGGTGCCTTCCTGAACCTACCTTTCGATTTGTCCTGCACTCCTCTGTGCTGGAGGCTTTCCCTTCGCAACTTGACCCGAGCCAGCCGCATTTGCGCCAAGAATCGCTTCAGAGTCCAGGATCAGGAGATTCCTGGGAACACTGCATGAAAACGGTGAAATGGATGACCGAGCTGAGTGTTCGAGTTGCGTCGCTGCCCCCATCTAGGAGCCTCGAGCGCTGCGGAAAGAGATTCGGCACTTGCAGGTTGAGGAGGTGAAGCTTCGAGAGCACAAGCATCAAGCCGCCAAGGACGCACTGGCTTCGGACAAGCGAAGTGTACCCACGTGTTTGGGAACGGAATAGTGTCCAGTGCATTCCAGCCACTGACGAAGATGAGCCTTGTTTTTGCACAAGGGTTGTTTCCGTTTCCCGGATGGATGGAGAGCGTTGTGGGGGACCTCGGGTACAGGCAAGCCTGAGACTCCTGAGTCCACAACAGTGGTACCGACACAGCCTGACAGTCAGGACTCTGCAGAGATTTTCGTCAGAATGAGTGCCGAGAACATTGCTGCAGAAGAGCTTCGACAGCTGCGGCTGGGGATGCTTGACTGCGTGCTGCATGCAAAGGGCAATGGACATTCGTTGGGAGTTACGCGTGCCCCACTAAACTCACTAAACTCGTACTGAAGGATGCTGAAGGTGTCCACCGTGCACGATCAAAGCTTCCTATTTTTTACACAGAATGTCAAGGAAGACTCACCTGGAACTAAATAGATTGTAGTCACGACCGGCCCGCCAAGGATCATGAAGTCTGCTCGTCAAACTGAGCAAAAAGTCGCAAGTGTGGAGCAGAAGTTGCAAGAGCGAGAAGCGTACATGGAGAAACTCAAGGACGGGATGGGAGCGCCCCCATGAATTTATTCCACGTGCTAGCACCCAATACTACGGAGTCTTTTGCTCGGTCTAGAATGCAGTCCGGGCCCCATGCTGACGGCTGACGGTGCAACATGTTGTCAGGATGCCCTGGAGCAGACGGCACACGAGAATGAACTCGCATCTTGGCGGCTATCGAGAATTCTACAGTAACGGTGGCAAGAGCTGGCAGCTCAGGCCATCGCCGAAAAGAGACACGAACTGGAAGACAAGGAGGCAGAGCTGATGGAAACACGGCGTTGAGTTTTCAGAGACCCGTCCTGTCCCGGAAGAGCGCACAAAGCTCTCCGGGGCTCCGCCGTCAGCCCAGGAGCTGCAGGCGCGGCTCCGTGACGTCGAGGCCCAGCTGGCCCGGCGACGTGCCCAGCACCCGAAGCAGCTGGCCGCGCCTCGGATCTCAAAGGTTTTTGTAACGTGTAACTTGAGATAACTTGAGTTTAGAGTTCAGAGCTGACTAATTCTGACCATTTCAACAGTGAAAGGTAGCCCAGACCATGCCAGGCGAGAGTTGTTTCGACTCACGAAGGTGCCATTGGGTACTGGGAGTGACATGGTTGATTGTTGCTGGTTTAGAAGCTGTGTCTGCTGGTCCATAAGGAGATCAACGAAGAGATTTCTGCTGCCTTGCCGAAGACGGAGGCACGCAGTTGGAGCACTGAGTCGTTTGCAGCGGGTCCGGACATGTGCACGTACTTGTACCCTTTGGGTGCGAAGTGCAGGAGTTCAAGTCCAACCAGGAGGAAATGCGGAAGGAGTTAAAGAAGCTCCAGGACCCTCGGACCCTTTGGGGCTTTGTCTTGTCTACTCTTAAAGTGCCAACGGCCGGCGAGAACACCAAGCAGGGTGTGCATTTGCTTCTGATGGGACCTGCTCATGCCTGTTCTGGCAGTGTCTGCAGCATCCCGAAACACCGATACGTCAAAACGATTCACTGGAGATCTACCAGGAAGGAAAGTGCCATGCCAGAGTAGCCTGACTTGCAACTGAGGAGAAGACGCTTATCGATTTCAAGCCTTGAGGTCAAGTGCAGACACGAAGGTGGACGGCTCCAAAAGCCGGACGTGTCTAGTTCCGTCTTCAAGACGCAGGCAAAGCGCATGGCGAGAGCTGTGCATCCTGCAAAGTTGTATTTTGAAACCAGGCGGAGATGTAAGATGCATCACCGTCACAATGAGAATGAAAGCATGCTGTGCCCGAAGCAATTTGTACCAAGTTTAGGTTGTATGCACCAAAGCACTCGGTTGACGAAAGACTATGTCAAAGGCCTAGTTTCTCCAACTCGACCCTGCACTGCTTCGGTACTGAGATGTGCTGGCGTGTCACGGACTACTCCGTACACTGGTTCAGATCCGGAGTTTCGAGAGCACGTTAAAAGGGCGGCCATGTCGCAGTGCAACTGCTCCGGGCAATGATCAAGAGCAAACATGTCAAAGCTTTCCAGCACTTCTGCTCTCAAAGCTGAGGCAGGCTGAGGGGGTGCGTTTAGCCGCCTCCACCCGTAGAGCCATGGCCATGCCAGCTGAGAGGATCGATGCCTCCGACTTTGAAGTGAACGGGCGGCTGTCCGACGCCCGTCGAGCAAAGCTGATGGACTTGAAGAAGAGGGAAGACTTGAAGGATCAGCTGACCGAGAAGTTCAAGAACCGTTTCGGGCATGGTGCCTGCAAGGAAGCTGACGAGGTGTCTGTGAACTCAGCCATGATCCGAAAAGAAGTGGAAAACTTTGCACGGAAGGCGCCAGTCACAAACAGCAATCTCGATCGCTTGGAGCGCCGCATCCAAAGCCGTGCCCTGGGAAGGGCATTGGATGATGCTTCCACCGTCTCCAAGGCAATCAGTGGTGTGAGCCAGTACACGGGCTTGAGCCAGCGAAGCCGTAGTGCTACCTCCTTGGTTGGGCAACACCTGGTGGCTCCGAAACGGAAGCATGACTGGTCCAAGCTTGATGACTACGCTTCGTACTTGCATGAGCAGGATGCACTTCGCCAAAAGTTGGGCGTCCAAGCACTGCAAAGGAAGATGAAGTTGGACTTGGATGCCCAGGTGCAGGACAAGCTGAAGAGAAGGGACGAGGCATTAGAGGAGGAGAAGAAGCACCATGAAAACACGCTGCTTGAGCTTGAACGTTGGAAGCAGCAAGAGAAGGAGCGAGAGGAAGAGAGGCATCAGCGAATCCAAAAAGAGAAGGAGGACCGTGATGAGCAGCTCCGGTACGAACGACTTCTCAAGGACCAGGAAGAGCAACGAAAGAAGGATGAGGAGGCACAGCTAGTGGAGAAGATCGTCAATGAGATGGAGGCAGACCAGAAGCGCTTCGAGAAGAAGAAAGAGCAGACGAAGCGGGCCATGCGCAAGGTCTTCGAGCAGAACAAACAAGATCAGGTGAAACGAGACGAGGCTGCCAAAGAGGCCAAGGAGAAGGAGGCAGCAACGATCAAGGAGTTCAATCGGCTTCTGGATGAGCAGGAGGAGGCCAAGGCCAAAGAGCTCCACGACCGTATGGCTCGGCAGGCAGAGCTCATGAAGAAGCTCCAGGACAATGTGAACACCATGAAGCAGGAGTCAGGTGACACCGACGAAGCCCGTGCACGTGCACAGCAGGACGAAGCCGATCGACATTACTTTGAGGCCGAGTCAATCAAGCAGCAGCGGCTCAAGCAGATGAAGCTCGAGAACCAGGCTTACCTCCTGAAGCAGATGCATGAGAAAGACGGCCGCAAGGATGACGACAAGTACTTGACTGCAATCCAGGCCCAGATCATGGATCGCGACACGCAAGAGTTCAATGCGGTGGAGAAGAAGAAGATCATCGATCGAAAAGAACGCAGCTTGGCTAACCAGAGAGAGATCATCAAGCAGATGGAGTGGAAGGCGGCACAACGTGAGATTGAAATGTCTGACACCGAAGTTGCATTGAACAAGCCTTTGCTCGAGCTCGTGGACCGCACACTCGACCAGCGAGATGAGAACATGGAGCTGGTCGCACAGATCGATGGCTGAAGAACAGGATTGGTGTAGTTCGGAATTTCGTTTCAGCTCCTACCAGTGACCAGGCTGGTGGCTACAAATGCTTGGCTGGGAAGATATCAACCGAGCAGTTCGTATCACTCGCTGGCTTCGCCGCGACTTAGGATTTGGCTTATGTCACCCTTGTGTTCAGAGTTTCACACTGACAACTCACAGCCACTGTGAACTTGCACGCGCAGCAAAACTATTGAAAGCGCAGGACCTGCAGCGGAAAACGTGAACTTTGCAAGCTGACTTCCCGTCTGCATCTTTTGCCGTCGAACCTGTCGGCCTGGCAACCTTGAAAGAGATCTTTGGTGCCAGGGCGACAGCCCCCGCAGTCCACGCATTCGAAGCCCTCGGAATGGCGAGGCAATGTCCGCACGAGTCATCATAGACCACAGTCAAGTGTTCAGGTTGCTTCCTGTGTGCCTGACCTGTCAGATGTGGCCCGAGTATGTCGGCGTCTTCTTCGGTTTGTGTGATACGCGTGTCGTCTTGGGAAACTCCGGCAATCGACTCTCCAGCACCTCGGCTTCAACCAGAGCACACTGCGCCGCTGTAGCCGATGCATGGGGGTGAACCCTTGCAGAAGATAGGATGGAAGGAATGTGGATACAGACGGCCAGCTCCAACTCGAGACGATTTGTTGCCCTGGTTTGTAGATTCATGCTTTGCTCGATGCCAGGTTACGTGTGCGCGGTAGCTTGGCTTATCTTAGTTGGCAGAGCAGCACTCTTTCATGCCGGTTGCTGCTGCGCGTATATGTATGTATGTACAGTTGTATAACATACATAAATATACCTACATATATCTATATATATATATATATATATACCACATCAGGTATGAAAATGGAGCGGAAGCGATTGACAGCGTCATACCATTTGATGGATCAGGTTCGTCTCGACATCTTTGACCCGCAGTCAGCAATGTGGATGACAGTCCTCGAGAATCCTGCACAGGAGTGTCAGTGAGGTCAACATCCCGTCTCGCCACCACATTCCCGATGCAGGAGCTCACGCCAGGCGGAGCCCTGCTGGGATCACACGAAGCCATAACGCTCCACCGTTTCAAGGCGAGCTCGGACCAAAAGGGATCAGGGATGGGCGATGTAAGTCGCAAGCTTTCACAGGAGTTGGTAAGCTCCGGCGCTAGCCACGACCGAAAGCTGCTGGTGAGAGTTATGGTGCAGGGCACCTATTTGCTACAGGTTTTGCCATTGACTCGGATGCGAGGAGCGTTCATGTCCTACTCTACCATCGCGCGCCGAGGTCTGACATCGGTTGCTTGCGGCTGCAGCAATTTGAAGATACTCCTCCCACGCAGTACGGGAGTTATTAATAAGAGTAACCACCTCGGCATGAGTCACCACCTGCGGTGCACAACGGCACGTGTGTCATGTATGTAGTGCAGGATTGATTGTTGTCAGTAGGTGCAGACTCTGCTGCCCATGGCTTTCCCAACATCCCGCGGGGTGTTGTTTCAGGCTTCCGTTTCGAAGGCTGCCAATTATGTCCATTGCTGATCAGAGCCTGTGCAAGCCTCTGCTTGAAGAGGACGAAGTCCACCGAGTTGACAGTTCAGACAGCAAGAAAGACTTCTGGGCACTTACTCGGAGTTCGTCCCCTCTGTGCCAGCAGCAACTTCCAGCAAATGCCAAGCAGGATGTGGAGCCAGTGAAGTCTTCCCCAGCATTGAACTGCTTGAAAACTCCAGCAGAAGACGTACATCTTATCTTGTAAACCTCACTGCTCTGCACAATTGGTTGCAAACAGTGCAACCTGTCAGGTAGGTGCATGCGTTGAACAAGGGGCCGAATTCCTCGGCTCGATTACACGCTCAGTGTATCTAAAGCAAGCAAGTTCAAAAACCGCACCCTTGCTTTCGGATTGTGATGCCGGGAAGACTTGCTAAACTTACCAGTGTACTCCTCACTGCACCGGTTGAAACTGTAGGTCCATGTGGTTGATTGGTAGCCAGTGCAAGCGACATCCAGCGGCTGATGTCGAAAAGGATTACCGAACATTTCATCTGCTCATCGTGCCAGATAGTTCATGCGATAAGGCTAGGAAACAAGTCAAGGACACCAAGACAGACTCGCTTGCAGAGGTGCCGTCGCCGTGACCAACTTCGAGAACCGGCGCCTACGCTTGGTACAGCCAGATGATGCCGTGGGAAGCCAGAGCCTGAGCTGCCCCGATTGCCGATCACATTCTGTCACAAGTCGAAACATTACGAGCAGTCGAAGGCTTCCTTCACCTGGCCCTGCCGAACCTCATCATCCACGAAATTGACCAGTGGAGCCCTTTGTGCCCAGAGGTGTGGCGTGCTCAATACTTTACAGCTCAGACGGCACATCTTGTCGTGACAGGCAAAGAGAGCTACATTCCCAGGCCGCACCGAGGGATCCTCCGCATCCGATTGCACGAACGTGAGAAATCCTCATCGGTTCCACACCACAGCAGAACTGGAACTCGTAGACCATCGCCCGATCACCCCATCTCCGCACCGGGCTGCCTGCAAAAGGCCCATTCGCGTTCAACCCTGACCACAATGCTTCCAGTGGAGCACTCAGATAAGCAATGGTGGCCTGACAGATGTGAAGTTGCAGAACGTGTGCCGTGGTGTCTGCAGAGCTGCCATTGTAACGGCAGCCTGCAGATGGTGGTAAGGCTCCTCCACCTGCAAGGGGTGGTCCTTGACAAAGTACCAGATAGAGGACAGGACAGCAAGAAGCTGGACACATAGCTCTTTCTGAAAACTGACCCTGCATCACGGTTAGGAACATCTCAGCCAAAATCGCGTCGAGGCACAGCTTTGGCAGTAAGGGGCCACGCGACCACTGTGTTAGGAATGCTAGATTCAGGCAGGCAGGAATCAGGAATCCGCCGGTGGATAAAGCGAGTTCGGGACAGATGGCAGGTCGTCTCCTTGATCGAGGGAATGGAGCCCATTACATCTGCATGCACCCAGGGACGCATGTCCTATTCCTACGTGCTGGAGGCGCCGATGGGAAACATGAACGGAAGAACCACAGCAGAAACTTCCTGAGGAGTGCCATGCCATGAACTGCCCTTGTTGTCCTCTCCAGCCTACAGGTTTCAAAGTGATTGAAGGTTTCTGTCACCACTTCTTACACTGATGTTGTTGTGCGAGCGAAGCCAGGATGTGCTGTTTGATTGCGCGTTCGCCCCCTGCGTGCTGCGTCAGCCTGGCTGCATTTCCTTTGCTTTCTAGGATGTTTAGGGAATTCGCTGCCCGAGGAAGTGCGGCATGCATGCCTCTTGTCAGATGCTGGAGAACAGAACCGATACGCCAAGCAGAACTATTTCCAGGTGATCCAGCTGGCACACTTACAGTGGATTTCAACCGCTTTCAGGACTGGTGCTTTTGATGCAGCAGCCCGCAGGTTACAAACGGGCCCGCACCCTGACGTGACCAGGAGTTGATCCCTGCTCCGGCAGCACAGTCAATGTACGTCCGGCGCTTTTCACTCTCTCGAGCATGGTTTCGGAGCCCTTGGGAAGCTGGCTCACCCAAGGACATCTTGCCCGGAGGCTGTGGAGGCTGACATTGCCTGCACTCGGGCATGTTCCATGTCATGCGGACTGCGGACATCGAGCGAAGAGACAAAGGATCGGTGCGCAGCAGTTCTGAAATGACAACGTCTTGCAGTTGAGGCGAGGGCGCCTGGATCGCTGACACATGCTGGAAGTCCCACGTCGCAGTACCACATAAAGATCTAGGTACAGTGATCTCATATTGAGTCGGGCCTCAGGCCACGGTTGTCAGATGTTCTCGCTTCGAGATTGGCTTATGGACTGTCGGACATTTCGGGATTGATGTTGAAAGGATTGTGTTGTTTTTCTGGATCGTCACCTGGTGAATGGACATGTGCCACCACATTGCCTGACGGTGTCCTGGAAACTGCCCCTAGTTGCGATCAGAAAGTAAGATGAAGTAAGTACAAGTACAGGCTGCAATTGTTGAGATGATTGCTGGCCCGAGTAGACTCTGAAAACCCACGTCGGTTGTGCGCAAATTCATAGCATCATGCATTGAGCTTCAGTGCTATAAAATCATCCGCTCCTTGCTTGTGGTAAGAGTGTTATAATAGAAACACCCCCCCACCCCTGCGGTGCAGCCTCATGTCGCGTGGCACAACTCGTATTTACTAAAGGCCCCCTTCACCAGAGGAATGAAGCCGCCTCAGGACTTGGGAACCAATGGAAACTGCACCGCGCTTTTATGCAGATGTTTGCTGCATCGCATTCGCGACTCTTCTGTCGCTAAAAAAGTTTACGTCGCCGGATTGGTCCAACTGACCCCACTTTCCTTAATCGAACCCAGTCTTAGTTCTTCGGAGGTGCCACAGCGTCGTGCGAGCTGTGGTCGTCTCTGAACATGTCAAAGTCCGTTTTCCATTGCCGCCACGATTTGGTTCGAGCCCAAAAGAGACAAGACAGCCACATGAAGGCCACAGCCTGCTCTCTGGAGCACCAGAACGGCAAGCCGCGAGCATCCGCGAGCCATTTAGCAGAGCCTTAGGTTTCGGGATTGGGCTGTAGGCTATAGGACCAGCAGACCACGCCATGTCAAAGGACGGGGAAAGTTTCCGAGTTGTTCACAAACGCGTCGCGGTCCGAGCTCTGCCCTCCACAACTGCAGAGATCGTAGGCGTTGAAGCTCTCGGAGCCGTTATCTCCGGGAAGCGCGTTCAGGTGAAAGGCGAGCTCTGGGTGCGAAGAGATCTGAACAACCGGGAAACATGGATGCTTGTAGACGGCTCTAGGTTGGGCCTAGGGAGGCTGCTTGAAGCGGTAGCGGTCCCATCGGCCCCTCCAGCGGTCAAGAGCGAAAAGAAGGAGACCAAAAGCTCCATAAGTACCACAAGCAACCCAAGCCCGAGTACTCAGAAAGTTCCGATCGGATTGATCGGCGAGAGGTTGTGGCATTCGCCACTGCATGAGCTGCCCAGGCCTGAGTGGGCACCTCGACACGGCTACTATGCTTTATCAGGCGGTTTGTCTGCAACTGGCTGGCGCAACATCTGGGTGTTCGGAGGCATCATTCCTGGCTTGGGCTACTCTGATGACGTGTGGCGCACTGTGAACGGCGGTGCCAGCTGGGAGTTAGTCGTTGCTGGGATTCACTGGAGCCCAAGATCTGACTTCGGCTGTTGCGGTGGCTCCACTGCACCTGAGCCACGACCCAAAGGAGTAATTTACATCGTCGGAGGCCAAGGAGGTCCCGGATTGCTTCCCGATGTCTGGGCCTCAGACACCGCTGGCAGAAAATGGTCACGCATGTGCGAGAAGGCACCGTTCGGCTCCCGTACGGGAGTTGCGTGTGCCACGGTACCCTCGCGTCCTTTGGTGCTGCTCGTAGCCGGTGGCGTCTCTGACGATGTTCATCGCGATCTATGGGTCAGTCAGGATGGGGGTGCAACTTTCGATTGTCTCATGCTCACCATGCCAATCGGTCCAACATTATTGAAGTGGCCTCCACACTTACTCTGTGCTGCCAGAGCACAAAGTGGTCAACTTGGGCTTTGGTGTCTCCGGCTGAGAGGACTGACGGATCCTCTAGAAGACACCTCCAAGAGCCGCTTCTGCCAACGTGGAGCTGAAGTGAACGGCCTCGTTGCGGAGCTGGAGCCTTTAGACGAATTTTCACAAAGCTTTGATTGCGAGTGCTCGCCAGATTTTCCCAAGCCTCCGCGAGTGGGGTTGGATCTGGAGGCTAGCGTCGCAGTCCATCTTTCTAGGCATGGCCTACAAGGGCAGTGTTTGCCAAACCCTGAAGAGCCTGACTCCATTAGCATAGCCATTGACTGTTCTCCGTGGGAGCTAGAAAACGTCTCGTGTGTCGCGCCTCCAGAATCCTTTGTCGTTTGCGACATGGACGCTGCATATACGAGAGGCCACGGCAAAGTGCATATTCTCACGGAAGATCGCTGCTTCACCTCCGACCGCCAACAGTACAAATTGCAAGATCGCTTCTTGAAGCTCGTGGGCCTTCGGCTTGCAGTAATGGTGGGTCTTCCGATGGACCTGTGGCTGGGCCGTGTGCGACCTTTGTTGTTGCCACGCCCTCGCCGAATTGCCGGATTCGCTCGCCCTTTGGGCGAAGCCCCCAAGCCATTGCCATGAAGCGGCGTGGCACAATTTTCTGGAGCGCCGAGTACATAAGGATTCTGTACAGCCGTAACCTCGGCAGCTGTAGCTCGCCGCCTTGGAGCGCTTACTTGTCAAAATGGGGCTTGCCTAACTTCTGGATCCATAGAAATGTAGTTGACGATCGTAATCCATTTAGAAAAGACCTCGAATTTCCTTCAATAAAGAATTTAGATACTTATTCTTGGGATTTTGGCGGAGGCTCTAGTTTTGTTTCTGCTGAATGAAACTAGGTATCGGTCATATGTCAGAATTCATGTCCGGTCCGGTTCGTATCTGGTTCATATTTGGGTTAGTGGGGGTTCGTGTCTGCTTCGGGGCCGGGTTTAGTACAAGTCCTGGATCAAAATCTATTATCGCGACCTACCGACATCATACAAATCACGCTAGAATAATGGCAAGAAAAGCTCTGATAAGCTGGAAAAGATTCTAGAAAAATTTTGAATCTCAATATTCGTAAATTATGAATCAGAATTTCAAGATTAAAAATATTTAGCAAAATAAAAAAAAAAAAAAAAAAAGAAAAAAAAAAAAAAAAAAAAAAAAAAAAAAAAAAAAAAAAAAAAAAAAAAAAAAAAAAAAAAAAAAAAAAAAAAAAAAGAAAAAAAAAAAAAAGAGAAAAAAAAAAAAAAAAAAAAAAAAAAAAAAAAAAAAAAAAAAAAAAAAAAAAAAAAAAAAAAAAAAAAAAAAAAAAAAAAAAAAAAAAGAAAGAAAAAAAAAAAAAAAAAAAAAAAAAAAAAAAAAAAAAAAAAAAAAAAAAAAAAAAAAAAAAAAAAAAAAAAAAAAAGAAGAATAAAAAAGAGAAAAAAAAAAAAAAAAAAAAAAAAAAAAAAAAAAAAAAAAAAAAAAAAAAAAAAAAAAAAAAAAAAAAAAGAAAAAAAAAAAAAAAAAAAAAAAAAAAAAAA